TTAAGGACGATAATGGCCGGACGCCTCTCTTATGGGCCGCCTACTTCGGACATAAGGCGGTGGTTAAGTTACTACTCGAGAAGGGGGCTGACCTAGAGGTTAAGGATAATGATGGCGAGACGCCGCTATCAATAGCTGTAAAGGAGAGGGAGGAAGCGACAGCTACGCTACTACTCGAGAAGGGGGCTGACCTAGAGGTTAAGGATGATAATGGCCGGACGCTGCTATCAATAGCTCGAGAGGAGGGGTACGAAGCGATGGTCAAGCTGCTACTCGAGAAGGGAGCCAATGTAGTTTAATAGTCGCAGCTCGGCTTCGGGAATCAGGTCGATGAGGTTTCGTCAGGGCCGGAACGAGAGGCGAGGCTCGATCTCATCCCGCCTTGATACGTGCCCGCACTTTGGTGGGGGCCCATTATGTTAAGGTGGGTGGGTGGGTACGAGGTACATATGTCATTCAGTTCTCCACACAAGCTCAGACCTAGGCAGTTCGGTAGTTGCATCTGGGGTTAGCTGACTCGCGAACCGTGACTCCCAGCGAGCTGACGGCCGTGCACCCCGTACCCGTACCATGGTCCTCCTTATCTTTGGACCAGGCGAGGAGCGACCTGCGCTGTTGTAGGCGTCCGCTGACGTGAATCGCACACAGGCCCCAAGCAGCGTTCACTCATCGTCAAGAGCTAAGCCGCTGGTGGAAACTGCAGGCTATCCGGCGGTTCTCCTCGAGATCGGCACTGATAGAGGTCCAGAATCGAGAAGACAAAACTCCAAGAAAGCATCATGGCGTTTGAGTTCCCCGACCACTATGGCCAGCGATTCACGCCGACACTCCACCACCAGGCGGAGGGGCCGACATTGCCAGAGAACAATCGCCGTTCGCCGTTCGTCGTGGTCGTTACTGGCGCGGGCAAGGGCCTAGGTGTCTACGTAAGTCACTCCCAGCATCGAGACTTGTTCTGCTTGTCTTCTTATATCTGCCCATCTCCGACTTCTGGCTGGACCCGATCAGGTTTTGACGTTCCTGGAAGATATCGCTCGCGTACGCGCGCGCCGGGGCGACCGGCATCTGCATCTCGAGTCGGACGCAGAGTGACCTCGACGCGCTGGAGAAGCGGTTGAAGGAGGTCAACCCGAAGCTGGAGGTCCTCTCGGTGATCTGTGACACGGCGAAACCCGAGGCGGTCAAGGCGCTCGCGGACCAGGTGCGCGGGAGGTGGAACGGGAGGTTGGACGTGGCCATTGCGAACGCCGGGGTCATTTCCCAGTACCTCTACGACACGGACCCCCGGACCGGGGAAAAGACCAACCGGCGCCTGCCCCGGGGCATCATCGAGGACGACGACTTCCAGCGCGTCATCGACATCAACGTGCTGGGCAGCTACTACGTGGCCAAGTACTTCACGCCGCTGCTCGTCGCGCCGGAGAACCCGAGCACGGTCCGGGGCTACGTCGTCCTCACCAGCCTGGCGTGCCAGCTGACCGAGAGCAGCTTCGTGCCCACGGCGTACAACGTGGCGAAGCTCGCCAACGTCCGCATGGTCGAACACATGGCCACGGACCACCGGGCCGAGGGCCTGTTGGCCTTTGCGGTGCACCCGGGCGCGGTCCTGACGCCGCAGACCGAGAACCATTCGACGCAGAAGGGCGACGCCTGGGACACGCGCTTGACCGAGGACATCGGGCTGTGCGGCGGCTGGCTGACGTGGTTGACCCGCGAGAGGAGGGAGTGGTTGAGCGGGCGGTACCTCGCCGTGACGTGGGACGTGGACGAGCTGGAGGCCATGAAGGACGACATTGTACGCGAGGACAAGTTGAAGTTCAAGATGGCGGTTTAGGGGGTGGTCCAGGCAGGGGAGAATTGTCCGTGATAGAGCAGTGCGCGTTAATGTCATAACAGGGCTCGAGGTGTAGCCGGGAAAAGCACTCGGGGAGGACGCCCCTTTCTAGACCCAGCCTTGTCCATCGATTAGATGACTAGATGGAAAATTAGAGAGGACTGGAGACCGTTCCATCGGGAAATGCTTGAATCGAGAGCTTTGCCAATGCCATACTCTCTGATGGATCGTCCAAAGTGACGTTCGATGTCCCCAGCGCGTGGGGATCATTGGATATTATTTTTGGCAGCGGCCTTGATAGGTGATAGGCAAGTGAGGGTAAGCGAGGTCGAGCTCGCTTAGCTGGGGGGAGCACTTGCGGGCACTCCATCATCTGATGGCTCGTCTAAAAAAATACGGATACGAGGGGGAGATGAAGTATTGGCTAGCACGCTGGCCAAAAGCTTGAAGCCGCTCATTCGCATGGCGTTGATCTTGGAAAAATGCCTCAGAGCGTGATATAGCGGGCAACAGATGGGAACCGACTCGCCCAAAAGCGCTGTGCAATCTATACGATCAAATACTCCCTCTCCCCTCTTGATCGCTGAGACTGAATCACTATCTTTGAGTAACTCAGGCACAACAACATGGCGCGATTCCTGACTTCTCACGTGGGACTCCTCATCGGCTGCGAGCTCTTGACCTGCGTCGCTCTAATCCTGTTCGTCATTGCTCTGTGTGCAGGCATGTCACGGGGTCCGTTGGAAGGACTGGCTATATTGACGGTATGTTTCTCTCCCTTGCGCCTTTGGGGAAGTGAGTTGGAAGATGGTGGGCAACGGGCGACGGCTCGATAGTTGAAGGTGGCTTTTATGTCGAGCATGAGATGTGCTACTTCTCCAGTCTTGTCCTACAATGGATTGAACTTTCCTCCACTTCAGCATGCGATTCTACACTCAGTGGCGCCGGAGTTCTTTGGACTGCCTTCTCGGACAAGTGGCTGACGGCAGAAACCCACACAGGTCGACGCCAGCTCTCTGACCAGCTCTACCTCGGGCAGCGCCCTGGGCATCACAGACTGGTACGAGGCGCACTACCTCTCCATCTGCTCGGGGATGTGGAACCGCCACATCGCCAGCGCGGGCAAGAACCACAGCACAATCACCTGCACGTCGCAGAGTGCCGGGTACACGTTCTCCCTGGCCCGGATCGTCGTCGGCGGCGACGCCGCACAGCAGACGCTCCTCGCCAACCACCGCACGCTGAACACCAAAGCCCCGTTCGTCCTCCTCGTGGTGGCGATCGCCAGCATGAGCCTCGCCATCCTCAGCTTCCTCTACGGCATTGCCGCGTTGCCTTCCACCGCCGCGGGGAGACGGCTCAGCAAGAAAGAGATACCGCTGGTGGTTTTGCGCATCGGCTTCTTCGCGTGCGTCACGTCGACGGTGCTACTGTCCATCTCGTCGGCCAAGATCACGGCGAACGCAGCGAAGACGGCGGGCAGGGTCCAGCTTGGTGGAGGCAAGGACGTCCACGCGTGGATGGACGGCGGGTTCTACGCGGTCACCTGGGTGGGCGCGGCGTGTGTCTGGGTGGCCTTGGGACTGGTGGTCGCGGCGGCCTTCAAGCTTGCTGACGTGCTGGAGAGGAAGGTGGTGATGGGTCCAGCATGGGCCCAGAAGGGGCTTCACGGATAGACAGGCTGGAATGGGTGTGCCCTTGGATAGTAGTTTTTCATCCCTATCGAACACGGGACGCTATGCCAAGGATTGTCGACACCAGACAGGCTGGAGCGTGGCGTTCTTGCCGACTTCTAATGGTTGGCAATGCTGTTTGTCCAAGGCAACTTTGTTACTTGTACGCATATTGATCCTATTGATCCTATTGATCCTCTTGATCCTCAGGAAATAGACATACCGTGGGCATTCCATGTCCGAACATACACCGTCCGCCCTACTTGGTTGACTGTCCGCCTCGAGGCACCCTAGAAGTCTGGCGAGTGAAGCTCTCCCTCTGCACCTCGCATACAACAACTAAATCACCCCGTGTACGACATGTAGCGACAACGAGACCAGAATCGCGGCTATCAGGATCAAGATCGCTGCACCCGAGCTTTCTCCATGAGCCACAAACACACATGCTCGGCTATTGAACCAACAAATCCAACTCGATCTCGCGCACGGCCGAAACGGCCCAATTTGTCATTTTGCTAGGCCCAGCTCTCCCCCTCCGACGCCCGAGTTCAGAGCGAGGGAGCCATAGCTTGTTAGCTGGTTGCTCAGTGGCCAGTACTACCCCTCCCCCACAACTCCTTGGAGCTTTTCTTTGCAAGATCGCGGTGGAGAGCTCACTACACCAATGCTAGCCAGGGCAGTCCGGGAGTTTGGCGGCGCCTGGTTAATTCCATATCTTGTCCACTCTCTCATGGACTACACCGACCTCATCGTCGCCCACAACCTCCTGCTTGCTGTCCAGACAGCCATTGCGAATCGAATGCCGATCCTTCTCCGTGTCTTTATTCCATGAAGGGGACAGGATGGATGTCAAATTCGACACAAGAGAGGCAGAATTTGTCACATACACAAATGCTTCATGGACAAGCGAGGCCAGGACAGCACCGCACGATGCAAATCCTTGGCTCGACGGTCTAGCTTGAGGCCACAGCCCGACCAGAGTTCAAAGATGCAGGGAGTGCAAGAAATGTATAAGTAGGATGGAAATTCACCTCCTCCAGTTCGAGCGTTCGTCTACATCGCATTCGACCAGATACACCGAAGACACAGCAATCGACCACCACCAAGCCGGGCTGAAGCTACTACAAGCTCCGCTCACCAGAAGTCGCCCGCACTCGACAAAATGCCTTTCATCACCGTGAAGGACGGCACCGAGATCTACTACAAGGACTGGGGCAACAGAGATGGGCCGACGGTGGTCTTCTCCCACGGGTGGCCCTTGAACGCCGACAACTGGGAAGCGCAGATGTTCTTTCTGGCCAACCAGGGCTACCGCGTGATTGCGCACGACCGTCGCGGCCATGGTCGGTCCAGCCAGCCATGGGACGGGAACGACATGGACACATACACCGACGACTTGCTCGCCCTCTTCGAGCACCTGGACCTCAAGGACGTCATGAGTGAGTACTACTTCTCATTCACCTCATTCAATCCCAAGCTGACGGGTGACAATTCGCAGTGGTCGGCCACTCCACCGGCGGCGGAGAAGTGACTCGCTTCCTGGGCCGGCACGGCAGCAGCAGAGTCCGCAAGGCCGTCCTCGTCGCCGCGATCCCGCCGCTGATGCTCAAGACCGAGACCAACCCGCTGGGCCTGCCCATGGGCGTCTTCGACGGCTTCAGGGCGGCCATGGAGAAGGACCGCGCGCAGTTCTTCCTCGACGTGCCCTCGGGCCCGTTCTTCGGGTACAACCGCGACGGCGCGCGCGTCAGCCAGGGCCAGATCTGGAGCTGGTGGCAGCAAGGGATGATGTGCGGGTTCAAGAACGCGTACGAGTGCATCCGCGTCTTCTCCGAGACCGACATGCGGGAGGACATGAAGAAGATTGACATTCCGGTCTTGGTCATCCACGGGTAAATATCAATACACCCTCTCCCAGATCGTCCTCCGTGCTGACAGCCAAACCGCAGTGACGACGACCAGATCGTCCCCATCGCGGCCAGTGCCCACGAATCGATCAAGTTGCTGAAGAACGGAAAGTTGAAGATCTACCCCGGCGGGGCGCACGCGCTGCCCAACACCGTCCCAGACGACATCAACAAGGACTTGCTCGAGTTCTTCCGGGCTTAAATTGCCGAGAAAAGACGCCGGATTGGTGTGGCTTTCGTCCACACTTTGCCGGGGCAAACATTCATGCAGGAAATGGTGCAAAGAGGAAAGAAAACACTCGTTTATATACTTGGGCTTTGAAGCCAACAACAAACCCCCCCTCCAACCCGGGCGGTGGCATCAGATAGTTTGCAGACACTCGTTACGAAATGACAGCACAGTCTGAACACCGCGGAAAGCCTTTTGCTGCATCGAAGTGATTTCGGGTCTCCTCCCCGTGGCCTTCCTCCCTCCAGTGAACGAGAGATCCCACACCACCCACCCGACACCCTCGTAAGTGCCTATCACAAGGGACGAAAGTTTCCTCGAACAAACCAATTGCGAGCTCTGAACGTAGGCGGCAAGGTGCTGGCTGCTGACTCTCTCCTCTCCACAAGCAACTGCCTGGATGGGTTTAGACTCAGGAACGACTCCAGGCCCGTCTCTCAACACCACCCCAGGGCGTGTTCGAGATGTTTGGGGGTTCTCGGTCCTTCTCGCGCCCTGACTGGCCATGATGCATGAATAATCAATGCACACACCACAATGGACGCGAGGGACTAGACTAGTTCAGACGGGCGGTGGACAAACGGCCACGAATGGGCCCAAAAGACCGGGACTTTGCAGCTCGAGAGGCTGAAGCTGAAGTAATCGTGGAGCGTGGAGGCGCTGGCTCGCCTTCGACGGGGTGAAAAAGACCAAAGAGTGTCGACTCTATAAGACTCAGACGAGGGTTTCTCGTTCCGTACAACGTTCGAACAATCAGTATCCCTCTCGCAAGTGTCACGGAGCGAAATGGCGAATTCAGACTATGCCACTGCTCCAGTTCAAATTCTCAGAGTCAACAACAGTACGTTTGCCTACAGACTCTTCGGCACCAGCAAGCAAGAAGACGACGTCCCTCTACTTCTACCAACGCACTTCCGCAGCCGCCTGGACTTCTGGGATCCGGCCCTGATCGACGCCCTCGCATCTCAGCGGAGACTTCTTTTGCTAGACAACCACGGCAGTGCGGATCCTCAGTCCCTCAAAGGCAGCAAAAGAACTGCAAGACTGGATCCACGACGCACACAGACGTCCTCGCACTCGACGGCCTTGTCTTTCAAGTTCTGGGCAAGCGAAATCAGTGCGTTGATCATGGCCCTCGGTTTTAAGCAAGTCGATGTATTGGGATTCAGCATGGGCGGCTTCATCGGACAGATGTTAGCCCTTGACGCGCCCCCAGGGTTGGTCAGAAAACTCATCCTTGCGGGCACCGCCCCGAGTCAGGGACCAGGTGTAGAAAGCGGCGACATGCACTGTTTCCAGAATCTGACGAATGCGACGACGGATGGCGACGTCAAGGCTGGCTTCCTCGCCGGCTTCTTTGGACTTGGTGAAGAGAGACAGAAAACCGGGGAGAAATGGTGGAACCGGATCACGAGCTGCTCTTCGATGTGGCCGTTCGTGTCGACCAACGACCTCGACGGACAAATTACAGCGATGATGAGGTGGTACGGTCTCAACCACCGCGATGAAGGCTCTTATGACCGACTGGGCGAGATCCGGTGTCCTGTCCTGATCTTGTGCGGTCAGAGGGACAAACTTGTGCCGGAACAGAACAGCATTCTGCTGTGGCAGAAGATCAGCCAGACCAATCCCAACGTACATATCCATATGTACCCGGAGTCGGGCCATGGTTTTATGTTCGAATATCATCACCATTGTGCGAGACTTGTCAATGAATTTTTGGATGAAGAGGTAAAAGTGCAGTGTACATGCGAGTACTGCCAATATTGAACAGGAGCCCACTGATATTATACAGTTCCAGGACAGTTATCTTGCTAAGGCACAAGCCATGAATGTCAAAGGCGGCATCCTTGTAGGAATGCAAAGTTTCTCGTTTCTTTCGAAAGTTGTCTGGCTATCTGTATTTGTCCATGAATTCTCGGTGGAATTTGGTCCAGCGGCCGACCCAATCTGTCCCTGGGGCGAGGAAGGTTGTTCGAAGATGTAATGTACCAGGTTTCTGCCCGAACCCGGAGCCTGGGACGACACAGATGCCGGTCGCGTCGAGGAGACGGAGGCAATAGAATTCGTCGGGAGTACGGTCTGCTTCTTTCGCAGCTTCTACTGCTTTGTCCGACACGTTGATGGTGGGGAAAAGATACATCGAGCCCTGTGATGACAAAGTAAGCAAAATGCCAGACTGGTGATTATGTGGCAACAAGGTCAACGTACCTGTGGCTCTCCCACGTCGACGCCCTCCATCTCCTTGAACGCTTGGTAAAGAGCCCAGGCCCGCTCTTTCAGCCCGTTTCTGACACCATGGTATTCCTCATCGTAGAGCTCGAAGCTGGGATCCCCTGGCTTCGGAGGGTCTACCACAAGGTCCAGCAGACATTGACCAATGACAGGAGGGCACAGCATGATGCTGATGAACTTGTAGATTTCGGCCTGGACCTCATCGTCAAAGCCCACCAGCTCAAAGTAACCGGCACGGTGCCCACACTCGCCCACCATACCTTTGGAGACGGAGTTCAACGATGCAAGTTCGACTGTGTCATACCGGCCCGGTTCCCTTTGCTGCATCCTCCGCAAGGCGCCCTTGAAAGAGTGGAATTGGCCAACGAAGACGTTGGTTTGGTAGACCTCGTCAGCCATGATAACAAGATTCTTCTCCGCAGCGAACTTTATCGTGTCCTCAACATCCTTTTCAGACAACGAGGCACCGGTTGGGTTTCCAGGGTTGATGACCACAATGGCACGCACGTCAGTGCCTTCACTGACGGCCTTGTCATAAGCGTCATGGATGATGGAAAGCTCGGTGCTCCAAGCCTGAGACTCGTCCAAATAGTAAGGCACACAGCGGGCATTGAGAATCGAGAGAGTCGCGGTGTAAAGTGGATATTGTGGTATAGGGACGAGCACGCCGGTCTCAGGTTTGCCACAAATGATGTGAAGCAGGGTGTTGACCCCTGACGAAGCGCCAGCGGAGAGGTAGATGTCGTCCTTGTTCGAGGGGAAGCCGTCCCGGCGCTCGATGAAGTTGGCGACGGACTGACGAATGCCGGGAGCGCCAGCAGACTGTGAATATGCTCCCACCGAGTGGATTTCCTTCAACAGCCGGCGAGCACGGTCGATAGCATCTTGTTTGTAGCCAAAACTCGACTTGAGTGCTTCCTCATTGTTCAACAGTGCCGGGTACTCTAGCAGAGCAAGTACTTGCCGGAAGAATGTGATGGGTTTCTGGTCGAGTTGCTGCGGGTTGCCAATGTTGGCGGAGATGACTGTGTCAAAGGGCAGAGGGTTCTCGGGCGGTGTAGGAGGGTCTTCTCTCTTCAACTTGGAACGGTATTCTTCTGACTTGATAGCAAGTTCGCCTCGCACGGCGTACTTGGCTGCCTTCACATGGGGGTTGATATTATGGATGCTCAAACTGCGCAGAGGACGTGTTGACGACATGTTGCGACGACAGGAAGGAGGTTGAGGTCTGATACAAGGACGAGGACGAGGATCTGTAGCATTGAATATGTCAGTTTTAAGCTGGTCACCGGATACAAGGAGAGGCAAGAAAATTGGTCGGGTGCACAGAAGCAACTATGCTCGGTTGAGTCACCAGGTGGTGTGCAAAAAAGAAATCGACCAGGGCAGCTGCGACTTCGCTGTTCTCACCTCGTGATAGGCTTGGCTGCTGTGCTGGAGGGCAAAGAGGTGTTGAACTCGCGGTTGTCAGTGCCCTACAGGTGACGGCAAGTTCACTGGATAAACGTTGAGCTCGCAGCAACACAGATGACGCTCTCGACGTGGTGATTGTGGGTGACGGCATTTTCTGGTACATATATACTTGTAGGGCACAACCTGGAGACCACGGGTGGGGGGTGGCTCCTGGGGAAGGAGATTTGGCCTGTCAGATTTGGAGCAGGCAAAGCGATATCGGGAGCTGGAACCCAGATATCCAAATTTTGCAAAAGGCTTTGAAGCTGTGAGGCTATTGAGGTATTATTCGAGATGGGGTGGGCAGACCATCGGAAGAGGACAAGGGCGGCGGCACACGATCGACCCAGCGAGACCAGCAACCTGCCAGCCAGGATCTGGCTCAAGGGCTCCCTGGCTGCGTCAATCTCGTCTCGTCATGGGGCGCGCGGGAGCTTTACCTCCACGTCTATCTTATCGCTGAGTGTGGGGGACGCCACCGCGTGCTGCAGGTCTTCTCGGCGTCCAGCAAGGGGTTTCGAGAGCCGACAAGAATTAATTGGAGAAGAGAGAGACAGAGTTTTTGGGAGCTGCAAACTGCGCAACGCTGGGCCAGGATGGTGGCGGCCTTCCACCCAGAGTCCGGCTAATCTGTCCGACTCTCTGAAATTTTATCGCCAATGGCATGCTCCGAGTCCTCTGCACCCCTCTGTTGTCCCCTTTCCTCTCTCTGAAAGATCCTGATCCTCCTGGCCATCACACTATGGTGATGGTATGGTACATGACACAATCCATGCAGTGGGATGTCTACCCGCCGTCCGCTCGAAAACGCCTGGGCCTTCCAACAGATGGAGGTTGGCTCTCACGCCCGCTCACTACCCCTCAGCCTCACAGCCTGGCCGTACTTCTGCAGCTTGGTGATCAGGGCATCGCCTTGTTTCACAACGTCTGCATATTGCTTGTTCTTGTCATCCGGCCGGGTTGTCTCGATTGTCCCCTGCACTCGGTCGATTGTGCAACTCACCCGACCACCCGCAATGAATTTGGCCAGATCTCGGTCCAAGAAATCCACGCTGACCCCAAATGCCTGTGCCATCGTTGCCAGGCCCACCACGCGGTAAGATTGGAGAAGCTGTTGATATCCGCGCAGCCGCATCTCTCGCACAAACCACGCTCGGTGCTCGTATAGGTATCGATCCTGCGTCAAGAAGTTCTCTTCGACAGCCGCCAATGCCAGGAAGAAATTGCGATAGTTGCCACTGTAGAGGCTGTTGACCAACCCGGCCAACGAGGAAACATCCATCGGGGCTTCGTTCTGCGACTGGACTGCGCTGCTAGTCCCCAGCGTATTGACGTTGACGAGGCCGGCGGCACGTTCCGCAGTTGCAGCAGACGCGTCCTTCATCTCTTCATCTGCGCTGGGCGCCTTGTCCTCGCTATCTCCCAAGATCGCCTTTATCTCGGGCGCATCGACCACTTTGGCTTTGAAATCGACCCGCTTAAGGGAAAGCGATCCTGCAAGCACAGCGTATACGACGAGGGAGGAATAGCTGCAAAGCTCATAGCTGGTAAAGGTAGAAAGGCTGTCGAGGAGTAAAGGAGCGGCCAGATTATAGGATCGGACAGTGAGCAGGTGTAGGCCCTTGTAAGCTTTTAACCGATTTCTTCGATCCCAGTCTCCGCCACTCTCCACCAGAATATTTGCGCGTTCGATTTGTTTCTTGGTGAAAGCTTTGTCGTTGAAGAAGATGCCGACCCGGATGATGGCGAGGACAATATCAATCTTGGTGCCCAACGGACCAGTCTTGTCAAAGACTTTCTCATATGCAGCAATAGCTTTGTCCTAGTACCTGGTCAGAGAGGTGTAGCTTCGCGATATAAGCTCCTTGCTTACCTTGTCGCCAACCCGGGCCCAGAATTCGGCACGCTTGCTGCGAGCCGCCTGCACCTCTGTTTCTCCAGCCTTCTCTTCAGCTTCTTCTTCCTCTTTCTGGAACTGCTCCAGCTCCTTTGCATTGTCGGCCTTGAGTTCCTCATATAGCGATTCGTCCCATGGCAGAATGCCGGAGGGCACGGGCTTCTTCGGCGGTAACAGGTTACTTGACACGAGCGATGCACGTCGGGCAGAAGGCTTAGTCGGTGGTTGTAATGGTTGAGCTGTGCTTTCTCCCACGGTATTTAGCACACCTTCAGTAGGATGGGCCAAATGCCGATATAGCGGCGCCATCTTCTGGTCTTTGATTGCATTTTGAAGGTAATTCAAGGACGCTGGCTGGACAGTCCGGGGCGCATTTGCAAGGGAAAAGATGTGCTGGGCGAGGGTAAGGTCTGGATATTTGGCGAACTGAGGATCTGAACCCATTGTACTGGACGGCTGAGCTGAGAGGTATTAGTTGCAGACACAGGAAAGAGAGGGAGCAAGAGCAAGCGACTTAGTGTTGGCTTTGGGTAAATATCACGACAACGTCGGAGAACGCGCAGCACAAGCCAGCCTAGTGTGCATCTGGCATATATGGGTCACCGTAATTGATACGGACGATCATAGGAGTTTACACAGCAAGGTCAACGTCGTCTGTCCAACTGCGTCTTTGTTCAACTTTCTCCATCACTTTTCCATCTTTTGAAAGACATGAATTTGAAATAAAATCTATCTCGTGCTACAGCATAGATCACCACTGTCCAACTAGCAATGGCGGCCTCGATAACGGCTGACAAGGCTGCGCTGACCTGTCGCGTTCAAATCCTACCCCGCGCCTTTCCATGTGAACAGGATCAGTTGTGCCTGGCTTCACTTAAAGGCTCCTTGCTGATGCCCGCCCGTGGGTGTCTGGATGTGCTGAATCCAGCTGTCGGAATGATGCATTACCATTGCTTACCGCGGGGGTCAGTACCTTGACAGGCTGCTCAGATGAGAGGCAGCCTTGCCCCTGCCTTGTCGCAGTTCCCAAGACGCTCCCACCTTGTATTGTTTCCGCTGGGATTGCGTTCTAAAATACTATATCTGTGGATTTCCTCTTTTGAAACCGATGGTTTTTCCAAGGACACGAAAACAAAATCCGGTGAAATTCTGCTAGTTTACCCCCTTTGTTTCCAGGCAGCGCTGAGTCTTGCCCTACCACAATCCAAATCCTCACTTCAAACGTTCCTCAGTCTCGTCCTCTTCGCTTTCACATTGCCTTAAGACTGCCCCAGGATCACTGCCTCACAGCGTGCCTTTCCCATCAGCAGCTCTTCTTCCTACTCATCGTTTCTCTTTACATCACCCTCTTTTCTTTTCTTCGGTCTTCATCTCCCTATCTTGCACCAATCCATCTCAACCGCATATGTTGTCCTTTCGGCCTTGATTGTCGCAATGGCCCCGTACAAGGTCGCCTTGGTACCACCAAAAGGTGGTAGGCTTGACCTTGTTGTACCGTTCGATGGCAGTCGTACGTTCTCGGACCTTACCTCTGCTGTCATACAACGTGCCTCGAAGTACCGCTCCTTGCCTTCCTGTGTCCGACAAGATTGTTTGAAACTCTGCCTAGGCTCGGATGATGGCTACCTGGTCGAGGCGGATGATATTATCCAGGATGTAATCGGCGCCATGGACGTGCTTTTCATCATCTTTCTTGACGGCCCGCTATCTGACGCTCAGGTTGGTGGCAATCAACCTTCTGCTAACGGTGCACGTCAAATTCGAATCATCACTCCAATATCGGCACAGCGAAATCCCGATGCCCGGAAAATCCCTCTCCTGAAAGACGGCCGCTATTACATCCAAGGCGCCAATTTCAGAGTCATATCAAGATGTTTTCAATACCAGGTTCGATCTTCACACCATTGAAGGCCCTATCAACACCCCCAACCTCAGCTTGACACTTCAAGATGCTAGACTGGCTGATATTGCCGTCGAAGGCGTGCTTACGATATACGCCGTCGAATGGACATCTGATGGGAGTGGAAAGAAAGGGAGTGGGAAAGATGCCATTTTCACAGCTGCCAGCCACTGGAGGCTGCCTTCGGTCCAATCACATCGTGGCATGGCTGCTGTTTTAGCATCGCTTCGTGTATTCTCACACCTCACAGGGTCTGAAGAATTTGATGACCACCGTCAAAATGAAGTTCTCGGAGTACTCCATGTACTCACCCGTTTCCCGCCGGCAGTGAGAGCTGCCCACATTCTGATGGATGGAAAGAGCCTCAAACCAAACGAGAGTGCCGCCCTGGTGCAGAGCATTGCCGGGGTGGCAGAGGAGCTGATACCTCGGGAGCTCATATCGCATGATCTGAGTCGCAGTCTGGAAGGTGCGAGACTCGTCCTTGGACTGGTACTCCACAAAGCTCTCGGCCGACAGGCACAGGAAAATGAAGGTTGGGACACAGCAACGGCATCGAGACGCAGCCTGCCTTACATCACAGGATATCAGACTGTTGATTTGAAGGACGTCAAGACACTAGAAGTGGTCACCGAGCCAATTTTGACGAATGTGGGCTTAGTCAACATGAGCGTCTTCGAAGCGTTCTCCATCTCTGGGCCCTTGAAACATAGCCCTTCGTGCTACCTTACAGACCGCAGTCAGGAAGATTTGGCACGGATTCGAGTGGCACTCCTGTACGGCGGCGTGGCTTCGGAGGCAACGTACTATGATGCAAATGTCCTGAGGGCAGCAATCAGTCGGTCCACAGGTACGGAATCGCGGTCTATTGACATCCAGAGTCTATCCCGTTACCTTGCCTTGCTCGCTTTTTGGTGCGAGAAGACCAAACTTGTGGTTGTTGCACCTACTCGGCTGTCGGATGCAACCGCACCCTGTCTGACCCTCGACGGACATGGCAATATGGCGGTTTACACCGGAAGGCCTGCTTGCGCTGCACCAGGCCACGATCATGCATTGTTTCACCCGTTGACTGGAATCGAGGAGAATGTCGATGTTACGATCGTCGCTCAAATGCTAGAACCAATTCTGCTGGCTCGAAAGAAGGATGGCACCCACGTGTTGGATCTCTTCAGCTCGAGTTTCCGCCACAAAGAGTCTCTTCCAACTGAACTAGTTGTCTTCTGTGTTGACTGCAGCAACAGTATGAAGCAGTCCTCGGATTTTCCGGAGCTAGATGAAAGCGACGACGATGAGATCCTCCCACCCTTTCCCCGGTTTTATTCCAAGGCCGATTTTGATATTGTCGTGGATGACGAGGACAATACAGATGTTCCGTTGGATGTGATCAAGTCTTGGCTACGTGGCCACGAATCCTATGAGGACATCCTTCATATCGTTCGTCACTGTCTTCTCGATTCCCAGGAAGTCTTGTCGAAGATTCTCGAGTTCTTGAGAGACTTGATACATCGAGAGCTAACTCACTTAACGAAAAAGTGGCGGATTCACCCACAATGCGCCATGACTGCGGCTGCCAGGCGCCAATTTCGGTCCCTGATATGCATCCTTTCAGGGCTCAACGTTCACGAAAGAGCCTTGTCCGATTATTTGCTCTTCAATGCCGAAGACCCGTCATTTGAATTAAAAGAATTCGCGTGGTCATATGGTGATGAAATACCTTGTCCCCCGCCCTCCGCCTCGACTGAGGAGACCATAGGACTGGATGATTTTTGTGTCGTCCCTAAGGAGTACCTCTGTCCAATCAGCCAAGTCCTTTTCGAAGATCCGGTGTCAACATCCGATGGATTTATGTTTGACAGACAGTCAATCGAGAGATGGTACTGTATCCGCAACAGCTCCCCATTGACGGGACTTCCTATCACGGACACAACCTTGAGGCGTGACGAAGTTATGGCGAATCAGATCAAGTCCTGGGTCAAAGCGGAAGATATCATCGATTCTTTGCCGCCGACGCCTGAACGCATCCGAGTCTTCATGCCCCAGTCAGGTTTTGTCATAGACTTCGTTGGCCCCTCAATCTTCTTCAGCAGAGAACTGCCAGGATCCTCACGTCTGTTGGATTTACACAAGGTTGCATTTCGCGGGATGCGAGGTCTTTACTCCAGATTCTCGCTGTACATGGGAGGTGTCTATCTACCTTGCTCTGAAGAGAAGATGATTCAAAAAGGAGTGGTAGGCGACCAGACTATTACCATCAGTCCCAACCACATCCCACACGGTGAATCCGGCCGAGGTTCGACAAGTCAAGAGCAAATGTGTCTCATTCGAGTATATGATATGTTTGATAATTCACTGGGGGTCCTCAACTACTGGGTACCATTGAACTCCGAACTTACATTCGGTTCTATTGTTTTCCGCAATTGGAGATATCACGTCCAGCACAGCGGCTTTCACGACTGTGAACACGATATGTCTCCATTCACTGATATGCAAGACGGCGGCGATGGCGCAGTGTGTGCCCTAGAACATAAGTTGTGGACGCCACTGTCCGACTCTTTGAGGTTCCTTCCTCTAACCAAGATCCAAGAACATGAACCGATGTACGAACGCATGCGCGACGCGGCGAAGAAGTCAGCCACAGCCCATGGCGATGGCACAGATCCGGCAGTCAATCAATCAAGCACGACCGCGGGAGAAGCCCGTTGCTATGGCCATTATCGAGTTCTGAAAGTGCGATTGGACCAATACGAGAGTCCAGAAGAGCAGGAGCAACAAAGACTGTACAGGCAGAGAGTGCCATCAAGGATGGCTGTGACCGAACAGATCTTCTCGCAATTCATCAACAGACTAATTGCGTACAATTACCACACAAGCGTGGGCCTGGTCACCTTCGGGACAGAGGCGATGATCAGCCAGAAAGTGACGGACGTCATTGAAAACGTCCGACAGGCCGTGGAGGGTATGGAAGAAAAAGGCGACACTGCTCTATGGGACGCGCTTGCATTGGCGGCGGATCATCTAGTCGAAACGAGTCGTCGTTACCCTTGGGTCAAGAAGAGAATCATATGTCTTTCTGACGGCGAAGATACCAGTTCGGTCAAACAGGCGGAGGACGTTTGTCGAACCTTGATGCAGCATGGGATTGTGGTGGACTCGGTCTGCATTGGGCATGCGAGCAATCGTGCCTTGCAGACGATCTCTTATTTTACCGGAGGATACAAATTTGTGCCCAACTCAGTGGAAGAGGCCTCTACCTTGTGCGAACTAGAGCCGGTGCTGTCGATCCATGAACGACCACCAGTAATTCGACCCACATCGGAGTACACTTTCAACTATGTGCGCGAGACTATGAGCTCAGACCCGGATCCCGTCACCAGTGATCATTTTCCTGCTCGCAAGACACATGAGAATCTACATGACACATTCTTTCAACTCGGCCCTTTTGAAAGAACGACGAGTGCAAGATTCCCAACGCTTACTTCAGCTTCGTCGCTCCGAGAACCGAGAGTGCTGGAAGAAATCCGCGACCTTATCAAGCGGCCTCATCCCTCGTACGACGTGTTCATTTCTGATAGCAACATGGCATTCTGGAAGATCGTGCTGCAAGGTCCCACCGGATCGGCGTACGCAAGCGGAGCCTTTGTCCTATATCTGGACATGGGAGAGGACTACCCGCGAAAAGCTCCAAGTGGGCGATTTGTCACTCCTATCTTCCACCCCAATGTAAACAGACACGGGAGGATCTGGTAAGTTGTCCCCCTCCATCCCGCGCTGACTCTTGTCTTTTGGCTTAACATGGACTGAGACTGACGGCGTTTTGTGTTTCGCACTAAATAGTCATTCTATCTTCGACCGGAACTGGACGGTCGACACCACCAACAAGCAGATCCTCGACACCGTCTTCGGCCTCCTCCTCGTCCCCGAGTTCACCGACCCCATCAACACCGTGGTGACTTTGAATTACTACTGGGACGAAGTCGCCTTCAAGGACGAGGTGCAGAAGCACATCCAGAAACACGCGTCTAAGTCGAGAGCCGAGCTGGGCCGAGAGATTGTCGAGGGACCCGAAGGTGCGTTGCGCAACTTGTAGCACCTGCGGTCCTGGGTCCTGGCTAGCGCTTGCGGCGCCGGCGATCCTGTGGCGTGGAACTCAGAGAGAAGAAGAAAAAATATGGTGAAAAGCAACAAAGGGAAATGGATTTTGGGACACACCACGGCAACAACGGCTGGCGGGCATCCTCAAAAAGAAAGGGTGTGAGAACTGATGGTGGGCGAGTGCAGTGGTGAAAACAAGCTCCTGGTTGACGAGGCGATGCGGCCAATCACAGGCTGCTGCTGGCTGGGCTGGGCTCGGCTCCGACATGGCTCGTCTTGGAGTGTGTCAGAGTACCTAATAATTACGGAGTAATGGTGGACTAAACCAACAAAAAGCAAGTGCGACTTTCTAATACCCGGAGTGAAGGAATCGAAATTGAAATGAAAATGCAACGGAATGGCGATCAAACTGAGAACGTGCTGGGAAGGAAGGAACAGAGCGAGGCACAGAAGATCTGTAACAAGCTGATTAGGCGAACAAAATGTATTTCTGCTCTCTGTTGGGCTCTCGTCACCATGGCTTCTTGTCTATCTTCATACTCGTACTCGCACGAGGCACTCGCTCACGGCGGACGCATACATACGACGCTTCAAGACCAGCTCCTAGTTCCAATCCCAGCGCTTCATAACTCGCTAACAGAAAGATTTCACGTGCGAAGCGTGAACTTTGCTTTACAGCTCCTGTGCCCTCTCGACGGCCACGACCTTCTCTTCGTGATACTTCTTGGTGCCGAGAGAGGCAACATCGTAGCCGTGCTTGATCAGGTAGTCCCGGAAGCGCTCGTCCTCCTTGGTGATGGTGTCTTGGCCGATATTGGGCAGGCAGAACAGGGCAACGAGGCCGGAGAAGATGCACAGGGCGCTGGAGACGTAGAAGGGATATTGACCCTGCTTGATGACGTTGTCGCCGGCGGCCTTGATGATGTCCGGGAAGATGTAATTGCCGACGAAGGCGCCGATCTTGCCGCAGGCCGCAGCCAAACCGTAGTACATGCCACGGACCGAGGTGGCCGAGGTCTTGGAGGCGACTAGGCCGATGTTGTCACCAGGGCCGATCTCGCCGAGGGCAAGAAAGATGCCATAGATGACAACAAAGCCGCCGACATGGGAGGCCTGGTCGAGGTGCTTATAGATGGCGGTCATGATGAAGCCGACAATGCCCTGCAGTAAGACACCGGTGACGAGGCAGTACTTGGGGCCGATCCAGTCGGAAAGGAAAGCGCCGATGATGGCACCGGGAACGTAGAACAGGTTAATGACGGTGTTCCAGCCAAAGGATTTCCAGAGGGGTGCATCGGCAGGGAGCAGGAAGGCCAGCCATGAGGAAGAGTAGATGCCGAAGGAATAAGTGGAGAAGTCGTAGATGAACCAGATCAGGGAGACGATGATCAGACGCCACCAGTAGAACTTGAGGATCAGCCAGTATGGGTAGTGGTTCATCTTGTTGCGGTGGTATTCCTCGGGTTCTTGCAGCTTGATCCGCAGCCAGAGGAGCGACAAGGGGGGAATGACGCCCAAGCCCAATGCGATACGCCAGGCAGCGCGGAGGTGTTTATCGGTAAAGATCAGGGCCAGGATCATGGGCACGAAGGCTGCCACGACGAAACCAACGTCAATGGCCAGATTGGTGAAGCAGATGAACCATCGGTTGCGGTGGCCGTGCTTGAGTTCACCGGTGCTCTCCGCGCACGCGACTGAGCCGGCTGGGTATTCTCCTCCGATACCAACACCAAGAAGGAAGCGGTAGGCTGCCAATGCGGCGAAGAGGCCTTGGATGCTGCCGCCAGCGCCGTATGAACCTGCACCCAGTGCAGCGAAGACGATCAGGATGATGGTGGAAATCAGGAGTGAGTGTCGGCGAGACCAATGGTCAGACAGATAACCGAAGACCAGCTGGCCCAATACTGTGCCAGCGAAGGCAATCGAGGCCACGTTGTTCTGGGCATCGGATTTGGTGTACTCGTCCTTGTAAATCGTCTTGAGCATGGTGTTGACCGATCCGATGACCTATACCTCAGTCGTCAGTCTCGTCCAACTTGATGTTTTGGTTCTTGGAGGCACCTACGCCATTGAGATAGCCATCAGAGAATAGTCCTGCACCGCAGGCCATGACAGGCCATGTTCGTTCCCATCTTGACTTTGGAGTGGCGTCAAGGGGAGCTTCGTGAACCGAGTACGAGCGTGCAGCCTCAGGGCCAAGTCTTTCTTCGATGATCTGCTTCTCAGGAGGAGTATCCATTGTCACTGCAGAGGGGGTTTTGGCTTTGGGAGTTGGCTCTGGGACAAGATGTTGACAGATGAAGGGACAGACGGAGGGTGGATATATAACTTTTTTCGCAGAGCGACTGGCGAGCTGGGTCCGAGGCGAGGATCGACCATGTGCTGCTGGTGGTATCTAAGCGTGCATCAAGAGATCGAAGGGCGAGGCCGAAAGAAGAAACTGTATGCAGATGAACAGGCATATTGACGGCATGGAGTGGGGTGCGAGATACAAGGAACTGGCTGTAAAGCAGGTGGATGGAGGGGGGTGCAGGAGGACGTCAGAATCGAGGCCGAGGAGGGTGACGATGGGAGGAGAGAAGCAAAGGACGTCACAGTTGCCAGAACCACTAAGGTAGCTAGCCAGTTAGGTGGCCACTAACGAGTAAGGAAAGGGCACCTAGGGTAAGAGTTAGTTAGTGGGTTAGTTACACTGCTAGGTGGCTAGGTGTTCCTTGCCGGGCATGGCGCCTGATAAAGGCCCCTGCCAAGTGCCAACACCCCCCAGAGATCATGCCCCAATGCAGCCTGGGGCCCGTTGCGAAGGATCACGCCCGCAAAAGGTGGCACTCGACACTTTGCCCATTGCAGCGGCCGAGGTCAAGACTGCGGGCTGCGTGAGTGGCTGGATTTCCCACAAGCGAACCTCCGACGGTAACATCGAGCCATCGACGGACTTCTCTCTTGTGCTGCAGATTCGGGATCGCCGCTGCGTGCAGTCTTCCACGCTCAGTTAGCGGGGCCCTCTGCTTCTCAGGAGAGTGCCCGTCCTCAGTAATCTTTGGCATAGCTCACCTGTCTACGACCACGGAGGACCTTCCCATCTCAGGGCCCTGGGGCCGCGTGGCCGTGGAGGTTCGCCGTCTTGTGTGCGCCGTCCCCTCTGACAGCGACCACACGTGCCTGCGCTCTGTCGAATGTATTGGCTGCGGAACGGAAGAACTATTGTGCCCACCAACTCCATTCTTCTTGAGGCGAGTGGGTGGCCCAGCGAGCAAGGTACGTTCTTTTTCATCTACACAGCATCTAACAGAAAAGAGATGCCCAGCCCGCTGTTCAGAGGCTTAATCGGCACAGAACTCCCGAATCAGGTCCTGTCGCGAAAAAGCTTGTCACTCGTATTCGCCTTGGCCATCAGCCGCATCGAACTACATCCCAACTCGTATACACTCCGCGTCCGCCACATCTGGTACTCCCCTGTAGGTACATGAGAGAAATCTTGCCACAGAAAGAAAAAAAAAAGAGGCGGAAGATGGAAAACATATGGACACATACCCCTCGCTCGACCCGTCCAGACCTCCTCCGAACCCCCGACCAACCCTAGAGTTTCGCCTTGACCTTGTTCCCTCCATCTTCCTCCTTAGCCTTATCCTTGAGCAATCTCCGCAGGATCTTACCCGCAGCACTCTTTGGAATCTCGTCAATGAACCTCACGCCGCCTCGCAGTCTTTTGTGATTGGCCACTTTGCCTGCCAGCCATTGCACGATCTCTTCTGCGTCCTTCTCACTGGTCTTGCTGCGATCGCTGGCCACCACGTAAGCCCGAGGCACTTCGGTGTGCTGGAATTCGTCGTACACCCCAATCACCGCGACGTCGTTGATCCCAGGGTGATCCATCAGTTTGCCCTCGAGCTCGGCTGGGGGTACCTGGAACCCCTTGTACTTGATCAGCTCCTTGACTCGGTCCGTGATGTAGAAATTGTGGTCTTTGTCTTGGAAGCCCACGTCCCCGGTCTTGAAATAGCCGTCTTCCGTGATGGCGTCCTTGGTCGCTTGCTCGTTCTTCCAATACCCCTTGAAAACGTTCGGTCCAGACAGCCATAGCTCTCCGGCCTCGCCGGGCCCAAGTTCTTTCCCGTCGGGCGATATATACTTGGCCGTCATACTCGGGAACATCTTGCCCACACTTCCCACGGACGAGTACCATTCATCCCAGGGCTAGAATCGCCGTGTCAGCGGAGAAAAGAAACACCCTTCCGAAGCTCGATTGGGGTGTGGCACGCTTACCTGTGTGTGCGTCATGGGGGAAGTTTCGCTCAATCCATAGGCCTGGTTGATCTTGATCTTCAGTCTCTTGTGGACGGCATCGACCAGTTCTCGAGTCAAAGGAGCTGCACCGCTCGTGATCATCCTCACGCTGCTCAGGTCGTACTTGTCGACAATTTCGTCCCGAGACAGCCGCACAATGACCGGGGGCGCAACGTAAATGAACGTGATCTTGTGCTCCTGGACGGCCTTCAAAAACACCTCGAGATTGAACGCGGGCATCACCACAAGCTCAATGCCGCGATGCAGAGGCTGATGGATCAGTCCCGTGAGGCCGTAAATGTGGTAGAATGGTAACACCCCGAGGATCTTGTCGTTCCCGCTCGAGTACCACTTGCCCATGGCTCCCTTGATCATGAGTACGTCGGCAATGATGTTGCGGTGGCTCAGCATGACTCCTTTCGGCAGACCGGTCGTCCCCGAGCTGTAGACGAGGAAAGCCAGCTCGTTATCCGGATCCATCTTGCGCCGCCTGTAGCGGGTCGCGCCCGACGTCTTGCGGATGTTGGTCCAGTGCTTGACCCGGTGCGACGGATCGCGTTTGCTGCCCAGCAGGATCACGCGGTCCTCGGGGATGTTGGACATCTTGGCCGCCTTCAGGGCCGTGGGCAGGAAGTCCGTCGTCGTCACGATCGCCTTGGACCCGGAGTTGGACAGCTGGAAGGACAGCTCGTCGGCCGAATACGCGGGGTTCGCGGGCGACACGATGCCGCCGGCGAAGAAGACGCCATAGACGATGGGGGCAAAGTCGACGTCGTTGGGCGCGTAGATGTTCAGCACGTCGCCCTTCTCCCAGTCCCAGAGGTTGCGCAGACCACCTCCAAACGCCGTGGCGGCTTCTTTGACATCGGCCCACGTGTAGTGCCGCGACGAGTCCACGGAGCGGTAGATGACTGTCATTCAAAGTTAACAACAAGACGACCCCAATGTTCAACAAGTTCCAAGCGACTTTTGGCTTTTCACGCACCTTGAGAGTCGGGGAATTCCCGGGGCTGCTCAAACATCAGCCCCCAAAGGTCGACATTGGGGATCTGGATGTCCGGGTACGACGACTTGGTGGGCATTGTGCTCGCTCTCTGTGTCTCTTTCCGAGTTCCGCGTCTACTGCTCTGCTATTCCGCTGCAGTGACAATCACGTATAATGGAGATGGAACTGGCCCTTGGATGATGTAAGCCCCGAACGATGGCCGTCGTGGTCCAACCTCGTCGTCCTTGTCCTCGCCCTGCTCCAACACTGGCACTGACGTAAGATCTCCGTCTGTTTGATGGGTATACCGCGCGTCTTGCTACTACCCACGCCTCTCAATCGCGAAAAACCAGCTCGACAAGACAAACGAGCTCCGTTACCTGGGCAGACAGACTCTGTCGAAGCAGTTAATAGGAGAAACACTTCAGAGCTGCGATGGAATCCAACTGCCATGGCGCCATTTCGCTCCACCTCCGCAAAAACCGGCGGAACTTGATCGGAGCCTCGGCTCTTGAGAGCGGGTCCTTGCCGTTTCCGGAATACTTCGCAAATCTAGCTCCTCCTCCTCCTCACCGCCGAACATCGCCCATCTGTCCATCACCGAACAAGAGAGAGAGAGGTGGTTATTCGCACAGCAAAGGCTGCTGATACTTAGTTGATATCGATTTGCATTCGTGGGAGTCCTAGAGAAGAAGCGCATATTTCGTGGTACCATTCCCTGATCTGCCACCTCCAGTTCCACCCCACGGAATTCATAACCCCGTGCCAATCAGTTCAACATCGTTGAGTCTCGGCGCCACAGTCGATATCAGTGACAATGGATACTCCTCCTGAGAAGCAGACCCGAGTTGAAACTCAACCCTCCAGTCTCCTGTGCGATCTTTGCAAGCTTGCTGCCCATCGGATCGCTGTTCCATCTGCCGTCTGCCGTTTGCCGTCTGCCGTCAACCGAGAAACGAGCCCAGACAGTCAGTCGAGGCTCCCATCCGAAATCAAGCTGCCAATCCCATTCGGTGTCAGATGTGAGCTCCTCTACCCTGACTCCCAGCTTGAGAATCCGTGGCGTTCTTCGATGCAAACTCGCTTTGGAGGGTGCTATTGGTTCTGTCCAGCTCCTCGTTCTTTTGGTCGGTGAGCCCTTTTATTTCTGGGTCTGGCTGTGGCCGAACCCTCTCTATCTCCTTTTATGCGTATCCCCCCTGGCTTGGATTTCCTTCTCAAGCTTGCCTTGTTGGGTCAGGAACTGCTCACTGCGCGAGTCCCATGCTTTTGAGCCTCCTCGTAGCGAGACACTGTGTAGTTCTGTTCGGCTTGTAAGGATGAGATCTTCACGCGGGCACGGACAGCTTGCTCTTCGAGCTGTCGGTTTGCTATTTCCAGGGCAACGTACTTCTGCTCGGCTTCCTTGACTTACCTTGTCAGACCAGGGCCTGGTCCTCCCATTGCAGCCTCAAGAGAGGCTTCAAGTAAAGTGCACTTTTCCATCGCTGCATCGAGCTGTTGCGCCAGCTCGGCTTTCCCTTCTGTGTTGAGTTGCATCAACGGCTGAATTTTACTCGACCCTGGCGTAAGCGGTCAGAGAAAGATACCTTCTTGCCCTTTACACTCTCGTCAAGGAGTAGCCAGCTCTTTTTCTTTGCTTTCTACTCCTCCCTCCATTCGGGTGATCTTCTCCTCGGCGTTTCCCGGTTCGGTCTCGAGCCGGGCAAGGGTCTGAGTTCACGAAATGATTCTGCTCCATACTCTTGCTCCTTGACTTTGGTCTCATATTCGCTGATTTTTTGCATTGATATTGGCAAGCTCCTCGATAGCACCGCGCTTCTCACACACTGGTTTGTCCATTTGCCGAATGTTCTGTTCAAGGATATCCGTAACATGGGACAGGCGTCGACGAGAGTCTCCATAATCTTGTCGGGCCGTTTCTCAGCCTCGTATTCCTGTACCATAACTTGGTCAAGCGTATCTATTGCACAAGGGAAACGCTCTCCGAGCTCGTATCCTTCAACTGTTTCGTGATTGAGCATCTCGTGCAAGGCGTGGATCTCATCCTGCAATTCGAATTAGGGCATCAGTCGAATACGATGGACAGTTGACTGGCACAGATTGCCTGATGTCAATTAACAGACCCAGGGTGGCAGTGTTGAAGCGGCCATAAATTTCAATCTGTACATAAAATAGGAGAAGCAGGATAGAAACACCAGAAGAGAAGGTACCGAAACTACCAAGCCAGAACAACATAGTCTGGGACATCCACATCGACCAACGGGTGATGGTACAAAGCGACAACCCTCACCTGTTCCTCCGCGACTTGTGCGGATAGGTCCTGGCTTAATACCCATGGGCTTCAATCCTAAAATTGCTGGCAGAACGAACAACAAAAGGAATCCAGGCTCAGAATCCGAAGCAGACGGGGGTTCTCACAAGGATGGCAACAGCTTAGACGACGTGACCGACCAAGACCGCGGTGACAGTGGTTACGATTCAGCGGTACAGAGTCCCTCTCCGCTTTCGGAGACTGATGGTCAAAAGCCACGTCCCCTTGCTGCTGCCGAGCCAGAAGAGAAGGAAGCTGGTGAGGTGTTGAGTAAAACTGATGAGCTTTCAGAACGCGAAGCCCGTGAAGCGCAGCCAGACGACATTGCGAACAAAACAGACAACTTTTCAGAGAGAGGAGACACTGCTTAAGAGTTATCGCCACCGCCTCGAGATTAGGATTTTGTTCTTCCTATTGTCAATCCACCACCGCAGTTCATATCGGGGGTCCGGAAGGTATCAGCCCTTTCTCTCCGGAAGAACTTGTCGGTGCAATGCGATACAGTGCAAGTTACCATCAAATCCGGGCTTATCTTGGCCATCAAGACGAGAGAACGACCAAGAATAATGTCAGGACCGGCAGGATCGAGGGATTTCCCGTCATATTTCATGCGTTGGGAACGAACGACGAATACATAATCCGTGAATTTGCACGCTTTTCGACGGTGATGTCAAACCATGCCTGAAGAAGACAAAATCCCAATGCTGGGATTTGCCATTGAAAACTTCGATAACGTGCAAAAAGAGACAACAATCTCTGTAACAACATTGTTGAGTCTCGGCGCCACAGTCGATATCATTCCACTGGCCTTTTATTTGCCGCTCTGCATCAATCTCCCGGACCATAGTCCACAACAAGAGAGGACGCTTGACATGGTGGATGGAAATAAGCGTTGGTGTGTTGCAATTTCGCCATGGGCCAACAAGCTGACCGACGCTTTCAGCAGGGAGAAATCGACGAAGATCGAAACCCCTTCTATTCGAGCCAGACGAGTTGCGAAGTTGGTATTGGCTATGCCACTGCTGGGAGTCCCGTAGTTTCTCATCGGCCAGGGCTGCCGCCGCAACTTTGGTGATTGATAATCTGCTCAGTTATATGGTCCAGGAGCTTGGAGGAAGGAAGAAGCGGCCGCTGGTAATGTTGTTTGCGGGACCCAGTGGGCACGGGAAAACTGAACTGGCTAGACAGCTGCGCACTTCATGTCGCTGGAACTTGACGTTGTGGACTGCACAACTTTCAAGCGTGAGGACGAGCTGTTTGGCCCAGGGGCACCGTACACGGGTTCGGCACACGGCTCCCCATTGAACAACTTCCTGGCCAGGAAAACCGGGCAACCAAGTATGGTAGGATGTAGCCTCCTTTTCCGGAAGCAGCTGGTTGATGCTGACGGGGAGCCAGGTATTCTTCGACGAGTTCGAAAAGACAACCCCAGATATTCACGACGCCCTCTTGATTCCTTTCGATTAAGCTATAGTATTGTCTTTCCTCGACATGAGCAAGACTAATTTCATTCCTTATAGGGGAATATGAAGACCGGCGACATCTGAGCCAAAGTTGCCTGCTCAAGAATCGTTTGGGTACTCGCTACCAACGCAATCGACGAACAGATCATGGCATTCTGTGAAGAGCATGAGTCCAGCTTGTTGACTGACCGTGATCACGGTGATCGCCCCGTCCTAGTCAAGAAGTTGTCAAAAGTGATCAGAAAGGAATTCAAACAACAATTCAGGGTGAGAACGCCGTGACCTTTCCCGTCGAAAACATACGCGACAGGTTTCGGCATTCATACCGCTTCTCCCTTTTTTCGACGGGAGAGCAGGCTGAAGGTGCACATAAGTATCTGCAGGAATTTGCTGGGGATATCCGGCAACCGATCAGTCTGCAAGCTGGACGAGAGACATTGATAGGAAATATGAATCTGCGCATCATGAGAGATGCCTCGGAGTGCAAGCTAATTGCAGAGGAATGCTACGACCAAGATCTTGGGATTCGAAGCTTGATAGCGGCGGCCCGGGACAATGTCCAAACCCTCATTTTCCAGGCATGTGGATGCAGATATAGAGGAAGGCGGGCAGATGACCGACTGTCTCCTGGGCGTGAGGCAAGGTGAAATTATTGTCGCGTTAGTTGCTGCCAAATATGACGAGGTAGAAAAGATATAGAGTCGCGACTTGAATCAGAATGCAATACTGTTTCAAGAGTAAGAGCATGTCAAGCATGGGATGAGGGTCGGACCTCGTTGCAGTTGATATTGCCCGAAGAGCCGAGGCAGCATTGTTCGGCGGCTGACCTCCCTTGCTACCCGGCATCGCGCTTTAAGATCATCATTTTCACCCCAACTTGGACTCTAAATACTCCATCTTCTTTGCCCTGCTTATCTGCCAGAAGGTCTTCCCGTGTAGAGAGCGCAAGGGGTACCACGACCATGGTTGCAGACGCCCTTGTCTATCACCCTGCGGTGACCCATTACCTGCGATATGTTGCGACCACAGGTGCGCGGATCCAATCTCGGGCCAGTGTCATGTGTCTCTTGCTAATCCAAACACTGCGCAGTCGGTCGTGACAAAGTTCTCCGAACGATCCAGTACTTCAGCCGATTCTACGCTTGGTACTTGTATCGCACCAACAATCCAACCAGCGCCATCCAGCCATGGACAGCGGTCAAGAATCAATTCGGGTTGACGAGGAAGATCCTGCGCGTGGGGAAATTCGTTGAGCACATTCGTGCTGGGTCCGAACTATACGATGCGGCCATCAAGTCGGGCAATGGCGACAAGATCGTACAATACCTCCAGATCCTGAGGCAGATTGGCTACGCCGGCTACATGTTCTTCGATATGATGACGCTGTTGGACGCAATGGGAGTCAAGAAAGATCCTCGGGCAAAGAGCATCCAGGCCACGGCATACCGATTCTGGTTCACAGGCCTGGTCGCCAGCGCCCTCGCCGGGGTCTACAACACTTACAAGTTGAGGGAGCGTGCTAGGACTGTCGATGAGAAGGACGCCGAAGCCAAGGTGGAGAAGGTCAAGATTGCCAGGTACGTCGCATGCCCTTGGTCTCACTCGCGTACTGGGATATGTACACTGACTGCTAGACCCAGACAACAACACACCGTCAATATCCAGCTGATCTCCGACCTTTGCGACCTTACAGTGCCGAGCACAATACTCGGATACGTCAATCTTGACGACGGTATCATTGGTTTGGCGGGTGTGACCAGCAGTTTGCTCGGCATGTATGGAGCATGGCAGAAAACCGCCTGAGGTCCTATGACGTGAGAGCTAAACAAACCTGTTACATGGCATCCAGCTTGTCTACTGCGCAGATTCCGGAGGAAGTCTGCAGGTGTCTTGGGTGATGATTTGGCAATTCTCGGACAGATGGATTGCGGCCTTGCTAAGTGGAGATTGAGTCCCAATATAGACATTGATCGAGTTTCCTGCTGCAAAGGTTGGTCATAGGCAAAGCTGCAATGATGTAGTCGATTCCCATCATTACTGCTATGTTGTCAAAGAGGACCGGTTCGATCATGATCTGCTCGTTCTAGAGTGTTTGTGCTTTCCCTCCCTAGGCCGTGGCACGCAAACTGCGCCGCTCGTTTGCCCCGGTCTCCGGTTGTCGTCAGGACCATCGAGCGAAACACTGCAAATATGTCCATTTTGACGTATGGGTGGCTCCCATCATCTCCTCATCTTCCTTCTCTTTCCGGAAAGTCTGCAATTGGACGGTTCACACCGGATCAAATTCGAGTGGCGTAGGAACCAAAAAACAAAGAGCCATAAGAGAACGCTGACGCAGGCGCAGAACCCCCCGACACCTACAAGTAGGGAGAAAAAGAGCGAGGCGCACAGCCATTCAACAGCAGCTTTGAGCAGGGGCGGATTGGCGGGGTTCAAAGGAACATCACGAGAGGGCAGAAGAGGCACCAAGAAGAGGCAAGGTGAGAGGAGGACTAAGCCCAGACCGCAGCTCTCGCCTCCACCTCAATTGAGCTGTCTTCCGTCACCCTCCCGCCATCCTCTTCCTTTCACTCCCTTCTCGATTCCTCGACCAGCACGATAATAAGAAGGGTATTTGCGTCCATTATCGCATGCTCCGCACCTGTGGCATCGATCTCCAATTAGTAGAACACGGCATATCGACGGCAATTGTCCTCTTCCAATCAGCAGGCGTCGGGCAGAGTCGGACTGACTGTGTAGGCAAAACCACCTCGTCGCCCTCCGATCTCTCCCGTGCGTTCATCGGGAATAGCACTTCATTTCGGCTTGGCCCCATCGTCAGAAAGATACAATATCAGGTCGATCCCCAAGTCATGGCTGCCGACTATTCTGCTCGTCTCCAAGCTGTTCACCAGATCAGGCCTCACTCGCCTTCTCCAGCAACTGGCACAGCACGTTCAGCTTTAGCCAAAGTCCAGCTTCGAGCTTTTACCACCAGAATGGTCTCTCACTCTGTCAACAAGACCGCTCTCCACCCCGGGGGTGTCGAGTAAGTTGTCGTCATCTTGATACCCAAGTTTCCAAGAAAACCACCAGCTCACTTCGCCTCCAGGCCAACCCGCGAGCACACCGAGCTCGAAGAAGAGCTCCACACGACGGCTCACATTGACTACGACCGCGTTGCCATTGTTGCCAATCCATCAGTTTCTGCTCTCTACGAAGATGCCTTGGTCTACGAAACCGGCACAGCCATTACGTCCTCAGGAGCTTTGACAGCCTACTCAGGCTCCAAGACCGGTCGTTCCCCGCTAGATAAGCGTGTGGTCAAGGAGGAAAGCTCGGAGAAGGATGTGTGGTGGGGACCAGTCAACAAGCCCATGACTCCAGAGGTCAGTATACCCATCTTCTCCTGATCAATCCATTGTGTATATTGCGAGACTTGTCCGACCAAATCCGAAAGGACAAGCACATGCCCTAGCAGGCCCCTTGAGTCGTTTGATCTCGCTCATGGGCGAGCAGCTCGACTTGCCAACACCCAGCACTTCCCCGCAATTGCACGGTGATGCAGTGGTTCGCATGTGCGCTACGGACGGCAGGAAACACCAGCTTTTCCCAGCTGAAAGTGTGGCGATGCCCCGCGTTGCCCGGAAAAGCCCATGACGCTGCACTGGGGCATGTGCCGCGGCTAAGGACTCTTGGCTTGCGGATGACTCGGCCAGGCCAAGTCATAGTCGTGGAAACGTGCCGTGCTGGGCTGCGCCAGACATTCTGCCCCACCACGTGTTTTGATACGAGATACCAACGAACAGATAGCTAACATACACTGTGCTCGTCTAGGTCTGGAAGATCAACCGAGAACGTGCCGTCGACTACCTCAATACACGGAACCGTATCTATGTCATCGATGGCTTCGCTGGCTGGGATGAACGATACCGCATCAGCGTCCGAGTTGTCTGCGCCCGGGCCTATCATGCCCTCTTCATGCGGAACATGCTCATCAGACCCTCTCGGGAAGAGCTGGAACATTTCCACCCCGACTATGTCATCTACAATGCTGGGTCCTTCCCTGCCAACAGATACACAAGTGGGATGACGAGCGCCACCAGCGTTGCCATCAACTTTGCTGAGAAAGAGATGGTTATCCTCGGTACCGAGTATGCTGGTGAGATGAAGAAGGGTGTCTTCACCGTCCTGTTCTACGAGATGCCCGTCAAGCACAATGTCCTGACCCTGCACTCGTCGGCCAACGAGGGTGAAGATGGCGATGTGACTGTCTTCTTCGGTTTGTCCGGCACTGGAAAGACCACACTGTCTGCCGATCCCAAGCGCAAGCTGATCGGTGACGACGAGCACTGCTGGTCCGACAAAGGTGTCTTCAACATCGAAGGGGGTTGCTACGCCAAGTGCATTGGTCTGTCCGCGGAAAAGGAACCTGACATCTTCAATGCCATTCGTTTCGGCTCGGTCTTGGAGAATGTGGTCTTTGACCCCGAGACTCGAGAAGTCGACTACGACGACGCCACCCTGACGGAGAACACTCGTTGCGCATACCCTATCGAGTACATCGGCAACGCAAAGATTCCGTGTATCAGCGACAACCACCCTAGCAACATCATCCTCCTGACCTGCGACGCTCGTGGTGTGCTGCCACCCATCTCTAAACTGAATACTGCCCAGACTATGTTCCACTTCATCTCTGGCTATACGTCTAAGATGGCGGGTACCGAAGACGGCGTCACGGAGCCCCAGGCTACTTTCTCTTCCTGCTTCGCTCAGCCTTTCTTGGCTCTGCACCCGATGCGCTATGCTAAGATGCTTGCCGACAAGATTTCTGAGCACAATGTCAACGCATGGCTGCTGAACACCGGTTGGGTCGGTGCCGGTGCTTCCACTGGTGGCAAGCGTTGCCCACTGAAGTACACACGCGCTATTCTGGACGCCATCCACTCTGGCGAGCTGGCCAAGGCCGAGTACGAGACTTACGATGTGTTCAACCTCAGCGTCCCTAAGTCCTGCCCCAACGTGCCGGATGAGCTCTTGAACCCCAAGAAATCGTGGACCGGCTCGGCCGACTTTGGTGAGGAGGTGACTAAGCTCGCCAAGTTGTTCAACGAGAACTTCAAGAAGTACTCGGATGAGGCCACTGAGGAGGTCATCAAGGCCGGCCCCGCGGTGTAGATGAAGGGAAGTGGTGCGGAGTGAAGCGAGCTGTCGTTGCGCTGGATCGAGCTGGACATGCTTTGTTTTGTTGATTTCTCACTTGGGAAAACTTTGGCTGTACAAAGTGGCATCGAAAGGGCGTTTGGATAAGCAGCGTTCGATTGTTTGGAGCAAGGAACAACAACAATACGAACGCGAGACGCGAGAGGCATCACGATTTCAACGAACGGACAACATTTATGACGGCCTTCCTCCCACCCTGCTGTCTCACTCGCCCGTTGCGGCTTGCAGACACGCGGCGGAGGGAGTCGACTGGCCCCCATTATATGCCTGCTACAGTAGCTACGAGATGGGCGATCATTTTCCTGCGGCACCCATGTGTTGATAGCTTTCCTTGATTAAACCCCCAAAATCAATGAGCTTTTTCGTCACTCGTACACCTCCTGATGCCAATAATCCTCGCAGCAAGAAGACCACGTGCACGGTTTTGCAATCACTTCACCGCCGCAACGTAGACCCGCTCCGTTGTCATGGAAAGTTGTCGGGGACTCAAGCGGGAAGTTGTAAGCTCAATGGGTTGCTGATGACTGTGAATCCATGCCTGGATGAATGCGGGCAACGTACCTGAGGAGAGTAGCCGCCAGTCAGCAGCTCACCGTATGGGCCTACCAACCAGGCTTGCGTTGATGGACTTAGGATAACGAATCCTGTGACCTTGTGCCCTTCATTGCGTACGAGGGATGATCAAGGTAATTCTCCGGGTCTTCTTTTTCTGTGCATGCTCGATGGGTCCCTGCTTTTTATTTTTGTGGAGATTATGACCGTTCATCTTTTACTCTGATCCTGAATGGGTAGTGTCTCGTGCACCTCGTGGCGGGCGACAGCAGAGCAACAGGACTAGGGCGTACTCGCTGCCAGAGTATTTTATGTCATGGGGCAATGCGACATGCTGCAGACTCACAAGTTAGAGTTGAAAGCCCGGTAGTCGATAGGTGAGAATCAGCCGTGGGGGGATGTCGACGAATGTTGCACTGCGCAGGCAAAAGACGGGAAAGCGGTCGCTAGCGACAGTAGCCTCACCGGGTGCCCGTCGGTTAACGTGGGCTTTGCGGGCAACGGTGAAGGGTGGCGCAGTGCCGTTGTAGTGGGAGTAAAAGGTGGCCCGAGGTTGCCCAGGGGCCTTGGTTCCCCTCCCAAGCAGCCAAAGGAGCGCAGGGCCAAAGGTGCCCCGGGTGAGGGGCAGCGAGGAGATGCCCAGGAAAACGCAGGCTGTAACCAAAGTCGTTTTCAAGGGGTCCTCCTGGTGGCCTCGGTGCCCCCCTCCATTTCTACACTGCCTGTACTCGGTACACATACCTATGTACGAGCAGATGTACTCCGTATAGACGAGGGTACGGTTGACCACATTCCCTCCCATCACCAAGCTGAGGATCCTTCATGCTTTCTAAGACATCGGAAGGTTCCACGGGCCATGACATGGGCATTTCGACGAACTCGACGACGTACCAAATGAACCTAGTTACGGGTCACTAAGAGATTCTTCTGCATGGCCATCCCATGCCCTTCGCATGCCCGCGCCCCCGATGACCTGCGAATTCTGTGGACCACCAAACTCGAATCGAAAACAGCCACCGCACCGCGCATCCACCGATCAACCTTGTAGAGAATCCCACCCCACTGGCACGGGCACTGGCGCCGGCTGCCAGGGCTTCCAGGACCCCCCAAAAGGGCTCCCAGAGAAAGGCTCCATCCAACCCCATCCAGTGGAAACCCGCGGCCACGCCGCCTGCCTTCTCGCGCTCTTCTCGAATTTTGTCGTCCTTCCGCTCATCCTCTTCAAACACACAATCTTCACCCACTTCCTCTTTCTCCTACAACATCCCTCGCCCATCAGCAACCAGCAAAACCAGCATCACCTTTGCTGCAGCATCCGCCCAACCTCGAAACCATGGCCGATCCCGACCCATATTAGCCTTCCCTCCTCGCCTGCCATTCTTTCCTTTTTCCCTGTCCACACTTCCCGGCGTCAGGCGGTTCTTTCTCGAAGTCTTTCGGATCCTATCCCACGAACCCTTCCGCACCCATCCATACCCTTGCCGACAACGTCCACCTTAGCACCATCTGGCGTTCGATATTTATCAGATTGATTCCTTTGTCATACACCGTTGGAGGCGCGCCCTTCAGCTTTCCCTATACCTCTGCATCCGACGTGGTCGACGACTAGTCCGCGTGCCCCGCCGCTTCGAGAAATTGTCCTCCACCCGACGAACCCGAACCCGGCACATTCCTCCTCTTATCTCTGAGGTAGACGAGCTTTACCTCTGCGATCACTCCTGTCGACGGCGATCGAGGTTCCGGACCGCCTGGATATTCGAAATGCTCATCAACGGGGAAAAGTTCGCCTGCGAGGCGTGCGTGAGGGGCCATCGTGTTAGTTCTTGCCACCATCAAGGTGAGTAGTGTTGGGCATTTTCGCAAATTTCTAGCAAGGCTATCGAACTCGCAACTAACCCTCTGATTTCCCCAGACCGGCCCCTGGTGCACGTCAACAAGAAAGGTCGCCCTGTATCACAATGCCAACACTGCCGAGGCTTGCGGAAGTCTCGCTCCCAGCATGTGAAATGCGAGTGCCATGACAAGTCTCATTCAAAGGAAAACTGTCCTCATGAGAAGCAAGAAGGAAAATCCGGTATGTTGATGTCTTGTGAAGTGACAGATCACGTCGCTGATGCCCTCCCTAGATCAGCATAACTGCTGTTGTCAGCACGGCTCCCGATGCACCTGCGCTCTCAAGAAAGAACACCTCGACCCAGTGCCTGAAGACATCTCGCAACTCCTCCAGCCGAAGGATCATGCCAAACATCGCCACAACATGAACTCCCATGACCCGAAGACGACGATATTCACCAACGGTCATCACAAGCCAGTTCACAAGTTCAATGATGCTCACAATCAGCTCGGAACCCCATATAAGATCCCGTCGCGCTCTAACTCGCTGCACGGGCACAGGGAGATTGCCCAACGTTCGACCGACAGCCTTCCGCTGACCAAGTTTGCCAAACCTTTCCATGAATCCCCCCTCCATAACTCGATAACAGAGGCTATGCAAATTGTGGAACGGAAAGTCAAATCAGAACACAATTCGCCCGTGCTTGGACCAGCAAGAATGGCAGGTCACCCGTCAATACAGGATTTCAAGATACCCAACTTCGATCCACGCGCCTATGCATATTCTCCATTCGGCACGGACACTCCACCGACCCAGCCGAACAGCCTACCCAACAGCCAAAATCCGAGCCTGCAGGATCTGACACTCCCAGAACGTTTTCCGGAGAACTGGTTCATGACTTATGAACAAGCTCATGACTACGAGCCCCCGCCGTGGGCGAGGTTCAACGACGGCTCTTCAGCCGACTGGAACAATATCAACCTTGACAGTAACAATGGTCTCTACAGCTTGAAAAGGGAAAATTCACCATACATGTTGTCTCAGCAAGTTGCTTTCCAGGCTTCTGAGTTGACGAGCCAGATCAATAGAGTGGGAATTACGTCCTCGAGCGAAGAGCCTTCCGAGGTCGAGGATCAGTCTCCTCCATCCATTGCTAACCAATGGAGCGCCGAGCGGTCCGTGGGAAATGATCGACAGACCGGTCTGGATGCCTTCAACGATTACAGCAGCACTGGCGGAGACGATGCTTCTGATCGATTTCGGTTGAGCTCAGCCTCATCTTACTTTGGGACGCCTCAAGCAAACATCCTGGCCAATGAGAACCTTGCGAGTCTCGACATCGACGATTATTTGAAGCAGGCCGAAGCGGAGACCAAAAGAATGCAATTGCAACATCAGTTGGCGCAGATGCAGATGAACCCGCAAGATTCACAAACCCCGTCCCGGTTATCGAGTGTCAGTAGGGGCATGACGCCCAGTATCTCGACGCCGGGAAGCACCGGCAACGGCGAACATCCATACACCATAAGTGAGGCACAGAGGTATGCGCATCCTGATGGAGTATCGCATGCTCCAGTGGAGCAGTCTAGAGCAGTGATACCGCCGTCATATATAGCGGATGATCCAGCGTGGTCGCTCGCCCCTGACATGACCAATCCCGAACTGAGTTTGGACGATGAACGAGAAGACGAAGACTGGGTTCGGTAGCGCTCACTGGAAGAGACCTTTTTAACATTCCTGCACAAAGACAGAACAATATCAAAGCACCAGACACCTGAAGTTTATGATTTTACGAAAATGCATTTTCACGTACCTCGAATGATACCACGGGCTCTCTGGATAAACCAAAGAATCAGATTTTGAGTCGGCGAAAGCTCGGGCTGGAGTGCCCAGGGCGGGCTGAACTGGGTTGGACTGGACTGGCTTGGGATGGGTTTTCCCAGCACATAATCAGGTGTTTTTCCTTATCTTGCAAACGGCGCTCTCTATGTGTGGATCGAGCTATGTGCTGTCGCCCTTGAAAGGAGTCTAGGCACGCGCCGCTGTTGCTGTCAAGGACCACTTTGTTGCAGGCCTTTTACTTGTCTTTTTGGGACACCGTACGTGTCGTCGCTTGTTGACCGAAGTTGAACTTGGCTCCCCGGCTTTGCGCAAGAGCGACGGGGCATTAGATGATGATTGAGCTTGGGCTGCGAAAATGCAATATAGAACGGGGTTGTTGCTGTGTTTACAATGAAAGCTTCTGGTGTTGCTTCGGGCCTCCGGGTTATGCAGATCCCCAATTCAGATCGCCAAGAGTACTAAATCGTCCCCTGTCGTGCAGGGAAGCTGTAGTGTCCCTTTTGCCGTTTGCATGAGAAGCTCGAGCGTTGGGCAGCAGGTTCACGTCCAGACAACGCAACGGGGGATCTGATGGTGGATTGGCATCGAGGGGCAAATGCGGGTAGAGGGCATCGAACGGAACAATGATGTTCCACAGACGACGTTGCCGAGGCCAAGATTTTCCCGACGGCAGCTAGCGAGATTGGGAGGCTCTTGATTGGCTGTTGATGCACGCTAGCATCGGCCATCCTTGCACGATGAATTCACAGACGACTCGCCCTTTCTCTCGTTCACCGAATTTAGGCATTCAGCCTTATTCCCCTGCTCGCTGTCAATACCTTGCATTCTGTAAATCGGCACAGAGGTCACCCCCCAGACGTAACCGAACAGCTCGTACACACTCCGCCAGTACGTCCTTTCCTCCGCGCTCGTCAGTCTTTCCGCGAACGGGTACAGGAGAAGTGATTCAGTGTTGCGCGTGATGACAGTCCAGCAAGGCTGCCGATGAGTCGCGTCGCCGGCCAACTTTCTCGGACCCCTCTTGTTACCTTTTCTCCATCGTCTACCCTCATCTGGTGATTGGATAAGCCCACTATCCCTTCAAGCTGTCTAGAAAGACCCGAGTTGGAATCTGGGGTTGTCGTGGCTTGGCCGAAAAGAACTCGGCTTGTCCAACTGTTTGAAGCACGGGACCTGCTCCGACTCAACGGCCACGATGAAACTGTATGCCATCTCAGATCTCCACCTCAGCTACAAGCACAACCGTGAAGCTCTGTACGAACTGAGACCTCACTTGGAGGATAGCCTGATCATTTGTGGTGATGTTGGAGAGAAGATCGAGCACCTCCACGAAGCGTTCAAGCTCACTACCAAGCTCTTCAAGCAGGTCTTCTGGGTACCCGGCAACCACGAGCTGTATACGCTGCCGGGACATCGCAACCGCGGCGAGGGACATGAGGAGGACGCTCTCGACGAGGAACTCCGGGGAGATTTCAAGTATCAGGAATGTCTCCGGGTCGCCAACGAGTACGGAGTCATCACCCCCGAGGACGAATACGTGAAGTGGGAAGGAGAAGGTGGACCTTGCATCATCTGCCCCATGTTTACGCTTTACGACTACAGTTTTAGGCCCGATGATGTGTCGAGAGAGGACGCCTTGGAATGGGCCATGGAGGAGAACATTGTTGCGACGGACGAAGCACTGCTTCACCCCGACCCGTACGAGTCGCGGGATCAGTGGTGTCAGGACCTCGTCTCCAAAGCCGAAGAACGACTGGAAGCCACCTCTCAAAGAGGGATCCCTCTGGTGTTGGTCAACCACTGGCCGCTGCGCCAGGACACCATCACCATTCCCATGATTCCCCGCTTCAGCTTATGGTGCGGGACCAAGAAGACCGAAGACTGGCATAGGCGCTTCAACGCCAAAGTCGTGGTGACAGGCCATCTGCACGTTCGCAGGACAGATTGGAGGGACGGGGTGAGATTCGAGGAGGTCAGCCTGGGCTACCCAAAGCAGTGGCAGGTTGCACGAGAGAAAGGGTTGGACGTCAACGACCTGCTGAGGGAGATCTTGCCGGCACCAGACATGCAGGATCCGGGTGATGGCAAGACAATTTGGAGAAGATCTGGGAGACCGTCCACGGATCTGGTCAAGAGCATCAAGGGGCTGGAGTAGAGGTCAGCAATGAAAACGGCAAATCCTTGCGTTACACCGCATCAGCACTTTCGGGGTCTTCAGGTGGTAGAAGCATATCCTCTCCTTGACAGCTTGTTGTCGTTGCTTTGCTTCTTTACGACGGATTCTGAGCAGGGTTTGGGGCAGGACTGCGCTCTGCATTTTGCAGCGTTTATGGGCGTATCAATATACACTTTGACAGATTGATAGAGCAGAGCCGACTGTGCTAGAGGTGCCGCTCATGGGGGAATAGCTGCTTTTAGGACCCAGCGATGGGAATCGGATCGACGACGAGGCTGTCATTGCTTTGCTTTCTCTATCTGTGTCGGTCTACTTGGGTCAGGCTGCCGAGCGTGGCCATCTTCTTCTTTCCTTCCTCCATTCTCCCCTGTTCACCTTCGCCCATCCTCTCTCCTCTTGCCTCTCCACCACCCTCTCGGTCCTTCGACCCCCCGGCTCACTTCTTCTTGGCCTGGTACTCCTGCTCGGTGACCTCGTCGTGCCACACGGTCTTCCCGTGGCTGACGGCGAGGTGCAGCATGAAGCTCCCGTCGTCGCCGCCGTGCCAGTGCGTGGTGCCCGGGTCGCACCAGACGGTGTCGCCGACGCCCAGCCGACGCGGCTCGCCGCCCTTGTCGCACACCCAGCCGGCGCCCGCCAGCACGCGCAGCAGCTGGCCCTTTTCGTGCGTGTGCCAGTAGGTGCGCGCCCCCGGGGTGAACATGACGTGGTTGATGTTGATGTTGGGCCCCGCGTCGCTGTGGATCGGGTCCATCCACACGGTGCCCGTGAAGGTGCCGCTGGCTTGTCTGCTCGAGGCCGAGGCGTTGCGGGACGCCGGGATGATGGTGGACGGCATGGTGGTGGTGGTGGTGGTGGTGGTGTATTAATCCTGGGGACTCGATATGGTTGCTATGTAGGTCTTTCGCTCTGGTCGACTCACTCTCTCAAGACGCGGACAATCAGCAATGACGCCTCTCTGCTGGGTGCTTATATCAGAACAATATCTCATCGACAGACGAAACCACCCCAAAGCCCTCCTGCGACGGTCTCCAACTCTGACCAAAGCATATACCCGCGGGCAAGCTTCCCCTTCCCCTCAGGAATTGGAGTCTCTCAGTGTCAATGAACCGCCGATATCGAAGCGTGTTCAACCGTTTTCCTTCTCCAAACGAGAATCAACCCGGGCGAACAGTCCCAGCTCATCCCGTTCTTCTTTCCTTCACCTTCGCCTGTCGTCTTTCGCTCCTCACCCACCCTGCTGAAGTAGCCTAGTGCCAGAAGAAACATCCCGACCACCTGTGCTCGCTTCCTACCCTCCTCTAACTTCTCTCGAGAGAAAAGGAGCTGGTGACATCGCAGCAGCGAATCATTCGTACATTGAACACTTGCCCTTTTCAGAACCCCGACCATCCCGCTTCTCGTTTCGGGAGCATCTCAGCTTCGCCTGTTTGTCGGGACGCCACCACCCCCTTGGGTTCAGCCGCAACAACGACTTCCCTTTCCCTGTGGCCTGCAACAAAGAGAGTTTTCGCGCTGAAAAGCTTCGAGTTGCCCAAGAAGGCCCCTTTCTCTTAATAATAACTGTCTTTTTTCCTCACGCTGAAAACCAACACAGCGAATCGAGTCTCGCGATGCTCCCTACTACCCGCGTGAGACTCCCATATCAGCCTACCAGAGTGGCAGACACATGCTTCAGCCGACTGGCCCCTTGCTGCTGAGCAGCATGCCCCGTCCGCATGGACGACTGAGAGCGCCCTTGACGTCCTGTCCTGTGAGGAGCATCTCGTATATATAATGCCAGCTCGTCGCGGGCTCGCAGGGGGTGGTGGGATACTGTGCTCTTGCAAACACCCTCTTAATCTGCCGTCCCAAAACACCATCTGGCCCAGTAATCTATAGTATCTTCCCTCTTTCTCCATTCCCCTCCGCCAGCCTTCCGTATCTCAGGCTATCTTACCGCCCCGCCCGACCGACCATGACCTCCGCCGCGGTCCAAGAACACCGCACCCTCGTGCCCATCACCACCTTCGTCGCCTCGACCGGCCCCGACGGCTCCCTCATGGTGACCGACATCTACATCTTCCCGGACAAGCTGGCCGAGTACGTCGGCCTGGTGACCCCCGTGGTGCGCCGGATGCGCGCCATGCCCGAGTGCCTGTTCTGCGAGATCGCCCAGGACCCCACGGACCCGGCGCACATTCGCATCCAGCACAGCTGGACCCGGGGCACGGAGTGGTTCGTGAGTGTAAGTGGTGTTGTCTCTCCTAGTTCTTTGTGTGTCATTGTGCTGGCCCGGTGAGGGGAGTTGTTGTTCATGGGTCAAGGAGAGTGAGAGTGAGAGTGAGAGGAAGAGTGAGGAGAGGAGAAATGAGAGGGAGGAGGCGGTCGAGAGAGGACGAGGTAGATGGATCGAGGTCTCCAAGTGAGACTGCGAAGATATCGCTCATGCACAACAACTACAGTCCCCAAAAGCTAACTACTACCCCCTGGAACAGGCCTGCGAATCCCAGCCATGGTTCGCCGACTATGTCAAGGGCCTCGCCGGCATCGCCGACAAGAGCAGAGGCCGTAAGTTGATTCATTCCACCCACCCATCCACCCACCCATCCACCCACCCATCCATCCATCCATCTGCCCCCGAAGACCTGTCGCACAGGACCAAAGCACGAACAAGCAGAAACAAGCACTTCGTCACTCGGGTTGCAATGCAAAGCAAAGCAAAGCCCGAGACGTGCTCTCTACTTTTCATCCCTCTCTGATTTGTCCCCCCCCCCCCATCTATCCCTGAGGACTGGGCTTCGTGGCTTTGCTGACTGACCTGTGTTGCCCCGCTAGGGAGTATCGCGCATTTCAATCGCATCCCCATCGATTGAGGCCCTGGGCAGTATCGGAATGCGAAGCAAAGCCGTCCGAGCACGTCAGAAGGGGAGCGGTGGGTTGTGGACGGGGCCACAAAACATCGCATCTGGAGATCGGAAAGTGTACGGGTTTGACGGCCTGGGTGGGAAGGCTGGGCCAGCTACTGGATACGTAGGCTAGAGGGGAAGCAGAGGGAGGGGGTTACGACATGATATGTAGGAATTGCAGGGAGAGAGAATGGTGTCCTTCGTTCTTGTTCTCGGAGACGTAATGTCAAAATATATTCCCAGAATATTCATTCTTTGTTGGCCAGCTGGCCCTGGATATCTCATTCACACGAATAACTGATGAATCTAATGGTAACCACCCTGACCATCACCACGCGACGAGAACCGGGACAGATGCAATGGTAGACTAACTGCTGGAGTGGCTAATATTTCAGACACACCTGAGCAGAGTGTAGATCTCGAGAACGACCGTAACACACAAGGGCTTACGTAGATGAGTAGTGGGGTGTGTACCGTCCATGCTCCCGCGGAGCAATGTCCCTTCTATACTGAGTCCTCACAGTAGCCATGAACGTCTTTATATCCCTTCGCGCTGGAGGCCTCTTCCCTCCATCTGGGAAAAAAGGTGCTTGGACCGGGCGGTGATCACCTGGCTAGATGTCGAATTTTGCATGCCATGCACATAATGGCTATCGTTGAGTCGCTGGACGTCCGCTGAGGATTGAGTGCCGCTCTCGGTGTTTGTGATCCTGCTCTTCAACCCATTGTACAGAGATATGGTTAGTTTCACGTCCACTCTCTTGCGTTGTTTCCATGATGAGCCCCGTTCGATCGTGCTCAATTGTTCAAGCTAGAACGAGGTGCGAAAAGGGAATGGAAGGAAATCGGAAAGGTTCGAGCGGGTTTGCATTGGCGCCCTGGAATGTTGCTGCATAGAAGGCATCCTGCGATGGTACATTCTGAAATGCAGGATGGAAGGGTCGGTCCACGTAGGAACGTCTTCCAAGAACACAATAGGAACACATGTCAACAAAGATGAATGCAAGCATCGAGTCAGGAACACCAAGGCCACTAATCAAAAGGTTTGAAATTGGTTTCAAAGAGGCGGTGAACGTGAATGAGAGAGAATGCAGCCAAAGCGGGCTAGATCATTAGAGAACCAACAATGAAACAGGGTAAAGGTGTCAAAACTCGAAAGGGGCCGTTGGATGTCTTCTGTAAAAGTCAACGATTCCCCGGTTCAGTATGCACGGACTAAACAAGGGTACAACAAGACCTAACCTGTGTCCTCACCCCCGGAATCTGCCAAAGGACACTTCCGTAGGCCCCTATGGACTGTCACCATCGACCCATCGGAGACTCCTCCAGCAGCAAGCAAGTTGGAAGACCCAAATGTCATTGGTGAAGAACTCCAATCACGGATACCCACTTCTTCGCGGAAGCTGGTGGCCGGATAGGATGGCGCCAATGGTGAGAAATGAGCCTTCGCACAGCAGCCGGCTTGCGGCGCGTGACACAAGGCCAGTAGTGTAGAATAACTTCGTGCTTCAAATATGAGATATATCCCACCTTCTTTGGATAGGGGCTCTCTCGCTTCTTGCTCCGATTTCTCAGTTCTTGAGGACACCATGGTGAGCGAGGAAGACGACCGAGTCACACGGTCCAATCACTGGCCTTTCCGGATGGTTGACCTTTGACGACCTTCCCTGGCTTGACTTACTTCCTGAGAAGAAGGGAGCTGAATGGGGCTTGACAGAACGGCAGTGACATGGCAGAAAGTACCGGGCACCTCGAAACCATGACTGGGCCGCAATATTTTTCCCGCCACGTCGTACAGCATCAAATCTTGCCAAAGCTTGGTCAGAACTCATCGCAGTGTGTGTTGTTCTTCTCTTTCAGACCATCTCATCTTCCAATGGAACCAGGAACGGTCTCCCCCAAGTTGGGCAGCAATGCGTGCCGGAGAACACGCAGCCGATCGTGATCAGGTGAATATCAGTGATATCTTGACTGGACGACAACCCAAACGGTATGAGCGAGAACCGGGCCGGGTAGAGACTCAGAGACGTGACAAGAAGACAGAGTTGTGATGGCAAGAGACGTGGCGTTCCCGGACGTTGGGCTGCAACGGTCCAGAACAAGCCTCTTCGGGAGGAGGGGGCACCCAGGCAGGTCAGGAGGCGAGGAGAGGGCAGTGAAGAACGGGACCGGAGGATGCTGACAGGTTGGGCCATTCTTCAGAGCAAACAAAGGCTGAGGCGGTGAGCAAGCGACAAAGTTCCGCAATGAAGCAACAAATCCGAGTCTGGGGAGGTGAAGAAAGGTCAGTGCAGCAGGCCGCAGATGTTGGCGAGGATCCTGGTCGGGTTGACCCCTTTTCTCGGCGTGGAAGAACCGCACCAACGCCAATAGCTCCGGACCGTCTTCAGAGTCCCAAGCTTCACTTTCAACATCCACCTGCGAGGAAAGGCATTACGTCGTTAATTGGGTGCTTGATTCGTGTCTCCCTGCTGATGGCCCTCGTCCTAAGCCGCTGATTGATGACAATCATGCCGACGAATCTGCCTCGCTATTCAACGCGGCAGGGTAAAGACTTCATCCCGCATCCCGAGCGAAAAGGCAGCCACTACTTCTCGCCCTGAAGGCTCTTGTGTCAACCCTCGTTGGGCGCACTGCTTTCTGGGGGGCAGTACATTAGTGTCGATCTATCGGGCACACTTTCTTGACGTCGAGCTCACTGCTGGACTCGCTGACGGCGATCAAGGGGCTCAGCTGATCTCTTGATTCGACATTCATATTGGGCTTTCTTGCTCCATATCGAAGCGACCACTCCTACATAAGTCCCTCCTCCGTCAACCAAAGACAGTGCGGATTCTAAGCCTCCTGAGCCCAAACAATGGCAGTGTTTTGGGTCCTCGCCATTTGCTCTCAGCGCATCCTGGCGCGGGTGAGCAAGTAAAATTGAGGAGAAGGTACTGTACAGAGAATGGTGATACCCAGTCCAATGATGGAGCACACCGTGTGGTGAAAAATGACAAGCCAGGCAGAGTATATATTGGCGTCAGCTCGTGCTGTAGAGCCAAATATGATTCCCCAGTCAGCACCATGTCTTCGATACGCAGATTGAACCGCTCCGGCGTGTCAAGTAATCATGGAAGCCCTGGCTCCTTGTCTGGTGATGGTGCGCAGCTTCACCTTTACCCATCCGAAGAAAGCGAGAATGCCGTTCCACTTCACCCTTCTTCGACCCAATCGACTCGCGTCTCAACAGGATTTGGTCCATCTCCGCAAATGAGAGAAGAGGATTCGATTGTCTCCGTTGCCACTTCGCGAGAGACACAAGAGCACAAACAACGTGAGTGAGCGGAAATCCCTGGTGAACAAAGGCCACGGGCCCCTGACGGTAGCAGCAGCTCCACCGATCGACGGAAACGCCTCCCACGATCCTGCAATTCCTCCACCCGATATGACCGAGGCAGGAACAAATGTTGAAGATGGGCAGAGAACTGACAAGCGTTCTCGTTCTGGATCGAATGTTTCGGAGGCACCTCCGCAAGTGGGAGAGCCCAGTCCCTTTCCACGGTACACCGGTTCTTCGTCCCCTGGATCCTCCATGCTCCTCCAAGTTGGTAGCCTTCACGGCCAGCCTCCGACGCACGCTGCTCCCTTTGATGATCTGGATGATGACGACCACCAATCGAACCATTTTCGAGAAAGCCAGGAGAACACATCGGGACATGATCGAGAGCGACGGCATCGACCAACTTCCCTGGGCTAGAGCATGATTTGGATCTTGGCGAAGAATGTGGATAGACGAGCTATCGCGTTTGGTTGGATGTCTCCCTCCCTGCCTCTTTGGTCTTTGGTTGGATGTCCTCTCTGCCGGTCGACTTGCTTTGGGTATAGCCCTTTTTCTTCTTTTGTTGCGTCCTTGGAATAGTTGCTGTTTGATGCTAACATAGACTTCTTCTCGCCGGAGATTTACCCCGGAGGCTCCACAGGGGCAGCCGTTGATCGTTCCAGAGACTGTCTTCATGAACTTGCATTTGTTATATTTGGTAGTTATTGTGCGTATGCATCCGTCCATTCTCCTTCACCCTTCCATCGAGTATACTTCCAACCAAGCAGGAGCTGGCTCCTTGTTGCCGCGCTCAGCCCTTCCTTACCTGCTGCGTAAAACCAACTCACATGTCGAGATGACTTAAATTCAGTATCCCTAATGCTGCCTCTAAAACAACCAACCTCCTTTTCGACCTCAACTCTCTTCTGCTTAGCTCTACCTGCCTTCAAAGTGCTCTCTACTTATCTTGAACTTACTCATCTTAAGCTTGCGTACGGCCTTTCTTGTTTTGGTTAGTGGTGGTCTTTTTCTAAGACTACGTACGGGATGAAGCTGGCTGCCGAGCCTATGTTGACATCGCGGCTTTGCGAGAACCACCTCCAGGGGATTGTCCGCTTCTCCCCTTTGCTAACCTCGAATGCCAATTATCGGGTTTTGCAGGACTTGAGTCGATTCGAGGCCTCGGAGCCGTCAAAGCTCCCGACCCCAGAAAATCAAGCTGCTCCCTCAGAAAGGCCGCGCGTAGCGGCTTACAGTGGAGTTCCGTATCTGGTAGCCCAGGCTCACCCAGGCTATATCTAGCCCATCGCAAGCGGCATACTCTTTGTCTGAATCGCTTCTGAGGGCTTCAGCTGCACTTGTCAGCACCGATAATTGTCCGTTTTGGATACCCACATCCACCAAAAATGGGCATCTCGACATCTTTGGTTGTAAGTGGGAATCAGCCGAACGAGGCCAAGTCCCGCTGAGCCAAAAGACTCGATAAGTATTTAACGGAGGGTGGTGACTTGAACAGCAATGGCCTCCTTCGAACCGAGGACCACGCACGCGTCGACTGCGCCGAACTCTTTGATATATCTGGCTTCATGTCCAACCAATTCGATTTCATCGTGGTGGGAGGTGCGTTAAATTGCCTGGATCTAAAACACCCAGCTATCGATCTAACCGATGTAAAAAGCTGGAGCCGCCGGCTGTCTCCTGGCCTCTAGGCTCTCGCGCACGTCGACCGCACCATCGGTTCTCCTCATCGAAGCAGGAAATGTCCTCGACAATCCCGACCTCCGTGACGCCGGGCGAAAGTTTGTCAATCTCGCCGACCCGAGCCTGGGATGGGCCGACTATTCGCACACCCAGAAAAACGTCAACGGCAGAAGCATTATCTATCCGAGAGGAAAGGGGCTCGGTGGTTCAACCATGACGAACGCCATGGTCTACTATGTCGGCTCGTCCGAGGAATACGACTATTGGGCTGAGGTCACGGGCTGCCCCAAATGGAGATGGCCCGAGACAAAAGAGAGATTTAGACGGGTATTGCACATCATCATCATCACCACCACTCTGGAGAGTATTCTGTGTTGACGGGGGCAAAAGATTGAGCGATTCCATGACGATACCCCGACCGAGTTCAGGAAATACGCCCATGCGTCGCCAGAAAACCACGGCAGCACGGGTCCAATTGATGTCAGCCTCCCATCGGTATGGGAGCCCGGCGTGTCCAAGGTCTTTGAAATTGCTCAGGCTCACGGAGTAAGCGATGCTGCTTGAACTGTTTTTGCCACTTTTGACCTGACGTCCTTCAAAAAGTACCCGATCAACCTGGATCAGAACAGTGGGAACCCGATCGGGATAGGTCTATCCCCCACCACTGTGTCCCACGGACTTCGCACAACCGCAGCCTCAGCGTTCCTGGACAATCGACCACCGAACCTGACGGTGTGGACTGACGCTGTTGCCGCTCGAATACTGTTTGACGGCAAGACGGCGGTTGGGGTTCAGCTGGCCGACGGGCGCCGTGGTACGAACTCCCCCCCTGCTCGAAAAGTAGCGTCGGGATACTGATACTGACCTTGCTCCCAAAACTAGCGCATGGGTCCAAAGCCACGATTCTCTGCGCCGGCGCCCTCGACACGCCCAAAGTCCTGCTTCTCTCGGGGGTGGGCCCGAAGGAGGACTTGGATCCTCTGGGCATACATGTCGTCCACGACCTCGGGGGCGTCGGCAAGAACCTCCAGGACCACCTCCAGTCGCTCATCGAAACGCGCCTGTCGAAGAAGTTGTTGGACAGGGACGTGGCGCGGGACGGCGAGCCCGACACGGGAGGACCGTGGTCGTGTCTGCCCTTTGGCTTCCTGAAAGTGGAAGAGAATCTGGAGACGGAGGAATTCCACCAGCTGGATCCGTTGACGCAGAACTATCTGAAGGGAGCAACGGTCCCTCAATTGTCACTTGGCACAGTAAGAAGGACACGCGCTACACCACACCACAATCAAATCATCCCTCCCTCGGTTCCTTGTTTCTTGGTTTTTCAATCAAAGATTCCATCCACGGCATGAAACCCTGACATCTTCGCACAGGCAGCGCCCCTGTTCGGCCGCGGGAGGACATTCCCCGATGTGTCCTACTACCACGTCTACGTCAACTGCTTGATGAACCCGCAGTCTCGCGGGGAGGTGCGGCTGCGCTCCGCCAACCCGGCGGACCCGCCGTTCTTTGACTTCAACGCCCTGTCCCACCCGTACGATCTACGGTCCTACGTCAACAACACGCGCAGGGTCATGGAGTTGATCGAAGGGCAGGCAAACGCCGAGTACTTTGCCGGATACATCAACGGCCCAGCGAGCAAATCGGACCGAGATATCGAGGTGAGTTTCTCTTGATCCATTCCCTGCTCACTCCGTCTGTTGTGTTGGTGGGGAGAGAATGTTTTCCTGTGGAACTTTCTTCGCCTGCATCTCAACGGGACTATTTGACAGAGAGTAACTAACCACCCCTTTTTGGGAAAGATAGAGCTGGCTCAAGGCGGTCTCGGGTCCACAGTTCCACGCCACCGGGACGGTCATGATGGGCAAGGCCGAGAACAAGCTCGCGTGCGTCGATTCCGACTTTCAGGTCTTTGGGCTCGAGAACCTCTACGTGGCGGATCTCAGCGTCTGTCCGACCACTCCATGGTATGTTGTTACATATCGCCCCCCTCCCCCCTCCCCCCTTTCAACATACAGCTGCCAGCCGTGAAGGGGCAGGAGAAAATACTTGTTGATGTCTTCTGTGCTGACCAGTTTGACCAACTAACTAGTTGCATGACCCAAAGTACGGCGTACATGGTTGCCGAGACCGCCGCAGGGACCTTGATCGAGAAGTTTGGGCTAGAGCAATGAAGGGCGAGGCGAAGCGGGAGAGAGGATGGCTGCTACGAGGTCTCCAGCGCTGCAGTCCATGCGAGGAGGACAGTCCAAGAAAGAGAAAAAGGGGGAGGAGAAAGGTTCAAGGAAGTCGGGAAAGATCCCCTACTTCCCTCCGAGGTGTGTCCAGGATGGAATTTTTGGTGGTTAGAAGATTCTCCTTTTCACTCGCCCGATCACAGGGAACTCACGGGGATCCTGGCCCAACATATTATAAAGCGTACGATGAATGGAGGTCTAGTTAGCACGTGTTGGGCCAATACAAGGTGCAAGGATAGGGTAGGAGGATGAAAGGTTAGTTAGTGTGGATATTGCTTTTGCACAGGCCCGACGGGGCAGGTCCAGGTGGGACAAACTCGCTTTGGCCCCGCTCACTCGAGGCTAGCAGTGGGGGAAACAACCCAGATGGCTCGCTTCTTGACATTGTCTCATAGCATGGAGCGCGGTGACTTGTTCCCATGGACTGACTCCTGGATCAAGATTGCGAACAAGCAGGGCAGAGCAGTGGAGACCGCCGATATTGGCCCCAACAGGCCCTCGTCCCAAACGGTATGTGGCGTCCGTTCCGCCATGCCATGTCCGAGATTTCGAGGAGGATCATCAAAGCCCGTTCCTGCTACCACCTCGAGATTACTCGGAGGTAAATGCCACATCCCGGATTTTCGAGGCAGGGATTGTCTCCCAAGATGTTCTGAGGTCGAGCGTCGATATAGGTGACCAGATGGGGCCAAAAAAGGCTGGGGCATTTGATGTAAGTGCTCGGCGAGGCTGTCTGGTGGCGAGGCTGTGAAATTTGATATCAGGCTGAGTGTCTTGTGGCTGCGCACTCACGGCCCAAGCACCCTATTGTCAGACCATCCTCGTAACGAACATCACCCGCTTTAGTGGCGACACTGGCCAAGCCTGTCGCCACATGATGATAGACAAGATACACCAGAGCGCAACGGTCGCTGAGCACGTCCGGCAGTGGTAGAGTGTGGTTGGTCTGAGACTCTTGGATGTACGCCGTCGCAATAGACCCATGTCCACTAGAGGCCATGTTGCGGATTGTTTCCTAGGGGAAAATGGTGGTGGTGATGATGCCCGTTGATACGAGCCAGCAGAAATGGAGGACCCACTCGGCTTTCGGAGACGGAAATACTGATAGTCCGTTCTCACAGAGTCAAGGCACTGAGCTTGACCCTGTAGAGTCCATAGGCGAAGAACAAGCTGGTGACCTCATGTTAACCCGCAGACCTCAAAGCTTGCTTGCCCCAGCTTTCCAAAGGCGAGGGACAACTCCCAGGCGGTCCCGAAGTCCCTTCTCTCGCTCGTGGGCGAGACAAGGCTGTCGAGGATACCCGTTGAACAGCACAGCATCGACGGAAAGCACCCCAAAACAAAGGCCAATATCTTGTTCGAAACCCTGGTTCATGTGGTAGATGAGTCATTTCAAGACCTTAAAGGGCGGTTGTCTCTTGCTCGACATATGTACCTGCTGTGTTAAGGATCCCCCTCTTCAGTAACTGGCGATAGACTGGCATCGTTCGTGGAAGGGAATAAAAAGTGCGCGGATGGAGATGGAAAATTATGATACATGTCGGCAGTGTATCGAATGATTGGAGTTATATGACAAACTCGCCGCGGTCGGTCCTTGCTTTGACATCCCATGCTCAAGGTCATGCCTGCTTCCAATGTTTTTCTGGTTCAAATGCCTGTGTTCGAAGAGGCGCGCAACATACGTCGCGCACGATATTGAGAGTGGAAGCAGTCGCCAGGGCGAGCGCTTTGCGGTCTGCACGAGACTGTTTTGTCAAAATCTTGCGCCAAAGCAGTAGACACTCAATCTCTTGTTCTTTCTCCGCGCATCGTCCGGCATTTGAGATGCTTGAGAGGCCATTTACGCAGACCTCGAAGGCTTAAAGGATGGATGAGTTATTGCAATAGGCTCAAGGAGAGAGGCACTCATGTTTGTTCCGACGAAACAGAACCGACTGGGCCGTTGATGTCCCTGGAGTCGAGTGAGTGCCGAGAGGCATGGCATGGAAGCGAGAGATTTTGTGAGGAAAGGCACTCTGTCGCCGAGACGAGGAAGCTGAACAGCCTCGCTACCGATGGCATCTCGATCAAAAGAAGCAGACTGAAGAAAAGAATGGCTATTTCTGCACGAGGAAGACTCGGGGCGCAATTTCCAATCAGGCTAGGGCTCCTTCTTGGGGGTGTTTCTGGAATTCTTTTCCGGGGGAATGCATCTGAGCGCAGGCTGGTTCCTTTTTCCGGCCTTGTCAGATGTCGACTATCACTCTCAAAAAGGCCCGAGAACAGAGTATACCGGCAATGAGGACAAGGCCTTCATTGATGTCCCCGTTTGTGACTGCCTTGACGGTCAAGAAGCCACCGCGTCGAACACAGGGACCCGAGCAGGCGCGAGCAGAGGTGACTATTCGACTGACAAATACAAACCCCAGGCTTCTCTGTTGATGCGCGGAATCCCACAGCCTTCCAGCCATCCTCTTGCTGATTGTGTCCTACGAAGCCCTGTCGACCCGATCCAAATTCAGCGGTGCCACCCGTGGGTTGGGCTTACGGCGCAGATGCTGGTCATCCAAAGGTCGAAAGGGGCGGTTCTTGTCCTCCACGTCAGGGTCTCCGGAGGAGAAATAACGAACACAATGAATTCGAAGCAAAGAGCAGGGGAGAATGGTGATAGAAAAGACGCATGTAAGTTCGAGGAATCGAGTTTGAGTGGCTTGTATTAAAACAGATAACCCTGATGTGAAGAGAATGGCCTGCACCAGCCAGAGCAATATGTACACGAGTTCAAGAGATATGGGATTATTGCATCTACTCACTATTTTCATGAGAGCACAAGGGTGGGATTTCGACCGCGAAAACACTGCTGTCCCATCAAGGGGTTGCGTCCTTGCCACGAAAGATTTACCATCCCCGAATTCTAGGAGACAGTTAGACTGCTATGGTAGTACGACTAAGAGCTGAGAAAATACCAGATATGCCATGAGATGGTCTCATGATCACCTTCGAGGAACAATGTGGTGCCGAGACAAACGCGTGGGCGTCTATACAAGTACGTCAGCCGCGCCCGATAGTGGTTTGCCTCAGCGTATCTGGCTGTCCTGACGCTGAAATATGCAAAAAATATGACCGGTCAGGCGAAATTGTTTTCTCCCTGGCCCTGCTCCCACCCTTTCACGAGGCTGAAGTCCAACACTCGGATCAGAAAAGGCCTGCCACTGGCGGCGATGCGTCTTATACCACCCCCTGAAAGCGGATGGGGTCCCTTCCCCTGGGAGGTTGACGGCGGTGCTCTGGTCTGCATTGCAGGGTGATCGATACGAAGCGACGCGATTTCCGAGTGGCGTTGGTACCAAACCAAACCCTCTCCTGGCTGCCATGCAGCTCCAACTATCTGCGACAACGGAACATTGCAAGCTGGAAAAGCAAATTTATTCTAGGTGTCATCGGGCTGTTTGCACGGTGGCGTTAGACTGGGATACAACGAGACGATCCCTTCACTATCGCACGGTGCTTCGGGCAGAATCTTGTTGGCCCTCGTGGGAGGGGTTTATTGAGCTGTCTCTATCTAATGTGGAGGCTTACTGACGAGTCCACCTCAATCTTCCTCTTGCTCATCCTCATCGTCGACCTCGGTCACCACAGCGATGTCCGTGGCTCTTCCGCCATTGAACCCGTCTTCTTCAAACGGGCAGCTGCTCACCGCGCACACCGCATCCACCTCCGCCCGCATTTCCAGGAAGTCGCCTGGCCTGGAGCAATTGAGCGCCTTGATTGTGTAGTAGGGGGTGTTCTGGAAGACATTGAACGGGTCAACTACTTCGCTCCAGTGCTTCATGCCCCAGGGCTTCATCGCTTCTGCGACATTGGTGGCACAGGAGCGATGGACAGGGCGGCCGTGGCGCGCATAAAACCCCGGGTTGCAAGCCATGAAGAGTAAGTCGTGGGTCTTGACCATGTCCGCAACTATGGTAAACATTTTTCGGTCCCGATTCGTGTAGAGCGCCTCGCCTACCTGGGGAGATGCGGACCCTCCCAGGGCGTATCGCGTGTAGCTCGTGGAAAAATGCTCGGGGTTTGTGGCGGGGGAGTAAGGCAGTGTCCAAGCCATGAAGTCGACCACCTGCTGGCCGTGGAGATCGACGATGCGGAAATGAGACGAGGCCTTGACCTCGAAAGCGTGGCCGTGGGCGGCGGGGACCAGATGCGTTTTCAGTTTGGAGCGCGGATGCACCACAAGAAGAGTCTCCCAGGCCGGTCGCCGTGCTGATGATTGGTTGCGGGCGGGATGGGAGTGTGCATTGAGGTCTTGGGACTCGGGAGTGACATGGTTCTGAGCACCTTGGCCTTGGCCCACGGGCCCTTGTGCGTAGACTCTACGGGTCATCCTTGGTCGGCCCAGATCTTCGGCCGGATAATGAGGAGGAGGAGGGGTGATGAGAGAGGGGTTGGCAGCGAGACTGACAGCTACATGTGCAAGCCGGATATCACAAGCGGGGGAAGTGCTGGAAGCGCTGGAAGTTGCTGGAGGAGGCGGGTGGGCGTTGACGGGTGAGCACGGTGAGAGAGATAGATATCAGAATCGAGGGGTCAAATGTCGACGAGCAGAAATGGATTCGAATGGCGGAGATGGAGCGGGGACATGGCTGTCTGACAGGTGGCTCAAGACCAGTCACGTGATGGACACGTGTGCCTGGATTGCAACCAGTCGGCATACTCAACTCTCCCACCAAGAATACTCAAGATTCAGACGTCATCCGCCTTTGAGCCGGGAGCAACTTACGTCCTCGAGCCCAGAGAGAAACCTGGCACGTGGGAAATGTGGGAAATTTGGGCACTTTTCAGTGGCGCAACAGCGGTTCCAAGAGTGAGTAGAATGATCAAGATCCACTCTATCCATCGACTCGAGAATCTGGAATGCGACTGCTCTTCACGAAATGCACTCCGTCTTTCTGCTGGTGCCAACTATGGTGATCGGTTCTCCCAGCGGGCAAGATCAGATCAGGAATACTTTGGATCAGTGGGGTCGGCAAAGGACATCTGACCGCGGTTGTTCTCATGATATCCGTCTGACCAGTGTATTTTCGTGTACTCGATACACCGTACATATATATCCCAGCATCCGTGGCGAGAAGATGGAAATCAGTTGTCAACCATGTCGCCGTGGAATGGCCGCGTCACATGTCGGGGTTGCGTTCAACGGCCTGCTTCTCCATCGATGCACCCCTCGAATGGCTGGATCGAAGATTTTAGAGTGGGAGAGCAGAAGGATTTTGTCGCTCGGCCGGAAGCCATTTCCAGAGGGATGCCCACATTCTGCCCATTTATGGAAAGGACGTGAGTAAAGGTTATACAGATTCGAGGATAAACACTCCGTAGCCAGTTTTGGTCGCAAACTGGGCATTGCGGCTGGAGATTGATGGTCATTAGCTCTCGCAACTGCTCCGTTGGCCTCCCATATCAATATGACGGGAATTCCCAGTCCCGCCAGCATATCCTTCAACTGATAAAGGGCATGCTGTACAAACTAGGCCCAATCCCACCAATTTTGCCGCAAAGATGGCTGCCGTAGGCAGGAGCCGCGGGACGCTCACCGGTGTGGAAGCAAAGCAGCTCGCACATTCAATTCAGCTCCTATTTCCAGCACTTGGGTCAGGTTGATCGATCAAGCGGCAGGGCAGGAGAGTATACTCAGACAAGGTCGTCCAAAGCCAAACACCGCGAAGGTGACCCATCATCGACATACCCAAAAGTAGCATCCATCACCACTCAACATATAGGAAATCCCGAGGGAAATGGATCTGAAGCTCATTGCATTATTGACCGCTCTACCATCACAGCCTCCCCGTTCCAACTCCAAGAATGATCCCTCTCAACGTGGCCATTCCAGTCTGTCCATCTTTGGTCGGTCACTGGGGGGAAATCTGGTCGAACTGTTGTCGCTTTGCTCTTCTGACCCACGCGATCCCTCGCGTGGTAAAACTTGCATCTGGGCTGGTGAAGGCAATTCTGTGCCTCCGTTGATGACGAAATCAATCTGTTCGAAAGCCTGCTGGATTGCGATGTTAGCGCGACACTCGTTCCGAACGTGAGCCGCGAGTTGTGATAGATCGACGCCTGAACGCATGACACGGATCAAGTCCTCGGTCGCACTGAGACCGCCCGCTCGCACCGTTGCGATGATTCCTCCTAGAAGTTGCTGGTGTCGCTCGAGCGCGACCTGCTTGTCCGCGAGTTCTTGGGCCGTTCGGTGGTTCGCAATTTTCCGGCGCTGGTCAGAAGTTGCATCGTAAACGCAGAGACTTTTTCTCGTCGCACAGGCCTCGCAAGGGTTGCCGCCAGAGCACTGGTCCCGGTCAGAGACACGCCTGGTGAGCACTCCAAATGCACGATATATACCTTTGTTTTCCTCTGCTTGCAGGCGCCGCAAGCGGTGGAGATTTTTCGAGGACGCTGAGAATATGGGGGCTCCTGGGCGCCTTCGTCGCTTGGGGGTGGCCGCGGTGCCAACATCTGAGACATGGCGAGGGAATTGCTCCTGTGAATTCATTTGGTATGCCGAGATACTGTTGGATTTCCCGGGATCCTCTTCGGACAGCAATTCGCTTGATAATTCATGCTATAGAGTGCGCGCCATCGTAGAGAGGAGCCTGGAAGGATGCGGTTTTGGGTATTTCGAGGAGGCCTAGGAATATGAGCAAAGTTCGGTCGGTGGAAGAGGTAAGACAGAATTTGGCGGACGAGATATCCGAATTCTGGGAGGTGGGCTGCTGGGCCCCGACATACTTATACTAGGGGCGCTTCTGGGAGGGACACTGCAACCATCCACACTTGCGACGTGAATGGAGGGAAGCGATTCATCCCATTCGCAGACCTCGCTGACAATGTCATTCGAGATTGTTTTTACTCGAAGAAGATGGATCACTTTGGCCGACTCCAGAGACTATCCCGGCTTGTGCCCGTTGACCGTCCAGTTCGGTTGTGAAGCATATAGGACGCTTTCGATCTGGGGGTGAACAGCATTTCGAAGCGTGGCTTTTACGACGCAATTCGCAAGAGATCGACGGGTTCTCTCCGTTTCAGAGAAGGGGGGGGGCGTTCGATTAGCGCAAAGTTGGCTCATGATATGCGCTGTTTATGAAAATTTCAAAGGGCACAGCTTGGGTGTGTGATTAGGGGCCCTTCTAAGCCTGTACTCGAGCCTCGCCGGTAATTTTCTCCGGGCTGCACCGCGCCCACCTCCCTGAAGGCAAATTTGGCGCGCAGTCTAGAATTGGCGATTTTCTAGGGCCCGAGGAGGTATCAGCAGAGTCTGAGGATCAGACCTGGATCCTGACTGCTCGCATTCGATTTTTTCTTGACAGCCTGGGAGTGGTTCCGGGGGATCAAAGACGTTGACGAGGAGCTATACCTCGACCTCCAGCTGGGATGGATGAGACGAGGCCTGGGCTATCTAGGCAACCTAAGCACTACCCGCCGCTCGATGAACAGGTGATGGTGGTGGCATGTTGCAAGGAGCCGTGGCCTGCAAGTTTCTGGGGCTTAACGTTGTGATTGGTAACCGGACTGCCATGAGGCGCAGAAGAAGCCAGGGGCCCAACGAAGGTTTCTCGACTCTGGAGATTTGGAGATTTGGATGTCGATTCCAACTGCGACGGTCACGTGCCGCCACGGTCGAAGGTCACGTGATGAGATTGGCGCGGGTGGGGGATGCCGAGGTCGGCCAAGCCCAAAGAGGACTAGAGTGAATCTTAATTTGCTGCGCTATGATGTTGATCTCGGGCGTTGGTTTTTGGGGCTTTGGAGCCCAAAAAAAATTCCTCCAAATTGTGCCCAAAATTTCTAGGATTCTCTCTGTTCTATTCTCTTGCACGGAGGACGCTCTGTCCTGTAAGACTCTGCGTTTGGGACATTGGGCTGGAACCCCTTATCTCCCTTTTGGACACCGATTTTCCCTTCGCTGACTTTCCTGCCGGGATTGATTAAACAACCGCAAGACAGCAGCGCAGGCTGTTCCTGCAACGATGGACGAACAGAAATTCTTGGAGCAGCTCTCGATCATCCTCGATCCAAAGAAAGGCAGCGTCAAGGCTGCCACGGGTATCCTCCAGAACCAATACTACAAACAGCCAGAATCCCTCCTTGCCCTCATCCACCTCGCCATTTCCCACGAAAGCGCAGACCTCAAACAACTGGCCGCGACCCAGGCGAGGCCCTTGGTCTCGAAACACTGGACCAAGATCCCCAACAATCAGCGCCAACATGCCCGAACGCAGCTTTTCCAGGCGACTCTTGCTGAGCCCTCCTCTCTCGTCCGACATTCGTCTTCCCGCCTGATAAGTACAATTGCCAAGATTGATCTCGACGATGGCGAATGGCCTGAACTGCCTGGCATGTTGCAGCAAGCTGCCACAAGTTCAAAAGCCGCCGAGCGCGCGGTCGGCGTGTACGTGCTTTATAGCATTCTAGAAACCATGGGAGATGGCTTCAGTTCCAAATTCAAAGAGTTATTTGCATTGTTCAGCAATACAATCAAAGACCCAGAGAGCCTGGAAGTCCGAGTCAACACCCTGCTGGCCATCTCCAAAATGGCGCTTGTTATCGACGCCGAAGAAGACCAGGCTTCAATCAAGGCATTTCAAAACGTTTTCCCATCCATGGTTGCAGTTCTGAAAGACACAATCGACTCGGGCAAGGAAGACCAGATTATGCTCGCCTTCGAGGTCTTCAATACCCTCCTGGGGGCCGAGTACCAGCTCATGTCGAAGCATTTTCAGGACTTGGTGGTCTTCATGAACGAGATTGCAACCAATAAAGACATGGCTGACGACACAAGGACTCAAGCCATCAGCTTCTTGATGCAGTGCGTCATGTATCGACGCCTGCGAGTCCAAGGTGCCAAGATGGGGGAGCCGTTGACCAAGAGCATGTTACAAATTGTCACTGAGATTGACGACGCTTCCGCTGACGACGACGAAATCACGCCTGCCCGCTCAGCTCTAGGTCTGATCGACACCATGGCCCAAAGCCTCCCTGCCAACCAGGTCGTCGTCCCATTGCTGAACGCGCTCCCCGAGTACTCCAAAAGCTCCAACCCTAAACATCGACAAGCCGGCATCTTGGCTCTTGGTATGGCAGTTGAAGGAGCTCCAGATTTTCTCAGCACCCAGCTTTCCTCGGTGCTGCCAATCCTCTTCACGCTTCTGGAGGACTCGGAGGTTATCGTCAGACAAGCTGCTCTGCAGACCACGGCCAGGCTGGCCGCCGATATGCCAGAGGACATCAGCAAGGCACATGAGAAACTGATGCCGCTGCTCGTCAAGAATCTGACCGCAGCCATGGGTGCTTACAAGGGTGAGGAGGAAGGGCCTACTGTCGACATTATGAAGTCCGCAACAAGTGCTATCGAAGCAGTCGTGGACGGGATGGATGCCGAAGATGCTGTTCCTTACCTCGATAAGTTGGCCCCACTGCTTCAACAGCTCTTTAAGCACCCAGATTCCAAGATCAAAGCGTTGGCCGCGAACGCTTTGGGCTCGTTGGCCTCTACGGTCGAAGCACCTTTCTTGCCCTACCTTCGCGATTCTATGAATGCTATGCAAGAATACATCACAAAGAAGGAGAGCGAGGAGGAACTTGACCTTCGCTCCAGTTGCACTGACGCAATGGGTGAGATGGCCGTTGCCGTTGGTCCAGCTGAGTTCAAGGACTACGTACGGCCGCTCATGGAGACCAGTGAAGAGTCCTTACGCCTTGAGCACTCGAGACTCAAGGAGAGCACCTATATCCTGTGGGGCTCTCTCGCCAAGGTCTACGAGGCCGACTTTGCACCTTTCCTGGATGGAGTGGTAAAAGGTCTTTTTGACTGCATTGACCAAGAAGAAGCCGATCTGGAAGTGGAGCTCGGCGACAGTGCGAGAGATTTGCTCGGCAAGGAGGTGACGATCGCCGGGAAAAGGGTCAAGGTCGCCGTGGCGGACGACGATGATGAAGACGGGGACATTGAGGATATCGAGATTGATGGCGACGACGACGACAGCGATTGGGGTGATTTCGCAACCGTCACTCCTATTGCTCTCGAGAAGGAGATCGCCATTGAGGTGATCGGTGACGTCGTCTCCAACACCAAGACGGCGTACCTGCCGTTCTTTGAGAAGACGATCGAAAAACTCCTGCCGTTGGTGGAACACAGCTACGAGAACGTGCGCAAGGCCACGATCAGCACATTGCATCGCGCGTATGCTGCCCTTTACGACATCTCGGAAGAATCGGGCGAGCTCCAAAAATGGAAGCCTGGCCTGCCACTCCAAGTTGAACCGACGCCGGTACTGAAAAAGTTTGGAGAGGTTCTGATGAATGCAACGTTGAACGTCTGGCCCGAGGAAGAGGACAGGTAAGTGGCATCCTGGTTACACTCCCCCATTCAACCCCTATCCACAGGATGAGATACTCTCGTTAATCCCAGCTCACTCCGACACGCAAGTCGTGGATGAAGCGAACGCGATCTTCAACCCTCTGAAAAATGTCATCTGGCCACAGTGTGCACCAGCGAGAGATGGAATCAATGTTGACTTGTGGAACTACTAGTACTGCCGTCACTGAGATCTCGCGAGCCCTCTCCGAGAACCTCAAAATGACGGGTCCCGCCCTCCTCAGCTATCCTGACGTCCTCTCCAAGATCGTCCAGACAGTGACTGATTTGATCACGAAGAAACACGCGTGCCAAATTGATATGGGTGGAGAGGCCCTGGACGACGAAGACTTGGAATCCACAGAAATGGACTGGCTTATCGTCGACAGTGCCATGGACGTTATCTCTGGACTTGCGGCTGCGCTTGGCCCAAGCTTCGGGGAGCTGTGGAAGATTTTTGAGAAACAGGTCCTGCGATACGCAAGCGGTGGAGAAGCCCTGGGCCGCGCATCTGCGTGTGGGGTGCTCGCTGAGATTATCACGGGCATGGAGGGTGCCGTCACCCCATTTACATCGCAGATGCTGAACGTTCTCCTCAAACGACTCGGAGACGAAGATCCTCAGACGAAGTCCAACGCAGCCTACGCGGTGGGTCGCCTGGTCGAGAAATCTGAGGATGACGGCAACATTGTCAAGGCCTACCCTCAGATCCTCTCGAAGCTGGAATCGATCCTGCACATCACGGAATGCCGCTGCCAGGACAACGCGGCGGGATGCGTCTCTAGGCTGATCCTGAAGCACAAGGACAAAGTGCCTATTGAGCAGGTCCTCCCCGCTCTTGTCAACAGCGGCATCTTGCCTTTGAAGGAGGATTATCAAGAGAATGAGCCAGTGTGGACAATGATCGTCCAGCTCTACCGCGATCAGAACCCGACGATCCAGCAACTCACGCCGAAGCTGGCTCCGATCATGATGAGCGTGTTGGGTGAGCCGACGGAGCAGTTGACGGATGAGGTGAGAGAGCAGGTCCAGGCGCTGGTGGAGCATCTGAAGAGCATGCACTAGGGAGAGCGCAACCCGTGCCCGTGATATCTGTCCGCTGATCGCGAGCAGTGCAACACGCTTCCACCACTGGGGGAGCGAGGGACACGGTGGCTGTCGTTGGGAGTGGGGAAGAAAATCACCCATGACGGAACGACAGATGAAGATGTTGGATGTTTTTTCACGTGTCACGAAATGAACGTCATTGAGCACACTTAGACCTAGAGATACCATGTGTCATGCCGGATACAATGCAATGCCCAGGGGCTGTTATGAAGAACAGAGAGACCAGTTGGTGACATGCAAAGCGACAGGAGCAAGCAGCATTGGATTGATCTTCTGCCACCTCTTTCGCGCAAGCCAGGGCGTGAGCCCACAAGGCTGTGCAGTCTCTACCACTCGGTTTGAACCTCGAGAAGATGTTCAGTACGGAGCAATGCATACCACCATTTCCGTCCATGCACATGCGAACCAAGCCATGCCCACATCCCCATAATAGTACTCCGTATACTTCCCATGTCCTCGGCCCTCCGCAGCTACTGTAAGTGGCCGGGTACCCAGGAACCAGCTCCTCTACGGGCCCCAGGCTCCGTCTCGAGTCGGGCGCCGGACAAACCATGCACTCAACTCCCTTCACCGCCCTCCCTCTCCGTCCCGCCTGATCCCGTCTGCCTTCTTCTTCTTCTTCTTCTTCTTCTTCTTCTTCCCGTCTCAGGCTGAAGCGGCAGCTGGAGGTTGAGCATATGTACACGGCAATCGGAAACATTGGACCCGGAGCTGAAACGAGGTGTGAGGACTCGTTACTCTCCGTGAGCAGCGGGAGGGGGCGGGTTTGTAGAGAAGAGACACTTTGTATAAACGAAGGTACCTACTTGCCTACCGACCTAGTGAGTACGCGGTACATTGCCGCAGAGGACGCCGACGCCTTTCTCGAGCGCAGGTCACACGAGACACCAAAAAATAAAAAAAATCTCGCATGCGTGCATGATACGTGCGACGGGCGTCCTTTCATTGGTAATGGTCTAGGTAGGGTACGGAGTAGACGACCATGTACCGCGGACGAGGCAGCTCTTGTGCTCGATAATTACTCCCCCACAGTCTAGATCATGGCTGGGAAACAAATTGGGCCCTCCGTTGACGCCTTGTTTGGTTCGAGGCCTCGCCAATCACTGGCCTACCGGGTCCTAAGTATTCGGTACGAGGGAGACATTCGACCGACGACCCGGCCCACACGCGTCGACGTCGACAACGTCGAGCATACCTCTACGTACCCGGTACTTGCGTAGGTAGGTTTCTAGGCTGGGGCGGAGGGGCCTTGATATTACAGTACTACCGAGTACATCACTTAACTTACATAAGTTTAGTCGTCCACAATCGCAGGGGGTTATGGATCATGGTATAATAATCCTAATCCACCCACGCACCAATTTCGAATGGCTCGTTCCTCAATATCATCATGTTGGCACCCTCCGTTCTCAAACGGGCAAAACGGGCAAAACGGGCAAAACTAATTTAATTACCTATAATGGCCAACCCGACCTACCAAGTAGGCAGAAAGAAAAAAAAAATTCTCGGTCCTCGCATATTAGTACGGAGTACGGGAGCAAGGGGCTTTCCATGCGGATAACCAACCATTCACTCACTCAGCCGTCCACCCACCCAGCCGCTCGCCCTTTAGTCCCGATCAGGTAGGAAGAGGGAGAAGGGAGGGAAAAACAGGCCAACACTAATCCTCTCCGGCCGCCTACGAGTAGACATTACAAGGCACAGCACTCGGTACGCGGGGGCCAATACGAAATCCAAGTAATTAGTCAACACTCTACAGCCGGCCCGATTGAGCTGGAGATGGGATGGGGGCATCTGGCAGCCTGAATAGAATTCGAGGATAGCTACAGCACCAAGCACGTAGCCGTACTTGTAGGACTCGTAGACCACGTAGCCTGCCTGCTTGCTTGCCTGCTTGCCTGCTTGCCTGCTTACCTGCTTACCTGACGGACCAGGCCCGTGATAGGAGCGGGAGATCACACGGGCTGCGACGAGGCTGAAACATGAAGCAGGCTCCCGAGTTTCATGATATCACCTCGCCCATCAATCACTATCATTTCAGGCCTGACTAGTTAGTTGTACAGGAATATGCCAGCAGTCAGCCAGGACGGAGGAGCTCTCACAAAATTACCCTCATTGAAATGGAGGTTCGCTTGATGTCCAGTCATCTCGCATAAAGTCCCATTCGAGAGAGATCCATTGGCGCCGTCACTATCACTACATCGTGAATTATATAGGTACCTCGTATATCTATCTTATAGATGCCGCTACTAATACCTCCAGCTCCCGCATCTCGAGGCTTGCGCCGTCCAGCTCTTGCATTTCCTTTAGGTGTCGCTCTTCATCCACCCGCGGCCGCACGATCTCGCGATCAGCGACATGCTCCCAGATGCCTCCATCAAAACCCGAACAAATTCTCAATCCCAGTTACATCCGACAAACCACGCAAATCCGCTCTGCTTGAGGCTTCCGATCCAGACCACCAACACCTCGCTTGTCTTGTCGAATATCAATAGCACCCCCTTTCAAATCCAGTCAGAATCTCCATCAATTGTGGTCAAACTTCATGACCAGAACCCAACATGCACACAATTCCCTTCATAACCCACATTCATGATTTCAAAAAACAAATTCTGAGTGACCGAGTACAATCCACAAGCTGCGTCAGAGGCCTCTTCGGCAGCATGACCCTGTCCAACAAGAGTGCCAGGCAGTCCATCTGCTGCTTATCGCGGAATTCCCGGACACCGAATCCTTCTGCCCGCACAACAATCGTCAATCCGAGATCCTGGACTTCGTACAAGGAGACCATCCACCGTGAACACTTAATGGACAGGCAACTATCCCAAGGGAAGTCAACGAATTCATTTCCCCCTTCCGCGAATAATGGTGGGATCACTGAAGAACAGCCTTCATAACCTCGTTTCTCAGCTTGAAAACACCAAGATCATTTCTTGCCCTTCTTTCGACGACTCGCCGAAGTGGATTTTTTTCTTCTGGATTTTGGGGGAGGTTTCTTTTTTTTTTCTTTGCTTTTTGAAGGCTTGGTGATTTTCCAGATGTTTTTGGTCGCCATTCGCTGCTTGGTCACGGCAAAGTGCCAATCAGCCTGCGGCGTGATGAGTTATCAAAATCGCATGTCCCTCAAAGGAATTGAATGACTCATGAACTCCATCCCAGTCAGATCCCGACAAATTAGAAATGAGTCGACACACAACCTGACAGTCCAACATTCCCATAGGCTTCGAGACTCACCATGAGCAAGGCAACTTTGTCCTGCTGTTGGTGTCTTTCCGCGTTCAATATTCGTAGACGATCGTCAACCGTATCCTCATGATCATGAATGAATTGGTGATGATTAGGCACCGTCTGGTCGTGTGGCGACCAATTCGCGTTGGAGGCATGCTGTGGACTCAGCTATTGGATATTCTGTCCGTTGTTGGTGGCCGCGGCACTAATAAAAGGCTGATTTCTGAACACGATAGGTCAGACGGCTTCTTTCTGACCCAAATTAACATCTCGTAGAGCGTCGTTGAGCGAACTTCTTGTTTTGGTGCACGCTGCACTCTTCTGGATCGCCCAGCAAAATAGTCCTTGGGTCCGTTCCAAGAATCCCTGTTCCGACGCCAATTTTCAGGCCTGTGCCAGGATGCGAGAAATCCCTCAGGATTGTCCAGGCACAGACGCCTCTCAACATTGTGAGTTCCTCGGCATGCTCTATCCACGCGTCACAGAATGATGCAGCCTCGACCTCAAGGCGCAAAATGCCGCGCTAAGTCTGGATGCACACCAAGCCTAATCGTGGGCAGCCACCATTCGTTCAGGGCGTTTGTTGGTCTGCAGCGTGGATAGGTGTGCAGGGACATTGGCAACTCCCTGGCTAGGGTGTCCCTAGTGTGATGGGCCTACATATGGTTCTCAGGGGTTTTCGTGAGACAAGGGGAAGCCGGCCGGCCCCCCACTGATGCTGCCGCACGACTCCGCTGTCAGGTGTGATACGAGTCTGTTCCGTCTGGTCAATGTGGGCTAAGCTGAAAGCAGCCAAGCTTCGCACCCAATTCGAATCGGTTGGTCAGTGTAGGCTGTAGGCCCCGAAATCATTCTCAGCACACGCAAGTGGCTGCGACACTGTGGCAAGACTGCAGTGGTGGTCCTCTCGCATTATTAAGTAGCTCTGCTCTCGCCCTTCTGCGATGCTCTCAATTCTTCGTCCTTTTCGGATGTCGCCCACGAGCCCAGATGAGTTCCCCAATGCTCGGAATGGTGCTTTGGCCGGTCCATTGGGTTCCGTGGATGATATATGGTCTCTCTTTGGCGTCTCTTCCACCCACTTGCACCCTCTGGAGTGGCTGGACCGCCAAAGCAGTCTTCTCAGAAGGTCCCAAATTGCATTGCATTTGATAAGGTTGAGCCGAAGAATGGTTACTCTCACAGTGCTTCATCGAGCTCTGGGGAGGCTTTCATCGACATCAGCCTTGTCTGGGACTTTTGAGCCTCACCATTGTTGACGGTTGCCTTTTTGGCATGCTCTCTGCCTTTTTCCTCCCGGCCGGTGGCCTGCAACACCACAGTGCCGGATCTCCTGTGCCAAGTCCGACACACTCTGGCCTAACCGAATTTGGCGATTGCTGCATACCGTCTGCTATACCACAGAAACACGGCCAGATGTCGTTGGCCGTCCAGATCGTGCCTTCGTGGGAAACGCGAGGTCGTCTTTCGCAGTTCTTCTTGTCGAAGCTCATCTTTGCATCCAGAACGCCGAATAGATGCCAACATTACCACGTCATGATGTTCAATCGCGCCGTCATGGTCATTGTCTTTCGTCGCCTTGTTCCTTTCCCTGCGTTTCTGCTTGACCCACGCAGTCGACGTCAGGGTGAACCACGCAAATATGTACTGTCAGCGCATCATCACACAAAAATGCCTTCTCCTCTGTGCCAGAGATGGCACACCACCTTCCTGCTTCGTACCAGCCGCAACGCCGGAGATTCAAAGGAAATTCAACGAGTGACTGACCACGCAATCATGAGCAAATGCAGAAAGTATTGTCTGACCTTCATACTGACCTGAACATATAGGAAAATCATCCATCCACCCCCCATTCACGGTTCTTCTTGCGAATATCTGCCATCCGACTGCCCTGCAAATGCGCGTTGCAGGTCGTCGAGGACGATATCGATTCTTGCAAGACTCTCCATCCTCCTTTCTTTGAGTGGCTGCCCAGCAAAAAATGCTGCATCTACCCGACGTTCTTGCCGCATGGTGGTTATTGCATGTTTTTCCACCGTGCTCTGCCCGGTTCGGAGTGTTGTCAAAGGCCAGACCAGAGAAGAGGGGGAACGCATTCCGAAAATTGGCTGACGTAGCGTGCTCGAGGAGGCAGCCGAGTCTGATTGGGAAGAGGTAACACTTTGCAAGGAGGAGCTGTGATTCATATCAGCGGTGGTACCTCTGTGTTATTGCTGGAACATTCAGATGCGCTGGTAGGGATCTAGGGTTGCAGGGCACTACTTGGGCGCTCTGCAACCTTTGATTACCTGGTCTTGTGATTGAGGCAAAGTACACAAGCACCCTGGATCCGGTTGTTGTCGACGCGAGAACGGAATTGAGCAGTCGTGCGCTCTCTCTTCTTGTGACCACAGAGACTGCACTCGACTGGCAGCCACACCCCTGGGGGCGATGCAGAGGAATGATGGTACCGATGGCCATTATGGAAGAACAGTACTTACCCTATGTTGATGTCTTCCATTGGTGGTGGGTGTGGTGGTGGCAGCGTAGATTTTGAATGTGCGGACGTTGTGGTCGCAGGCAGGTTGCGAGAGGTGACTAATTCCCAAGAGCAGGAAAGTTGTGACAGCTGCAGACTAGATATCGGTAGGGAGCCCAAGTGGTTCTTTGACAATGTAAGAGCCTCTGAGTCTTGAGGATGAAAGGTAGACGAAATGTGAGAGAGTTGGACGGTGTCGTGGGTGCGGTGTTGCGTTAGCAAGGTGCGTGCAGGCAGGAAGTTCGAGAACGGGGATCGGGAGACACGGTCGATCCAAGGAACTAGGACTCCAACACCCTCAGGTTCCTAAGCTCATTCGGGGGGTGAAGGTCTGCTCGCTATTCTTGCAGGACAACTCACGAATCATGTTCTCCCTGGTACTGTCACGTATCTGTTGCGTGGATTTGCTATGCTACGAACTGATCAATGCTTGTTTCTTAAGGTATTGGTGTTTCAATCCACAGGTCGCAGGACAGGCCGCTTCTCCCGCCGCTTCTATCAGACAACGAGAAGCATTTTTTGCCACGCCACCCCCTTCCAGTGATCAGAGAGACAGAGCGCGGCGGTAGTCTGGGGGTGCTCAGGGAACTTGTGTGCGAAATGTGCCACGAGATACAACCCGTTGAGGTAAGGTAGATGGAACTTCCCACGAAAGTGAGTTGACTTTTCGGAGTATTTTCATTTTTCTCCTCAGAGCAACGATATGCAGTCGGCCACGCGCTATGCAATCGACAATCAAGGATCATCGTACCCGTGGAGATGGCGCAGGGAAAGGCCCTTTGGCCGCTGTCAACAATCTTCTTGGGCCTACGCACCCCATTCTCATCCACCCATTAACATCGCCCAGCGGCCCTCCATCCTCGCGGCTCTCAGGTGGGTGTTCCAATCACCATCGCTGTGGCTCATGAGGCTCTGCATGGCGTGGGATGAAAAATTTTCTCATTTATTTTTTGATCCCATTTCTTTCCTCGATATCGGCGGCTGCGGAAGAGGCCAAACTTTTGGTGTTCTGAAAACATTGGCTCAGGGAAAGTCCCTACCGTTTCAGATTGCACCGAAGTGCATACTTTGGTTTTTTTTCTTTCTCTCCGACGACAGAGGCCTGAGCGCCTTCCCACGTGGGTGTGATTCTTCGGGTGACACAATGAACAATTGTGCTCTGTCAGAACGCAAGGGGTAAACGAAGGGTGGGCAACGCTCCAGTCCTACTCGTAGGTACCTTTAGGGGGAGGGAGGAGGGTGTGCTCTCAGCGGGGAATGAGGGGCTCTCAATGGCAACCCAGAATGACATAATAGCGATTTGCGCCGTGCGCGCCTCCTACGAGCACTACGAGGGAGTCAGAGGGCCCTAGGCGGCGTCTGGGCTAGGTGGTCCTGGTGGCACCGATGGTGAGGAGGCTAGCCCAAGTGCCCGGCAGCCACACCTAGAGCTTATGCCGGGGGTGCGTGAGGCATGAATCTTCACTGCGAGTGCGTTCCTCACCAGCCTAAACCGTGCGAGGAGGGCTTATCGATAATCATCGCTGATGCCTCAGATACGCGAACAGCAACTACTCCCTGGAATTCACAGCTGTGTTTTGGTCCTGCACCCCTGCACCTCATTTTCCCATCAACCCGAAATACACCATTGTGTTCGAGTCTGTGTTTCCTACCAGCGGCTGGCGGCAGTCAGAGTTTGGACTCGCACATTGTTTACCCCGAACACTCCAGATGACTTGTCTGTTGGCAATGTGATTTGGCACATCCACTCCCCAACGCTGGGACTTTTTACGAGCAGCGAACCTTCTTCAGTGCGAGAGCGTCATGCCATTCGCTTGTTCCTTACAAAGCTCGGTCTGTTGCAGCCCACCCTGCAGGGAGGTGTCGGTTGCAATCGGGGCCTTTGTCTGGGGCCCTCGGTACACTGGGTGAGAGCGTTCATGCACGGGCCTTTCAACCAACGCACCCCAAACACGCTCTGCACATGACGCGCGCAAAGGCAAGGTCACAAACTATCAATCTGGACCACTGCAGTGCTTGGAACATGATTGGCCTAGCACGGCGGCCAGATGTGAGAACGGTTTTCTGTACTTGAAGTTCTCCCGCAACACTTTCCCGGCATGCGGTCACCCTTGCATTTCGAGCCAAACATCGACTTCTAAAGTCCAGGGCATCGGCCACTGGGGCCCAATAATCGCTTCGGGTGCCAAAGGTCCCCTGCCGGTTGGGATTGTACTCTACATGCTGGTCTGCACCTAAAAGTGCCCCAGGACTCGCAGTCTCGATGCGGTTGACCTGACCATTGGCTGGCTACCTTCTACCTGGTTGTCATACGCATGATCGGTGACTTTTCTGGGACCTCAAGAACGGCAACCTCAGGTTCTAGGGAGCCGTGGTGACCTTGAGGTACTTAATAATCCACAAGACCCCAGACGAATCGAGACTCATTCTTTCCTCCCGGATCTTCATCAAACATGTCTTCAGTGAACAGTCCGCGACCAGACCCGGGCATGTCTCGCATGCAGCGGGTGAATCGCTACCTTGACCAGAGCTACAACTTCGATCACCTATACGCGGAGATCTCCAGCTCGGAGTACCACAAATACAAACAATCTGAGCTCAACCAGGTCCTCGACATTCTCATGACCCTTTTCGATTCGACTCCCGGCAGTGCTGTGCCCACGGGTCCCCGTCGCGATCCCCTGCGAGAGCAGCCAGAGCTTGGTTGGTTTCCCCTCCGCAGAATGTCAATGGTGGAAGGGTTTCTGACAAGTGCCAGCATTCGTCGGAGCCCGCCTACAAGCAACATGAGGGATTAATTGGAGGCTAATATGCCAATGGAATGCATCATGGCACCATCTGCATGTGCAGCTGGCAGGCCTGGCGAGGGTCACCAGTGAGATTGCCGGATCGGCCCGCCGTATCGGTCTACACTCCCTCCCCGCCTGGGGGTGTCCGCTGGGGTTACGCAGCTACCCTACTAGATCCTCCTTATTTCAAGCTTGGTGCCGGTGTTCGACCGCTGGGGATATGTGGCATAATTGTTCCCGACACCAAGCGCCAGTCACGAACTCCTCTCGATACAAACCACTAACTAGCATTGCCAACAGAAAAGGCGGTTGGACTTGTTGATTGTATGGGTACATTTGTTAAGGGTTGGCTGTACCTTGCAGAGTGGGGTGCATGCTTAGGGACTATGTACGGTACTTGTTTGTCTGGAGTAACTGTGGCTTAGTACTCAGGTACGAGGTACCTCGTACATTTTGGAGGAGTAGAAAGGCCGTAATAATAATTGGGAGCGCGGGTGGGTGGCTGAGTGGCACAGGTACGAAGCACCGGTGGCTAGGTGGGCGCTATTAGTGCTGTTCGGGGCGCTCTCGGTACTCGGTATTGTTAGGTGCTGTAGTGAGTACTAGTAAGTTTTGTGTATCGGCCTCATTGGCTCAGCGTCTCATTTTCTACGTCATAACACTCCCAGTCACGTGCACTTAGCCCTAATCATTGGCGGGCATCCCTGTTCCACAGGCGCCACCTGCCCAGATGTTTTTCCAAACCGCGTCCCAGTTCGACTGTCCATCGTCATCGTGGCACTTCAACCATTGAGTTTTGTCTTCATTGTGCTTTGATTGTTTCTTCTCTTTCGATTCTTTATCTTTAGCCCCGGTCAGATTCTGTTTTCCGTTTCTGCTCTTTGAAATATGCTGGCTGGCGGTTTCTTAGTCGACAAATAAAGATGCGTATGCCATTCCCCCTTTCCGCGTGCCCACCTTCTCCTGTTTTTGCTAATCTCTCTGCCCAGATCGCGTGAGAGCATGGGCACATTCATCTGCCCACAGGCACAACTTCAACCCCTGGTCGGCCATCCATGACAGTCAAGACTCTTCGGCGAGTAAGAGTCCACCGCAGAGTGAAGATGCGCCGGAACAGAAACAGCCCAAGGGCTCCGTGTTCAGTCGCGTCATAGCCAATATCAAAGTCGCACTGTTCCACAGTTGGGTGAATGTTCTCCTCGTCTTTGTGCCTGTGGGCATCGCCATCCACTTTGCCGGAATCAACCAGAATGTGGTCTTTGCTGTCAACGCGGTTGCCATTATCCCCTTGGCTGGCCTTTTGACATTCGCTACCGAAAGCGTGGCGCATCGACTTGGGCCTACTTTAGGAGCTCTCCTGAATGTGAGTTTTGGAAATGCTGTGGAGTTGATCATATTGTAAGTCTTTTTTTTGGCCCATGGATTATGCAGTGTGCTGACAGTATGTAGTATGTACGTGATGCTTGACCCCAACGAGACGGCGTCGCTAACCTCCCAAAAGTATCGCCCTAGTCAAGGATGAGATTCGTATTGTGCAAGCTTCCCTCATCGGCTCACTTCTCGCCAACCTCCTCCTCATATTGGGTATGGCCTTTTTGATTGGAGGGCTAGAATTCCAGGAGCAGATTTATGACAGCACTGTTACTCAGATGTCGGCTTGCTTGCTGGCACTGGCAGTTCTTAGCCTGCTGATCCCGGTGAGTTTCAATGCTTCGTGCTGACTCGGGCTCCTCGTCGAGAATATGCTGACTAAATTCATCAGACCGCCTTCCACGCGTCTTTCAGTGACCTTCAAAAAGCTGACCGTGCAGTCATCAAACTCAGCCGAGGGACTTCTGTGATACTACTCATCATCTACGTGCTGTATCTGCTCTTCCAACTAAAGTCTCATGCATATCTTTACCAAGGAACACCACAACACATCATCGATGAAGAAGCCACCCCGGGCATCCTTCAACGTTTCGACTCTACCAGCTCTTCGTCCGCCAGCTCTTCAAGGTCATCTCTTACGAGTGGAGGCTCACATAGGCGTGTGAGCAAGAGGCTCAGGGCCAAGCTGGGCAGGAGACGGGAGGTGAAGACCGTGATCGAATCTGAAGCGGACAATGGAGAACCCGCAGTACAGTTTGGTCAGAATGTGATTGATGTCCACGCAGAAAAGACTGCCGAACCACAGGAGATCAAGTCGGGAGATGCATCAATGGAAGGTATGCCAACCAATCCTGCTGCAGCTTCAGCCAAAGACAAGAAACCCAACATCGGGCCTCGCGGACTCTCTTTCCGGGCTCCACCAGTTTTCCGATCATCAACACACCCTGCTCCAAAAGGCAGAGAACCAAATTATCCTTCACATCCCCTTCGGCACTATCAGTCAGCACCTAATGACCAGCAGAGCCAAAGTCCGGGGGCTGCACGAATTGCACGCCGCTCTACACCGAAAAGTAACCCCGCGGAGGAAGACGCCCCTCCTATGAGTCAAACCGCATCACTCATCCTCCTGCTTGTCTCCACCGGCCTTGTTGCACTATGTGCCGAGTTTCTTGTTGGAAGCATTGAGCATTTGGTGGAGGACTCTCCCTTGTCGGAGGCGTTTATTGGGCTAATCATCCTACCCATCGTTGGCAATGCCGCCGAGCATGTCACGGCGGTCACGGTCGCCGCCAAGAACAAGCTCGACCTTGCCCTGGGGGTATCTCTCGGGTCGTCTATTCAAATCGCGCTCTTTGTCACTCCATTCGTCGTGATCCTAGGATGGATCATGGACAAGGACATGTCTCTATACTTCAGCTTGTTCGAGACCGGGTCGTTGTTTGTTTCCACTTTCATCGTCAACTTCCTGGTCCTAGATGGACGCAGCAACTATTTGGAGGGTGCGCTATTGTGCGCGTGTTACGTGATTGTTGCTGTTGGGGCATACTTCTTTCCAGACGGACAGGACCAAAGTTCACTGACAAGTGGGCCCTCGAATTGATTTGTGTTCACCCGCCGAAAGTCGTCTTTGCCAATTTGTGTATTCGACAGAATTGAAGTAGTCGACCTCAATCACGAATCGGCTTTGCAACACGGCTTATAACCCAGAATGGGTTTCTATACTACATGCTCTGGTCTGCACTGGGTGGCAGTTGGGTTCTCAGGCGGTGACGCAATCGACGACAGTTCCCTTCGCCATGGGAAAGCCCCAATCGATGTCTTGCCGGCTGGAACCAGACAAATTCCGATGACCTGTATGCAGGACGGCCAAGTTGCTGACTGTCTTGTTGTTAACGTCTGCTGCCTTTTTATCCGGGCGCATATTCCCATACGAGTCAATCCGCCTTATAATCAAGAGCAACCGATTGGCAATGCGGTCTTTTTCTTGTGGCTCATGGGAGAGGCCTCTTTACAAAACAGAGGAAAGCATAAAGCCCCCGGGTCCTGAGACGGCGGGTATGCTCTCATCCTCGGGGTTTCATGTGCATTCGCTCGATCGCCGCCTTCAAGCATGTTGACCAGGTGGTCCAGGTGGTCCAGGTAGTAGAAAGCAGGATGAGGTCTGATCATACCAGAGGGTGTTCTGAGGAGCTTGTTACGGCTAAACAACCTGTGTCGGACAGCCATGGTCACAAGCGGCTCAGCCTGTTGCATTTGTGGACACATACTTGGTTCGAGCTGCGGCCTTCACAACTCATCTACCAGGATGACTTGGCCATAGCATGAAATAGAAGTTGCGATTGGGACTGTGAATGGGAGAGTCGAGACGCACAACATATTAGATACTCGAGAGAGCTGGTTGTGCGAGTTCGTAAAAAAAAAGATATCTGTATATTCCTGAACGGGCAAGGCTGTGCTTGCTCCACGTGTCCAGCAACGGAGCACGGACACGGACACGGAGCGCGGAGCAGCGGAGCAAGTGACTCACAATCGAAGAATAGTCAATTAAAAATTTCATCAACGATGAAAGGCCTCGAGCATCGACGGCAGATGTGGGCGTCGCTGGCCTGACCCTCTTCCTCGCATTGCATGCCCAACCAGGCAAGTTTCCGTGGGGCAATGTGCCGTTGACTCAGGTGGGGGAAGACATTGACGAAGTGCGAACTCTCTAGAGTGTCGGTAGATACGGAGCAACTAAAACCTACAGGCTACAGCGAACAGACACGGTGTTCCCTCCACCGCTGGATCCGGACGTTTTCGGCAGTAATTGACCAGCAAACGAAGGCGTACGTTTCCAATTCGAGGCCAGATTGCTGAAATCGGTTCATCGTCGTGGGTGCCTGGGATATAGAGACACTTCTCTTATCAACTGTCAAGGGATAGTGGATTACTTGTGTTTCAGGGGGTACAACAGGGGGAGATACACGTCCACAAGCACCTCGACAAGGCTAAATATACGGATACGACGGTCGCTTGCTTGCTCTCTCGCTGCCCGAGTCCGACACCACCGACACAGACCCTAGCTTCGGCTACAGTGCTCCGCTCACGAATCCCACATAGGAGTATATAACCCTTGCCTTTTGTCTCAGGGGTCGAAACTGTGAGGCTCAAGACAAGAACCAGCAAAGGTGGCCTCTGGAAATTTTTAAGTTAACAAGGCGGAGTGGTAGGACTGGGAGACACACCAGGCTACTTGCGAAAAACTGTTGGAAGGGAAAAAAAAAACGAACCCATATCAACTCTCATCCGCGCCTGTTCGTGATATCAAGATGGCGTCGACGACATCTCAGAAGTCGAACGACCGGGATCCGACATTCCGCAACTACGATTCCTCGTCCGCAGCCAGATACCTCCAAAATCGCCCCAGATACCCTGACACGCTGATTGATCTGATCGTCTCAAAGCACACCTCTTCAGGTGGGGAGCTGGACCTGGTGGTCGACGTTGGCTGTGGACCGGGCATTGCGACCCTCTCCCTGGCGCCGCACTTTCAACATGCCATCGGGGCAGATCCCGGTCAGAACATGATCGAGACGGCAAAGACCGTCCCGTCTACGACGAAATCGGGCGAGCCTATCAAGTACGAGGTCTGCTCGGCCGAAGCGTTGAGCACATTATCTGCACTCAAAGAGCTTTCAGACACTGGTCTAGAGTGTGTGGATCTCATCACAGCCGCAACCGCGGCGCATTGGTTTGACATGCCTCGCTTCTGGGGGGAGGCGGCCAAGATCCTCAAACCCGGCGGCAGTGTCATCATCTGGTGCTACGGAGGCCACCGGTGCGACCCGAACAGCACGCCCAATGCGGAGAAGCTCCAGGACTGGTTCAAAACCTTTGAAGAGGAGGTGATCAGCCCTTACGAGCTGCCCGGAAACCGACTGGCGCGGGAGTTGTACGTCAACCTGGGGTTGCCGTGGGAATGCCTCGAACGGATCGACGACCCGGCGGATCAGGGACTGAAGACCCTGCTGAAGGAGTTTGATGAGGAACGGTTCGAGAGGATCGAGTCGAGCCGCGAAGGCCGCATCTCCGAGGGGGTGGCTTTCTCGGAATTTCGCAGGTTGGACTTTGCAAGAATCAAAGCCTTGCTGGGTACCGCCAGTCCCATCACCCGGTGGAGAGAGGCCAACAAAGAAAAAGTGGCGAAGGGCGAAGTGGAGGATGTCCTGGACTTGATGGTTCGAAGGACCAAGGAGATCATCGAGGAGGTGCCAGAGGGGAAAGGCAGGGACTTTGTCGAGAGCGGAAGCGGGATGGTCATATTGGTTGTGAAGAAGAGGAAGTAGAGATGGTGGGAGGAAGGGGGGGTTTCTTTGGGGACCGGGGAAATGATAGAGGTATTTTCTAGTGCGTAAGAATTTCTGGTTCGAGGATTTTAGGTAGAGAAGAAGACATCGTAGTCCTTTCAGGGGGCAGAGCCTTGAGAGCCATCCATGCTTGTACTCGGATCCTTCGACTGCTCTCCCATCGGCGGATTGATTTTCCGAATCCTTGGCAGCAAGGCTGCTCCTCACAAGGCTGCCAATGCTTCACAATTTTTAAGATTTCTGGTCCCTCTCCGCCTTGACTGCACCGCCATTTGCATCACCGCCAACGATCGCCGTTTCACGTCCGTGTCTCGTTCAATACAGTCGCTTCCGGCCGTACAGCACTTTCTCTCAGCGGACGACCCAGAGACTATCGCGAATCTTGCGCTCCGTGGCGCAACCGGAGGAAAATGAAGCTTGTTAGGTGCGTCGCGCTTCTTATACCTCCCAAGACTGTCTTTATTGGAGTCGCATTCGCCTAGAATGTAGCTGACTGGGTTATGGTCGACAAGTGGGAGACGCTGTTGCTGACCTCGTACTAGGTTTCTCATGAAATGCGCAAATGAGTCGGTGACGATCGAACTCAAGAACGGCACCATCGTGTCGGGCACCATCACCTCGGTGTCTCCGCAGATGAACACGGCCCTGCGGGCGGTCAAAATGACCACCAAGAACCGGTCGAGCCCTTCCGCCCCCGGCGAGACGGTCAGCCTCGACACGATCAACATCCGCGGCTCCACCATTAGATACTTCATCCTCCCGGACTCTCTGCCGCTCGACACGCTGCTCATCGACGACCAGCCGAAGCCGAAGAACAAGGCGAGGAAAGAAGGCGATTCGCGCGGTCGAGGGAGAGGGGGCAGTCGGGGACGGGGAAGAGGCGGGCGTGGACGTGGGAGAGGGAGAGGATTTTAGAGTCCGTCCGGCGCGCACACCACAAATCTCGGGGGACTGCGAGGTGCACATCTACATTGTCGGACAGGTTACTCTGTTGTCTGGCGTCCGCGCATACCGGACGACGCCCGTGGTCATCATCAGACCGTCTTGATTTCGATGAGGAATACAGCACCCCTGCAACCAACAGCCCTGCGGCAGGGCAGAGGAGAGCGGACGCGCATGCAACGAGCCGCTCAACACACACGCACCAATCAATATGTTGTTATGATGGAAATATCACTACACGGGACGCATTACGCAACGGTGTCGAGTTGCTACTGCAACGTCGCGGCGGGGGAGGGGTCCTGAAGGAACTGGTTCTGGAGCAGCTCTGCTGCGCGAAGAGACCCGCGACAGCTGGCGCAGGCGAAAGGTGAATTTGAGGCACAGCGATTGCTGTGAGAAGAAGGCTTGGATTCTCTTGATACCGCGAGACGCTGCAGAAATTATTCAGGCCATGAAAAAGGGAATTTCGGAACGACCAGATGCTCTCGCAAACTCTTTTCTGCACCTATTTGGTTCCTCGCGTTTTTCCTTGGGCTGTGGCTGTCCTTTTGTCCAAGATCGCCATTGCTGACTCGCGGCATCAAGGATGTTTGGCCCTGGTAAGAAGAATTTGCTCCATGCAACTGCGCGATCATTCCCAGTACGATTCACCTACTTAGCGAACCACAGATCGTACTCTGTACCCAAGTGGTACTTTATCCAAAGCTCGACGCCCCGGAGGGCAACTAATAGCGAGGTTCACCATACTTGTACATACCTCGTCTTGAGGCTCGTATCTGCGACCGTCACTCGTGCACTGCAGGACGCAACGACAAGTTGTGGTGGTGGAAATGGAGTGATATGTATTCTCCGCTGCATTTTGTTTCGATTATCACTCCAAAGCTCCCCTGTTGGACAATCCCCCTCCAGCAGCCCTAGGGAAGTAATGGGTAATACTCTTATGGGGACAATGACATACCAAATCCCCTCCGCCCATGGATGCGCGCGCCATTGCATTGCACCTCCCCGCTTTTTGACGTCCGCCATCAGAAGCCCCTCTTCGTCCTTGCAGGTGAATTTGATGCTTTTGCTTGAAATCGTGGACCTCAGCCGGATGGCATAAACCTCGGGCACTCATTATTCAGGGGGTTCACCGTCGGACAACGATGAAGACTCGACTCGACTCGAGTCGAGTCGTCGCAAAAGCGACGCTCTCGAAAGGAGTGTTATTCCTCTCCCGTCCGACGACAGGATCTGATGAAAGTTGCGTGATCTCGTGCCCGCAGGATCATGCGCCTGGACGAGCTCGTCGACATCGCCTGATAGTTGATGCTGATGGTGCATGGTGGCTTGCAGAATACGAGATGGCGCACCACCTCTCACGATGCCGGGCGAAGAGATATATATATATTTTCATGGTATGTTAGACGCAACGTCTTCTCGGGAATCTTCGTCGATTCAATTTTATTTTATACGCCCTCCGTATATCAATATCCCCTTGACAACCCAAAAAGAAACATGTGGTTTGGGAAGCAAAGAGGCATCGAGGATAGCAAGACGCTTGATTTTGAACCGTCGGGAGGCCTGGTTACCGCCGCATTAAATAGGTTAATACTGGGCGTCTCTACACCGGGCATAACGCTAGGTTTATCGGAGTCTAAGCTTCTCAGTACTATCGTGGATCCCCTGAAGATTGCCGGCAGCGCCCTCTCAGTACCAGGAGAGAATGCAACGAACATAGCGCTGGGTTCATCGGAGTCTAAGCTTCGCAGTACCATCGTGGATCCCCGGAAGATTGGCGTCAGCGTCTCAGTACCAAGAAAGAATGCAGCAGGATCCTCAGTGGTCTTCGAGAATGAGTAAGTCCTCTCCTGTGTCAGCGGAGCCGTCTACTGATGAAAAGGACAGAGACAAGATGGAGCGAGGCGATGTAGTGCCTTCGAAGACTGAACCCGATACTTCAGCGGAGCGAGGTGAGAGTAGTGCTCAGCCCCCAGATGGAGGACATCCCCCTGATACCACTGGGGTAACAACTTCCTCCGAGGCCTTGCGCCACAAAAAAGCTGTCCTGCAACAGGCCAAACCGAAGTCGGGCACACCACCACATGATGAGAAGGCCGATCCCGATCCATCTCCTGAGCAGGGTCAAGAGAGTCCAGCCATCAAACAGTTAGGCGCTATTGTCGCCGAGCTGCGGCAGATCAAGGACAAGACGGGGGAATCTGACTGGGACTTCTTCTTCAAGAACATCGGCACGGTGGCCTCGCTCGGCGCCTCCATCACCTTCGCGCTCATTGTCACAGACATCAAAGATCCCCGTCTGGTCTCGAGACACGGGTGGATCGACCTGTCGACGGTGCGGATCATGCTCGCCACCAGCTGGATCCTGTTCATGGCCGTCCTGTCGCTGTCGTTCAGCTTCGGGCAGAGACTCAAAAACCACAACTCGGGCAGTATGCCGTTCTTGACGGTGTATATCCTGGAGCTGGCGGCGGTCATGTGCTTGTCCTTTGTTGTCGCCGCGTACGTGGAAGTCGTGGGCTACGTGGGGATAGCGTTAGTCTCAATCGCGGTGATGCTTGTCTTGGTTGAAGCAGCAACGTGGCCGCTTCCAGAAGAATCCAAGGAACGCTCAAGACACCCATCTAAGGAACGCTCAAGACGTTCAGATGCCCTTGAAGAAAAAAAGATACGTCGGGGGGGGACGCCCACGACGCCCACCCTTCCCGGCGTCTCAGTTACGTATGATCAAAGTGGGACCCATTGATGTCGAAGAGTTGGACGGATGCCGTTCTGGTTCTGAAAAGGGGGGGGGGGGGTGAAGACTGTTCTGGTCTCCAGGATTGGTTGCATAGTGCTGGGAAGGCCAGTCAATCTGGGACACAGCGAAGGACGATGAGGGAGCGGAGGATCAGGGGAGGCCGCCACATCCTTGTCCGCCACTCCATACACAGTTACCATGGATGTACTATCAGTAATTCAGCGTGTCACCAAGTGTGGCTGGCAACATGACAATAGCAGCGTGTTATCCTCTGGACTCCGTACATGGCCACATATACCTACCTCCTCACGGACCTAATCTCTCACCATCTCCACACACGGTACGATTACTCGTGCAGTGCAAGATGGGATGGGTCCCCGAAGACCCCGAGCCGTTCGAAGGAACCTCAGCATCTGTCTCTTCCTCTGCGCATCGGATCGCTGGGAAGAAGCTTGAAGCCAGTTCATTAATAATTCTCGGATGCTTAGATTGTGGAAAAAAAGGCCTCGGAAAGGGCCTCGTGTGAGATCTCAGGCCAAGCCACCCACCCCCGCGCGCCCTTCCCTTAGCCTCGTATACAAGACAGTTTTATTATTATTTTTTCAGGCGAGCTACGAGTAGTTAGTCCCAGATGACGGACTCCACCGTGGTTGCGTCCGTGATCAATGGCCCCGTTGATAACAAGGAGGCGACACGAAAGGAGGGTTCAGCTGCCGATGTCGCCCCCTTCCCTGGTTGATGGATGACAAGGCCCGCGATGTGCGCATCGAGGTAGGTAGAAGAGAGAGAGATATAGGTGGCTCTTCTCGAATACATCTTCCCCTACCCACTATACCTTGATGATATTTCAGATTCAGCATCAAGAATAGGAAGTATTCCCAGCAACAACAATGTCGCTCGAGATCCAAACACCGTACGGAACGGCGCTGCCGCCCGCACCAAGGCACGCCATCACCGTCCATCTCCCCCAGTGGCAATCGATCGTGCGCTTCCGGGACCACGACCCGGAGCTGTTCAAGGCGCTCAAGAGCATGTACCCGCGCTTCATCCTGCACAAGGACGTCCTGGAGGTACGTACCGTTCTTTTGCGACGGGCCGAGCCCTTTTGTCGCAGCGTGAACTGATGCAGAGTGTTGACGCAAAATTCCAGCTCACCGAGAAGATCACCGAGTTCGCCGGCGTCGCGGGACAAGGCTGCTTTCTGTTCCCCTCCCTGCAAGCCGCGCGCGATTGCAAGGAATATGCAACCTCTCCGCGCAGGGGAGAGGGGACGATCCCGCGCGACAAGGTCTCGATCCGGATCTTCAGGACGCATCGCCCGCTGCTGTACGCGGTCATTTTCCCCGCCGAGTCCACGGGCACGGTGCACGGCTTCTGGGTCAACGCGGGCGTCGGCATCTCCTCGCGCCTGGCGGAAGACTGCCTCCAGCATATCAGCTCGCTGCGAGAAGTCCCGGAGGGAGGAGAGGATGAAGAACCCACCACTGACACGACGGCGACTGACGATGCCGCTCGTCAACAGGTCAAGGAAAGGATAGCAGGGCTGATGAACCGGGCTCCGACCGACCCGCGACGCACGGCGCGAGTGTCGCCCACTGACGTCCACTTGTTCTCGACCGGCATGGCCTCGATATACTGGGTCCACCGCTACTTGCTGAGCAGGTACGACTCGCCGTCCGTCCTGTTCGGCTTCTCGTTCCACTCGACGATCCATGTGCTCGAGGACTTTGGGCCCGGCGTCGAGTTCCTGGGCCTGGGGTCGGGCCAGGACCTCGACCGGCTCGAGGAACACCTCGTGACGCAACGGGACCAGGGGAAGACAGTGCAGGCGATCTGGGCCGAGTTCCCCTCCAATCCGCTGCTGAGCACGCCGGACCTGGGCCGGCTCAGACGCCTGGCCGACGAATACGGCGCGCTGCTTGTCCTGGACGACACGGTCGGGAGCTTCTGCAACGTCGATGTCCTCGACGTCGCCGACATTGTCGTCACTTCCCTGACAAAATCGTTCAGCGGGTACGCGGACGTCATGGCCGGCAGCGCCGTCCTCAGCCCTCTGTCCGCACGGTACGCGGAGCTCAAGGCGTTGTTCGACGCGGAGCACCACGACGACTTGCACGTCCGCGACGCCGAGACGCTGGAGCACAACAGCCGAGACTACCTCGACCGCTCCGCCGTGCTGAACCGCAACGCCGAGAAACTGGTCGAGTACCTCCAGAGTAAGGCGCTGGATCCCACCAGCAGCGTCACAGACGTCTTCTACCCGACCGTCAACCACGACACGCTTCCCAACTACACGCCCTATATGCGCAAAGCGACCCCTGAATTCCCCCATCCCGGGTATGGGTGCCTCCTGAGCGTGGAATTCCGCGACATCGAGGCCACGATCGCGTTCTACGACAACCTCCACGTCCACAAGGGTCCGCATCTAGGGGCGCACCTGACACTGGCGTTGCCATACTCGCTCGGCGTGTACGGGAACGAGGCCGACTGGGCGAGCGGGTACAATGTCAGGCAGGAACAGGTGCGGATTTCCGTGGGGTTGGAGGAGACGGAGGAGCTGGTCGACAAGTTCAGATGGGCGGTGGAGGCGGCTGATGGGCTCGGTAGGAGGAGCGTGGACTTGAAGAACTGAATGCCCAAGGGGAAAAAATTTCCGGTTCTGTATGGAGCATACCGAAACATACATAAGCCATTGTCAACGTGAGATATCGTGCTGTCGTCCCGTCGACGGTAGACGAAGATTATCGCGATACTGTGATGTGTGATTCCTCAACACCTGCCCGGTCCAGCCTCGACACAGGCCTGCGACAGCTTTGACCGCAACACCAATCCGTAGGCATTCGCACGTGTCGAACCCGTAGGCGACTTCGTCTCGTTCCGCTTCCTGTCATAGTAAGCGAGCTGTGAAAATAGTCGAGTTCAAGACCGGTTGTCGGCTCTGGACAACTATATCGAGAATCTTTCATCGCGGGGGATTGGGGAAGACGAGACAACAGAGATGCAGAAGGGCGAGAATTTTTCAGGAAATGGATTGCTGTTGTTTTTACATTGCTCGAAACCGCGCGCCGGGCAACCCGCCCTTCGCCCTCACTGAAATGTATGTGCTTGCTTCGTTCGGCCTGGGAGGGAAAGCGCCGCGTTTCTTCCCGGCTTGAAATCAACTCAACAGGTGCAGCAGCAAACAGGGCGAAAACGGCCACCACCTGGATGCGCGTGTTTCTTGCGTTTTCACCAAACCCCCCCCCTTGCCCTCGCTCACTCCCGGCCCTTTTCCTCCCCCTTTTTTTACTTCTGAGAGTTCCTCATTTCTTCGTCTGGTTCATCCTGTTTTCTAGTTCCGTCACGTACGAGTGGATTCGCTGCACGGCGGCTTGTAGGGCCTAGGGTGTCGAGGGGGTTAGCCATCCGGTTTTGAAGAGCTAGAAGCTTCGGGAGAGTAGAGGTGGTCGTTGTCGCCAGTTTGTGGCGTACAACTTGTGTCCCAAATTTGACATCGCGAAGAGCTCGGAGAGTGTGTAAAGCGGTAACATAGGTCGGTAAAATCACGTACATAGATATCCTCCGTCAACAACTCATTGGAAACCTTGTATTCCTCGAGGATGTAGTAGTAGACGGACGCGCCGGCCAGGGTCGAACCAAGTAAGAAACCGAACAGTCTAAGGAGGCGCGCGGTATCAGCGGTTCGTTTCTCTTATCCATCCCCAGGTAGCACCCTTCTTGTGCCGAAGCTTCCTGCGAGCTGCATGGTCTTTTGTCCGTCGCTATTGGGGTCGGGGGGGGGGGGGAAGCTCACCCTCCTCGGAAAGCTCCCATGGGCTTTTTCACAGGTACCGACGCAGCCGCACCGGCTTCTTGGAATCTTCTGCTCGTCGACTGGAATGATCTCGATTGGAACTGGGGGAGAGCTCTGAGCGTCCGAGACGCGAAGGAGAAGCGCGGGACGAGCAGGCGGGACGCCATGGCTTTCGGAACGACAGGTTCGAGTGGAATTGCAGCAGAGGAGGGCAGGGTTGTGCGTGTTGGAGTCGAGTTGGAAGAAGACGTCGAGCTCGACGCAATGGAGAGAAGTGGAACTGCGGTGGTTTAAGGGTGGGATCGACGCTCGGGCGGGATCGCTTCAAGACGAGCAATATATTCCGTCAGAGAAGAATGGAGTTCGGAAGACTACAAGCTGATGATGGCAGCGGAGGACGAAGCAGAATTATTACTCCACATTTTGGGGCCCACGACTGACTAAATCTGCGGCTGTACCTGGCGAGCCTGGGTATCTTGCTACTTGTGAGCCTGCACAAGTGCCACCAACACAGCTCCAACGCTACAAGTCCAACGTACATCATTCCCTTCCGGTCCCAATGACCATGATCCTAATCTCCTTGCTTCTCTATGGAATGCAACGAAATGTCATTGTTCAGTCCACAAACAAGTCCGCCAGCAGATCCTTCCTACATGCCGCAAGATCGGGCGGTTGGAGGCTGTATGTGTCTTCAAAAGCATGGATACTCAACTGCCGGAAGAACGGGCGCAGAAGGGTAACGGGGTCCTCACTCGTTCGCGTCGTGTCTGTGCACAGCCATGGCGTCCGGGCTCCAGTGTCTGACACCGTGGGAAGCTCGGCCTCGTGGCTCCCCTTGCTCACCATCAGGTCGGCGATTGCGGTGGACTTGAAGTCGTGCGGAGGGTATACTGCGTCAACCGTGTCGGTCACGAACAACCATTCGTGCAGCTGGAACTCTTCTGGCTTCAGGAGAAGGAGGAGGTCCAACAACTTGGCTCCCTGCAGCTGTGAATAGCCCGTGAATACAGCCTCGCCTCCCTTCTGCATGCTCATGAATAGTTCTCGAAGCTCGACATCTACTATTGGCCATAATGAGACTAGATGCATCTGAGTGAATGCCAACGTCAGAGCCCGAAGAACCAGATAGACATCTCCGCGGGTGCTAGACGATGGAGACGAGGATGGGGTTGCCGTAAGGAGTTCCTCGAGTCTGTTGACAATCTGGCTGAGATCTGACACGAAAGCATCCATGTCGCCAGCCAACAGAAGCAGAGCAATCCGCCTCAGGTTGAGCTGGGTCTTCCTGTCGGCCTCTGTTCGCGCAGCCGCAGCTCCAACACCAAACATCAGCCCTGCCGTTGTGGGAGGTGTCAATCGGGACACAAAGTCGGCCATCAGCCCTTTATCAGAAAGCCAAAGCTGCTTCAATACTGGAAGCCATCCAGTCTCAGCCAGCCAAGGAGCCGACTGGAAGAATTTGTTGTCGTTGATGGCATCCTGAATGTCTTTCTTCCAAACCTTGTTGTTCGGCTGGGATTTGGCCATGAGAAGGACAAGCTGCAGGATATCCATGTTGACTGTTTGAGGAAATTGCTTCGATCGTAGAGCCGGTCCGGTAACATAGGTGGCCACGCCGGGAAGTGTGACATTTAGCCTGTCTTGATCTCCCAGTGCACTGCCGATGATAGGCAGGGCTTCACACAAGACCTCGATAGCGTTGCCAGCTTGTAACGTGCTCTTCCGCCGCATGGTTTTCGTACCCGTCGAATTGGAGACGTCCGGCAATGGCTGAGCAGTTGAGTCAAGTCCTGCAGGCCTTACCGTAAATATGGCTGTAAGAAGTCTCGCACACAGATCGCTCAGTTCTCGACGCATTTTAAAAACTTCCCCAAAATTGGTGTTTTCCATCTTCTGGCATAGGACCGCCACAAATTCCAGAAGCTTTAGCAGAATCTGACGGTGCGGCATAGGGTTGGCGAGAACCTCCCGCAGGAAGGCTGTGCAATCGGTCCAGATCTCTTCGAGCAGATCATCTTCAAGCGCGCTTGTGTAAGCAATCAGAAACGCCATCAACTCAGGTGCACTAACGTCCACTGACAAGCTGGATTTCTGAGACTGATCTAGGGCTGACGGGTTCGTCCGATTGTAGATCGCATTAAATGTGGCAGGCATCATGAATTTCGGTCGCGCTCCGTCGAGGCTCTGCATCAAATTAAGAGTGATGTCTTGCTGGGAATCTCGGCGAGCCGCCTCAATCCACATGCCCATCAGTGTCTCAAGACATTCTTGCGGTTCAGCGTCCGCAAGATGCTCCAGAATCCTTCGGGTTCTCGTCCGCAACCGTGTGGAGATATACGCAAAGGATTTGTTGTCTGGTGCAGAATTTGATGGTATTTTGAGCATTCGCCAGGCCCAAATCTCCCCGCATAATTTGATCGTGTCTTGCATGCAGAGAATAACAGTCAGCCGATGATTCGCAATCGAGCGCGACTGAGATTTTTCTGAACTGTTCGGATTTGCCTCAACCCCTGAAGCGTGATCCACAAGGTGCGTGTGCGCTCTTGCTAATATGTACTCAAGCCCGGCAAGTAAGTTATTGACCGATCTTTCTGGATTCCTCGCGATTCTGATAGATCTATCTCCATTAGCCTGGACGGAGACCCTCAGCCTTTCGTACAGCTGTTGCATCAGCGTAAAGTAGTCTTTAATCCGTTCACAGAAGCATGCTGTCAGTTTGAGCATGTTCGCAAACAAATTTTGAGTCGAGTACAAGGGAATTGTGTTGCACAGAAGTGTGATCCATTTGTCAATCGTTGAATCAATAGCTGGAGAGGAGATGCCGGAAATCAAGATCGGGATTAGTTCACTGGGTGGACTGCCAAAGTTCGGTCTTGCGAATATTATCCGCAATAAATCCAGTATTTCTTCCTGCGAGGGGCTATCCTGGGGCATGTCGGTCAGTTGCTTCAACAACAAACTTATCAGTTCATGGTGTTCCTGAACGTCCGTTTCTTCAATAATCAGTCGCAAGATTGACAAGGCAGTCGTGAATATTTCTTCCCCACTCTGTCGGTCTGCGATGTGCTCGATGCACATGTCCAGCACCACTTCTGAAAACCCCTCCCGTCCGAAGAGCTCATTGCGCTGCGCGTTCGACTGCCGCGCGAGAGCCAAGATCTTTCGAATCCTGTGCAAAGCGAGCAGGGAGAGCTGAGCGTTCGGTGTGTTGGTCGACTCGGCATAGATGATTTTGAAGACTGGTCGAATAGAGGGCACATTGCTCAACCAGGTCCGCCTCCGGTCGTCTGGTAGAGAGGGGTCGAGCTCGTCGATAATGCTCAAGATCGGCTGCCTCAGGAGAGCCCAAGGCACTTCGTCCTCGTTGCCGTCATGCTTGGAAGAAAAAAGTTCGACATTGACCTCCGGAAAGCGAGTATGTGTCCACAGGGTCGAGAATCGCGCTAGTTGATCTTCGAGATGCTGCCCTTCCTTGTCTTGTTTGCACATTAGATCCGCTATCTTGCTATCCACGAGAAGAAGTTGCTGTGATATCATCCGGAGGTTCCAAATCTGTTCCACGGCCTCAACGTGGAATTGTGGAGTAGATGGTAGAAGAACTTCCCACAATTGTGCAATCAGCTCTGGTACCAGCCGGAGAAGGTATGGCTCTGTCAAAGTCGCCCTGCCAGGGTCGAATACATGCAAACTATCCACTATCCTCGCAATTGTTCGAATAGTTTCGTATTTGACAGTGATGTCTACCGCCGGGAGCTTCACTAAATCATATAGGCGATCTCCAAGTTCCAGGTCACGCAGTGGCTCAAAGTTGCTGGTTCTGGCTATAGCTTTGACGAGACTGTTGGTGAGAGGTCCGAGTAGTGTCTTGCTGGATGGGTGATTCAGGCAGTCCAGAATGATGAGTGCGATGTTTCGGAGCAGAAGTTGAGCGGCGGCAGTTGGAGGGATCAGGTCAAAAATAGCCTTCTTCACGTAAGACGACTCTTCGTAAAGTGTCTTCAGCTTCATGAGCCAACCCTCCTTCGATATTTGGCCGAGTGCTTCGGAAGGAAGGCCTCCCGGATGAGCTGGCAATAAGCTCAGGAGAGCCTCCATGAGTCTTGCTAATCGCTCCTGGTAGAAATCGTCTCGGTCATTAGCTTTGTGCGGTTCAGATTGCATCCTTTCAAGGAGCATTTCTGAAATTGCTAGGCACAGCATGGGTAGATGAATAGTCGTCATTTCCTCCTCTTGCAGGTTGAAATTTGAGAAGATAAATCCAATAAGATCTAGATCCCCTCGTACAAGCAGACTAAAGAGCTGATTGGTGATGAGCTGGGGTTCAATCGCGTCGAAGAACACATTGGCACTCCGGAATACCTCGTCGAACGACGACTGCGAAGGAGCGGCTGTCTGATACTTTTGCAGATCCTGCATAGCTGGAACGAACAGCTCTTCGACAGGTAGCTTTCCGATGATCCAGCGGTCCATCAATGAAAGCATGATGCGGAAAGGACGGGCTCTGTCGACAGGGAGCAATGAGTCTCTGTGAAGCATTTTCTCAAGACTCCGAATCACGGGCTTGAGACCATATGCAACAAAATAATCGTGCCTCGTGTGCACCTTCTCCTGTACTTTAGGGGCCGTGGGTGTTGGCACCTCGACACCAGAGCCAGGTACCATGTCTGTTGACCCCTCTCGCTTATCTTCTCTGCCGATGAACCAGGTCCACAAGCGGCGGTTGAGACTCATATCCCTTCGGAGGACGACCGACATTGCAGACATTACAAGGATGTCCAAATCCGACGGTACAACGAGTGATTGAAGCATTGGAGCGTTGAGAGGCAGATGGGATACTAAGAGATCGAGAAACCCGCGTTGAACCAAGGGTTGTTCGTCTTGGAGTCCCGTAGCAAAGCATCGAACAAGTAAACCAGGCTCAGGAGTTGTTACAGCCTTGATGGCCTCTTGCAATGCTTCGGTTGCTTCTCCTTCTTGAGAGCCGTCATCAGGTGCCTGACCTGTCACCGGACCTAGCCTGGGGAGCTGCCGTATCAGGTAGACCAATGCACCCGGACGCTTGGACGTACTCGTAATGGATGCTAGAAACAGGCTTTGCCAGAAGAACTCCTCGCTACCGTCATCTGCAAAGATCTGTCGTAAGCGGTTGACAGTGTTCAAAGTGCGGTCAAAGTCTTCGCTGTTCTCCTCTTCGATTCCCGGGAGCAGAGACAAAATGATCGCTCTTAAAGCGGGCCTCAGTGCGTGGCTGGACAATCGCAAGAGATGTTCATCGTAGAGGGAGAGGAATAGAGGCCTTGTTGTCAATGTGGCAAACGTGAGGGTATGAGATACCCCAGGAAACCAAATGGGCAGGTCTCGAGACAGTCCATCTTTCCGCAATAGAGAGAAAATTAGGCTGTAGACTTCCAAGGCTTTTTGATGCACGCCCGATGGCAGAGATGGCTTCAAACATAGTGCCAGATACTTGGCCAGAGTTGATTTGAATGGCACTTCTGCGTCAGGAGGAGATGCTTGTAAAGCCTTCGCCAACCGGCTTAAGAAGGCGATATAGTCGGCCCATTCATTTGTGGCATCCCACAAGCCCAGCGCTCTCTCAACACCCGCATGATAGCGGCGAATCGCTTTGGTGTCAGTGGTCATGACGAACTTGTCGGCAGCACAGCACTGGCATTGCCAGTTTCAGTTACCGGCAGGTCAAGTTATTGGCCATCGAGGCTTTGTATCAAGGGGGTGAGCAAGGTCGACACTTGACAAATTGAGAACGAGATGTTGTCGGAGCAGGCTCAAAGCTGGCATGATCTGTCTGAGATATTGAGTGAATTCGGCGGTGTCGACTAGGGCGGCACTGAGAGGGCGGTGCAATCTTGACTTGATTTTGGCGATATATGAGGGACTTCGGTGTTGACGAAGACACGGTGGTTCTCCCCAAAAGTCGACGAGGGCGACGAGGCAGCCGCCAAGCCCAAGGCCCGCGCCCATCCTCAATCCTCCATCCTCACATCATCCATCCGCAGTCCGCTGATTGTTGTCTGTTCCCGTTGGCATCGAGGTCGTCGTCGATCTACTCTCCGACGTGATGACAGGAGTCCTTCCCCGCGATCATGGACGCCATGAGCAATGACCAAAACGCGGGAAAGAGCGCCTATGATGGAGGCTAGCCCCAAAATTGGACAGCCAACAACCTCACAATTAACAAGCTGACGAAGACAGCTCCCAGTACACTGATTTTCAGAATGGATGGTGCCGACAATACCACTTCCGGGACAACGAGGAGTCGTCAGGCTTCGACCGCCTCAGAGGGAGACCGCCCTCCCCTTCCTCCCAGACCCAGCGAATTAAGCCTCATGCAAGCCATGCCCTCTACAGGTCACTCTTCTCGTCCTCCGACTCGAGGCCTTGTTGCAGGGGCAACAACGGCCGTGTCCATGACCGACGTCAATGCTTATAACCGTCCCGACGGCTCCAAAGAGCTGCGCGTCAGTGCTTCTCGTACGCCCTCCAGCCACTCAATTCGTCCCTCTCCCAGCAACAAAACCAGTGATGTTGGGGAGGACAATTCCAGCATCAGAAGCTATGCACCAATTGGCCGGTATATCCATGACGCGGAAAGCATATTCGAGGGAGACATCCAAGAAGAACAAAATCTCTCTGCGTCGGTTAGCAGCTCCCGAGGATTGTTCGAGACAGAATCGGACAGCCTGTATGACGAGGGTGACGTCGATTTTGATAAGGAGTTTGAAGAGGTGGACGAGAAGATTGTTGGCGAAGAGGTGGCCCAAAAGCTCTGGATATCCAAGCGCAAGCATTTTATCATCTTATCTGCAGCCGGTAAGCCTATTTATACTAGGCATGGATCGGATGCGATCATTTCGAGCTATGTTGGTATCATTCAGGCTATCATCTCCTCATACTCAGATGCAGGTGACCAGCTGGGAAGTTTCCAGGCAGGTGGCGTTCTATTTGTCGTCCTCTCACAGACAAATCTATTCCTCGTAGGAATCACAAGCCTTCCGGAAAGCGAGGCGCAGGTCCGAGTTCAGCTTGAAGCCCTTTATATGCAGATCTTGTCGACTTTGACATTACCAACTTTGACGCATATTTTCTCGGTTCGCCCGTCGACCGACCTCAGACGGCCATTGCAAGGCACCGAAGTACTGCTGTCGTCTCTGGCAGACAGTTTCACGCGAGGCTCGCCGTCTGCACTCTTGTCTGCTCTTGAATGCTTGAAGATCAGAAAGTCGCACCGCAACATTATCAACAGTACGATGATCAAAGCCCGAGTCGACGACCTGCTCTATGGGCTTGTGGTTGCTGGAGGTAGACTGGTCAGCGTCATCCGGCCGAAGAAACACTCGCTGCACCCAAGTGATCTGCAGTTGATTTTCAACATGCTCTTCGAAGCTGAGGGAGTCAAGGCTGGTGGAGGGGACTCTTGGATACCCGTCTGTCTTCCCGGCTTCAACAACACCGGCTATCTATACATGTATGTGAGCTTCCTTGACATGGGTGGGGAGCAGGTCCGCGAAATGGCCCAGAACGAACGCATCGCCAAAGAGGACTCGGTGGCCATCATCCTCCTGAGCGCCAACAGGGAGAGCTTCGAAGACTTGCAAAGTATGAAGAACTATCTTGTCCACGAATTTCGCCGTAACAAGAGCATGCACATCATCCATGCAGCTGTCCAGGCCGGCCGACCCGCACCTACAGACATCATCGCCGGCACCGTCCTGAGGCATTTCCTATACAAATCAAAAGGCAACGTCCAATTTTTTATGCCGTCTTTCTCGCCGGGCTTTGAGACATTGAAACAGCGGAGACGATTGATGTCGTTGTACCACAATCTCCATGCCAGTGTGCATGCCAAAAATGCCGCAGTTAAGGTCCACCACAGTGTTGGAGTATCGGCAACGGCGCTGGCTTGGGTCACGCCCATGTTTGAGCTCTATTGCGTGGCCGGTCCAACAGCGTCAAGGAATGCGTTGGCACAGAGTGCGAATAAGGTGGTACAGTGGGTGCAGCGGGAGGAGGAGCGGATTTTTATTATTGGCGGTGCGGTATTTTGATCTGTATATAGGGAATCATTCGAAGCAGGACGGGCTCGCATCTTGCAGTGATAGTTCCGCCAACCCTCGACCGAGCCTTTGTCGTCGCCTTCCAAGCCGATGCTTCACCCTCGTCCCCCAGCCACCTCATCCAGAACTTTCTCGATCAATTTGCCATCTCTCTCCTGATCGACTTTCCAATTACTTATCGCAATCCTTGCTGCGGGCCTCCCATCCCAAACGGTCCCCGTCATGTAGATCTTCCCGGTTTCATTCACCTTCCTCACAAAGTCTCTCATCAGTTCCTCGTCTTTTACCCTAAACAAGACCACCATAAATGTCTTCGCCAGAGTTTCTTGTTCACTCTCCCGGCCACTCCGCGCGGGTAGGAGGTCGAACCTTGCGTCTCTGAGTAGCCAACTGCTCACCCTCCTTGCCAGTTTAACCTGGCGCGTCAACATGTCGAGATAACCGGCCCTGCCGTATGCCATGAGCGTCGCATATACAGGCAGCGCGCGGAATCTGCGCGAGTTCTCAATCCCGATGTTCAACGGGCTCTGGATCGCGTCGTAAGCATCCACGCCAGCGTCTGCGTTGCTCGTCGAGGTGCTAGCAGGGGCGGTGGTGGTGGCGCTGGTGAGATACGCCGCGTTGCCGTTCTGGAAGACATCTTCACACAGGCCCTTGTGGCGGGTGAAGAAGACGCCGCAGTCGTAGGGGACGTTGAGCAGTTTGTGACAGTCCCCGGTGATAGAGTCGGCGAGCTCGAGGCCGTCGACTCCACGGATTATCGCGTCGAACTCTGTCCGGCTGGCGTTGTCTGGGGGAAAGACGCGGCCAAAGAGCCCGAAGGCGCCGTCGACATGGACCCAAACTCCAAATTCGTCACAGATCCGGCGGATACGGGTCATCTGGTCGAGCGAGTCCGTGGCGAAGCGGCCGGTGTTGACTTCTCCGGCGGAGATGGCCAGGATGTTGACGACGTCCTGTCTTGCCGCCTCCTCGCTCAAGCGGGCGAGGTCGATCTGCAGGCCGTCGCCCTGCGAAGAGGAAATCGAAATGACGTTCTTCCTTCCTATGCCCACGATACTGGCTGCTTTGGCGATGCTGGAATGAGGCAACGTGCTGAGCACCTGGATCTTCCGGAGACCGGCTTGGTACATGAGTTCTGGGACACCGTGCTCGCCACAACTCAGGCCGGCGTCCGAGATGCCTCGCCTCTGCAGAGCCTTTCGGAGTACGAATTCCCTCCCCAGTGCCAGGCCCACGACGTTGCTCGCCGTCGCGCCGGTAGTAAACGTCCCGCCGCCCCCAGAGCTGCGTTTCCCGATCCCCCACTCCGCGTCCGGCAGCCGGAACAACTGCACGAGCAGATTCAAGGTGGCGACTTCGAGGGTCGTCGCGATGGTCTCTCGCGGTAGGTGGACCTGGACATTTTGGTCGTAGATAGAGCTGAGGAAGTCGCCTAGCAGGGCCGCCGGAGTGGCGCCGCCGGTCACGAAGCCGTAATAGTTTGGCGAGAGCGAGGAGAGATTGAGATACGGAAGAATGCTGGTCGTGAGGTGCGTTGCTAATCCTGCGAGGGCCTCGTTGCCGTCTGCCTTTCCCTGCCTATCGCCAGACGATGATGAAGTAGGGAGAACCTGATCGAGTTTGGCAAGTGGCACAGTCGGGATGTCTCGAGGCAAAACCGGAAACTTGGTTGTCGTCCCGTCCGAGGGCCCCAGGTGTTGCGAGACCGCAAGGTTAGGCGAAGATAATATATTTTGCAAAGTTCTCAAGGCCTCCGCGAGGCCCGTTCTCGGGTCCATCGTTACAATGTGCAATTGGTCTGTCGGTCCCCTGGTTCTTCTGTCGTATATGCTGGAGCGCACAGAACGCTGTCGGCCAATCCTTGCTCGCGCACAATTGTTTAGTCGGACTCTAGATACCTCTAGGTTTAGCTTTTTCTGTCAAGGCATTCCCCTCTGAGCGATAAGCCAACTGCTTGAGACCGATTCTTCAAAGCGGGTGTCCGAACTCCTGATCTCCAACGAACCGCACTGGTATGATCCGAGAGAACAGAACACAGCACGATTATCTTCTGGCCCAGACGCGATCTGTGCCAAAGAAGAGCGAAAACCGCGAGAAGCTCACCGTACCTTGAGAATATTGTGATGCTGCCCTGTGCTTACCAGCAGCGTCTGCGGGTCCAGAACGAAGACGTCAAGATGCGAATATGATTGGTCTACTGACTGTGCCGCTTACAGCTGCCTGTTGGGTCTTTGTGGATTCCCATTTTGTCCAATTGGATGTGTGCGCTGTCAAAGCAGCGCCTGCGAGTGTACAGCTTTAGTCTAGTGCTATTCGGCTTAAACATATATGGAGTAATAACGACTATGCCACTAAGAAAATCTCGACTCACCGTATCAGGCTATGGCCAAGTCGGTTCCCCGACCCAGCTCGAGCTTTCAGCTTTGAAACTATGCAAAATGAGGTGGTGGATCTTATCATGCTGCAGTTGGCGGATGTGGTTGCGCTGCTGGCGGTCCGTCGCCTGGACTTCAAAAGATTTCTTTGAGCAGAGTCTACCGGCTAGGTGAAGGCCCCAAAATGATCTCCACGGTAGGCTCTTGGATGTCCACACCAACCAATCCGGTGGAGCACTTATAAGGTGGGTGTTCGCGGCATTTCCGCCCGTCCATGGTGAAGCTGCAGTCAGGATGGTAGAGGACCGGGAGAAACTCTCCTTTGACTTCATTTGGCCTTTCCGTTTGTTTTCCAGGGCCTTCGCGTACACCATTCTGGACGATTTCGCACCACTCAAATCGTGTGGCACCCTATTACCACGCTATAGCCAACTTACAATCCCTCCTACACCAGCCCGTCAGAAACGATACTAGGGTGGCGGTGATGGATCATGCACTCCTTCTAGAACGCTAGGCTACATTCCAAGTCCACCGCTCTAGGTCACCGCGGCGGGCGCATTACCTGTTTGAGCACACAGACCTGTGATAGTCGCGACGGCTATTTAATTCTGGTTGGCACGCCACGGGCTGATGCCTCTGAGTCTGCAACCACTCAAGTCGACATCCCGTCCAGACATCTAGTTTTCCAACCGAAGAAAAGTCGCGAGCAAGGTTTCGCGCCAACAACAATGCCTGCGCCGGTTCCTGAAGCCAACCTCTTGGGGGATCTTCTGAGCTTGAAGGGAAAAGTGGTTGTTGTCACGGGTGCTTCTGGCCCCAAAGGTATTGGGTTAGAGGCAGCACGGGGATGCGCTGAGATGGGTGCCGATGTGGCCATCACCTACCTAAGCCGACCAGAAGGCGGGGAGCAGAATGCAAAGGAGCTGAGGGAGGTGTACGGTGTCAAGTCCAAAGCGTACCGTTGTGACATCAACAACTGGGACGACGTCCAGAACCTTGTCCGCAGTGTCCTCGCCGACTTTGGCAAAATTGACGGATTCATCGCCAATTCAGGGCGCACGGCGAGCAGCGGCGTCCTCGACGGATCCGTCCAGGACTGGAAGGACGTGGTCGACGTCGATCTCACGGGGACGTTTCACTGCGCAAAAGCCGTTGGCCCCCATTTCAAGGAGCGAGGCCGTGGAAGTCTGGTCATCACGTCGTCAATCTCTGGCCACATCGCCAATTTCCCGCAAGAACAAACTTCGTACAACGTCGCCAAAGCGGGATGCATCCACTTTGCGAAGTCACTCGCGAACGAATGGCGCGACTTTGCCAGGGTCAACAGCATTTCCCCAGGCTATTTCGACACGGGTCTTTCGGATTTTGTGGATCCCAAAATCCAGCAAATGTGGACGTCCATGATCCCGCTCGGCCGCAATGCCGTGGCGAAGGAGCTCAAGGGCGCCTATGTATACTTCATAAGTGATGCCAGCACATATACTACCGGTGCAGACCTCGTGGTGGATGGCGGTTACACTTGTCGGTGATTTCGACGGCCGTAGGAGGGTGGGGAGACAGTGGACTGGTCTTAACATTCCAATGAAGCTCTACAGAGCTCGTCTGACCCGTATAGCAGCTCAGTTATCCCAGATATCACGTCCGTTTGGGATGCAAATACAGCGGAACATATAAACAGGACATAAAGAAGGTTCACCGCGGCGACGTGGGCGACTTTGCTTCTTCTTTTGGCTACCAAAGCAATCTACCTCCCTAGTTCTTGAATCGTGGACGCGAAGAGGTCAAACGTGAGTTGAAACACATCAATAAGGCTTCATCCCCGCCACTCGCAACAGGCGATCAGTCAACTCCGGCGGCTCAAGAGGCTCGCTCCTATTCCGCGGATCGGCCGACCCGTCCGGGAGATACGCCAGCAGATCGCGGGGGAAGATGTTGTCGTGCGCCCAGTGCGTCGTGGCGCCGTGGTCGCGGAATATCTGCCGCTTGGCCTCGAGGGACTCCTCGCTCGCCAGCTTCGCGGGCGAGTACGACACGTAAATCACCGTGCGGATGGTGTTGCTCGCCGCCGTCGGCTCCGCGCCCCAATGGACGGTCCGCGAGTCCCAGAGGATCAGGTCGCCCGGGTCGACCTCGACCTTGACGGGCTCCAGCCCTTTGTCGGTGAAATACTCCATTTCCTTCTCGTCGAACGGCCGCCAGTCGATCTTCTCCCACGACGACGGGTCGGTTTGGGTGTCGAAGTATTCTTCTACGTGGTTGTTGGACCGCGGGATCACCACCAGGGACCCATCCTCCGGCCCTGCTTTACTCAGTGCAATGATGCCTTGGACACACTGTAACCCCTTCCTCAGGGGCGACTGGTCGACATGCGGCCACGAGGGTTTCCGCGGCTTGTCCTTTCGGTTGGGGAAAGTGACGTTCAGCGAGTCAAAGGACACCAGCAGCTCTTCCGTGTCCCACAGCTTTGCAAATGCGTCGAAGACCCCGGGTTCCAGGCGGGCGTCCCACATGAATTTCTCGTGCACGACCGAGTAGTTCTCAAAGGTGTTGATGTCGGTCAGGACCGGGAGGTTCTCCTTAACCCAGGTGTCCGGGTTGTCCAGGTCGAGGGGTGTATTGAAGGATTTCAACCAGTCGAACGCTCGTTGTTGATAGTGCTTCGCCCTCTCGGCAGGGATGGCGCCTTTGATAACGGTGTACCCGTTGTTGAGGAGGTCATCACGCCAATCTCCGCAATGAGCCGCCAACCTAAATGTGCCAGGTCAATGGAAGGCATACCAACACGTTCACTCGGGCTGATTTTCCTTACGGGATGGTTGTGCCGTGAGATGGCCTCGATGTGATTGTCTGTGTAGTGGCGCTCTGAAGACTGCTCATGGTAACTTTGTGATAGCGCTTAAACGTGTGGGTGGTGTCCAGAACGTTTATGGTAAATGAACTTGGGGTCTGATTGCTTCAGCTCGAATCCCTTTTATGTACTTGATAGAGTAGCCCGGCACTTGATAATGGTTGGTGTCCACCGTTTCCTGAGCCTCGATCTGGTGGAATTCTATAGAGGGGTACAAGTGCTTCGTACCCTTGCCGCCAGGGAAATGTGCGACTATTGAAACCCGCGGGTATCCCGCCGAGGGGGCAGTCGGTGGCAAAATGAGACGATGGGTTAAATGGTCCCTGCACACCGTCCTCGGATTCGAGTCGATAGAAGTCTATTCTAGATTCCACTACCACTCGTGGTGCCCTTTCGGTAAACACGTCTAAGGATCGTCTCGAGGTGGAAAGGATGCCATATTGGCTAACTCCAAGGTTCCCTCGCTCGAATTCTCGAAAGTGTCGTGTCAATGACATGTGCTGAACAGTCCCACGAACCACTCCACAGTCGGGGGTTATCTGCGCGACCCACTTTTCAACCTAGCGGCGGAATCGTGGCGGCAAACCCGCCCGCTCATAGTATGGCGAAGGGCGGCTTGTAACTCCGTACTACCCGTCCAACTTCAACTACGGATCCTAAACGCAGCAAGTGATGCGGGCACTCACGAGTAACCCCGCGTCTCTTAGGATTGCGGGGAACACGTCGGCTACTCGATAGCCAAGGTCAATTTCCCCGGACCAGGCAAGAATGGAGAGAGATACCCCGAACCCTCACCAAACTCATGCGACGGGCGAACAGAGTTCGGCAACTTTCCTAGGCTCTATCCTCTCCAGACCGGGGCCCCAGGGAAGGCTAGCAAGGGGCCAGTATGAGTTAGTCAAAGGAAAGTGGCTTGACGCCGCCCGTGCCGTCCTTGCTGGATGTTCTTGTACGGGTGTCTGGAGATTGGCTTTTATATGCTTCGTTTCCTCCTCATATTACCACGATTGAATGTAACTCGACTCAATTCTACCCACGTATGCTTGATAGGCTGTACTAGAGAGTCGTGAGCCTCTGCTGCTACTTTGGTCCCTTTCATATACTGTGCCTCCGCCTCACAGGGACTCAATATGGTCAAGGATCAAGATATCGTGGGTGACGCGCTGGCCAAGGTGCTCCCCAAGCATGATAAACCGTGGTACAGGGTGCCCCATCTCCTGGAGCTCAACCTGATTCTCCTGGTCCCCCTACTGTCCTCCGCGACAGCGGGCTACGACGGCTCCATGATGAACGGGCTGCAAGCGACCAGTTCGTGGAAGGCCTTCTTCGGCCACCCCAGCGGCACGCGACTTGGGGTGGTGAATGCAGCACAGTCGATCGGCTCCGTGGCCGTACTGCCCATTGCCTGGCCGCTGTCGGACTGGCTGGGCCGCCGATTGACCCTGCTCATCGGGGTCGTCACCATCATCGTCGCCTCCGTCATTCAAGCCGCGTCCGTCAACTATGGCATGTTCACCTTCTCCCGAATCCTCGCCGGGGCGGGGAGTATCATCGTCACGCAGCCCTCGCCCATCCTGATATCGGAACTCTGCTACCCCACCCACCGGGGCAAGTACACCTCGCTTTTCTGGACCCTGTACTATTTCGGCTCCATCCTCGCGTCCTGGAGCACGTACGGCACGCAAAAGCACATCGGCGGCAGCAACTGGGCCTGGAGGACCCCGTCGCTTCTCCAAGGGGCTTACCCCCTGGTGCAACTGTGCTTCTGGTGGTGGGTGCCTGAGTCGCCGCGATGGCTGGTGGCCAAGGGCCGGCACGACGAAGCGCGACGCACGCTGGCCCGGTTCCACACCGAAGGCGACGAGGAACACCCGCTGATCGAGTTTGAGATGACGGAAATCTCCCGGGCCATCGAGACGGAGAAAGAAACCACCGGGACGGGATGGTCCACGCTCTTCAAGACCCCCGGCAACCGGCGCCGCATGTTCATCGTCTGCTTCATCGGCGCATTTGCTCAGTGGAACGGCGTCAGCGTCGTGAGCTACTACCTGACCCTGGTCCTCGACACTGTCGGGATCAAGGACTCCGACACGCAGACGCTCATCAACGGGTACGTCTTATTCCCCATAATTTCACTTCTCTCGGACGTTGTATACTTAGAGACTGATACCAAACCGTCATGACAGACTCTTGCAGATCTGGAACTTCTGGGCCGCCGCCTCGGCCGCATTCCTGGTGGACCGCCTGGGGCGACGAGCCTTGTTCAAATGGTCTGGGATCGGAATGCTGCTGTCCTTCTCGTCCTGGACGGCCTGCTCGGCGGTCTTTGACATCAAAGGCGACAAGTCCGCCGGCATCGCCGTCGTGGCCTTCATCTTCATCTTTGTGAGTTTTTCACCGAATCCCACCCCGATCCTCTCTCTCCTTCGCCCCTCTAATCTCCCACCGAAACGAGGAACTAACCAATTTTTTGGTGATGCGTTGTTCGTACAGTTCTTTCACTACGACATCTGCTATACGCCGATGCTGTACGGCTACACGACCGAGATCCTGCCCTACTCGATCCGGGCCAAGGGCCTCATCCTGGAGATGTTCGCCATCTACGGCTCCCTGATCGTGCTGGCGTTCTGCAACTCAATCGCCCTGGACGCCATCGGGTGGAAGTACTACCTGGTGTTCGTCGCCATCCTCGCCGTGGGCAACGTCGTCTCCTGGCTCTTCTTCCCCGAAACCAAAGGCTTCGCTCTGGAAGAGGTAGCCGAGATCTTTGACGGGGTCAACGTCCGCGCAGACGCCGAGTCAGTGCTCGCTCACGAAACCGCGAGCACTGCGGAAAAGGCCACCGCGACCGAGCACATTGCAAAGATATAAAGACGGGCCCCCATAGGGCTTTAACCTGGACACAACGCAGGGTCGAACCGATAATCGTGTTGCATGTGATGCAAAGGCATGAGAGGAACGGCGATGGGGTGGTGTGCTGAGTGATCCTGTGGGAGAGGGCATGGCCCAAGACTGACTTCAGGATCAATGCACGGATCACGGGGTTGAGCGCCATATATGTCACTGATGTGTTGAGACTTTCCATCTGTTAATAACTTACGAGATTATATCCTGCGTTACCCGACTCGAATCGATGTAGACCGTGCATTTAGACGGGCCAAAAGATCTCTACCAGTTTGAAGGCAGATAGGAAACAAATGAAAGGGGCTTTTCTAGTGACGCCGTTTCTATTGATAAGGATATCTCTGGCTTGTCGACTGTGCTCTAATTATGGACACCCTCTATCAGGACCTTCATAACGCCTTCGCCTCCCTTTTTTACAGTTTCGAACGCTTCTTCGGCCTTTTCGAACGGAAATCGATGGGTCACCAGCTTTTGCGGCTGGACCTTCCCACTGGCGACCAGGTCGATGGCAGTCGGGTATACGCCAGCAACGTACCTGATTGAGCCTCGAATGGTCAAATCCCGGATACAGGCGGTCATGATCGGGAAAACGGCGTTCTGGAGCGAGGGTGTCAGAGCAGATAAAATGCGACATACAATCACCCAGGCTTTCATCGACTTACCTCTTTGCCCATGCCGGCTTGAACGTACATGCCTCCCTTCTTGCAGAGTTGGACACCGATCTGCAGGCAGCTTTGAGCTCCTGTGGCATCAATTACCACGTCCGGTCCGTCGCCTAAGTTGAATTCTTCCTTGATGAGAGCGGCAACCTTAGCATGGAACTCCATCTCTTCATCTTGACTCAGACCGGCTGGCGCTTGAGGCGGTTCAAAAACGTCGTCTGCGCTCTTCATCACACTCTTGGCCATTTCTAAACGGCCTTTATTGATGTCGACCCCAAGAACGTATCTTGCGCCAAACGCTTTGGCGACACTTTGGACAAGGAGACCGATAGGGCCGCAGCCGAAGACAACGACGTTTTGTCCCCCTCTTACCAGGCCGACTCGGCAGATTTGAACTGCGCATGCCACTGGTTCGCAGAGTGCGCCATCTTCGAGGTTTAGATGATCGGGTAGGCGATAGCAGAAGTCTGCTGATGTCTTGTAGAACCGAGAAAGCGTCCCGTTGTGCGGAGGTGTCGCAGCGAAGACGGTGTCTGGACAAAGATTGTATGAACCTGAACGGCAGTAGTTGCAGTGACGGCACGGAACTCCAGGTTCTATCGCCACCATATCACCAGCTTTCAAACTCTTGACAGCTTTTCCCACCGAGACAATCCGACCGGCAGACTCATGACCAAGAACAATGGGAGAGTTGAGAATGAAATCACCGATCCTGCCTCGTTGCCAATAGTGAATATCGGACCTATTGAGATAATCAGCACTCCCATCAAAGTTCGACAAAGACGCAAAGTGCTGACCCGCAGATTCCAGTCTGTCCAATATGAACTATCACATCGTACGGATCGGTGATCTCTGGAATTGGAATATCCTCAATTGCCACCTGCTGGATTGCCTTGAGGACGAAAGAGGGGTTCGATCGCGAGTCCTGCGCCATCCTCAGGATCACGATCGAAAATGATACTGCACGACTGGGGTTTGGAATCTCTAGGCAGAGGGAGTAGCTGTAGAGGAACAACGATGAAATCCACCGAAAACGTCTGTCAAATGATTCTTCTCCCTGAGGAAGCTGCAACCGTGGCTGAGATCCGGGAATTGAAGTAGTGGTAAGAGATTTCTGGGGATTCTGGCATTGCGCAAAGACAATTGTGAATTATACCCTCAGTCCATCGTTTTAGAACATCGCAGCGGTCTGTATGGACCACGGAGGAACAGCATACTTCGGAACAGGCACGGCGAATGTGATTCCACAGGCCAAGAGATGGTGAGCGTGCTGTAGACTCACCATATACGGGCCGATTTCTCTTTCGGATGGAAGGCAGAAGGCTGAGGCGGCTCGGCCGCCCATTGCCGCGATCCCTCGCAATGAATAGGACTGGTAAGCAGCGGGTGTGCTTCCACCACCTCCCGCTAGGTTGGAACTAACCTGTCAGCAAACTTTCCTAGATGCCGTTCCTGGTACGACACGTGCGCTACCAGAAGCGAACCATCAAGAGTCGAACGAAATCACATTTGTCCGCAAGATCCACCGGGGCTTCGAGCCGGGTATTGTGCGACGATCGTGAAAACCCGAGGTCGTGTTGTAGTGCAATCGAGGATGGAAGGTGTCCTGCAAACGGCCACTATCCGCAGAGGGGATACTTCTATATATACTGTGTTTTAGGCCTGTTCGAAGGCCTCTCTATATCCCTTGGTCCTGCTTTCGACATGGCTCCCGTTCGTCGTGCATTGGAGGGCAAGTTAGCAATAGTGACAGGCGCCTCACGTGGTAAGATTGCCGTTGGCAACAAGGAAGGGTTCATTTTGCTGATTGAAGCAGGTATTGGTGCTGCCATAGCGCGCCACCTGGGTGCCAAAGGTTGCAATGTCCTGGGTGTCTATACAAGCAATTCATCAACGCAACCCGCCAATGAGCTCGTCAAAGAACTCACTGAGACGCACAAAGTCAAGGCGACAATGGTTCAGGCCGACCTGAGTGAACCAGAGCTAGCAGCTCCTAAGGTTGTGGAAGCCGCCAGGGCTGCCTTTGCCTCGCCAAATGGTGATTTACTTGTCGACATCTTGATCAATAATGCAGGCGTTGGAGGTGATTATAGGCTTGAAGACGTGCCAGTCTCCGAATTTCACCGCATGTATGCGGTGAACGTGCTGGCTCCCCTCATGGTGACACAGGCCGTGTTACCTTACTTGCCACACGACCGGTCAGGAAGAATCGTCAACATTTCCTCGGTGGCTTCATCACTGGGTTTTGTCACGCATACCTTGTACGGAGGGACAAAAGCAGCCTTGGAAGCAATGACAAGAACCTGGGCTCGAGAGCTGTCTGAGCGTGCCACGGTCAACGCCGTCAATCCTGGTCCCGTCGAGGGCGATATGTACCTCGCGGCTGGCGAAAAGCTCTGGAAACAGCTTGAGCCATTCCAATTGAACTGCCCACTATCAGCTATTCGAGATGGGGTCGATGATCCCGCTCTCGTCGAACTGAGCAGGGAGAAAATGGGGGGCCGACGGCCGGGATATTGGACCGAGGTCGCTGGAGTGGTGGGGATGCTCTGTAGTGAAGACTCAGGTTGGTGCACCGGTAGTGTAGTTTGTGCGAATGGAGGCTTCAAATTCACGAATTGACTCGCTGCCGACGCACCGTTGCCAGCTGAGGGATACAGGCTGAGATTATTGGCCGTGATAAAGTTAGATAAATATGCGCATTCATGGCGTCTGCATATGGGCCTGTCGCTTCAGCAATCTTGTCTTCATCTGGAGGACTTTCAATATTTCCACCAATTGGTCTATCGCCGAGTCCTTTGACGCTACGCGCTGTAGCATGGAAATGGCTCGTGTCTGAAGATCATCAACGTCTGAAACCAGAGCGCTCAGGTTCTGGTTCAGCGAACTTAACGTCAAGACTACTGTCGCAGCAAAGGCACTGTTGGACGTGTCAGCAAGTTATCAACATCTTTTAGCGAAACAACTGTAAGACGCACGAGTGGGATATGATCTCCTTGATCGACGAAGTTTGCTCAAGAAGCATTTCCGAGATGGACAGATACGCACAACAGTGTTGCACGCAAATACTGCACCGCTCGAGAATTGAGGTTGAGATAGTCCCGTTCGCAGGGAGGTTGCAGGTGTACATGACGAATGGTCGAAAAATAATATCTTTAGCAGTGTGATATCTGTGTAGGATATTCAAATGTTCGAAGGACCACGATGATGAATTTTCAAGCTCAGGCTTGATATGCTGCGGTAGAAGATCAAACCATGTCTCCAGTTGGTGGTCTAGTTCTGCAGCCAGGTTTGTAATGGTGGACCTGAGTTCCTGCCTGAGGAAGTGGTCTTGTGCAGGGATTGTGTGGTCAGTTGTCCCAAATCTCCCGGGCGAATCTGCATACATGGTATGATGCACACGGTTGAACAGTCGCCTAGCAGAGATCTCGGCCAAAAACATCGACGCCTCTGGTGTCCAGCTATGGAAAGTGGGCAGAGGTATGTTTTCAACAACGTGCTCAATTCCACTCCGTGGTAGATGATGCTCCGCAATAAGATCGCTATCAATACCGGTAGTTAGCCAAGGCTTAAATTGTTTTCATACCAAAAATCAGGCTACATGCCATTCAATATCAAATATAGCCCATACGAGCCGGGAGAGTGCTGCTGCCGTGGCATGGTCCTCCTCCAGAGTCTGTGGCCTACCGTCCACGTTAGCTCCACTGAACTTCTACGGTGGAAGAGTAAATCAGCTGATTGAGAGATCGCTTACCAATTCAGCAGGATCTGGACATTCGTGGAGGCTAGGTGAATAAATCTCCAGGATTTTAAGGGACGCATCAAATAGCCAAAATATTTTGCCGCGAGAAGGGTTGCCTGCGGGAGAGCTATTGTGCTCCAAAAGCTCTGCATAATGTCTGGAATCAGAATCTTTAAGGCGGCAGAGAGGTATTCGCCCCCAGGACTGGAAACTTCTGCGCTTTGGTTTGCCGCTGAAGGAGGATTCTGTACGACAGCACCAATGGCAAGGACCATTAGGCAGAGAGCAGAGTCGATATCATCCCATGCGTCTCTCTCTAGAAATCGTCTATAGCAACTCAGAAAGTGGTTCTGATCCAGAATCGGTATTTCTCGATGGGCCAATCTGAAAAAGCAATCGACCAAACCGTCCATCTCGGCGCGCTCTGTTTCTGGGAAAGCCGTGACCTGCTGATTTCCTAGGTGGACATTCTGCGGGAGAGCTCGAGCAGATTCCGTCTTCAAAAACATGCCACGGGGAAATTCTCCTAGTAAAGCTCGCACTGATGCAGTGCTGAGCAAGCTCTCTGTTGTGGTAGAATGCTGTCTAGGTATTGTCATTGCCGGAATCTCGTCTCTTGTGGTAGACGGGGACGCTGTGACCTCGACGGCGGCGGGGAGATGACTCAAAGTCTGAGAATGGAGTGTCCAATGTGCCGAAGAATGCGATGTTGACGGCAAATTTTCGGGCAACGTAGTTGTATCTTGTGCGTGGTGAGTAGTAGGTTGAGGCATTGCGTCTGAGTTGATTCGATCATGTAAATCTTCGAGCGTCACACTTTGCTGTGTCAACATCGCTTCGATGGTGGCCATTCGACCCAGCACTTCTGAAGAGCTAACACCGGAAAGCTGCCACAGCTCTTGAACATTTCCCTCACCAGGGGGGAAAGACGTTTCTGGCTGCGGCAACTGTGCCACGGCATAGATACATTCCACATTTGCCTCTCTGCAGAGTCTGCATTTCGGGAGATGGCCATCACAACGTCGTTTTCTGGACGCCGTCAGCGTTCTTTCATAAACCCGGAACGCAGAATCGACCTTTTTCGGCAGAAGTTACACGCGAGGGCGGCACGTTTGCGTCCCCGATCCATGACACCTCCCAGCAAAGGAGACGATTTAGATGTGGTTGAGGGGCTTTTGAAGCAGCATGTCCCAGATATGTGTCCCCAAGTGAGACGCCAAAGGCGCAGCAGGATATAGTAACCTCGGGTGGGATGTCTCTAATCAGAATCCAAGCGGGAGGAATGGCGAGGTATTTTGCCGTCAGAAGGGAGCTCGACAACGTCCTTGTTGGCAAGCTTGGGGTATGGATTACGGTGTATGCCAGCCAGTTACCTGCTGAATGGAATCGAAGCATCAAAACATATCGCAAGATTTAGCAGTGCGCAAGGATAGGAGATATGTGAGGAGGAAGGGAGGAGGTTGTCGAGAGGAGAGGGTCTTACACCTCCCACGTGACTATCACGTGAAATCACCAGCATTATCACCGACAGTATCGTTGGATTGAAAGAAACAGGTCGAACGACAACAAAGGCCAGGACTAGGAGACAGACAGGACGTAGATATAGAGTCAAACCCAATGCGCGTGCAACCCCGGAACGTTTGTTTTTGATTTCAAACCCGTCGGCGTCAATGCCGTCTCTGATCCATCATTATCAGAAGCCCAGTCAGCCTAGCACAGGTGACGGCTGGTATGCTTTGAGTTCATAATGTACAAATACATTCGGCCGACGACGAAGCATCAGCTTGCCTTCCCAACCATGTTCTATCCTTCCAATATCCTTCGTTCAGCTGGTTACCTCCCTTAGGTAATCACTTCCTCGCGTATCTGTGTTTCTGTACTTGTCTCTGGCTTGATGAGTTCCTCCTCTCCAGCTTGATCATCCACAAACTTCCTGTCACTGACATGTTCCTTGCTTGCGTCCTGTTCGGCCTGCTTATCCGGTGTCCAGGTGTAATCGGCGAAATTAGTCGTCTTCTGCTGTCCAGGTTCATGCTTGTACGGACATCTCAGGTTCGTGCACGGGTTGAAGCGGCAGGGTACCTGCAAGTGGGTAAACGGACAATTGGGAGTCTTGCATTGGGCTCCAAACCTGCACAAGGGCATTGTCGGGTGCTTAAAAGGACAGTTGGGCTTGGTGCAATTGGGAAAGAACTTGCATAGCTCTTGTGCCTGGAATGCCCTGACTTGCGCCGGAGAAGGATGCTTTCCAACACACTTCGAATTCTTGCACGCAGGACCGAATGTGCATGTCTCGGACATGTCAACGATGGTTCCCTCGGGCGCAGCGGGAGATTGGTGGACATATGGGCAGTCTTTGTTGGTACAGCGAAGGTTGAAGTGGCACATGGTGTTGGCCGGATCCTGTGGTTTTCGTTCACCCTCACTGGTCGTCTGCGCATCTGTCGTAGATGCTTCGGCGGCGGGCGTCTGACCATCGCCTTCCATGGCCGTGTCTTGGTCGCTTGCTTTCGTAGGAGACTTGATGTGGCCATTCTGGCTGTTGCCTCCTCGACCCCGACCCCGACCACCTCCGCGGCCACGCCCGGGCTCGACTCTATCAAACAAGGACCGACCTTGATTGTTCGACTGGTTGGCGCCTTGTGAGAATGCAGGGTTCGGCGCTCCTGGCATCATTCCAGTAAACTGTGCCAGCATGCGCGTCTGTTGTTCCATCATAGCCATAAATTCCATCTGTTGCTGCGGGGTCATCTGCATCATCCCTTGACCTTGTTGTGCGCCGTTCATCATCATCGGGTTCTGCATCCCTTGAGCAGAACCGGTCATGCCCATATTCAGCGCTTTTTGCATGCCAGGGCGCACATCTCTGTTCTGGATGTTGCGCGGTCCTTTCGGCGCACCGCGCATGTTGCCGTGAGAGTTTATTCGGTCGCTGCCACGGACTCGGTGTAAAGCTGAATCGCCGGACTTGTTGATTGCGCCGCCTCGCCCACCCCTACCGACAGGTCGGCCGCCGTGTAAGCCTTTAGGGCCTCGAGGTCTGTGAAGAGTGTTAGCAAGAGATTTTACGAATCGTCTGGAAAGGGGCGCAACATACGCATTTTCAGGTGCATTATCAACCATGTCCATGTCATATGCGGCGGGTATTGAAGAATTTCCATTCTCTGCAGTGCCCAGAGATTGCGAAGTGGGTGCGGCGCCCTGTAGCGATTGATCTGATGGCTGTGATGTAGCAGCCGGATCAGAAACTGCTGCACCGCCAGACAAAAGATTGACTTGATCGAACAGCCATTGCGCGAATTCGGTCGTTCCTTTCGCATCCTGCAATAGCTCGCCAGCAAGCTCTGATGCGATTTGATTCTGGGTCTTGCCGTTGGCAAGCATGAGGACGATATATTCGGCTAACGAGGTGTCGTCATCTTGTGTCCAGCCTTCTTCCACAATCTTGGAGTGCACAGCGCTGCTGAGCGCTTCGGCCAGCGGCGTCTCGAGCGCGATAGTTGACATTGTATAGGAAAGAGGATCCGATAGATGTATGTACAGGGCGGGGAGAAGGAGATTCGCCTCACTGGGAGGGTCGAGTAGGTAGAGAGATCGCGCCTTTGCGGTGGTTGCGGCACAATGGCAGAAGAGTCCTTTGTTACACCTTGTCGAGCGATCCTTGGAGATGTCGAGATTATCTGAGCGAGCCTCTCGTTAATTTGGATAGAGTGACAAATGCGCGCAAGGTCCTAGGATGAGATCGGGTGGATAGTTAATGTGCAATATTGATGGTAGAAACTACGAGAGGCGACAGTATTTGACGTCGGTCACGTGACTGACTTTTCTACCTAGTGTCTTAGAGCAGCCAGATATTTTTCAATGTTTTGGATTTATTAGTGAGCGAAGATTTCTCATCTTGCCCGCTGCTTTTCGACACGCGTTTGAGGCCGTTTGTTCCAATCCATCACCCAAATCATCCAGTCATTATATCATCTTATCGTGCCGACTTCAGCACGAGATCGATCTGCCATCCTTCGATGTCATCCTTTCATCCCCCAATGATTCAAGCCTTCGCTCTTCTCTTCTCGCTCTTGCGAAATCCCACTTTCACGCCCTCTGCTGGAGTCAGGATAATTTCTACGTGCATGACGCGTTTGCTCCCATAGTCAATGATCTGGTCGAATTCCTGCAGGATCCTGACTATTGTGTATCCCATTTCCACCATCGCAAATTGCTGGCCAATGCATATTCTGGGCCCGCCGTTGAATGGAATGAAATTCCACGCCTTAGGAGTCCATGTCGCCCAACGTTCCGGCCACCATTCCAGTGGGTCATAGGGGAAGGATGGCGAGATTGGCGGATATAGATCTCTTCTTCGCTGCATCAGCAAAGTGCTATATCCTATCACCGTGCCCTTTGGACAGCCCACTGGCGCATTGCCGTCTTTGCCCCCACCTCGAGGCAATGTGGTGTCGGTGAGTGCTGATCGGACGTTGAATGGTACCACCGGATAGAGGCGCAAGGTTTCATTGATGGTGTATGTCAAGTACTTCATGTCCTTGATCTCCTGATAGGTCGGTGGCCGGCCATCGTCGCCCAAGAATTCCTTTATTTCGGCACGCAGTTTCTCCACTGCTCTGGGATTCTTGGCCAGCTCGAGGAAGACCCAGGACAATGTCCCGGCGGTAGTGTCACGACCGGCCAACAGTAAAGCTGCGAGCTGGTCGCGCATCACCTTTCGGTCTCTTGTATATCGGGCCAGTGCATGGATAAAGGTGTCGGAGCGAGACAACTTGGTCTCCAACTCTTCCGGGCTCATAGACAGTGCCTCGTCAATGAACGGCTCAATGAAACGATCCATTGTCTTCAAGCCTTCGTAGAAAGATCTCTTACTGCGGAATTGCTTCAAGGGCCTACACAAATTGTAAGCAACAGGGACAGGGGCCAGTGGGCGGAGGATCCGTACCCCAAGCGACCTTCCAGGGATTGGACGCGTTGGACTTCGTCAAAGGCAGCAGCGAACTCTGACTGTTCTTTGTCCAAGCTGCCAACGCTGTGGCCGAATAGGAAGTGGGTGGAAGCATCAAGGCTGAATCTGAAGAGCAGCTTGTTTAACATGACCGGGCTCCCATCACCTGTGCCCATCAACGATATCAATTTGCGGACATGAGTCTCGATCAAGGGCAGGTCGGCGACCTTCTCGCGGACAAACATGGGGCGAATGAGCTGTCGCGAGTTATGCCATTGCTGCCCGTCGGTGGTGAAAATGCTGTCACCTAGGAAGTCCTGCCATTCATTATGAAATTCTTCACCTGTTATAATTTGCGCCAGGTTTAGCCTTGTGCAACCAGAGGAGTCCACGCCACCGTCTCCAGGGCTGATGACGCCTTACCTTTGCCAAAGTCCTGGAATTGCGTCGTTAAGATCGCTTTGGTGTTTTCTGGGTCTGCGGTGAAAAGAACGCGAATATCCACGAGTATATGGAGCTCGGCTGTATAGGAACCCGTGCCTTTGCTGTCGGTACCAGTATGCTCGTAGATCCAGTCCCAGAATTCCAGCGCCTCATTTCTCAGGATCGCCAGGGTCGAGTGAACAGGAAAGTCGAGACCTGTAGACCGGTTATTAGTATGTCTTGATCTGCCTCTGGCCTAGGTGAGCCGACCAAATATGAAGCGTGTCGTGACCCGTGGCGATTCACCACCAAGGGCCTCGACCTTCTTCCATTTTCTATATCTTCTGACGTACACCGAGGCAACATATGCGAGGAGCGCTGCAAGCGTGAAATATTGCCACAGACGGATTTGCAACATCGTGTTCAGAGATATCTGCCCCAGTAGATGCTGGATGGATGTCAATGTTCACACGCGACACTCTGTCAGCGAGGGAGGAGGCAACAATCTACGTTATAATAAGAAGAATAACGTCTGGGATTGGGAACTCTTATGACTGGGGCGGATCTGGAGCGGCACGAGTACTTACGCATGAATAGGTGCTTCAAGGGGGGTCAGGGTCAAGGATCAAGGTTTTGTCCCAGGCGCCTTACAAGGAGGTTAGACACCCCCATTCTATGCTTGCCAGGCTTCCTACCCGAGCATCCCGCTAAACAATCCTGGACCATTGCTTATGTAGGATCATGCCACTCCGTCTGTTATAAGGCCTTAGGTAAGGCTTGCGTCCTGTCTCCCTCTTGGTAAACCCTTGATACATTCTCGGTTGCCTGGTTGAAGCCGACAGAGCGGGAATAGACGACGTTCCAGGCGTTCTCCAACAAGAAAACGAGTTTCAGGATAGTCTCGTATCCCGTTTGCAGGTATACGAAGTACGTCCTTTTATTTAGACCGTCTGCGCGAACCAATGACAAGAAGCCCATCTCGCAAGGTGATGCCCTTTCGAGTGGTGGATGAACTTTGGGGGTTGCCTGGCAGAGTTGAGCGCAGGCCAGGTCACCAGATATTCATACTCGCTGCGCATGCCTCGTACTTCACCACAAATGCCATTCATCGCATCGACTCGCTACAGGTTGCATCCACCTTCCATCAAACACCATGTCATGGTGACTGGGGACATGCGGAGCCCCAAATCTCTGACCCCTCGTTCTCTCCATTCCCCTAGTCTTCTGGTGGCGTTCTCGAGCATGGATTCGTCCCTCACTCCAGCCCACAGCACTTCTGCCGCAGCCGCAGCTCGAGGCCACAGCTTTGAATCAAGGTCGCTCGAGTCTGTCTGCTCAGACCACATTAACACCTCGCCTCCCTCAATGCCCTCTTGCAGATCGACACTAATATTCGCCAGTGGATTATAAGTATACATCTGCCGCCAGTTGTGATACGGGTTGCAATAGTCGAGGTACGGCTTTTGCAGTCTGCTCGAATATCCGCCCGATGTATTGTACGGAACTCCAGGAGGTGACTTGCCCGATGGATAAGGGTCGAGGAAGACGCCAAAACCACCTTTCATCGTGAGCAACAGCCGTCATTCGAGCGGAGAGCACCTACAGTCGAGATACCAATAATGGTAGTCTCCGAATATTGCTCGATGACCTCGTTTCAGCACTTCTTCGATTCGCTCACTATTCCGCCAGACTTGAACTAAGGTCTGCCTCGACGGAGCACTGTCCAAGGCCGAAGGTAGCGTCAGGTTCCAGTCAAGAAGCACTAGGGTGTCGTTAGCATAGATCAAGATACCCGAGCGCTGCAAGGCTGCCACGACACCGAAACGCGCTCCTGGGAAGCTTACTCTCCTCCCAGACAATTGGCTGAAGGCCATGGCGGATGCTTGCCTCGATGACATTGTCAATGAACTTCTGAAGTAACGGTTGTAGCACTCTCGGATCATCACTCTGGACGGTCTCATCGAGGAGATACGCCGCTAGGTTCAACTCGTCGCCACCGATATGATACAAAGAGGTATATGGTCGTGTTCGCGGCAGAAGATCGTCGAGGACAGTGGCCACAAATTTGTGAACATCCGAGGAATTGAGCTTAAGCTGCCCGCTCAAAGGTTCGGCAGCAAATGTTGACCAATCTAGCTCGTTGAAAGCTGCAATCAAGTTTGGAAATGCATAAGCCACTGATGCCGTGTGGCCGGGCATGTCAATCTCAATGAAGACCGAAACGCCCTTTTCTGCACCATACATCTGAATCTCCCGAAGGCTGTCGGCACCCCAAACATGATGAGGCTGATACGCCCCTTTTCGCGCCAGGTCCGGGAGAGAAGGTATCTCGAGAGGCCAACTCTGCGAATCGGTCGCATGGATGTGCAGTCTGTTCAACTTAGCCATTGCCATTGCATCGATTGTGCGTATCAGGTCTTTTGGGGCAAAAGGGTTTCTTGCTATGTCGATACTCAACCCACGGTGACGCCATCTAGCCCTATCGGCTATGCTCAAAGGTGCAAATGGTGTGTATGAGCCGGATTTGGTCGAATGTGCAAAAAATAGCTGTTTAAGAGTTTGCAGGGCTCTAATAGTCCCAATACTGCAGTTCGACTTGATAGAAGCGATACCGTGGTCGTCGATATCAATCACATATGATTCGTCTCCTCCAAAATAGCTTTGCGGACGGAGTGGTTCTGGTCCTGGACAATCCTTCTGTTGAATCTGCAGTGTAGAAATGTAATGACGCGGACCATGTGGATCAGGTTCAAAAGTTGAATGTCGTCTATACAGCTTCCAGGGGACGAATCTGGACTGTTGGATCGATCGAATCGTCTCGCGCACGCTATTCTGCACAATTGACCTCTCAGAGAACCCGTGCTCAGCACTGTTGTTTCTGTTCACAAAAGTGAATTGGAGCTTATCCATCAGGCCTTGTGTTAATCCAAGAGCGCCATTGAGCACACTCGCCAGATGAATTCCCTGCGAGCTGGAAGTGCCATAGAGATCAATGGTTTGCTCTTCGCAGCGAAGAGTCGCATGGATGGCCGCATCGAGCCACAGCACTCGATTACCAGTCTGGATCTCGGCAGGTTGCGGCCAAACAGCAAGGCAAGCCGTGATGGACCCTAGGAGAAGCAAAAGTCGGGGCTGCATCGTAGACAGCTGTTAGCAGTCCGATCATCGGGGTCTCCTTGGGACAATAATTGAGATGACAGAGTGCCTACTCAAGTGGTGGTTTTTAGAGATACACAGCAGAACATTGGCCAGAAAGGGGGCGAGGGGGTTGAGCCGGAGCCATGTTTTTCCATTCCGGCCAACGGCGAACAGGGATTATATTCTTCCGCCCCGACAGAGCTAGGAGGGCCTCGAGGGCGCCCGGGGACATTCTCTAGAGCAGATGCTGTGGGTGCCTTTCTCCACATCCCGGAATAACGAGACACCAACGTCCTTTTTCCGCATGGCAACTTTCCTTCGCCTTCTGTTGATCTATCACAACACTTGTCAAGTATTCTTACCACATCCTTGATAGAGTGACAGACGTCGCTGTTCACTTTCCTTTACCCTATCCTTTGAATCAGTCTGTGGTGATAGCTTCATGCTTGCCACACTCTGACCATCTAAAGCATTCTCGGTTCCCCGTCCTGCTCTTTCGGTTCCTCCCCTAACGGTTCTCTCGAGGCTTTCTTTGGAGCCACCACCACCACCATGGCCACTGCAACGGCAGATCCTGCTGCGAGTGCCGGCTCCAGCACAACCAAGACTCCTGCTCAGCTCATGCAGGAGAAACACGAGGCTGCAGAAACACATCATGTGACCGTCGAAGATGTTGTCGATGAAGACGACCTTCAACACCCTCCCCCTCACCATGCTGTTGAAGAGGCGGAAGACACCACAACCACAACCAATGGGTCTGGCAATGCTCCAATGTCGGCAAAGGCTGCGGGAAAGCAGAAGGCGACCGACAAGGCCCCAGTCCTTGACACTCAGTCTGAGGAAGCTTTCCCGGCTCTGGGAGCTGCGACGAAAACTGCCACCACTGCGTCCGCAAGACAGCCCGGCTGGATCGCCAGTGCTTCTGCCAAAGCTGCTCCAACAAACGGTTCTCCTGCCCTGGGATCTCGGCCGACCTCTTCCGGCGCTCTCACACCGAACTCGACCCCCGGTGCGGGAACTCCTGTCACTGCACCCGGCCCACGCAGCAACGTCGTCCTTCCTGGGAGGTACCGTGACTCCTTTGAGATTGACAATGCCGATCTGGACAAGAGCAAACCCCTGTCACGAGTCTTGAACGATGTCAAGAAGAAATTCAATGTCATCGTCACTCCAAAGTCAACCAATTTCGCGACCCGAACTGAATTCATTGCCGAGGGCCCCAAAGCCCGAGTCACGGAGGCTCTGATGTACGTCTCTAAAGAACTGACGCTCGAAAAGCAAGTTAAACTGGAAATTCCATCCACTGTCTCCGCTCAAATCATTGGCAAAGCTGGCGCAAACATCAAAAAACTTGAAAGCCAATTCAATGTCCGCATACATATTGATCGTGATACCAAGCCCGTGACGAGCCCCGAAGATGTCAGGACCGATGTGGTCGAGATCCGCGGAAATGCTGCCCAGGTTCGACAAGTCTACGAGCAGATCTCTAACCAGGTCAAGTCGCTCCAGCCGAAGGTTGATCTTCCCGTGCGCAATATTCCCCCGGAATTCTATCCTTTTATTGCTGGTCAACACGCAGATCGTATCCAACAGTTGGAGCGAGACCGCGAGGTTCGTATCAACGTACCACAGTATCACACATGGCAGCAACAGCCACCTCCACGCCCTGCCGAGACGGACCAGGCTCCTGCCTTTGTCCCTCATGGAGACAATCATATCGTCATTTCGGGCGATCAAGCTGCTACACTAGAAGCACGCTTATTTCTTGAGCAGCTGGCGGAAGAACTCCAAAAAGAGCTCCTACTCGAAGAACTTGCCGCCGAACAGATTTTACATCCCTATATTGTCGGCGAGCGCGGGATGGATCCTCTGAAGTTCTTGGAGGAGACAGGTTGTGCTGTCATCCTACCACCACCTGATCATGAAACAGAGGATATCCACATCATTGGCCCGAGAGACAAGCTAGAAGCAGGTCGGAATCTGGCCGAAGAGCTCATGTCCCGCAAGCACAATAGAGCCGTCGATATGCACAAGCATTTCAACGACGCCCCTCAAGGCCCGGAACGCCACTCAAGGGCGCTTGCTCAGTACCTTCAACAGAAAGCTATCGAGCGTGAATTTATGAAGTCTCATGGCGCTGAAATTATCTTCCCACCAAGTAGCAGTGCTTCCCCGAGCTGGACTGTCATTAGCAATGACCCTCAGAAAGCGCTGTCTGCCCGCAACGAGCTTTCCAAAATCACTCAAGCTTATCCCTCGGCAAGGATCCAGTTGGTCGAGGTTGATCCTTTCTTCCATCCTCACCTCGAACAAATGCATGCTTCCAATCTGCGGGATACTCTGGGTGTTCATATGATCGTGCCTGATGATGGCTCAGATCCTGTCGTGCTGGTTTACGAAGGCCCTTCACAGGAGCAGCCCTTCTCGATTCCTCGCAACAAACCCAGCAAAACTGAAATGGCCAATTTTGAGAAAGCCCTTCAGGAGGCACAAGCAATGCTACTCAGCAACATTCCTCATCAAGGTATCTCTGTTCAGGATATTCACGTCCCGAAGAAGTTCCAAGACAAAGTCAAGAGATTTGTGAACAATGAGCCTAGGCCAATGCCTCCTGAGGCTTTTCCCGTTCAAGTAGACTTTGGTGGCGCAAGAGGCGGCCCAAGACAAGCCAATGGTCTTTCTAGAGGCTCGCCGTCCGAAAGAGTCTATCTACGTGGTCCGAGTGAGGCAGATATCGCGGAACTCCGCCAGAAGATCGAACAATTCCTGCGAGAGGCCGAAGAGGACGAAAAAGAGCGTGGCTATACCACGACTTTTGCTTTCCCCGCCCAATACAACAAGAACTTGATTGGAAAACAAGGTGCCAACATCAGGGCTCTGCGCGAAAAGCACGATGTCGAAATTGACACTCGCGAGGACGGCCATGTCACCATCAAAGGTCCCGCAAAGAAGGCTGAAGCGTGCAAAGCGGAAATTCAGCGGTTAGCCAAACAATGGGAAGACGAAGTCAACTTTGCCATCAAAATTGATCCCAAGTACCATGGCATGCTCGTGGGTCGGAACGGAGAGAATCTGCAGAAAATCCAAAGCAAGGTCGACAACGCGGTGCGAATTGACTTCCCGAAGGCGCAGAGATTCAGCGATGACGTCTCTGTTGCTGACACTGCGAGCGAGGCTGGCGCTAGCCGGGGTCAGCCTCATGATGAGATCAGAATACGAGGACCTAGAGCGAAGGCTGAGAAGGTTCGAGATGAACTGCTGAGTCTCCACCAGTACTTGGTGGATAACTCTCATACCGCCACTGTCTCGGTGGCGCAAGGGCAGATTGCCTCTCTCATTGGAAGGCGTGGCCAGGAGATGGAGAAGCTCCGAGCTGATACGGGAGCGCAAATTGATATCCCGAAAGCTGATGGCTCTGATCGTGTGACGATCCAGGTCAAAGGTACCAAGCAGCAGGTTGAGAAGGCCAAACAAGAGCTGGAGAAGCGGGCCAAGGCTTTTGATAACATTGTTACGCGCACTTTGACGGTGGACAGAAAGCATCACCGTGCCCTGATCGGAGCCGGCGGTACGTACTATCTCTAAGCACAAAAGAAAATAAGCTGACTCGAACAGGCTCCAACATCCAAAACCTTGTCGCTAAAGCTGGCGGCACCGGTACCAGTGCTGAACATGTCCGATTTCCTCGTCAAGGGGACGAGTCCGATGAGCTTACTGTTAGGGGTACGGCCGACGTTGTTGAGAAGATCCTCGCCGCCATTCAAGCCTTCGTGGACGAGCGAGAGCACCAAACGACCGAGACGATAGATGTTCCCGTCAGCCAGCACCGTGCACTGATTGGTCCAAATGGCAGTATTCGAAAGAAACTCGAAGAAGAGTTTGGCGTAACTCTGAATGTGCCTCGTGTGGGTACTGGACTCACTGAGGTCAAGATCATTGGTCGTCCGGAAAATGTCTCAAAAGCCAAGGAGCGTGTACAAGGGATGGTTTCCAAGCCTCAGGGCGAAACGATTATGGTTCCGCGATCTTTGCATCATGTCGTTTCCAGAAATGGTGCTCTGTTCCGTGAGCTTTCTCGGGACGGCATTCGGGTCGATCACAATGGACAGAAGCCGCCGCCGAAAGCGGCTACCAACCGCGGACCACGGACACGGACGACCAACGGTGATATGCCACTGATCACAGACCAACCTGGGGAGGAGGCCTACTCATGGGACATGGTCTCTAACCAGCAGGGATTGGATAGTAATTCGGGGGAGATCCCGTGGGTGATTTTGGCGGGAAAGGACGCCTCGGAGGACACAGTCGCCAAGGCCAAAGAGAAGATCCAGTCACTGCTCGAGAAGGCTGCCGAACCTCAACACACCGGCTTCCTCATTCTCCCGGATCCCAGACTTCACCGCCACATCATCGGGCAAGGCGGCTCGACTATCAACGCTATTCGCCGACAGTCCGGCTGTGATATCCAAGTCCCGAATAGAAATTCTGGCAAGGGCGAGGAAGGAGAAGCCATCACGATTGTGGGCAAGGAAGATGGCGTTCTGACTGCTCGGGATTTGATTCTCGAGGAGATCAAGAGAGCTGAGGCTGGACGAAACTCGCCGAGGGGTGCTGGTCGTGCTTAGAAAGCGTGAAGTGAAAGTACGTGGGCTGTTCTGAGCGAGGAAAACGTATTTGAGCCCATGAAGACCTTTGTAAGAGTACCAAAAGACGCAATTTGGTCGAGGCTGTCGATGAGCATGGCTCTAGAGAAAAGAAAAAGTTTGCAGTTGAGTAATTTGGATTGAAAAAGAAGCACAATTGAGGATTAAGAGCAAGCAAGGCAATTCCCTGATACTACGATGAACACCCTGCGTGTCAAGTCCTAACGTTCAGCGAAAGCGAGTAGGACGATCTCTTTCTTCCAACCCCAATCCAGGCACGTATCCTTGCACAGGTGATACATGTTCCTACTCGCCTGGCTCGCCATCATGCACGAAAGCGAATGATGTAAACAGTGCAAGGCTGAGAGGGGGGGGGAGGCTTTGTGTTTAGGGCATCCTCCCTTTGTAAGCTTGGATCTAGGCGGCTAGTTGGCGATAGGGAAACTGGGAACTTTTCGTGAAGATGTTCAGCTTATTGATTGCATAAACCGGCTCTATGCGGTGCGCTATCTATGCATTCGCTCACGCGTCAAACCCCATCCGAAGCTTGCGCCGGAACTTTTTGAAATAAAAAAAAAATTGCCATTTAGTACACCTCTAGCACATATCTTCCCTCGTCCTTCAACTTCATGATCTCCCGGGCCGTGTCGATCTTCTTGACCCCGTTGGCCTTGGCGTCCTTTGCGATGGCCTCCTCGAGAACGTTGGTGACATCGGGCACGGGCCAGGTCGGGCCGCACAGGTAGAAGGCGCCGTCCTGCTTGATGTAGGCCTCGACGATGTCGTCGAGGGTCTGCCGCATGCGGTCCTGGATGTAGATCTTGTGCGGCTGGTCCCGGCTGAAGGCGCGGCCGAGCAAGGTGATGACGCCCGCGGCCTGGTAGGCCTCCCACTCCTCGCCGTAGCAGTACTCCTCCCGCTGGTGGCGCGAGCCCATGTACAGCAGGACCGAGCCAATGTCCTTGCCCTGCGCCTTCTCCATCGCGCGGTGCTGGACGAAGGCCCGGAACGGCGCCAGGCCCGTGCCCAGACCCGCCATGATGATCGGCTGGGTCGACTTGGGAGGCAGCTTCATGACGGACGGCTTGACGCTGACCGTCACGGGAGCGCCGACCCTGAGGGCGGAGAGGTACTTCGTGGCCTGCCCGAAGCGGTCGCGGCCCTTGGGATCAACCCAGTTGACCACGACGACCATGAGCGCGACCGAGGTCGGAGTCACGGCTTGGCAGGAGGCGATCGAGTATTCCCGACGCTTCATCGGCGAGACGATCCGCGCGATGTCGTGGAACGACGGGTGTGCGGACGGGAACTCGAGCAGGACATCCGCGAACGTGACCGTGTCGACTTCGGCCCTTCTCTGGAATTCCTTGTAACCTTCCGGTCCGGCCAGCGTCAGCAGGTTCTTCTTCTCGTTCTCGTCGTCCGCAAACTCCGCCAGCGCTTCGTAGAACTTCTTGGGCGGGCGGCCGAATATGTCGACGTTTTGCATGAGCGCTTGGTAAATGGTGCGGTTCTCAAAAACGCTGGGGTCGTCGCGCGAAGCGACCTCCACGACATCCTCGGCGTTGAGGCCGTACCATTTGATGAACTCCATGACTTGATCATGGTCGTTCTCGGCGTGAATGCCGAGAGCCTCGCCGATGTCGTACTTGAGGCCGGAGCTGCCGAGATCGAATTCAATGTGGAATATGTTCCGGTCGTAGGTCAGCGGCGTCAGGCGACGGTTTTCTTTGACGTGGACAGTGTAAGTCTTCACCGGCAGGTCAGGTCGAAGGAGGCTTGAGGCGTTGTAAGCTTCCTTGAAGAGAAGTCCTTTGGCCGCCTTTTGCCAGCTGCGAAGGAGAGACGGTGGCTCCTCTTCTGTCTTGTCGAAGGAGATAAGACTGTTCGGGGAGATGTTTGTGGGCAGTGTTGATTTGGCGTCTTCCAATTCTGCCCATTCCTTTGGTACCTCGATCTGGCGCAGAGTCTTCTCGAGGTCAGCCGCCACTTGTTTGAGGGTTTCGAGATCGTTGTGGATAGTTGCCAGCTTCTGCAGACCTATCTCCTCGGACTTTCGCAATGCGACCCGGACAAACGCGACTTGAAGTATCAGCGATTCGAACTCGGGGGTTTCGGCGGAGAGAGCAGTGTTGGCTGGGTTGATCAGATACAGATGGACTCCCTTTGCAGCGATCGATCTCTTGAATGCTGCGGGGAGTTTCTTCTCGACGTCCTCATCTTTGACACCTGGTAATAGCAGAATAATGCTGCCACCTTGTTGGACCGATTGAACTACGTCGATTTGCTCCAACAGCTTGACGTCCGTGACCACAGCAGTATTGGCATAAGTGACGGGATATGCAGCGTCGAGGCTTCGAGGGGATTTTCGAATATCGACTCTGTGAATACCTCCCTGTATGGAGTTGTCGTGGGTGGTATTCACGGTAACGTTCTGCGCCGATTCGGTGGCTAGAGCTTCAGCCAGGTAGGTGGCCGCAGATGCAGATGGCGCATCATCGATATTCCAGAAAGTGTACCGTTGGACGGAGTTGTCCAAGAATGTAGTAATGCCCTGGTCATCAGCAGCCTTGCCCAGGAGCATCTGGAAAAGTGACGAGATGGACGACGGTGTCCACCGCTCAGCCCGGGCATATTTCAGCTCTTGCACTTCCGGGTGGTCATGAGTCGTCACTCCATACGAGACAGCAGCAAGCACGTCCTCATATAGACGGGAATGAACACCAGCCTCCTGCACAGCCTGCGAGTCAACGACCTGGCCGAGGACGCCGATCACTCTCACGCCTTTGGGGATGAGCTTCAAAAACTGTTCCTCCGCGAACGGTCGGTAGAGTCGAACATTGATGGCTCCAACCCTGCTACCGGTTTGGGCTAGGACTGAGGCCGCCTGTGCAGCGAGCGAAGATTCGACCGAGCCGAACGAGACTAGGACGACCTCGGGTTGTTCGTGACCGAAATACTCAAATGGCTTGTAGTCCGTGCCGAGCTCGTCATTAAGGGCCCGAAGAGTTCTCAGGACTTTACCCTCGGCACTCAAATGCTTCCTGTTCTCATCCGAGATTGAGGCGAGGATCGAGCTGTATGTGCTGCCCAAGCCTGACTTGTCTAGGATGTCGATGACCCTTGTGGTTTCCCGCCCAACCCTCAGGCCATCATAGACGTGTAGCGTGGGTAGGTCGTGAGCCAGTAGAGTGGCGAGCAGGGACATATGCTGTGTCTCATATGCAGATTGGCTAGCAACCAAAGCCAGACCCAGATCTTCGGCAGCAGACAAGGCAGAGACATAATCCGAAACCAGACCACCGTTCTTGTCGCCTTCGTAGTCGAGTGCCGCCACATGAGCCACGAATGGGTTGCTGACAGAATAGAGCAGAGACAGCTGGTCGAGTACGGGCCGCAAGTACTTCAGCGCCGACGTTGGGGCAAGGAGACCTTGCGGGATATGCCTCTTCTTTAGGTCGAAGTCCTTGGAGAACATGTAACCGAGGGCGATTGATCCTGCTCCATTCCGAATCTGCATGGCTTGTACCCCGGTGGTGTATCCATTGATATTCGCCTCTTGCGCCTCTGCCCAGGATTTTGCGGCGACGTCGAGGTCAAATGTCTCCGGGGAGTAGGAGAAGATCTTGTCGGACAGAGCATATGCCACCTGCTGGACGAGAATCTGGGCAGTCACGTAGGTAGGGCCCGCGACCGAGGACAGGGGCGGCGCCTGGCCGAAGGGGAGGTTCCTCGAGGCACGGGAGGCCATCTTGGAGTCTCCCTCCGGCGCTGGTCCGTTGGAAGAGGGCAACTCGAGACGCATGATTGCGAGCTTTGCAGAGAAGAGAGAGATGAGGAATGAGAAGAGGCAAACCTACCTTGGAGGACGCATTTACAATGAATAGATCCCAGAGGACCGACTGCCGACCGAGTTCCATACACCTCATTCATTTTTTGAATTGCGTTATCGATCGGCAGCCAGAAAAACATGCAGTCGGAGGGAAAAATTGGTGGAGGCTCGATCACGCAATTCCACTAGCGCCAAAAAAGAAGATCTGGAACTGTGTCACGTGGGGCGAGGCTGAAAGCCGCATCCGCCAATGGCGAGCTTGCCCGCTTTTCCCAATCGGGCCTCGAGGCTGGGAGCAGCATAGATAACTCCCGGTCTTCTTCGTGTTACCACGTAGATTTGTGGGATAATGATGATACTGCTTGTCAGTTGATGGTCAAGTGTGTTACACCAGATGCTGTTCCACTTAGTACAGTCTCGGAAAGCAATGCTCACGTGACGCTTGCGTGTATGGAGAGCCTTGTCAATCGGCGGCGACCACCCACACCCGAAGACTGCCTTCTGATATATATGCGCAGTTCGCTTATATGCGACGCCCATCTGAGGTGGCTCGAAGGTTCATATGCCTCTGGTAAGGTCATTTTCAAGGATATCGACGGCGTGTTGTCATAAGAAGCCCTTGGCGATGAGTTTCAAAGATAGCAGGGATGTGAACTGTGCGAGAATCACTGAGTTCATCCAAGAGACCATAGAAAGAGTAGACAGAAGGTCGCAGTAAAGTCATCTGCAATTCATGGCCGTCGAGAGGCGTGATAGTCTTGATCATTTGTCCCGTGGTTGATTGGGCCAATGTTGGAAATTTCCGGGTTGAAGATGAGCACGAACTGTCTGTGCACGAGCTGAAAACTGCTCAAATATTGTCCGGATGATTATAATCGTTCACAGACCGTGGCGTAAGGAGACCCTGCGTCCGTCCAAGTAAAGGAGGAAGAGTGATTCTGATAGCTGATATCCATCTCAATTATCGAATCAAAGCCAGAAGCAGCGGTGTCTCTGTGGCCAAGAGCTTCTAACCGTTTTAGGCATCGCTTGCCACGACTCTCGTTGCTGCCTCGGTTGGTAGCTTCGGAGCCGTTGCAAGGCTGCGTGGCTGGTCGCAATTTGTCAAGCCTCACCGCACGTAATAACGGATGCTGCCGGCGACTCGAGTCCGGCCGAATTGGTGCGCCTAAAGTCTCTTCCAACGGGTCTTCAGATATTAAGACGCGAGGGAAGGGAGTCTCTGAAGCGCTGAACGTCACCAAACACCCTCCACGCAACCGTCTTTGATTCTTTCATCGATTCTGAAACAATGGCAAAAGCTCTTATTCTCGGCAGCACCGGCCTCGTGGTATGTCCTATGCTCATCCACACCCTTCACCACACATGCTTGCTGACACCTAGCACAGGGCTCTTTCATCCTGTCGACGTTGAGAACGCACCCGTCTTCTCAGTTCTCCAGCATCGAGGTCATTGCTCGACGATCTCCGCCAGCAGCCACAGGCCAGTCCATCCCGGTCAATGAGTTCGTCGAGAAGGACACCACCAAGTGGGCGGGTCATATATCATCCTTGTCCCCACCGGCTTCCGTCCTCTTCTGTGGTCTCGCCACGACACGTGCCGCAGCCGGTGGGTTCGACAAACAGTACAAGCTCGAGCACGACTTGAACATCGAGCTGGCCAAAGCTGCCAAGGAGGCAGGGACGAAGACCTACGTCTTGATTTCCTCCGGTGGGGCCGACCCTCACTCCTATTTCGGATACACCAAGATGAAGGGCGAAATCGAAGAAGACGTCAAGGCCCTCGAGTACGATCACACGATTATTCTCCGCCCGGGACTCATCCTCGGGAAGCGTCAGGAGCACCGTTTTGTGGAAGGCCTTTTGCAAGGGGTTGCCTCGGGACTGGGTAGACTCCATCGGTCCCTGAAGGACAGCTGGGCCCAAGATGCCGATGTCATTGCAAAGGCGGCTGTTGCTGCAGCGATCAAGGCTGAAAAGGGAGAGGTCAAGGACAAAGTATGGGTGCTTGGCCAAAAAGAAATCCTCCAGCTTGGACTCAAGGAATGGAAGGATACTGAGTGAGAGGGGGGAAGTTCTTTTTCCGCGACCAAGGCTGAATTGTAGGATAACCTGGAAGGTTGGAATGATACCCATATCTGCGTTTGAAGGATAATGCAACCGACTCCGTCCGTTTCATGGATGAATATACCCCACTCAAAGTATATACAACGTCATCTTCCTACCCTTAGCTCTTTCGCCGGTGTGCCCGAGTCCGGCACGTCAAGTGCTCTGTTCGCCTTTTCCCGCCTCTCCTCCCCCTCTCCTCCCACCGCCGCCTTCCGACATCTTCTTCTTGGCCCCTCCTTCCTCCTCTGCCGTTCCCTGGCTGATTTCTGGATTGGCCGGGCTCGCGTCCAGCGGGTTGACCTGGTTCCCCTCTCCGGCTTTCCGCTTGGCCTCTTGGGGGTCGGTGATGTTGGGGTCGAAGGCGGCTTCCTCGTTAGCTGCCGAGGCGTCGTCGGTGCCCGACTTGGAGTACTCCGACGCCTCGGGGTTCATCTTCTCGCGGTCTAGTTGTGCATCTCGCTGGGGATGGGGGTGGCGGTCGGGGTCTTGGTCCGCAGCAAAGGCCCGGGGAGTCGTGGCGAGGGCTCGAAACGGGGAGCGGGCTGGAAAGAGCGGGCGTGCGAGGGATTGGAGGTTCCGAGGGAGACGAGGCGGCATCTTGAAGCTGTAGGCGGGAGTGGGAAACCTAGATATAACGGCTGCTTCTCGCGTTCCTGGGGTCTGTGTCGTCCTCAGTGTAGTAACCTAGAGCTCTTCAATCAACGGAACTGCTGCGTCAGGAACGTTCGAGACACTAAAAGGGAGACCGAACGAGAGAAGTCACGAAGGAGGAGAAAATAGCAAAGCATCGTCATTCATCATCCATCGACCTACCGTAATTCCATTGGAGCTCGTCATCTCATGGACGATTCACTTTGGCGCAGATCAATGATGCCAGTTTCTGCGCCTGTGGCTGCGACGCGCCGTGACGTCATGGCATGGATTGTTGTGCCAAGCTCACTGCGTGCCACCCAGGCCGTGCCGCTTTATAACCACTCACCCCACTTCTCACCCTCGCTCTCACTTGCCAAGTACGGAGTACTTACATTCACACTCACTCTTTTATCCTGACATCCTCTACCACGTACAGCGTGTAGCGCTAGCGAGGACCCAAATTTAGCGGCGTACTATCTACTCGGGAGTTCCCTCTTTACCGTCTTTCGACCTTCGACTGTGTTCCTATCCTCCTGTTCGGATAAACCCTTCCTAATACCAATAAAGTACAAAAACTCCCTTTCTACCGTCTTCCGTTATACTCTTTCCCTTCATTCATCCATTATAGAACTTGAAGCGTGCCCGCTCCATTGGTAGGTTCTCGTTCTCGCCCCCTCACGCGCCGTAGCCCGCGCCCTCGAGCAAATCTTCCGCACCGGGCGAAGATGACAATGATGGCCAACCACACGCCCGGATCAGCTTCGCGGATCGGCATCCTTTACCCGGCTCGCCTCCGCCGAAAACACTAATCCTGTAACATCCTTGCATGCCTCTTGTAGTAGTATAATACTGGGACGGAGGCCGATGGAGCATTCTTTGGTCCTACATTGAACAGTTGGAATATCTGAAGCGAATGATGAGCTTCGTTCCTGTTTGCTGCAAGTTGTGCGTTTGTCAGGAATCTCAAGTTGCAACCCTCATGCGGACACGTCTGGATGTTTACATGACCCAAACTCAGGGGTAGGGAGACGATGTGGAGGATGAGCCTTCCTGCCTAGGTACCGATGGCTCTGGCCCGTGAGCTATGGCGAGGAATTTACGCAGTTCATGGCGATACCCGTGGCAAATCAGCCACACAGTACTTTCCTCACCAAGTTACCGAGCTCGTTAATCCGCGGAAGGGCTTTTCGGAATGCCTCGTTGTGCAATAGGTCTTCTGGAACAGCCAATTCGACATCGGAATCTAGACACGATTACTTCCCACTTCCGCCCTCACTCGTAGTTCAGTTTTCCCCTGCTCTTATTGTAAAGTTGTTGCCGGGAAATCCGCCTCCGGGTTTGTCTCGAGGCCGTCTAAGACATATTGGTTATAAACCTTGTATAGTGTGTGGAGATAGGAGTTATAAGTTCTTTGATTTATTAGCCTTTCGCTGATCTCTGATCTCAGGCTCGGATGGTGCATTCACTTAAAGCACCTTTGATATATGCGTGCTCCTTTTTTCATGTCTTATTATTTTGATCACCTAGGCAATATTTTATTCTGCAGACCGAATAAGGCGATATGTTCTGGCGTAGGTGTCTTAACACATTAATACTTCAGCCGGACCCAGGACACTAGCCAATCCCTTTCGAGATGTCTTGGGCGTGCAATACTTCTAAAGGATATATTCCCGTACATTGCCAAAGTAAACAGCGACCATTGCGAAATGGCATGTTCGCGATCCTTTAGCGAAACTGCTCTCCGTATTTTCTTTGCGTTGAAGTCGTGCTGTAGCTCCTATTCACTCCACCTGATTGGTCAGCCGGGAACCCTCCGGGGAGCGAATCTCGAGGTTTGTTATCATTGGCTGGGATATGCTGAGCTTCACCACTAGATCGCCCGAACCCCGAAACTCGGCTCTGTGATGTGGGTTCGGTCTCAAACGCCGTCTCATCTTCTTCGTCCATGTCTTCCACAAAACTTCCCAGAATCATCCTCGTAACCGATCCAGTCCAGGAAACGTGATCAATTATACCCCTTTCTCGATGTTAGTATAATGTTCGTCCACGTGGGCGCAAGATACTTACGGAATCTTGTATGCCTCCGACAATTCATCATCCAGCCATTTGAGCCTCTTGGATGCATCTGGGTCTTCTCCGAATTGTATGAAAGAGATGCTAAACCAGCGATCTTCCAATCCATATTTATGAACGAACGGATTTTTGACGAAGGTGGCAATCTTGTCCTCCACCGTGTTCCCCGTCGTCGTACCCCGCCATCGTCCATCAGTTAGCACCAGCAGGGTCATTCGTTTCGATTTGGTTTGGTTGGTGTAATTGGTGAACACTCTTCCTAGAGTTTCGGCCATGTTGGTCCTTTTTTCCCCACTGGAATCTCTCACCGGCGATGGAGCAGCTCTATCCATTTGTTTCCTGAATTCTTTGAAAGCATTTTTTCCTTTTGCATTGAACGGCATCTCGTGGCCAATGGTGAAGACCAAATCAAGCCCATCCTCGTCGAGAGGAGCTAGCTTCATGGCCAGAGTCTCTAGAACATAGGTTGCGACTTTCCAAAATGGCCCCATAGTATCTCCGTTATCGACAATGAAGATCTGTACCACAGTCAATCACGCAAGAATCGGCTAGATGATGAAACAAACAAACCATATCACGATCCGCGATGAATTTCTGTAGGTATCCGTCCACTTTTGGACTCTTGAAATACTTTGCAAGACCGCTGCGCTCAGGTTCGCGTTCAAGCTCTTCTCTCACCTTGTAGATATCGTAAGCTTTTTGGAGAGTAGGTTCCGCGGCAGTGTAAGAAGGAGACCGGTTGTGCGAACGCGATGTTTGCTCCCCAAGAATGTTCTGCGACCCAACGACAGAATTTTCCCTCAGGAGAGGCCCGAAATCTTCAGCTTTACCGGGCGGCTGCCGAGAAACCCGAGACGTCTGTGATAAATACTCTTTCAGACCTAGTGTCGCTGGGTCTGACAGAGGCGGGGATAATGGCTGCTGTGGCTGCTTCCCCTTCCAGTCACCAGATATAAGATCCTTTTCGTAGTAGTATCCAGGGCTCTGGACATCCAAGTTGCGCATTCGAGGGTCCCGGCGATTGCGAGTAACATCAGGCACAATAGTGGGATGAGGACGTTGCTCTTGCTTCCCAGGGCTGGTGTTTCTGGCCTCGAGGAGGCGATCTAATACAGCATCTATATCGATTTCATCGGAGCCGTTCGAAGTATTCGGCACAGGGGCAGCGGCTAGTGTAAGGGAGTAATTATCTGGATGCGACTCGCTCTGATCTAGACCAGCGGACGCAGCCTCTCCATGCTGAGTCTCAGCGGAAGTCTCTGGTCCTGGGTGATATTCGAATGCCCTGAGCAAAGACGCTTCTGGAGTAGTGCATATAGGCAAAGGGTTTCCCTCCCAGAATTGGTTCCACTGGTCTTCATCTGTTGGTGCTAGCTCGGGAATTTCAATGAGATCCGTGGAGAGCTCGTCGTCCTCGATTTCTATTTCGTCGGTGTCCACTGAGAGGCTGGTTTCCATTGCCTTTGCAATCGAACTGACCGCACTGACTCTAGTTTGAATCGTCGAGCTTGTGCCAGACGCAAAACCCTCCGAGTTCGTTGGCTCGCGGTTCTCGTCCTCCGGCAAAGAAAGAAGGGCTAGCGATATCATGTGCTCAGCGACATGATTCAGGATATCATTGAGAGGCATTGATTTGGCATCAAAGTCATCGAGACAGAGCGGACAATCTGTGAGTGGCTCACGTCTTGGGCGAGAGATCGCAGAGGATTCAACAAGCTCTTCAAGATCACTCTCCTCAAACTCATCCTTGTGCTCATCCCGCAAATGCGCCTCAAAATCTGTTCTCGAGTAGAAGCGAGACGGAGTACCGTGAGATCTGTTGGTGCAAGTCCATATCGTTGTGGAATGTTGGTTGGCCATATGGGCTGTCCAGTCACCGAAAGACTCAAACAGCGTATCCGGCATGGAGCATCCATCAAGCATGCACACATAGGGCATCAGATCCTGAATGAAGTGTCGCCTAAGCATGTTTTAGCACGGTGTCTCTGTGACAGATACAGACCTGACCATACTTCCAAAATTTTCCTTGCAACTCATTGGTGGAACAGACTAGGAAACAGTACGGACACTTGATGTAGCCACTGTCGTCCATGGGCTTCGGGGGTCGCGGCATCATGCCATCAATTGCGTGGTATTTGCTCTCCAGAAATGTCGACGACGTACGAACGCTGTGAGTCTTGAAAACGCGCTGAACGTTGGCTGTTGAAGCGGTAAAGATGGTGGAGGTTGGTCCAACCCCTGACCTGCGTCGTTTGGAGTTGAGTTTCAGTACATCAGCAGGGCCGGAAGCAGCAGAGGCCCCCGCCGGTCTCAAAGGTAAGAGCGAAGATACACCATGGGACCCAAAAGCCGACATTCGTTTGCCCAGAGCTTCAGACGCCTTTACTTCGCGGTCGCGCAGGTAGCTGAAGTTTTGCCTCCTTAGGCTGATTGATTCAACCAACCGCAGTCTTGTTGATTTCGATGCTTTTGGGTGGCGTTTCTCCACAATGGTCTCAATACTTGCACGAAAGTGTTCAGAGAGGTCAATGAGCTTGCCATCGAATTCCAGAAGCTCGCGATAACTGGCGACCTTTGAGAGCCTGCTGAGCACTCCAGATCGATGAATGGCGCGGCATATATCAAACAAGCGGGTCTGGAAATCGTCAGTCTGTGCTAAATTGTGGGCAAGATGGTCGTTATCCGCGTCATGTGGGAGTCCGGGGTGGTTGACCGTCTCGAGGATGTCTGCGGCACCACTTAGATCAAGCCACTCGCGGTCAAGAATCTTCTCCAACTTACTTGACAAGGCGGTCTTGAAAGAATCCAACAGATCCCGGACCACACTTGCGAGGACAGCAACATTTCGTAGTCGCCAATCCAAGCACATGCGGTCATTTGTGAAGACGAAGTTGTTGGCTGCCCAGAGACGGAAAAGAAAGACGGCATTCTCGGCAGATGGGAGCCCGGAAGCATCCTCGCGCCTCCATCTCTCCAAGAGCTGTAGACACTCGGCCGCTCTGTTGGATATCTCTGCTGGGATGTTCTTAGTCACCGTTAGTATTTCACATATAACCAAGAGATCATGAAGGAGAGGGGGCCAACTCTCTTCAGCTCTACCAGCCTTGGGTATGTATCTTCTTACCATCTGCGCATTCACGGGACACGCCCCGCTACAGGTTGTTATTAGGAATCATCCCAAGTGAACGGTGTTCAGGAGCTTCATCAAGAGATGATGACAGCCGGTGAAACCTGATGGAGATGTACATGACTGATGAGGCTGAGAAAGATCAACAGGTTGAACGCCAATCAAATGACGCCTCGTGGCGCCATCTTCGCGGGGCATTTTCCCGCCGAGCATTCCGAGTCTTCGACTTGGAAGCATGTATCAGATATCAGCCTCAGCCTGACCTCAACTTCCTTCTCTATTCCATCGCCATCGGAACAACTGATTCCCTATCCGTCATTTCATCGATATCGAGCTAGTCTCGCTTGGACACGATGTTCACCATATCTGTCTCACACTTTTCTGCCCTTCTCTAGGTTGGAGATGATTGATTTCACCTGCTTGGAGACCGCCTGTGGTTTCAATCTCGAAATTATGCACGCCGGGGCTCGTTGCTGTCAGCAAAAACTGCCACAAGCAATGATTGAAGCCGAAGAAAGCTCGAAATCTATCTTGGTTGATACCTGGAGTTAGAGCCAAGGTCCAAAAGCCAATCTCAACTCGACCTACTGTGCAGCTCCAAGGGCAAATGCGATTCGGGAGGCCTTCAAATCCACTGCAAAGCACACCACCGCGAGACCGAAGTCAACCTCAACCGCGTCTATCGCTCTGGTAAGCTTTTTGCGGGCCGGAGCAAGCCTGAGCCAATGGCTGCCGAAGGAACTCGCCGTATAAGGACGGCTCGTCTCCGGAAACTGCTGCTAAAGCTCGCCTGGACCATTGCCACCGCAATCCAAACACTCCCCAACCAGACAGATCAACTGCGGAACCTCAAAATCTTACTCATATCGCCCTTATGGACTTCTTTGGAGAATCCGGATATCGAAAATGTGCTATCTTTGAATATTAGCATCAGCGGATGCCTGGAAGAAGTGGCCGAATCTCTGGAGATTCTCTTCGGTGGTGACCGGGAGAGCAACCTGAAAGTATGTTGCAGCCTCGCCCTTGCAGCCACTTTTCAATGCATATGCTAAGGGAATTAGACGCAAGACAGCCTTGAGAACTCGTTGCCCATGCTCCTGGAGCTCGAGAAACGCTGTGACACTACCTTTGGAGGCGAGCTCGTTCGAGAGAAGTTGTCTATGAGTCCCACTGTCGAGGATACCAAATCTTTCTTGATCAACTGCATTGGCAAACTCGAAAAATGGAATTCCGTCTCGAAAATCAGTTCAGGGCATCATATTGATCATCCCTCTGATGATCCCAACCCGGCTACTATTGTACATCCCCTCCCGAAAATCGAGTACGCTGTCTTCGAGGGAAGCAACAGTACACATCATTTAACAGACCTACTTCACGACGTTTTGCATGCCAATTGGCCCTGCCAAATCGGAGATCACAACCATGCCGGGAGACTCGGAGAATGCGAAGAAGCCAGGTTCTGCCTTGATTCGCGATGGAGCTTCAGCAAGACTATCGACTACTTCTCAATTGTCTTGTCAGGTCAAGGTGTTCTGCAAGAATGCAAGTTTTGCATTCTCGCAAACAGGTACGTCTCTATTAATCTACTCGCACGGGGACAGCGTCAAGGCGCGCTATTGACTCTCACGAGAACCCACCGCTCAAACTGGTATTATCAGGCTTTTTACAAGATTGAAATACGTCTGTTTAACCGTGATCGAGAGAGGCCCAGAGCTTACCTCTACGAATAGAACTGGCATTATGCAATCATGCAAAGGGTGAATATTGAGTGTGGTTGCGAATAGCCCTCGAGAGGCAATAGCGGCACTTTTTGCTGTCCCCTGAGAGCCACCTGCAACAAGACCTGTCGCAATCAGCGATTGAACTTGATGGCTAACTGTGTGATTCTAGCTTACGTCCGAAAGGGACCAAGCAAGAAATGTGCTTAACGGTACACAGCAGTATGCGCGATTATTGTCTCAACCTCGCCATGACAGATACTACGGGACTATGGATTCGCTGGAAGCAAAGCCCCACTTTGTTTGAATCTCATTCGATCTCCAGATGTCGAGAGATGACATTGCGGGAGCTCCTTGGCACGGTAACCCTGACAATTTGCGCCAGACGCGTGATCGGGCTGGTCCTCGCTCGAGCTGCACTCCATCTTCTTGGGGGGAAATGGGCCAGCTCACCCCTTTCGCTGGACAATATTATACTTTATCATACAATTGTCGACGGGCGACCACTCTTCTATTTCGATAAAATCTTTGTCTCCACCCGATTTTCAGAGCCCGGCCCTGGTTCCACCCAGTCGTATGATGATGTTCCCGTTTCACCATTGTACGGTATTCATGACCTCGCTGTGGTACTCGCAAAGATCGAGTTAGGGGAAAACCTCGCTCGAGTTGAAGAGAAGATCGGACTCGCATTGGAAGCGAATCCCCTTGCTCTGGGCAAGTCTCTGCTTAAGCAATGTCGGCTCTACTCTTCATCGCCTCCTTCCACCATCGAATTCTGTCTGGATCCGTCTTCCTTTGACGACTTTGAAGATTTGGATCAGGAAGAACTCCTGGTGAACCGAGATTTCATCAACGCCTACTACAAGGGCGTTATACGGCCTCTAGAAGGCTGGCTTATCAAATATGGCTGGACATGGAAGCAAGTCAATTGGCACCAACCTTATGTGATGGATCACAACGGCATTTGTCACTTCGTGCAGCATGCAAAGTCAGGAGAGCCGTTTGGAAAGACGCAAACACTGAAAATACGAGAGAACACTAGACCAACCTTATCTATCGACCCTGTACGCGAAACGAACAACGATTTGCAGATTGAGTGGTCAGGACAACCACCGGGCAGCGTCATGGACTATGGCTCCTTATCTTCTACAGTGACCTATGATCGAGCGTGGGCTCCCAGCTTTCCCGACAAGTAGCAGACTCGAAGTGCTAACAACTGTTCAGGGACAATTGGTTTGTCAATCTGAAGAGAATGCTCGGCAACATTTATCGCGACTCGCTCCTTACCTCGTCCAAAACCGAGGAGTTGAAATATCCCAAAGTGGCAATCATCGATACAGGTATTTACTTAGGGCACCCCGAGCTGCAACCGTTTGTCAATTCTGGACACATAGCGGGATGGCACGATTTTGTACTAGGCAATGAGTCAAATGAGGACCTCGATGGTCATGGCACGCACGTTTCCCATCTCTTGCTCAAGACAGCACCTTACTTACGCTTGTATCATGCAAGGGCATTCCGACATTCCGATGCTGACGCAGACACGGCCACGCTGGTCGCGCGGGTGAGCGGTTCCGGATGACGCAAAATGATTAATGACTGACGTCGACAGGCAATCCGTCATGCCGTGGATAAGTGGAATGTGGACATCATCTCCATGTCATTCGCCTTTGAAGAACTGGATGTAGGCATCTTGAATGCGATACACCACGCGGTGGACTGCGGGGTCTTGTTGTTCGCCGCCGCATCCAACAACAGAGCAGAGAGGCGAAACCCCATCGGATATCCTGCGCGGGAGGAGAACGTTATATGCGTCAACTCGACCGATGACCAGGGGAACAAATCCACCTTCAGTCCAGAAGGGGTAGAGCGGGACTACAACTTCGCCGTCCTAGGAGAAAACCTAGAGGCAGCATGGCCACCGACACAAAACAATGGCCAGAACTTGAAGAGAGTCACGGGCACGTCGCAAGCGACTCCTCTGGTCGCGGGGATCGCGGCAATCATTCTTCATGTCACGAGGATGAAGCAGTTCGGCAAATTCGACATGGAAACTTTGCTCAAGCAGGCTCGGGGCATGAGAAAGGTATTGTATGAATGCATGACGAAGAAGCAGGGGGCACCTCGTTACAATTATATCACGCCTGGGGATCTCTTTAACTCGAAGCTGTCGAGTATCAGAGTCAAGATCGAGTCGGCGTTGGAGAATCTATAGCCATGAGCCCTTGGGACGGGTTCTGAGGATTAGTATCTTGTTCTTTTTTTATGAGTTTGAATGAGCAAGCGGCACCTTGAGCGGCAGAGATCAAGCTAGATTCCCCGGTAGACCATCTTTTGCAGAATTCTAGCCACAGCAAAATAACTACAGAGCCCCTTGGATCCCAGCCGAAGGCTGCCGCGCAACTTGTAGAGCGGAGGCCGACCGGTTTATGTAGAAGAAACATTGACACCCAACATCCAATCACAGAATATTTACAGTAACCACCCTCCTGCCCTGCCCGAACCTGTATTCTCCAGGCAAAATTCCAACGACGCCAACGACGGCAGGATTCTGAGCAGCCATCGACCACTGAAACTCTCAGACTGATTCCCCACAAGAAGATGTCTCGAACCTATAAACGCTGGATCTTCACCAAATCAACCGAATACCGCCCAAACGGAGTGCTCCGGCTCGGCCAGATCCTCAGCGACCCGTTCGACCCGGCCTCCGCTCTCCATCCACAAGGTCCACTGCCCATTCCAGACGACTTGACCGTTGAAGACAGCGAGCTCTCCGGGGTCACCGTGTCCCGGGCTAGCGAGCTGTCCGCGCAGTTTGGGCTGTGGGCGGACCTGACGGGGATTGCTGGGCCCGTGGGGTCCCGCACGGAGGCGTCTATGCGCAGGGTGCAGTCCCAGGACTGGACGATTGAGAAGCTCCTCAGCCACATCTTCACGCCCTCGAACGAATACGTCGACGCATCGCTCCGCCATGGCGACGTGCCCGCTACGCTAAAGAACGTGTGGCTCTTCAAGAAGCGGCTGTACATGCTCACCGGTGTCCGCGTGGTCCAGGGTGCGCGCATGAACACCGCGGAAGAGCGCTCCGGGAGCACCAAGGGCAGCGTGCAGGCCGATGCAACCTCCCTGGGCGCGCCGGTCACAGTCGGAATCAGCACGGAGATCACGAACAAACGTTCTCGGGACATGGCGTTTGAAGGAGCTACGGATTTCGTGTTCGCTTATCGACTCCAGCAGATCTTCTACTACGGCGTGAACAAAGACCCGAAGCATGCGCCGTTTAAGAAAGGCGAGACTTCGGCGGCGGGCCGGTCGTCGCAGCAGAAAGAGCAGCCGGAGGAGGTGTTTGACGACTTCGAGGTCCTGAACGTCGATGAGGATGACTACGAAGGCGACGATATGCACGGTGTGACCGAGGTTGTGGTTCCTGGTTTCGAGAATGTGGGCGTATTAGTCCAACAAGACTCCCACTGATCCTTGGAACTGGCGACTGCAACGAAAATGAACCCCCCTATCCAGTTGTGGACAGCAAGAAACCGGGTCTCGTTGTTCTCCAGAAGGGACCATGTTGCGAATAAGTCTTCATGCGGCCAGGAATGTTGAACCGGAGAACGAAGAAAGAACAAGAGGCGAAAGTACTCGCGAGAGAACACGTGAACGGACTGCGGGGGGCAGGGAAAATGGAACGACAGTCCACTAGGTACAGAGTACCACAGAGCACATGAATCTCCTAGATCTATATATCCCATGTACCTGCAAGGTATAGTTACCTTGTACAATCTAAGTCTTCACTGTCCTACGGCCATAGACGACAAAGCCCCTGGGATGGATGTGCCGGCGGGGCTAGTTCTCTCAAGCTGTTTCCTTTTTCTACTCATGAAGCTGACGATCTTATCCTCTGGAGTCTCGTCTCCGTAAATTGATTCGAGATCAGAGCGGAAAAGAGAGAGAGAGAGACCACCTGAAATACCCGACACGTCTTGAAGTGGTTGGGTATGGCCCAGCCACAGACAGGGTGTGGAGGAAGTTTTGGTGCATCTGAGATTGCATATCTAACAAACCACCTCCTTCTATCACTTTGAAGCACCTTTAACCACGTTTGTGACATATTGACAAGTGACAGCGAGAAGCAAAGCTCGAAATCGCGAGACCTTGGATTCCCCCACCTCAACAGTCAGGCACGCTGACGGGGATGTGAAGCGGCACACTCGTGGCCAGTCCGCTCAGACTGGTCTCCTTGAACTCGTTCCTCATGCCGCGGGCAGTCAGGCGCATGGCCCGGATGGCGTCGTCCAGCCTCACCTTTTGCGTGCCGGTCTCACTGCTGAGGGCCAGGTTGGCGCTCGAAATGGCCTTGACGGCACCCAGGGCGTTTCGCTCGATGCAGGGGGCCTGGACGAGGCCACCGATGGGATCGCACGTGAGGCCCAGGTTGTGCTCGATGCCGATCTCGGCCGCCTGTTCGACCGCCTCGGGGCTGGCGCCCATGCACGCCGCAAAGGCGCCCGCGGCCATGGAACACGCGACCCCGACCTCCGCCATGCAGCCGCCCTCGGCCGCGGAGATGGTCGCGCCCCGTTTGTACAGCATGCCGATGGCGGCGGCCGTGAGCAGGAAGGTCGGCACGTCGCGTTCGGGGTCGTCGCTGATGAATTCGATCGTGTACTTGAGCACCGCGGGGATGATGCCAGCCGCGCCGTTCGTGGGGGCCGTGACGATCCGTCCCCCGGCCGCGTTGGTCTCGTTGACGGCGATCGCGTACGCGGTCAAGTAATCCATGGCCGGGAAAGTGGTGCGGCGCGGGGGAGACGGAGGGATCGGGTGGTCCAGGGCACCATGGACGATGCGGGGAGCCCGTCGCAGGCCCGTGCGATTTTGTGCCGCAGTCACCACTGCGGCTGTCGGGTGAGGTAAGGGTTCATTGGGCGTCTTTGATGATCCCGCGCGTTCGACGTCTTGGGATGCTTGTGTGTGTGAGGGATAGAGACCTCGCGTGAGCCGCCTGTACAGCGCGGGGGCTCGTCGATGCAGCTTGAGCGAGCCCGGTAGGGTCGAGTCGAGCGGAGCCTGGACTCCTTCGAGGATGCTTTCGTCCATGACCCGCCAGATGCGAAAGAGCTTCCGATACACTTCTTCTTCCGAGGACCCGTGGCTCTTTTCGTTCTCAAACACCAGCTGCGCGATGGTCAGGTTATGCTTGTGACATAAATGCAACAAGCTGGCCGCATCGCGGAAAGGGTAACGGGGCTGGGGGGATTTGGTAGTAGTGCGGTCGCCTTCGGTCTCGATGTCTGTGGGACCACTAGTCGAGGTAGGTGAGAGGCCGCTTGAAGGAGGAGTAGTAGTGGACTCCAAACCAGTCTCAGACACCCCGGCATCGTCGCCGTCAAGGAGTTTGACCTCGAGCCCGGTCTTGCGATCTCCAGCAGCATCTGCGCGGCGGATCTCCTTGTAAAACATGTTCTCGGACAGATCAGCCGGATGATGTCCTGAATCTGGAGCCACCAGATCGCGGCAGTCTTCGGACGAGCCACCTTTTGGCAGGTCCTGACCTCCTCCATTGGAAGAAGCCGCCGCGGCGGCATTGTTGGACAGGGCGCCGTTGACAACAAAGCCGCCACCGACGCTGAAGAAATCGTTGGTGGCCAGCATGTCGCCGTGGGCGTCGAAGACCATCAGCCGCATGCCGTTGCTGTGGAGGGGCAACTTGCGGCCCCATTCCCAGATGAAGTCGCGTTCGTAGTCAAAGGCAATCTCCTTGCCCTTGTGACCCCCTGGCAGGCCCTGGCCCAAGAAGAGCTTCTTGGTCGACTTGATCTCGACGAAGCGCTTGGGCACGTACGAGGTGTCGACTGTCTCGACGTCGGCGCTCTCCAGGCCGAGAAGCAGGGCCGACGGCGTCATGTGCCCCTCGCCCGTCAGGGCCAGGCTGCCGTAGATGGAGACGCGGATCTTGTCGACCCGCTGGAGTAGGTTGGCTTCCACGAGGTCCGCGACAAAGATGTTGCCAGCGCGCATGGGGCCGACAGTGTGCGATGACGAAGGGCCGATGCCGATGGAGAAGAGATCAAACGTGGAGATGACGGCGTGTTCGTAGTCCGCTTCGCTGTACGTGCCGGCATCGTCGTCGCCGTCGTCATCGGTATATCGCCTCTGCGGTGCCGTGCTGAACTGGCGGCAAGCAGGGTGCCCGTGTATGACTCGAGGCGCGTTGCAAGGAAGCCAACGGCATCCAGCTGTTGTTGCTGCGCGCCCATATCTCGCGCTGATCAGTGGTCCACTGCGTAAGCCCAAAGCCCAAGTCCCAACGGCTCGCGGCAGAGCAAGCCTCCGCAAGCCCGTGCGCTTCATTGCCACAAACAGGCTGCAGGGGGGAACACTGGGCGAGGGCTGGCGTAAAAAAGAAAAGAGTCAACAACGAAGGAAATGTGACTTTTATGACAATATATGAATGTGATAATAGTTCGCCGACGTTCTCGGGAGTTTATGCTTCATCGGGATTGGTATGCCTTGTGGGCTATCACCAGCCTATCACCCACAATGTTGGGGCGAGCTTTGGCCACCTTCTCGTAAAGCAACTTTTGGATACAAACGGCGAAACTCTCCCTATCGCAAGCTCTACATTGTATATAAATGTCCACCCCCCGGCGCAGGGCAAGCAGCTCCCCACCATCTGCCTTCAACAGTAAGTCATCTTATGTCCCTCCCAGGTCGAGCCCATCACCACTACCCTATCCGCCGGACATCAAATCAAATATCGGAAATCAGACAGTTGCCGGTCCGTCTTGCCCGACAGATCTTCTTGCAGTGCCTCATCCACGCTCAGTCTCTGGCTCTGTCCGTACCGCCGGTCCCTGCGTGCGTTTTCCCAGATGTAATACACAAGGAGACAAGCGAGAAACCAGGCGCCAAAGGCGAATCCCGAAAGCGATGCCTTGAGGCCGGTCTGTCAAAAATGTCAATGAACCTGAGTCCTTTGGTTGGGGGACCGAGATGCCACGTCCGGAGCAATGGGGGTAGGTTGGACTTACACTGTATCTTGGAGCTTCGTGGGACTTGAAGAACTGTGGGCCCGCGATATTACCGATGCAGTAGGCGACAAACAAGGTGGCGCTGGCGACTGACCGCTTGGTGAACCCGCCGACGTTGGAACTGATCAGACTCAAGGAGAGGGGAACGTTGGCCGCGAAGACGCTGGCCAGGCACAGCCCGCCCATGCGCGCTGCGCGGCCTTTGCATTCGTAGACCATGATCATGCCTGCCATGGAGGTGAGGGTGTTGATAATCATGAGCACCAGCCGGGCTGACGGAAGGAGAGTGGCCAAGCTCGAGGTCAAGAGGAGGAAAACGAGCTGCGACACCCCAACGGGCATCTGAATGAGAAGGGCTTTGAGGTTTGAAAACCCGAATCCCTTGACGACAAGTGCTCCAAACTGAACGGCAGTCAGTATCCTTCGACAAGCGACCGCCGGTCAACGCCAATAGACAAGGTCAAGGCAAGGTGCATCAAAAGACGGAAAGGACGGTGGAAGACGGGAGAACAAGGGAGGATGGAACTTACGCTGGTCAGTCCGCCGTTGGCCAGATTGACCGAGATTGTGTAGAGGACCAAGAGCCACAGCTGCGGATCAGTCAGGGCGTCCATGACCTGGCTCGGGACGAAGTTGTCGTTGTCCAGGAGACCCGTCTTGTTCTCGATCGTGCGCCTCAGCGCAATTTGCTGCTGTTTTGCGTCCAGAAACACGGCTCTATCTGGCGAATCCGGGAGGAAGAGGTACAGAACGAAAGCATAGGCCGAAGTAATACTACCGAGAATGAGGAAAAGCAGACGCCAGTCCGCAAGAGAGGACGTCTGGATCTGCCCGATGCCGTACGCCACCAGCCCACCAAAGATGTTTGCGAACGAGTTTCCTGCAAACCAAGCACCTTGTCTGTGTTTAAGAGTCTCGTCAGTTCCCGGGACGCGCAAAGAATCTTTACCAGCGACTAAATAGAGAGGAATCGCAGTTCCAGAGACCACGAGAAAGGGTATAGAGTAGTGGGTACTTACCGCAGAGGTTGTTCTTTGCGTGTGTAGAACATGCCTGTGATCAAGGCAAATCCGGGGGCAACGGCTGCCTCGCCCACACCCAGGAAGAAACGTGCCGCCATGAGTCCCCCAAAGTTGTGGACGGCGCCGTGACACATGAGAATGCCGCCCCATAAGCACCTGTGCATGTATTTATATCAGCGATTTGTCTTCTGTCTGTGCCTTGTATATGCGGGTCGGAAGGCGGATTGATTGGAAGGACGAGATGCAGAGGGGGCTGGAAGCTAGCAATCTGGAATAGGAAAATCGTCTTCTCATACACAGTGACGGCGATGTATTTCCCAGTGGGAAACCGGACAATGAGGTAGGAGCTGGGCCAGCTCCACGCGAGGTAGCCAAAGTAAAAAATGGCCGAACACCAGGAGTATTGGGAGCCGTGGAGGTCCTGTCAATAGAGAGAGCTGTGTTAGCGCGTTGAACATTCTGAGAATAAGAAGGAACAGAATGACAGGCCCGCTCAATGGAGCGCAATTTGCGGCGGTGCCTCCCTCTTTCTTACCAAATCCTGCAGCAGGCCCAACAGAGTGGCCGAACTAAGGGCCAATTTGTCCATGTATTGCAGTAGGTAACAGAATCCCATCAAGGGAATCATGCTGAAAACCCGAATATAGTCAGCCAGGTGGATATTCATGTGAGAGGCCGAAGGCATATGCTTTTCATCACGACTGACCAGAAATCGATCTTTCTCAAGACCTCCCTCGACTCTGACGGCGACACGGCCAAACTGTCCCCCTCTTGGACCTCCAGAATCTCCAGTGGACGCATTTTGTAGCCTAGCTTGACGTCCGAAGAACTGGCGTTGTTGTCCTTCTCCATCGTCGTGGTGGGATTTTGCATCCTCAGTCGGGAAGAACAAGGAGGAAGTAGCCTCGTCCTGAGCGACCGTGGTCTGAACTGCGCACAGGTGGCTGGTTCTTCGCAAGGAAATTTGCAACCACTTAGTTCAGGAGATGTTGAGCGAGTCCACAGAGCATGATGTCGTGGTGTTGAGGTCTTATACTCTCCAGCTCCTATGTTCCCACGCTGGCTAGGATTTCCCAATGGAGCTGGTTATCTTTGCTTATCTGCTCCCCAATCTGGGGTTCGATAAACGTACATTGGCGACTCTCGTCGACGGCGAAATATGCCTGCACGATTCGCCGATTCGACCGGCATTGATGGGCTGATCTGGAAGCTTTGATATGTATGTCGGCAAGGCTCTGCAAGTCGGCAAAGCAGCGAGCGCGCTGATTGGCCATATCGGCAACCATCGGAGCCCATCTCCACATCCTCCCTTATCTTTCCTGGCTGTTCGCAAATTACAGAAATTAGCGACCTTGGAGGCCGCGGGAGGCGAAGTGGGAGTGTTGCGCGCGGAATGGATGCGCATCACCCGGCCGAGGTGCAGAAGCTATGATCGCTTCCGACGAATACGCTCATCACACTTGGCTAGGTAAGGTCAGGGATATCCCACTGTTAGCAGAAGTCAAAAGGCGGCCGGGCTTAGAGAAGATAGAAGCCATATGTGCTGCAAAGAGCCCGGTAGTAACGGCGCCCGTGAACGCAATATCTTCTACCTCAAATCCTTAGCCTCTCAATAACCGTTGATCGGCCATCGTGGCTACTGAATGGCATGTGCGATTTGCTTCGAGAAGGAGTTGGCCGAGCAAGCCTTTACCGTCCCAGTCCGACCGAGGAAGGCCAAAGCTAGGGAGGAGGACTTGTGCTCTCAAGAGCTGGTCCTTGAGCCAGTCGCGATGGACCAAGTCTCTGGTCCGTATCATCGCAATTGCTAGAGGCCAGACCAGACGATACAGTTGCCGAGGGTCTTCTTTCACGGCCTTGTACCCAATACTGGCGACAGTTGCTACTACCCGGTCCAGCCAGGGTGGAGACTCATCATCAGGATCCAGGCAGGAGTACAACACTTGCAGAGCATAGTACTCGAGACTAGCGTGGTAGACTGTCCATATGAGTCTCCTCGTGCCGGTGTCGACGACCTTCTCAGCCAATGCGAGAACGTCAGCAAACTCCTATCGCCAGAGGTCAGTGTGTTAGGCAAGATACCCAGTTGGCCCAGTACATACGTCTCCCAGTTTGGTCAGCTCCTTCCACAACCGTTGCCGGCCAGCCTTGTCACTGCGGCCCATATCTGAAGAGGTGGCGAGATTCAGGATGCTAAGTTTGGGTTTCTGGCACAAGTGTAAGAAGTGAAGAGGTCGGTAATTCTCCAGGTCGTCGAGTAACTCAGAGACTGGATACTGAGTGCCCCATAGCTTGGGAAGGCAAGATCTGGCGCTGTAGAAAAGCCCGTCGTAAGAGACTGGGGAGTCCGCGTCTTCTGAAAGCAAATCCATCCACAGTCTTCCACCGGCCATACTGCTAAATGCGAGATAAATGTCCATGTACCTTTGGTCGGTCGTTAGGGCGATTGTCACGAAGAGGGGCTGCCCGACTTACGATATGTAGTACAGCAACTGCTGAGACGCCAGGGGTAGTGTCGTCTTGCCCTGTTCGCCACACGATTTCAGATATGGTTTGAGAAAAGATCGAATCCCTTCCAGATGTACATGAGAAGCTCCAATGCTTTGCGAGTCGTATAGTCCAAAATGGAGGATCAGGAACCACATAGCAAAGAGGGCATTCACGTCATCGTCGTTTCCCCCAGAGGAGGATATGTGATCTACCAAAGCAGACAAGTCTTTCAGAGCGAGGTGATAGTGGCTTGTCGCCGAGTGCTCCAACCGGCGGGCTCGCTCATACTGGTTAGAGGACAATTTGCCATCGTACTGGTCTAGGATGGCTTTCGACCGTAGCTCCATGGAAGCTCCAGCAATAAAAATCCTCATCACACCTGCGTACTTGCTTGCAATATTCAAGTAGATGTAAGACAGGCTGCTCCATTGGAATGGCTTGCCAATTCGGAGGACCATTACAGAGTTCCGGACGTACACGAAGGATTCTTGATCCTGTGGAGTGAGCCGTAAGGAGTTGGAAAGGGGAATATGTGCCGTTGATAATGCCGACGGCACGACATTGAGAGGCGACTGTACGTCGAGGGGCAGTCTGGGTGATGAAGATGTCAAGCTCGGCCGGGCATGATCGCTAATCACGCTTTCTGTCGAGCCTGGGCTAGGATGAGCAGCATCGGCGGGTGCGAGCAACCTGGGTGACGAAACATTGACGGTCGAGATCGCACTGCGAGCTCGTCTCACGGGTTGGTTCCAATCGCATCTGAGACGAGTCTTTGAGCATCGTCCGCAGACAGGCCTTATCTCGTCGCACTTCAGTTTTCGCGTGCGGCACGTCGTGCATCCTGAAATGAGCTGGTGTTTCAGCGCAAAGACTGTTGATCACAAAGGGAAATACGTACCGGTCTTTGATCGAGAACCACGTTTGGCTGATCCAGTGCCGCCCGTCATCGCTATCATTGAGTAACAATGCTGGAGAACGGTTACTCTGGGGCGGAAGACAATGATGAAGGAGAGCAAGCCGAGTGGCTGACTCGGCTATCGCTGAGGCGGAGAAGGACGATTCCCCATTTATGGCTTCATGAATGGTTGATTTTGCCGAGCGCGGGGGGACGGTGGTATGCGAGCACGTCTCAGTGGCGACAACCACGACATTTCCCGCCGAGGGTATCAGGCAAGACAGTCGGGAGCTCTCCAATGCCTTACACCTGTAAGGCTGAGTTTATATCAATATAAAGGGAGGCATCAATGCCACTGAAAGATGGGCCAAGACAGGCCGTTTCATCACGAAAGTGACCAACACCGAAGCCAACTTCTGCTCTGGGAGGAACATTTGCGAACATGATAGCTCCGTACGGCGGCGAGCCCTTCTCGACACAGGACCTGCACAAGAACATCTCAGAATGCATCAGCAAAAATGAAGAGCACCTGGCTGACATCTGCAAGAAGGTCTGCCCCCTTTCAGGTTTACAAAAGTAGCCTGCCGCTGACGACCTCATATCCAGATTCATGATGACCCGGAGCTCAACTATCGGGAGTTCCACGCACATGACAATATCTGCGATTTGTTGGAAAGGTTGGGGTATCATGTCAAGCGACACACTTACGGCCTCGAAACTTCCTTCGAGGTGGAAACAGGGCATGGAGGGCGCCTAGTCGTGTTCAATGCGGAATATGACGCTCTCCCGGGAATCGGACATGCTTGCGGACATAACCTGATCGCCACCAGTTCCATCGCAGCCTTCATTGCAACAGCTGAGGCACTGCGGGATAGTGGGCGAGAGGGACGAGTCCGCCTGCTGGGAACACCAGCCGAAGAGGGCGGTGGTGGGAAAGTGCGTCTCATCCGAGCAGGTGCATATGAAGGGGTCGATGCCTGCTTGATGGCGCACCCTATGGGTTGTATGCCATCGAACCTGGATGGTGTCGCTGCTGGCAAGTCGCTTGCTCGTCGACAAGTCAAGGTCACGTTCAAAGGCCAGAATGCTCATGCTGGGGTCATCCCCTGGAATGGCAAGAATGCGCTCGACGCCGTCGTCGCATCGTATGTCAACATCTCGCTGCTACGACAGCAGCTCGCTCCAACCGTGCGTGTACATGGAGTCGTCCGACAAGGAGGAGCGGAGCCTAATATCATCCCGGACTCGGCCAGCCTCGAGTATTTTCTGCGTGGCTCAACCTTTGCCGAGGTTGAGCAGCTTTCGGACAAAGCGAAAGCCTGCTTCGAGGCTGGTGCACTGGCAACTGGATGCCAGGTTGACTGTGCTTGGCAACTGTAAGTATATGGCCCATTGAGAGCAAGACGTGATATTGACTCGAGTGGCAGGGATAATGACTACAAAGACATGTGCCCGAACCTTGCCATCGCACGAGAATTCACCAAACATATGCATGACTTTGGTCGCGAGTATGTCGAGGACACGGGCAACCAGGTCATGGGAGGCTCGACGGACATGGGCAACGTCACATATGAGGTGCCCGGTTTCCATGGCGTCTTTACTATTGGTACCGATGACGCAAAGGTTCAACCACATACCCCGGCCTTTGCAGCAGCGGCAGGGACCAGACCGGCCTTTGAGCGTGCTCTTGACTGCGCGAAGGGCATGGCAGCAACGGCCTATGGTCTGCTTACCCAGTCCGAGCTCATGGAAGAGGTGCAGGAGAAGTTCCGGGAGCAAATGAAGCCAGAGTCGAAGCTGTGATCGACCCAAAATCAATTGTGGCTGAAGAAAGTGCAATAGACTTGCATATTACACAATAGCGACTTGTGTCGACGGAGAAAAGTGGGTTTCAGGGCGAAAAGACAAGGAGGATAGTTTCATCTTTCCTCCCGCTGCGCACGGACGAAGTGTCTTGAACGGTAGTATCTGTTCCTGATATCTAGGTCGAGTGGAGATGAGAAAGAATAAACAAACCAGGTTGGAGGAGAAGCAGAGACAAGGATGGGAATGAGGGAGACGTGGTTCTTACGGCGACCAATCACTAGTCTTTGACCATACCCAAAGAGGGAGGACCACCCCACCCACCTTACATATATGCAGTATCTCGTAGACCTGTACTGTACTGGTTACGATTGCTCCGCGCCAGCTATCCATTCAAGTAGATTAGCGGGGAAAGATGAGGGCAATGGGCGGTGACAGTAGGACGTGTCATGCCATCCTCTGCCCTCCGCTCATAGGGGGTCAGATAGAAATACAAGGGTCTCCGGGTATATGCCGTGAGGCACCTGCAGTTCAGCAAAACGGTGCGGAGCACAAGACGTCCCCATTGGAGAACTGCATCCCGTCTGGATCAAACAGCAGTCAGTGGGTATTACTCGGAGTATAGGAACCAAAGGGGAACCAGTTTATCTCCGCAGTTGTCAGACCCATCTCATGATCCGGAGACGTCATGACAACTTGATTCTGATGCATACCATGGACAGTTGATGAATTCCCCATCAAGGACATTTGGCAAGATCGTTTCAAGCCCAGAAGAAATACGGGGACCCGATCTGTCCGAGTCTCCCCCTACCAGAACTTTACAATATCAAAGGTCTCCCAGCACCAGTTCCATTCCCGGAAGAAGCCATGCCTCCAACCTACCCCGAGACCTTGAAAGTGCGGTATTCCTCCGACGACGCGTCCCTCCGATTCCCAGTCCACAATCCCGCGACCGGCGAGGTAATCACCAATCTCCAGGCAGGGACGCCCGATCAAGTCGATGCCGCCGTGCTCGCCGCCCAGAAAGCATACGACACCGACTGGCGATGGCGTTCCCCGGCGGAACGGAGCGCGTTCCTCTTCAGATGCGCCGATGCACTGGAGCCCCACAAGGACGAGCTGGCCGAGCTGCTGTGCCTGGAGAACGGCAAGCCCAAGCAGGACGCCCTGTCCTTCGACATCAGCTTCCTGGTCAACATCTTTCGGTTCTTCGCCAGTATCTGCGACAAGCTGCCGGGCGAGTTCTACCAGCGAGGCAGTGTGAACGCGACGGTCATCTACGAGCCCTTCGGCGTGTGCGCGGGAATCCTGCCCTTCAACTGGCCACCGATCCATTTCGGTGGTAAGACGGCTCCAGCCCTGGCGGCGGGCAATGTCATGGTCATCAAGCCCGGCGAGCAGGCCCCCTTGACCGTGATCAGGATGTGTGAGATCATCTCCCAAGTCCTGCCACCGGACGTGGTCCAGGTCGTGCCGGGCCTAGGGCCCGATGTCCCAACGGCATTGATCAAGCACGACCTTGTCAAGATGGTGTCTTTCACGGGCTCGACTGTGGCTGGCGCCAAGGTGGCCGAGACAGCTGCGAAGACGGTGACGCCTGTGGTGCTCGAGCTAGGGGGTAAGAATGCGTTTGTCGTCTTTGACGACGTCGAGAACCTCGATCGCGCAGTTGGCTACGCCCTCGAGGGGGCTTTTTTCAACAAAGGCGAGGCCTGTACTGCTTCTTCAAGGATTCTCGTCCAGAAAGGAGTGTACAGCCAGTTCTGCGACAAGCTGGCCGCGGGGGTCAAGAAGCTCAAGTCCGGAAACGGTCTGGATCCCAGCACCCACCTTGGCCCGCAGGTCAGCAAGGCACAGCAGCAGAGGGTGTTGGACTACTTGCAGAAGGCGAAAGATCTCGAGAAAGAGGGAAAGGTCAAGATCGTCGCCCAGGGTCAGCTGCCGGATGACCCGGCGTGCAAGGACGGCTTCTTCGTGCAACCCACCTTAATCACCGACGTGACGAGAGACATGGTGATCGCGCAAGAGGAGATGTTCGGTGTGCTCGTGACGGTCACGCCGTTCGCGACGGAAGACGAGGCCGTCGACATCGTCAACGAGTCCCGGTACGGCTTGACGAGCGTCATCTTCAGCCAGAACAGCGAGAGATGCTGGCGCTTCTCCAAGAAGGTCGATGTCGGGCTGGTCTATGTCAACAACTACTTCCGGAACATCCTTGGGGTGCCATTCGGAGGCGCCAAAGAGACCGGATACGGCCGGGAGCATAGCATTGACACGTTGAAGGAGTGGTGTCGCGCCAAGGTCATCAACCAGCCGAGCGGATTCGGAGAGATCCCAAGCTGGAGGGCAGTCAAGGAGGTATACGGGGCCTGAATCAAGGTCTGGATCGCACGACAGCCTTCCGACAAGAGTCTGGTCTCTTCCAATGAAGACACAAATGACAACGAAGCAGGGTGGTAAAATATCATTGGGGACGAAGTATTCACGCCCTTCGCCGTAGCGATATTGACAGAATGCTAAATAGACAGCCAATCGGCTTTCTCTTATTTAGGGGGTAATAGCTAGCTAGTGGTGTTTTAATTCCCTAGCACGAATAGCGCCTTGGCACGATAACTTTCTCTCAAAATGCAACTCGCAGCAAAGCCTTTGCTTCTCCTTATAACTTTGGGCTTGGACCTCTCAGCTGAGCAGTGGCGAGTGACCAACTCAATACTCGAATTTCTGTCCGACCAGCTTCTCGCTCAACTCCCACAATCGCTCCGCCGATTTCGGATCCTGTGCCCACGCAGGAGCCTGCGCGATCTGTCCGTCGCTCAAGTAGATCCCGCTCCCGTCCTTGAGGTTGGCCGGGCCGAGGGTGTCGTCCAGTCCCGCGACCAAGGACGTGGCGGTGCCCTGGTCGATGCTCTTGAACTCGGACTTGAACTTCTCGACGATCGCTGCGAGGGCGGCGGGGTCGTAGTGGCGGCTCAGCTCCGTCAAGATCGCGCCGGGGTGCAGGGCAAAACACAGGATGCCGTACTTCTCATAGAGACGGGAGAGCAGTCCGAGCGCGAACAGCACGTTGGCCGACTTGGACTGGCCGTAAGCCACGGTGGCGTTGTACTTCTCGTTGAGCTCGACCGGTCGGCCTGTGGTCGCCAGTGCGGCATAATCGGGTTGTTCGTCCTTGGGCAAGCTTCCCATTTCCTTGTCGAAGTTGATGTCGGAGAAACGGACAGGGCTGTAGGCCACGCCGCGAGAAGAGACGTTGACGATACGCGTGCTGCCCTTGGGGTTGGACTTTGCGGCCGCCAGGATCTTGGGCATGAGCAGGTTCGTGAAGAGGAAGTGACCGATGTGGTTGGTTGCAAATTGCAATTCGATCCCTTCGGGGCTGAGCTGTCGTTCAGGAATGCTCATGACGGCGGCGTTGTTGAACATGATGTCGATCTTCTCGACCTGTGCGTTCGAGAGGATGGAAGACGCTGCGCTGCGGCAGGACTGCTGAGACGAGAGGTCCAGCGGGACGGCAATGTACGTCGTGCCTGGCGACTTTGCGCGCGCCTCGTCGATGATCTCTTGGATCTTGGACGGCGTTCGGCTTGCCAGGATGAGGGTCTTGGGTGCATGGACGCTGAGGGTCTCAACCAACTTTCCCCCAAGCCCGCCCTTGTTGACCCCGGTGATCACAATGGTCTTGCCCTTGATGGCCGGTGCAAACATCTCCGCCACAGATGTCCCCGTTGTCGAAAAGCCAAAAGGGCGCGCCATGTTGCTGTTTGTTCTGCTGGAACCGAGTCTTCTCCGTTGAATCGCTTGTACAGTGAGTTTCTTTGGCTTTGGGTGAATGCTGGACTCGCACGACGGCCTGATCTCGATTCGACGCAAGACTTTACAAACCCTGCTGTAGAAACAATCCATTCCGTTCCTCTCCTCCAGCCCAGAGACACGTTCTCTTTATATACGAGTTACCTTGCTCCCTTCTGATACATGTGTACCGAGTCACTCGTACGAGCTCGCCGAAATGTGGATACAAAGAACAAGGCTGAGACGTCCTCCAATGGTTGTCAGGGCCGGAGTTTAGCTCCTCGATTACCTCCGGGCGCGAATGGACATAAATCCGAGGTTTCATGGCGGTTAAAATCCAGAGGCGTGTCATATACTTGCATTAGAACGGGGGCCGAGGCAGGCTGAGAGGCTGGGGGATGGTCTCTTTTGTGAGCCGAAAGTGCGAGATTGGTCGTATATTCCATATTAGGAAAGTGCATCTGAATAAATCAGTGGGACAAGCCGTATAGAACATGGACCGGGCTCTGGTCTGGGAAATGTGCCATTTTATCTGCATATTCTGCACAAGGGAAATGTCACGACCCGACACCGTCGCTAATCGAGGACCAAGAAACCTGTCGATCGGTGTGCTGTCCTCTGGTCCTCGCCCATAGTGAGACGTCTGGAAGTTTCATTGCGCCCTTCCCAAGCGAAAAGTGGGACGGACTGGTCAGAGGCACCGTCACCGAAAATTGCCCGTTTCCCCTTTACGAACCTCCCCAAAATCCGCAGACTATGGATAAAGATGGCATGAAGTCCCCCAGTTTCGTTTCTTACTTACTGCACCATCATCCAGGCTCATCTTCTTACTCATCCAAGCCCAAAATATCTGGCACCGGCCCCTCGGGAACAATGCCGCTCGGATTCAGCATGGTCAGACTCGTGAAGTAGTGGCCTTTGATATGTTCAAAGCTAGTGGTCTTCCCAAAGGCCTCGACGTTCCAGTACAGATGCTTCACCCAGCGATGGATGTACGGGTAATGGGTGCGGATCATGGCGCGGTTCGTCTTGAACAGGGCGACATAGACCGGGTCGAAGCGGATGATGGTCACGTAAAGGCGGATGTCGGCTTCCGTGATGAATGCCCCAAAGTAATAGGGGCCGTCTTTGGATGCGGAAGAGAGCTGCTGTTCAACTTTGTCCAACGAGGCGAAGAGCGCGGTCACGGCGTCGTGGTATGCGGCTTGCGTTTGGGCGAGGCCGCATTTGCTACGGTTGAGAGTCTGCATCAGTGCTTTGATCTCGGATCTTTGTCGCGCGAGAAGAAAGGATCAGAGCATGGATGGACAGGGTGAAAGCAAGAGCCAACTCACTAGACGCCGTTGTTGATATTATCGTAAGTCCATCCGTTGACCTCGTCAATCTCCCCCCTCAACTCTCGAGGATAAAGGTCGACCTTTCTCTTCTCCTCAGACAAGAGCCCATCGAACTCCGTGTACAACATGCGGATAATCTCACTGCTCTCGTTGCTCACGATAGACTCCGTCTTCTTATCCCAGAGCACAGGAACTGTGAACCGGCCCGTGTAATTGGGATCAGCACGGTAGTAGAGCTCCTTCAGACGTTTGAATTCTGGGTGCAGAGGGTCCGGGGTCACGTCTTCCATTGGCAAGGATTCATCGGGGCCAACAAAGCGCCAGCTGTCGACGATGGACATGTGGAAGTGGACTGAAGTGACGGAAATGATGGACTCAAGCCCCTTGAGCTTCCGGATGATCAAGGTCCTATGGGCCCATGGACATGCGTACGAGACATAGAGATGATATCTTCCCTTTTCAGGAGGAAACCTCGAGCCTGGTTCGCTAGAGATCCAGTTGCGGAACCGAGATACCGGTCTTTGCAATTCGCCCTTCTCATTGAACAGCTTGGCTGGCAGAGGATTCTCTTTTGTGCTCTTTGGAGCCAGAGATCTCCGTTAGCATGTTCTCCCAGACTCCTTCACGTCGTTTCGCAACCGACTCCGACATACCTGGATAGACATGGCTTGGACTTTCAAGTCTGCTTGGGTTGACTCTCAGAATCGCAAACAGTTACCAAGTAAGTATCAACGCGGAACGTCGCCTCACTTATACCTGCTCGTGATCAAGGCCTAGCACAAGTAATCAGGGGCCATACCGTGTGGTAGAGTCTATATCAAGCATTGAGGCGGCAAGGTTGCCTACAATTCTCAAGTGCTTAGCGACAATCCGACGTCAGATCTGTTTAGCGAAAGTCTATGACCGTCTTGCTACAATCAGGTCATATAAGTTTAGGCCAGGGTAACGACTTCATTGGCATCTTGGTCAGCCATTGTTAAGCATCTCCACAAATTGCTTCTCGCCCGACAAGCTCGGACGAAAGAATCAAATTGTCACGTGAAGCTCCTGCTTACCAGCGGGAGCTCTTGCAGTCAGCGATGGGCCAGAATAATGTGTGAGCTCTTGGTATGGGCTGCGATGTTCTCCAATCATGCTACGGCTCCTCGTAGGAGGCATGCGAAGCTGACCGTTCGAGATAGAGTGGCCGCCGGTTGATCAAAGACCACGCCAGCCTCACTCAACACTTCAGCTTGATTCCTTTTCTCTTTTCCTCTTCGCGATGTTCAAACATGACCTGAACTCCGACAAACAACGCGCAACAGGCGCCAAGCATGAAGACCGCGCCTTGCCAGCTGCCAACAATGCCATTCACAAGTCCCATCAATCCATCCAAACCCACGGCAAAACCCACTAGGTTCGCTGCCATCATCATCAGAATATTGATGACCGCTCCGATCCCACAGATGACGCGGTATGTATTCGGACGGTTCTTCCATTTTGACGCCGGGAACGCCATCGTCGCAAGAACTTCCGGTAACACGAAGAGCACAACAAGCCAACCCCACAGCAGAAGTCGTAGTTGGATATCGTGCCACAAAGCCACGAAAGTGAAGACTGCGAGCATGTTGAGTATGCCGCGCACTTTGCCTGATCCCCCACCAGGCCCACCCCCCAGCGGCACGTAAACATAGCGAACCGTCCACCTGTTGAAGCTTCGGTGCCACGAGCGCCAAAAGCCAAAGGCAGAATAATTGTCGCTCATACAGCGAACCATGTTTTCTGGAGGATCGATACCATCCACCAAAGCCCAGAATCTGAAAAACCGCCAGGGGATCATCAACTTCAGCCAGATGTGGTGCAAATTAAAGTAAGCGAGCATACTGAGTTGAAATGGTGTATATGCAGACCAGTCCGGCGAGGCTTTCGATATGGCAACCATGTAAGCAGTGTGTATGAGAAATTCCATGCAAAACATTGTGATAAGAAGTCTAATGCCGTAGAGAGCTGTTCTTTTTGTCGTCACGGACGGTGGTCGATAGGTGGATTGGGAGATGTAATCATTGAAAGTCAGAATCGGACCAGCCAGATAAAGAGGCGGATATAATACATAGGCGAAGTATGTGCGAAATGAGGTGTAGGCTGATGCCGGAGCCGGCATCTTGACTCGATCTCTTTCGGAGAGTGCAGAGGGATCGAGTTGCTTCTTCTTAACATTGTCAGTAACCGCACTTAAGGGTTAAGAGCATTCATCAACCATCCACAACATACCTCGATCGGGCTTCCTGCTCTCGAACGATCTAACGACCAGTAATAGTCGAAATTGAAAGAAATCATTCGTAGCACAGTGATATTGAAAAGGACCTCCCAGCGCGGATTGAGCCCACCATAAGAATCCAAGAATTTGCCCCAATCGGCCGCAACAGGGAAGAAAGGCACGAGAGCTTCGGCCATGACCGAGTATCGGTAGCCTTGGGCAAGTTCGTTGGCAAAGAGAATTGCGATATTGAAGATCCACGTGGCTACTGGGATCGTATCTCGTGGAAGAGCTGTGGCAATCTTGAAGTTGACGAAAAGAATGAGCAGGATTTTAAAGATTGAGTAGCCATTCAATGCAAGAATGTAGATCAATGCAGAGCCAAAGTCGAATGCGAGACGGTGTTGAAGCCGGGATTCGGCGGTCGACTGGCCATGAGGAGGCGAATTGGCACTGCCGTTGGAAGTCGGTGGATTTGGAAGTGTAAGACGTTCATAGGCCTTCCGAAGGAGAGGATGCAAAACAACTAGGGCTGCCAGATATGGGATATTGTCTCGAAAACCAGCATATTGGCCATCGGAATTGTCCTGCCATCCAGATAAGCCGAGGAACCACATGCACTGGGTTGGGTTTCTCCCGACGTACCACTTTCCGACCAAATAACCAGCCTGGAGAGAGCAGATGCTCGTATTTGGAGTAGTTTGGGGAGTCAGCTATTGTTCAAGCCTGTCAAATCCACTGTCCTACTGCTTCAGTGCAAAGGTCTGAAATTCTTACGCTGCGAGACAGTGACTACAGCCCAGTACATCTGTGGGACGCAAAACAAGAAGACGACCAGATATACATAGAACTCGGCGGTTCCCCATCGTGGGCGCGATGTTTCTGCGGATTGTGTCTTTCCATCTCTTACTGCCTGTTTGGAGGGCGTCTCGTTTATAGCCTTTAAGGGCGTAGGGGAGGAATTCGTAAACCGCGTGTCTAGAGTGTCAAGAGAGTACAGATCGCGGAGGGACGAAAGGATTGTCATATCGATGTATGCATTCTGCAGTCCTCCCTGGGACGCTGTAGGGCTTCAAAAAGCTGAAGAATCGGGATTGTCTTGAAATGTGTCCTGGAGTTGCAGTCGCGGGTGCGCGTCGTGTCAAGAAAGTCACATCCGCAGGGGAAATTCTAGGCCAATGAAAACCCGAGAATGTCCCTGCACAGCAAGGAGGTCGATTTATCTCTTGGCAAGTATAGGCGCTAAGTGCCCCTCCACTTAACTACGCATAACCAGCAGTTAGTTAAAGAGACCCCTATAACACCCCTCACGTAGGCTACCTAGCGAGCTAGGTAGAGGGCTATTTCTGCCTGACAAAGAATATTTTGGTCCCCACTATCTTGCACCTCGTACTTGGGCAAATAATTCCCTTGTCAGACAAAAACGATGCCGCGATGAATCCTGGTCACGAACTTCGCGATCTCGCGAATCTGTCACTTCATCCAACAACTTCCTCAGCTCCTCCACGCCCACATGCCTTTGATAGAAGAACTACCAGTCACCAGCACTGCCCGTGCCTCACATGGCTGGACCTATGTCCCCGACAATGCAGCGCCCACCCCCACCGTCCAGCTGGGCTCCCGCAAACGCGGCCGCGACAGAGCGATAACACATGCAGCTGCACATAAACTCTCGGCGAAGCAAGAAAAGGCCATCCAACAGCGGCTGAATGACTTGAACAAGGAAAACTACCGCGAAGTCAATATCCCGATACCGAAACGAGAGGGCGCGAAGGGGAAAGAGAGGAAGACCACACAAAATGTGAGGCGGATTCTCGCCTACAACAGGACATTCCAGCATTATCTTGCGGACGAGGAGGCAGGGGTGAACGTCTATGGAAGTGCTGCCAATGTACTTCCTGCCACAAGTGCGAAAGGACAATCGAGACAGGAGCAGACGCAGAAGACAGCGACGGATTCTAAGAGGCGCAACGACGCTTCTTCAACGACTGCCCAGAAAGGAGCTTCGCGCCGTCGAAGCTCGTTGAAACATGCTAAGACCATGCCTGCGAAGTCCACAGGAGGGGAGCGCGCCAACAATGTTGACGTGGAGATGCCTGATGCTCCTCCATCTACGAAACCCTCGGACCCGGCATCGCCAACAATGGCTGCTAAATCGCCTTCTTCATCCCGAGATAGACAACAACCTTCCTCGCCGCCATCAGCTACTCAGCCGCGTCCTCCATCCTATGACCCAGCTCTCGACCGCGATCCGCTGCTTCGTACATTGGATATTCCCAAAATGCCATCAGAACGCGTCATGCAGGCCCTCCTGTCCGAGCCACCGCTAAGTTACGTTGCCGCACGGGCAAAACCACTAGATGACAACATCGAGGCCGATGGCGGGTTCGCCATGCGCACGGGTAACAACTCACTTATGGCCAAACCACAGCGCTGGTTTTGCTCAGTATGTGGCTACTGGGGCAAAGTGAGGTGTAAGTATGGATGTGGAGAGCGGGTGTGTGGGCTCTTAGATTGTTGGAAGGGCCACGAAGCGGTTTGTACGCTGGCGGCAACAGGCTACTGAGTTGACGGGTCCTACCAGCGAGCCTCTCATCAATTGAGGTAGGTGTCAGACAGCACCGCCATCTCCACGCGGGGTACTTGTTCCTCGAAGAGTTTGCTCCCCAGCATTCACCCCCTTTCCGCCCTTGCTCACCATAGGTGGTCAAGATGCGGCAGCTGCATCTGCATCACTGTCGGCCACTCCATCTGGACAAGGGTATCCAGACTTCCTTGCGCATGCAACTTCAACCCCACACAGGAGCTTTTCTATCACAGAATTTGACTCTGCGTTATCTTCTCTCCATATGCTAGGTTGTCGGTATGCTCGTGGGCGCTGTTGACCACTCCTCCAAGACAAGTTCCAGAACATACGAATCTCAACGACGATGCTCTCTCTAGCGAGATCTCAAGCCGGTTGCAACAAACACATTCGCGGGACAAAAAGCCCCATGCCGGCCAAAGAGCAAATGAGCGTTTCGTGTCTGTTTGGATTGATCCAATCTTGAAAGCCTGAGCGAGTGCGGCGAGGCTGACGAAGCTCGAGTCGACGTCGTGCTCGGCTCGAAGGAAGGCCCAATTGCCTGCACAATGATGGTGTACGAACAGCTGCTGACGTGGTATTTGGTGTGATAATGCCATGTGTGAAAATACCGCCTTGAACCTCCTCTCCATCATGCCGCTAGGCAACCCCCTCGTAGCTACCATTGCCAGGTACATACAACGTTGCATTATTTCCAACATCATTCGTTGCACGTATCATTCGTAGAGCGAGGTGCAGAGGGGGACTTTCACTCAGCTGGATCCTCAAGGGCCATCGGATCATATGTCATACAACCAGCCTTGTTCATCGCAAAACAGCGTTTCGCTCAATCTACCATCCAACTCGCATAGCAACATTTCCTCGACGTATTTCATAACCCAATAATCGTCCGTTTCTTCCTCCGTCCGGTCAGATTCTCCACAATGGGCGAAGGAAGCCTTCTGGACGGCAGGTCTTTTGAGGAAAGAACATCTGACGGAGGTAAATCCGGCGTCTCAATCTGTCGGTCTTGCATAATGCCGTGCTCCTTGCACTCCGTCTGTGTCCTTGGACGCTAGGAGATGGAAGGAATACCGTGTCCTCACCACTCCCGGATTCTCGGGCGTATTCGCTCAATGTCGAAAGTCAGTCATCCACCTTTCTTCGTCCCACAAATCCCACAGACGCCCACATCGCCGGCATTCACATACGCGCTTTGACTCTCCTTGCACGCCGAGCTCCGACACGACCAGTGTCTTGGGTCTTTCCGGGTGTCTAAGACGTGCGAGCATGCCATGCACGTTGCATTGAGGCGAGGATTCTCGAGTGAGCAGATCGGGCAGGGTATTGTTGGGGGCTGCGACGAGGATGAAGCTGAAGCTGAGGGTGAATTTGATGAGGCTGGCTTGGCTACGCTGGATTCTGGGTTGCCCTGGGCCGATTCCAAATTTGGGACCACTGTTTTCGTTTGTCTGAGCTTCAGGATTGGAAACGCATCCTTTGTATTAGATCGCGTTGATTCTGAATCAGGCAAATGACACGAAACTTTTATTGGTGTCCCTGTGGACTGGAGCTGCTGTTTCTCGCGGTCCATTTCCCTTGAGGCTTGACTGCGTTCGGTCGTGTCAGATTCTGGCGTTGCTGTCATCGCCCTCGTGGAAGTTTTGTCCGCGGAATCCGGGTCTTTGGCTTGGATACCATCAAATTCCGCGTCGGTTTGAAAGGGTTTGAAATAACGGTCGAGTGTATTGAGTTCCTGTAATTCACGTTGAACATCAATGTCTCCGGTATCTTCGTTGTCGCAGACTCGGATCATCCCACGGCCTTCGCCATCTAGCATTCTCTGGCCATTGATGTCCTTGGCATCTTCTTCACTGGCATCCGCATCCTCGTAGAAGTCTTCGTCCATGACATCCTCGTTAGCCTCCTCTGCGGCGTTTTGCAGATCCGCGACCTCCTTCTTGTTTGTCTCGAATCGAGCCAATGCGGCGGCAGCTCTCAGTTCCCGACCTCGTTTACTCTGGGCAACCCGGGGTTTGTTGCCAATAGGTCCTTTGCGGTTGATCTCAAGGCTTAATCGGACGTTCTCATCCTCACCGAGCGTCACGCCATTCTTGCCGAATTTCTTTTCGATCCGCCGGTCTCTCTTCTCCTTCCAGGTCAATTCTGGTTTGTCTGTTCGGGCTTTGCGTTTTCTCTTGCGACTTCTATATGTACCTCCACATAGTGGCAAACCTTCCAACTCCTCGCTGCGTAAAACGTTGCTGCCCATGACAGTGCCCAAGTCACTCAGCGTCCGTCCGCTGCCCCAGAAGCCTTCACCCGTGTAGCCCTTTTCCCACAGTCCTTTCATCTCTTCTGCGTAAAGATTTCTTGTCTTCCAGAAATCCCGCCCGTGGTTCATATGGGTGTTATGTGCCAACTCGTGCATCATGACCATTTGCACCATGTTGAAAGGAACCCATCCGCCACTCTTGCTCTGGAGGACCAGCTGAATGATTTCGCCATTGTTGAAATTGCGACCGATGAATTCTGGGTTCGGCTCGTATTCTTCCAGGGTGGTGACAGAGAGGTAGTGGCTCTTCATGAGAGGGAGGCATTGTGCGGCGATGGCTCGCAGGAACGTGTCGGCAAGGTCGTATGAGGCCTGGTCCGACGGTGGCCGGGGAAGTGGCTTGATGAAAACAATCCGATCATTAGGATGAGAGGACTTTTGATGATTCAGCCGTAGGGTGTTGAGGGGCATCACGATGACTTGGTTGTGTGAAGTGCAGCGAGCATGGCCACAGAAAGAAGCAGGCGGGGCAGGATCAAATCCATGCTTTACAAGACGCGGGACTCGCGTAAAGTGGCGGAAGGTCGAGCTCCACGAAAATTGCTCGTTGAAACGTGACTTGATTTTGGTCCAGCGACACACTGCCCTTCATGGTATTTTCATCATTCTTCAACACCATTACCAGCCGCTTCCGTCGTTCTAATTTCTACACCCAAGAACAAACAATGCAAAGAGCGAAGCCTGTAGCTTCGTTCGCCTCAATCTTCATGCCGGAATCCTGAACGCCTAATTCTCGCTTTAGTCGCTGGGACTCTAAGCTGCAATGCTACAGCCATCGTTTCCAACGTCCGATGCCAACGGCTCCATCTTTGCCATCTTTCTCAAACTCAAGATCCTTATCAAAGGGCTTTTTGGCGTTGAAATATCCAGATCGCGACCAGTCGAAGGGAACATGGTCCCCGGCCGCCTCATCCCACGGTGCCCACGAAGAATGCGTCCAATCTGGCTGACACTTGACAAGCTGAGGAGGTGATTTCTTCCAGTCGATTTCTGTTGACAGTCCCATGTCGTGTTCTGTCTGTTGGACGTTCCCGGAAGCGTATCCGTGCTTTGCCTTTACTCCTCGAGACTGATCATCATTGTACCCAACGTTGACGCTGGGAATAACAGCAATCCGGCCATGCCCCAGAGTCCACAGGTCTTTGCAGAACAAGGTCGGCTCGCCAGAATAGCATTCACCTTTGTAAGCAGCCCGAAACCTGATGCTATGCGACAGTAAAGGCTCCGCTTGGAAGACCACGGCCCCGTTCCAGCAAGCAAAGACTTGAAGCGGTAGCTTATCATCAATATGAGAGCGCGCCTTCCTGTCATTCCAGAACAGGTTATGCGAGAATTCAAATGATCCGCTCTGGGGAACCTCCACAAACAAGTCTCCATTCATGCTGCGACCTATCCAAGAGTCATAGAAAGTGTCTCCATTGTTGTTCCAATCCATGGCACAAACCATATCGGCTCGTTGGTGTTGTTTCTGATAGATGAGTTCCAAGATGTCATCTGTGCAGATTGACACGTCATTTAAGAAAATAACGGAGGTATCTCTTGCATACTCTTCGTGTTGAGCGATGAGCGGAGCCAGCGCCAGATTCCGAAGCTTTGCGAGCTCCGTCACCCGATCATTGCCACTTTTCAAGGGGTCAATGTCGCTCGTCCCAAAGTAGTAGGTTGCGTTCAAACCCTCGACTTCATCCTTTAGCGCCACCAGTATCTCTGTTGTGCCGTCGTCGGAGCGGCCGCCGACGATGGATAGAACGCAGTCTTCCGGGCCGAGAAAGCGCATTGCTTCCACAACCGAGCCAAGAAGCCGTGGTAGCACATAAGCACACTGGTACAGATTGAGTGCAAAAAAGAACCGTTTCTGTGGTTGGTGGATATCGTACGGGAGGCTCTCTCTCTGCCGCAACATCTTGTATCGGTCCTTGAGAGGCCGTGGACATTGAAGCCGATCGAAGTGTGTATCCCTTGGGTCCATTATGGCCGCGATGTATGGCCCTACCGCACCCATTCGTGATTCATCCAAATCTGCCGCTGTAGGTACGGACGGCAAGGAAACCTTCTCTTCTCCAGGGTCGACCGTAACAGCAGCAGTGGTATGTTCGTCAATGTCATCACCGAAATCATGTGAAGATTCTCCCTCCAACGTGACTGTCTCCTCAATCCCAAGGTCTGAAGATTCGCTGATATCGCTGATCGTAGGAGCTTTCCAGGCAGGCTTGACGATTGACTCGGCATGTTTCAATATAGGGCTGGATAGGAATATGTAAAAGAGACAGAGAAGTAGAAGAGCCATGTAGATTCTTTCCGAGCTTCTCATAGGCCATAGTGAAGAGGCCATTGTAAGACCCGAGGACTGCGAATTCAGTGTAGGCAGGGAAATTTTCAACCTCGTGCAGCGAATAGACAGTGCCCGAAGGTTTAGTCCATGGCACAAATTCCTACCTGTTATTGTTTCGGCTCCATTGTTGAGGCACGGGTACGGCATTCCTTGCATGTAGTGGAACGCGACGCGACCAGGCCCAACCAGCAGCATTCTCTGCCCTTCTTTTGTCGGATGGAAAGGGATACTAAGACAAGCTGATCGGCTCTGAAAGCCGTAGAAGCGGCCCGCTGGAGCAGACCAGTTCTCAAATAGTCTGGTACTGTCCTGTGTAATACTCTGGCTGTAGCATGAGGCCGGGTGTAGGCCTGGAGCCCATTTCTGAGATGCCCGCTGTTATCATGCGACACAAAGGTTGTGAGAGACGTGATAGACATGGCCTGTATGTAACAGTAATGGCAGCCTCTGCAACCACTGAGTGCAGTTTCACCTGTTCTCACTCGTTCAGGTTAATGACAGGTAACTCACAACTCACCATGATGGTTTCCAGCCGAGTTTGACTATATGCTCTACCGTAGTAGAAAGGGGTCCGTACGGCAGAGTATTAGCTCATCTTGGCGCATGTTCCTTTCACTTCTGCTCACGGTGAGATTATTCATAGAATGTGTTTGCTGGAGGCGTACCTCATGAACAACCGAAATCACTGCCAACAGAGTCTTCTGTGGTGCCACCGAGCCGGCGAGTTTTTTTTGGCTGTCCTTTCCTGTCCCTCCACATCTCACCATGTCCAAGCACGACCCATTCTCCTGAGCCGAGGCACAAATCTCTCCCTCCAATCCCCAATGACAATTTCCGGAGTCCGTATTGCACAGGCAATGCAATCGTCGTGAGAGAAGAAGACGCTATGTTGAATATATGACATCGGTGCATAAACCACAATTAGGAGGTGGATCATAAGAGCTGACAGATTCGAGCACCGGTCAGCAGGCCTCGTTACTACTGCGCAGAGGGGTTGACTCGACAGGCTTACCCGTTCCACGCCACCATTGTTGGCTTCAAAAGCCGGGAGTTCGATCAGATTTAACACAGGCTCTGGTGGACAACTGCTCGCAAACGTTCACCTATCTGTCTGTTCAATACTTGCCATTAAACTACACAATGGAGCCGAGAAAGCCTTCGTCGTCGACCTCTGGGTTCTTCCAAGCTCTTCCCATCGTACCACAGCAATACACGGCTTCTTCCCAGGGGAAGGTATTTTCGCGGCACGAAACATCAGATGATCCAGTTTTCTCGCGCGTACTGTCCCTCTATCTTCCCGACCCGCTACCGATACCTCTCCAGAACCATTTTCATGACTTTGCACGGCTCGTCCTCGAACCGTCTACTCTCCAACACACGGTTGACTGTGACACTGACTTGCCTACACTCCACCCACTGACCACATTCGGCGAAGAGAACAAAGTCAATCCCCTCCGCACAAGCGAAGGATGGCGAGCCCTGAAGCAGATTCAAACGCGTGCCGGTGTGGTAGGATACGGCTATCCCCAACCCACCCTCAAGCAGGACTTCAATCGACGAGTTCATCAATTTGGTACCCTGCACCTCTGGCACGGTACAGCCGCGGTAACCACCTGCCCCATGGCCATGACTGATGGAGCGGCTGTGCTGTTGCATCGGCATTTTGACGACCTGGATGGAGACCAGCCCGGTCGGGGGGCCGTGTTCCGTGAAAGCTACCGCCGTCTCGTGTCCTTAGATCCGACATCCTCCTGGACCAGCGGGCAATGGATGACTGAACGCACGGGTGGAAGTGACGTGCGAGGTACCGAGACTGTCGCACGCCGAATGACTGCTCAAGAAATGCAAGATGATATCAACTCTGGCCGAGACAGAGACGCGTACGGCCTTCCTCTCGGACCTTGGATCGTGGACGGGTTCAAATGGTTCTCCTCCGCGACTGACGCCGATATGGCCGTTCTTCTGGCGCAGACCAGCAAAGGCCTTAGTGCGTTCTACGCTCCTCTTCGCCGAAGAACAGGTCGTACCCATTCTCTCTCGACCGAAACAAACGGGATTCGCATTCAACGCCTCAAAAACAAACTCGGCACCAAGGGCGTACCAACTGCCGAGCTCGAGCTCAAGGGCATGCGCGGCTACCTCGTGGGCCAAGAAGGCCAAGGTATCAAGGAAATCAGCTCTATTTTGAACATCACACGACTACACACCGCGAGCGGCGGTCCGGGTGCCTTAGCAAGAGGATTGGCAGTGAGTCGCGCATACACACTCGTCCGAAAAGTGAGAGACGGGCAACTCTTGCGGGACAACGCGCAGCATTTGGCGTGGATGGCTGGCGAAAGCGTCAAATATCGTGCCAACACACACCTGGTCTTCCTCGGCGTTGCACTCCTCGGCGCCACTGAACAAGGTCACGACGTCGTCACACAACGCACCCTCGGCGCGGCGGCCCTCATCCCCCGCTCAAAGGAAAAACAAGAGATGCTTCTCCGCCTGCTCACGCCGGTGATGAAAGCGCAGGTCACCTTGAACAGCGTCTCCGGCTTGAGAGCCTGCATGGAATCGCTCGGTGGTGTAGGATACTGCGAGAACAACGAAGACGGCGGGGTCATGAACATCGCCCGCTTGTTCCGGGACAGCGTAGTGGGCACCATCTGGGAAGGCACGACGAGCGTCATGGCCGAGGACGTGTTGCGGGTGGTGAAGAACCCCAAGACGCAGAGTACGGGCAGAGACGTCCTCGACGAGATCTTTGGAGACTGGGTGCGCAACGTGCTGGGCGCGATTAAAAGCGCCGCCGGGAACGGCCCCCACCAAACCGCAGGTGTTTTCGCCGCTGAATGCGAGATGACCGCCAATCGCTACAAGGCGCTCCACGATCTGGTCCGGTCGAGCGACTCGCTGGGCCTGCAACGATGCGGGCGGGACATCCTGGACCACATCGAGGCCGTGGCCTGCGCGTGTCTGCTCATGTTCGACGCCACCGTGGACGGAGACGAGGTCGCTACGGAGGTCGCAAGGCGCTGGGTAAGGATGACCGCCTTGCCCGCCGATAGGGTGAAGATGCAGAACGAGGGTCCTTCGCGCGATCGGCTCAAGGAGATCGAGATGGACAGGAGGATCTTTCTCGGATCGACGGCGGCGGAATCTCCTGAGGCGACCATTCAAGCCAGACTTTGAAATTGTGATTTGGACCCCTGAGTATCGCGGACGCGTACGTCCGAGGGGGAGAGGTTTGTAACTTGGAATTTAACACATCGTCAAAATGGAGAAAACCATAACCAAAAACCTATATTCTACCGGCATCTCAGCCACCGCCTGCTGTCCCTTTCCTTCGCTTGATGAATACTTTGCCCATCTGACCTCCGCCTGCCGATCAGCTAAACACCTCACACACTGTTCCAACAAATCCAGCCAGGCCACCCATATTGGCCACTGGTGCTGGACCGGTCACAGGCCCAGTCGCTGTCATAGTCGGGACAACTAGCACCTGGTCGCCCACTTCCATCCACTCGATCGTGCTGCCAAAGCGAAAAGACACTCTGATTTCCCTCCTCTCTTTGGTGGGCTTGCCACCGTCGCCGTCACGGGCGTCATCGCCATATACCTCGTCATCGTCATCCATGTCAAGACGGAAAAGCTCCGTGTCGTCTCGAGAGGATACTGCAGGCGCATAGGTCCTGAACTGCTCGTCCTCATCAAGTGCCACCGCTGTCACTTTGACAGCTGCCCGGATACTATTGATGTATACGATTGCATGACCCCCTAGTATCAGTACCGGTGAAGTTGTTTGAGCAAAGTCCGAGGTAGGAAATTTGGCAGAAAATGAACGATAACCCGCGAGATTTTGATGGACATCGGCCAGAACCATCCCCTTGCGAGCCCTGCCGAGCGCTACCGGGGTCTGTTCACCCTCCAGGGGTTCGACACCAATCGTGCCTGTTTCCTCATTGTGCATGCGCATCACTGGAAGTCGTAAAGTCCGAAGGGACACGATGCGGACTCGTAGAAATGTCGCTGAATGTTGATATCTTCGAGTCGAGTGCTCTGGCGTCTCTCCTTGGTAAGAGCGCGCGAGAACACTTGATGGTCTGTCTGCGTAGGACGATTCAGCAGCAGCAAAGGAACTGGTTCTCGAGACGGACTGAGAGACAGGGTTGGGTAAGCCGTCAGAGTCCAGGTTGAAAGGCCCTAGAAGCATGGTGTCGCCCACTGACAATGTGCCATGAGAGAGATGCCCACAAAGCACAATGCCCTGTTTTGCGATATGGGTCTCGGTATCCAAGGTAAAAACGCGCGATGGAGGAATGCTGAAGACCTCATCGACATGGAAAAGCAAAGAACTCATCATAGATCCACGCAGTGGAGATCGTCTTGCCTTATATGCAGCGGGAAGGGTTCGAAACAATGCGTGCAACTTGCTTATGCCGAGTCCCGTGACAGCGGAAGTCATGAGAATTGGGACAACGCCCTGCTCAGAGTCACTCCGCATCGAATCAACAAGCCGCTCAACCTCTGCCTGGTCTCTTTCGTAGATGACCTGAAGGTGTGGGAGGGCAAGTCCTTGTTCTGAAGTCGGTGGCGGGCCTGGCATATTGCTGAGCATGACAGGTTTCCTACCAGCCGCCTTGAGAATGGAAAGAATTCGTGCAAGCACCTGTCTCAGTCCTGCCTTGGTTGCAATGTCCATTTTTGTGATGGTCACCATCAATGGCACTTGTAATCGCAGACATAAATCCAGATACGACAGTGAGAGGTCCCCAATCTCACCGATTCCGCTGTTAGCATACCCCTGCGTGCCTATTGCGCCACTTCGGCCTATTGCCTCGTTGCTGTCATTTGCTGCAACACAGAGAACGGTCCAAGAGGGTCTCCATGATATTAGACTTCGGAAAGCAGACTTTGAAAACTTTTGGAGACCAGGGGAGTCGGAGAGCAGGACAAGACGCTTAGCCAGGTTGTGGATGTCTAGCCAAGATGAAACATTACCTGACGCATAGTTGATGACAGTATTCGGAGGGTGTCGATCCTCCCAGTAACCTACGAGTTCGTGGGCAACAGAACTTGTAATTCCTGAAGCGATCTCATGTCGATGTTTGAGCAGCGACAGCCGGCTTTTGCCTCGTCCGTTGTCTAGCGTAGAGGATGACAAGGTCCCTAGGAGAGAAGACTTTCCGGCTGCTGTAGCTCCCACCAGAGTCACTCGAATCTGATCAGTCGAAGCGTGGTCGGCCAACTCCGACACTTCTTCTACTCCAGAGGAACCAGCTGGCATATCGAGCGCTGTCCTTGGGATGTCGGCGTTGGCTGAGCCTCGTGAGTCTGGGTGGATCAGCACTTCGGCAACCCAGAGTGCGTCCTTGCGGGTTTGTGTTTGGCCGGTTTCACTGTCGTTTTCTACCCATTCGCACATTCCTACTGGGACTTTCCGGAGTATATTGGTAGTGCAGCCGAGACTTGCAGCCATAGCCTTTAGATTTGTCAAGCTCTCTTGCAGTTCATCTTCTACCAAGCCTGCCAGCATGCCATCATCAGCCACGCCGATTTCATAAAGTGCGCCTTGGCTTTCTTCGAGACCGGGCAGGAGCTTTGCAGGACGATCTGGAGCCCCCAGCTTCGGGGTCGCTTCAGGAAGTAGTGGTAAGACCAAATCTGCGTTTGACGAAGAATGGAAGGGCGAAGACTGTTGAAGCCTCCATAATAGTTGCGTCGTCAATTGTTGTAGCCTCGTTTGACGAGCCTGAGCAGAAGGTTGTGATAGTGGACGATCTAGCAACGAGTCACCAGGGGAGCGGCTTGGTCCAACAGCGGATTGGGCAGGGGTGGTAAAGTGCTGTAACCCAGGGACAGAGTATGTTGTAGTCACGGAGAGGAATTTCCGTCTTGGACGAAGCAGAAGGTGGAGCTTGTACTCGGTAGGACCATCCTGGCGTTCTGGCTCTAGCTTCACGAGCCCCTGTGTGACATGATGCCCTCCACTAGGAGGATTATCAAGCGAGTGAAGTGGCTGAGGAGTTGAAGTGCCTGGTGTCGACCAAGGAGAATGTATCCGAGGAGGCTCTTCTTGGTAGGTAAAGATGGAAGCCATGACTGTGTTGTCTAAATCCTTGTCTTTCTCTTCAATTATTTCAAATCGTGCGCCGCATTAACGATAAGCGAAACGAGGACCGCGATAAAGATCGAGTGACAGTGTGAGAGTAGTAGAGAAGCTGGGACAGGCGAACAACCATGGTTGCGGTGGGATCAAGCTGCGTGGCGGGCTGTAGGGTGTGTCTGGGAGGTTCTTATGATGGTAGTTTCGGGTAGAGAGCGACAGTCATGGCATATGAGAGAGTCAGTTCATCATGTAGCGGGCGGATGACAACTTTGAGTCACACCGGTAGAGAGTCACAAAGTCGAGGCTGAGTGAACAAAGACAGACGAGAGGAAGGCTGATCGACGTTTGGCTTTCGGCGGCGAAACTTATTAGCCTTCGCGAGTCATGCCGACGCAGGTTTCCCTGGCCCTTGTCCCTTGCTGCATGGAAGGGCGCCTCTGACCACGGCTCCTCTGACAACTCGTTACTGCCTCGTGCAGCCATCATTCCAGCTGCGGAGACGTCGAACAATGGAGATTCTACTTGTCCACGAGGATGCAACTTTAATTCAATACATGCGAAGGACTCAGCTGCCTCGGGCAAGCCGTATCGAATGCGGGGCATTTTCTTGAGGGAATACTAGTATCCCCGCGATCGGACATGTCTCAACGTATATAGAAGTCATTTCATTCTCTGATCTGGGTATCTTGAATCTGTCACCTATGCTCTTCGGGTATAACAAGTCAAGGTCGCTGTCGACGTGGGGATTGCGTAGATGGGGTGTATGAGACGATAACGATGGATTGGCGGAGAGGCGCCCTCTTCATCCGTGTCCTCTTTCTATTTCGTTACGAGGGAGTAGCGGAAGGTCTTCCCGTTGGTGGTGCCAGAAGAAAGCGACATATTGCCCCTTTTCACTTGCTCTTCTCTTCTCCCTCAGAAACCTTCTCCCACTCACTATCGGTGCTGACATAACCTGAGCTCTCGCCTAGGCTGCGCCGGCGCCTCAGCGCCTCTGTACTCTCTGCCATCTTCGGCTCAAGGAGAGTGGTTGAGCTGTCTTTCGGCCTCTCGTGCTTTGGACTCTGGCTGCGCGCGGAAGGGGTTGTAGTGGATTTTGCAGAATCAGTATCTGGCACTTGCGGCGGCGGCCCTTCAGTTTCTGTATCGCTCGCGTTATCTGGCTCTGGGCTCTTTTCTTTCTTCTCTTTTGCCTTTTGCGCCTGCTGTTCCTTTGCTATTTCAGTAGCGAACCAATTGATGGAGTACCAAAGACCGCCGCACAGCACGGATAATACCAAAAAGTGTAGGGAATACGTTGCGACGAGGAGGATCAGTAGGAGGAGCTGCAGGGCGGCAAATGCGGCATTCGTAGCGACGAGGAGCGTAGGCGTCGGGCCGGGCGTAAAGATGGAATTCCAAAGCTCTTCGAGAAACGACGCCATGTTCTGTTCCTGTGTCGTACTGCGCAGCGCTGTATTGTCAGACGTGAACAGTAATTGAGGAGGCAAGCAGTCTGCGAGCGCGAGGGTTGGAAGAAAGCGACGATGTCTGCCCCGCCTGCGGGAGGGTTTAGAGAGTTTTTAATGGGAGACCCAACCCCCTGGCGCCTTGCCTCCTTGTGATTGCTGTAGAGACAGGCGGCCGCTCTATGAGGACAGTTTGGAGTATTTGAGTGGCTGCAGCAGGTTTGAAAAGGTGCAAACGTGGCATCGAAGAAGGGCCACTGAGGGTTTACACCCAAAGGCCAGCAGTCAAGCGACCGATGACCATGACCGCAGTCGGGCACCGCGGCTACGGGGGGTCAGAAGCCATCATCCGTCCACCAGGCTGCCCTTCCAAGCAACTAATAACATTGTTTTCGTGGGGTTTTCAGTCGGAACAATATCTTCAAGGTTACTAGTTCACTGCTTCAGAATCTCCGGGTTACGATACGTCTTTTCCGCTACATTTGATCTGCCAGGCGCAAACGCCCGTGTTGCGGCCATCGCTAGACTCTTGAGCAACGGCAATACGAGAATAGCCGACAGTTCGGTTTCGGCCTTTTCGTCACACGAGTTCTTCGCCTTTGACGACACAAACCCTAATAGGTCCTGTCGGCACATGATCATCTCGAAAGTCTTCGTGACATGTCCCAAATCCACTGTTTGTACAGATGACGAATGTTTCCGAATCGACAGGATCATGGTACCTGAGACTGGTTGAAAATTGCTGAAAAAGTCACAAACTTGGTCATCGAAAGCTCATTTGGCCGTGCTGCACAAAGCATCTTCAAAGTCCTCCCTTTTCGAAGGCTTGTAGATTTCTTGAAAGTGTTCCACGGCGGGAATGGACATGTATCAGCTGCCATAACCACCGTGACCCAGGTTCCAGGCGGAAAAGAAAGATTGAGCTTGCTTCACTGTTTGTTGCTGATATACGATGTTGCGGTCAACCAAATAGTACGATCACGTTGAGATCTGCGCGTAGTGGTCGTTGTCCATTCAATAGCGGCACCACAATGCAGGATGAAAACGATGCATTGCCACTAAAACCCAACCCTGTCATGTCATCGGGGAGAAGAGAGGTGCCAGTAGAAGAAGAAACGGGAGTGGTAGCAAACCACATTCACCCACTTGAGAAGATCCTCTGTCTTGATCGGAATGCATCTCTGATGTTAACCTCGTAGCAATGTTTGTCCTCATCCCATGGATACCCATACCAGATTACACTCTTGCAAGTGCCGGTTTCCATGCGTCCTTGAAGGAGCCCGGAAAGCACCATGCGGCTGAACGTGCAGTACTGGATGTAGTAAGAGCGAACGGGGATTTGACTGTTTTCGTATCATGTCCAATTTCGGCAGAGCAATGGGGGCCAGCTGTGTTATAACTCCGATTCATCCTTGTGAGAGTTCCGTCCTGATACTCTCTCATGATTTTGCATGTAGTTTGTCCGCCCCATTATTGAATGATATGTCGAGCTGACGATGGAAGCTGAATGCAGGTAACAAGGGGTCGCCATACGCGACGATCCACAGCCAGTCCCACAAGAATGCCGATGTCATCTACTCGTACTCCGTACTTAGTTGCTAGACCTCTAGCGAAATAGGTACGTACGAGCACTCCAGCAGGCTGTACAGCCACTTTTGAAGCTCGGGGTAAGTGGCTGGTGAAATCCTTCGCGTTGAACCAGCAGCCACAAGTGCAAGCGAAAGGATTCAAGCCACAGATCCCTGTGCCCACATCGCGATGAGGCTGAATCGACGGCCAATTGCTGCACATGATATCCTTAAGGAGGACTCCTCCAGGAAGTGGTCGATCATGAGGCTTTCTGAGGCTTCTTGCAGGTCGTGGCGCTGGGGGCCTTTGTGTGGCTGGTGGACTAGGTACCCAACTCGCTAGTAAGGAACGTTGTAGACCTCCGACTCTCCGCGAGGATTTTGGATCTGGTGGATTCGACACCTCCCCAGGGGGGGTCAAAGGGTGATGTCAAATGCTTATGTCCCGCAGAGCACCGAGTACGAGTAGCTGCCGTGACTGAAGACTTGAGAGCTTGAAGCTCCTGCTCCACATACCCATGAATACTCCATCGGTATCTTTTGTCGACCCTCTAACGCAAACGGGTCTGTGGTCAAAGGATTGTCCCAAGCGGACAGACACCCAATCCTGGCAGGGTGTTGTGGCTACCCGCCCAGTGCGTATTGAGCTCTCGGTTCCTTGCCCTTTTCCACGCGTGTTTCTGGGTCAATCTCTTTTGCCATATTCCTCAACCTGAACAGAGGGCGGAGGACGGAGATGCCGAAACAAACGACGGACAATTATTAGAAGCAGAATCTGGGCTTCGGTTGGCCATTGACGGAGCTTCTTGCTCAAAGAAGGAAACAATGGCGTGTTTGGCTGTCGCGGATTGGTCCCGTCGTAGTCTCCAAATCAGCATCTTGTATTGTGTATGAAGGCGAAATAATTAGCGTGAGGTCTGAGGTTAGGGCACCACTTACTCGTACGCCCTCGAGCGAGGTGAGGGTTGGTTGCATTGTCATTTGCCCGTCTCTCTGAACTGCCGGGGGGGGTTTGGGGTTTAGCGATGAGCGAGGAGCGGAAGACCAAAGGGTGCAAGCCGGGCCATGGGCGAACTAGGAGGAGAAACGGAAAGAGAAACGAGAGGACCAAGACGAGGTGGCCTATCGGGTCGAGCACAAATGCCTGCAAGATTAATGCCGCCGGCTTTGTGCATTTCTGCTGCATCTCGACTGTGGTTGTTTGGGCGTTTGCTGGGCATCGTGGGGGCGAATTTATTACGGACTCTTGCACCTTGCTCCCTGGCTTCCCTGCTTCCCTTTTCTCTGCCTCGCTCGGGTGGTGCTTGGTGCTCACCACTGATCTCGCCATCTGCGCCCCTCCACCAACTATCTCGTCACTTGTCCTCCACTAACAGTCGATCCGTTGAGGCCGTCCTTCCAGGCTCGACTCCCGTAATTTAGCCTCACCCGAGTCACCACTCTCCTGCCCGGCCCCCATCGGGCCAAGCAGGGCGTGTCAGACCTTTTGGAAATCACCATCCAGTACCGAGGACAATTGTACGTATTATTACTCCGGACGAGTTGACTGCGGCGCCCCTGTGCCGTTAAGCTACGTTAGTCCGCGATCACAGCTGCTTTGCCTCTGGCGAAATATTTGGCGCTGGGGGATCGCCCGAGGTTGGCCACCTGCGTCGGCGAGGGTGACGAGGAAGAGGAAGACAGGAGAGAAAACGCTCAACCTTCATCCTCTTGATGGATGAGGCGGGCTAACTCTCCATGCCTAAAACAACACACAGCGTACCGAGTAGAGTTGATGAAATCATTTTCCAACGAGACAAAATGCATGCCACCTGCCTGATGCAGCAGTTGTTGTGCTGTGGCCTTTGGCGTCTGGGAGGTGTCTTTGCCCTCGCAACACTCGAGGCTGATAGGCCACAGGGCGGCCGAGGCCGGGGGTCAGACGCCCGCCGTGGAGAGGTAGCCTTTGCAACATTGTTTCCCAGCGCTACCTATCCCACCAGGCTGTGGTTGCCGGTTGGTGGTGGCCACAACCCTACCACCACCCCCCCTTCTGCTTACCTGCTTATTGCTCACCTCTTGCAGTACTTGCTCGGTGCTAACTGGGCGGGTAGCTTTGCGAGACTCTGCTCTTCTGACGACATGCAGGTCAAGCTTGCTCTCCATGGTTACACGACCCCCCGTATATCATGGTCCTGTCATTTCAAGGCTGTACGCCGGCCACATCTTATTACCGCCCGCGGGCGTGTTGCTTTCGAACAAAGAGCATTCTGGCAGCTGCTCCCAGGTTTCCACAACACTACTACTAAACTGGCCCCACTGGAGACGAGTTTTGGTGAGTTATGTAAGTAAGCAGTGCTGACCGTGGCTGAGGTCGCTCCGCTCTCCATGGGCTTTGGAGAGTGGGCTATGCTGGTGAACCGGCAATGGGCTTTGGGCCCATGTACAGTCGCTCCACGATCCCCTCGAGCACTTCCCCCATCACGTACCTGAGAGCGCTGCTTGTTGCCGTGCTGAGCGCACAGTCCTCTTTGATTACCTGCAACAAGCACCTCCCCTGGATCTCGAAAGCTAGGTTCTACGATATCTGATTTCTTGGACTGGTGATCGCGGGTCAGACTCCGCCCGAACTTGGCCTGGCAATGACCTTTTCACCACCAACCTACTCTTACAACTGACCCCCCCGATTGCTGGCTACCCAATGTGAACAACCGCCTGGCCCCCCCTTTTTCGACATTGTCTTCAAACGGCCATCCGTCATCTTCGGCTTGGGCTTGATCCATTCCAGTTCACCTCGTCTCCATCTGCTTAAAACGTGGCGTGGGCAGCACGCTCCCTACCACACCCCCCTCTCGAGCCACATCTCCATTTCCCGCCCTTGGATCGCTCAGGCCCCCAAAAGGATCAAAACGTTCTTTGACCATATGAGCAACGTACGACGGGGACTGTAGGGCTGCGCTAAAGGGGAGAGGCGTGATTCTTTCAAAAGCGTTTATCCGTCGAGGATATCCCCGAGTCGAAGGCTCGTGGCATCAGCAACCCACCTCAACCTCAAAAAGATCCGGTCATCAGCATCTCTCGTCTATGCCTTCAACGTGCCGTGCCTAAAGGCAATTTGGATTCCCCCAATACCGGCCAATCATTGAATATCGTCATTACGCAGGCTTGCCTCCAACAGAATCTGTGCGGACCCTTTTCCACCGCGGGGATAAAGCAGCACCTATTTCGAGATATTATTTATCGGAGCGGGCCCGGTGGTTTTGGGACAGTTCAGTGACCGCCAACTCTCCGTTCCCTATCAGCCAGAAACTTCGTCGATCGGAACCCGACCATAAAAAGGACATTCAAGATATCTCGAGCTTGCTCTTGCAGGCTCGGCTGTAGCCTCAGTCAACATTGCGTACCTTAACTCGTGCCAGTCCACTCCTTCCATCTTGTCGGCCTCGCCCTCAGCCTCGGAGCGTACATCCAGTCAAACTCAGAGCGCGACATACAGCGAGAATCGGGTCTCGGCCGCAAGTGGTCGAGGTAGTGGTCGTCTCGGCACCTATCAAGGAGGACAAGACCAATCCAGGTCGCTAATATCGACCAACACGGGGTCACAGTCGCATCAGGAGGAGAGGCATCATCCAGAGCCATTTCCCTACCCAAGTCATCAATATTCTTGGACGTCAAACCAACAGCAAGCAACTTCGTCAGAACTACAGCCCACCGGGCTGCCTCAATATACGCTGCAACGACAAGGGTTGGTAAAATCTGTTGAATTGATCAGGTTACGGGGTTTCACTGACAAGTCTGCCTCCTAGAATGGCTGCTCAAGTTCTTCCTACGCCGTCATCCCAATTCCCCAACCACTTACCGTACGGGAACGAGATGCTCAATTCCTTCCAGAGTAAGAATCCCAACGTCACACTTTGAGTCTCCGTTCCTGTGTGCTGATTAGGGGTTAGATTTTGAAAATCTGCCACCTGGGAACGCCGCCTACACCTCCGGACCCCCACCACAACCACTTCTGATGGTATCTCAACCTTCAATGAATTCCGAGGTGCCATATCGCAGACGTTCCTCCAATTCGCCGCAGGCGGCCATGAGCGCGCCCGCAATTCGTGACCGAACCCCGATTCGGCACCACAGACCCAGCCTTTCTCGCGGTCGCAGTCACAGTCGGAGTGATATGCTATTGGCCTACGCTACCGAACAAAACCAGTTGCATCAGACGCAATCACTACCGTCAATGGCTGCTATGCCATCGCAAAGCGCATCTACCATGCCACAAATGTACAACATGCCTTCGTACAGCATGTCGCCTCCCATCACCAGCTTCCAGCACCAAGGGGGTTATTTTGGATCGCCGCTTCCGCCACCCACGGCACAACAAGACACGACGACAGATTATCCGCTACACCAAAATGAAACGGAAGCCCACACGTTCTACCCAGTGGGGCGCACAACTTCTCATGGCTCGGCAATGAGCCTGCCCCCGCCCGATTCCCCCAATGCTTTATACCTGCACGGTCAGCCGCAACATAGTCAACAACCGTTACCCTCGATCGGTATGGCGATGCAACCTTTCCCACCGGTACCACTCACGTTGGAATCTTCCCCAGCAGAAATCGAGATCATGCCATCCAGACCCAAACCACAGTGCTGGGATCATGGGTGCAACGGACGCCAGTTCTCTACCTTTTCGAACTTACTACGCCACCAAAGAGAGAAAAGTGGCAGCGCGGTCAAGGCCGTTTGTCCACACTGCGGCACGGAATTTACCAGAACCACGGCTCGAAACGGTCACATGTCGGGCGGCAAGTGCAAAGGCAGGCCCGAGGGGGAGAGTTCGAACCGAGCGAAAAGGGAATCTTGATGTTTGGCATTTGATTGTTAGGACTGCATTGCGATGACGACGATATGATTTCAAGCACCCGACGAGCAAGTGGAGTAGGCAGGACTAAATCGGGATCTGACAGCTGTTGCACTTCAAAGTCATGGGCCGATGATCACTTGTTCGCGGGAGGACAACGGGGATGGCAACGACAAAAGAAATCGGGCGCATACTCGGGTACGGCGTCTGGACTCTGCTTGCTTGGGGGGGGGGGGGGGGGGGGGGGAAGGGCAGCAATGTTGATCCACAGTGGGTGCAAGATCTGGGATTGATTTGGATTCTTTTTCGTCGGGCAAAAGCATGAGACTCTGACTCCCCGATGTGGGAGATTTCGATTATACTTTGCAACGGGTTATGTTTTGGTCTGGGGGCGGCTGCTGCAATGCTACGTCGTAAAGCTTAGAGGCGGAGACCGTCTCTTGGTTTAGGCGGGAGCAGCATTTTCGAGCAGGTTTGCCTTCCAGAAGTGGCTGCCCAGTTTCCCAGCTCCTCACATTGTATGGGGTATGTACAGAGTATCGAAATCGCCTCCAGACCAAAAACCAGTTGACGAGGGGGTGGGCTCGACGGAGGGATTTTTGTATCGCAGGAGGTGCTGGATACGAGGACAGGACAAGGCTCCAGATGCAGGTCGCGAGGGACCAACCGAGCGACTACCGACGAGAGAGGACTGGGCCACAGCTGTAGCCGGCATGGCCCGTGGGTTGAGGCTTGATCTAATAGGCAACGTGCAGCCCGCTTGAGCAGCAGATCATGGCGACTCGACCGATGACTTGCCCGAAGGGAAACGGGTCGCTTGGCTGGCTGGCTGAATCCACATTGGGTTAGAATGAATATATCAACAAATGTGCCTTGAACCTGGGAACAAGAACACATCTGCGCAGGGTGAAAAGAAGGGGGACAACTTAGCAGAAGGGGATGTTTGTGCGCATGAGAAGGTCACGACCTCGTAAAGTTTGCCTGCGGATATACGACTTTGGTGGTGGGTGATTTGGCGTTGTGTCAGCTTGCACCAAGACGACTGCAGCAAGGGCAGATGCCCGAGATGGTCGTCAACAAGGCAGTTGCACCACCACCACCAGCACCAGCACCAGTCAGTACGAATTACTCGTTAGGTCCGGAGTACCTCGGTGGTTTTGGTGCGAGCGAGTGGGCGGGCGATGGCACCAACCAGAAAGTGGTAATGGGGGGCACCAGGGGGAGGCAAGCAGGGAAGCAGGGGGGGCAGCCAGAGGCGAGGCTGACGCTGTTTTGGGCATTCTCAAATCTTGGCTTGGTAAGCTCGCCATTCGGCCCCAGGCACCCACAGGCACCTACCCAGAGATCGACCAGGGAGCGCCCCCTAGTAGTTCCACCACCAGCCAGGGACCAGGGGCCAGGAACCCGGCAGCAGGTCTCTAGGGTAGGGCACGTCCTCGTAGGCAGCTTTGTCCAGTGTGAGTGGGTGAGGTCATGCAGCCCACTAGCCGCCTGGGACCCCCGGGCACCACCTACAAGTACAAGTAGGTACCGGTGGTGGTGGTGCTCACAGAGTCACAGCTCACACCGCTGACTCGCTGGGTGGCATGAGGCTGGTAGGCCTTCCCGCCTGCCCATCCCCCGGCTCGCATGGCGTCCCCTCCCCCTGTCACCTGGCTTGCCGCGCTTCCCTCGTCGCTCGCTTCTCGTCTCTTGTCATCAATTGTCATGTCGCTGCTGCTACGGTTCGCTAACTCTCGTGCTCGCTCTCTTCTTTATTTGCATGGCCTTATCTCCATCTCAGCTGCAGCGCCATCTTCCCTCAGGCCTTTCCACATCGAGCCGTACCTACGTATGCAAGGCCTAGAGCAGCCACAAATTCCTTGACCTCGAGGACTTGACGGCATCTGTGTAACATACAGTCCTCACTTCCCAGACTGATCCTTGACCTTACTAAACAAGTGTGGTCTGCGGTTCAAGGTTGAGTGAGGTAAGTGCTCCCATGGAGCAATGATTGACACAGTCTGTTTCTGCACTGACCCTCTGCTGTTGTTGCTACTGCCGATTTACTCACAGGACGTCGTCTTTGCCGCACGTTCCAGCGCCCGTGAACAAACTCCTCCCCTCTCATTCCCATCCACCACTCCTCACCGCGCCAGTGGCGAGCGACACTCTCGCCCCTTCTCCGGGACAAATAATATCGCCGGCAATGTTTTCCCTTGTGTGGTTAGGACGTTGGCATTCGCTCTCCGGCGGACATTACACGCGGGCAGATCACGCCTCGATCTAGGATTTTCATGCCTCAGCCTCCTCAAGATCGTCCAAGCACCACCGTGCATCCTGTTCCTCCTGAATGTGCAAGAGAAGCCATCGGCGACGTCAACGATCGAATCCGCCGCTCGATATGTCTGTGGCCTGACAGGATGTCCGAAACCCGAGGATTCGTGCATGGGCGCATTTCTATACCTGCTTGGGTGAATGCTACGACACGTCAAGTTGCCACTTCTCTTCCGCTGTCAGCGTAACACGCGGACCGGCACAGACTTGCTCGTAGGGACCACGAGCGTCTTGCCAGATGTACTCGGTATTATCAGAAACGCCCCCCTCCTCGTGTAATCGATGGTCACCGTCCCATACCCGGTGTGGGGACAATGGTATGCTACACTGTCTACCTCTTCCGACGACTCTGCTGAAATCGCTGCTCTTGGCGATTAATCAACGCGAGGTAGCGGTCAATGGACCCCCCAACGATGCCCCCAGAGTACTGGGTCGTCAACTGATTTCGCCAAAACTCGCACTACCCTCAGCCCTGTCCCGGGCCCATGGTCCTTCATGCCCATACCTGGCGCCCCATTCCTGATCCTTCAGACTATGCGCCACAGCTTTGTGGCTGATCGTCGTGCCATAAAGGAGAACAGCAACAAAGGATCGTGTCAGTACGTCTGTATACGATGGGGCTGCTGAGGCGCGTCCAAGCAACGGACCTCATCCTTCTGGCTTGGCGGCTCGTGAGACCTCTGCTTGCAGTATTATCAATCCCAGCTGTCGAGATTAAGCTCAGGAAAGTGAGAGTTTCCCTCCTGGACAGTGACCAACATGTTTAGTCATTCCTGGCATGATGTTTTACCTGCACATCTGGCTCCATCCAACTCCATCACGCTCCACTAGAGAAGAGTCGATCCCTGTCCGAACTCGATCCTTCGCTTCAGGTTTGACCCCAAATTCTCACGCGTTTCCCATCTCTCGTCTTTTCCCCGACCGAGTCATTCGCGTTTTGCCCTGACTTCGCCCCAAACCAAGCGCTTCCAAAGATCGTGCGGACCTTTTGTTCAGCTGGGCGTGAATGGCCGGGATTGGGACCCTTCGATGCATCACACGCCGGGTGCGTGACTAACGGCTTGACTTTACATGTTGTATTACGACCATGCTGGAGCAAAATGTGGATCGAATTGAAATGAAGACTCTTAGCAGATCAGCATGCCTTGCGTCGGTCAGGTTGTTCATCATCCACCTTATTGCGAAGTGCTTACGAGAATGGCCCAGCCAGCCAGAATCACGAGGCCCTCACCTGCTGCGCTCCACAGACTTTGCCGTGTGGAAATATTTCCACAATACCTGCGAGCAGTTCTCGGTCCAGACTGTCCCGAGAGCCTAGCAAAATCGAGCAGGAATTTCCAGATTGGTGTCCTTGGGAATGTTATGCAATAAAAGTCTCGTTACAATGGAGACGTCCACCATCTTGCGAAGAGGCGCTCTTGTTCACCGGTATTCCAACCTCCCTGCCGTCGGCTAGCTCCATCTGAAAGTACATGCTTTGGGCTCGATCCTGTAGCAGATGGACCGACAATCGGTGTATCCAAAGTACCTTTGACATCTGACATCGACACCATGATGGTGGTTCTTCAGTTTCGCGTCCCTTTCCCGCCTTTGAGCCCCTGAGACTTGCACCATGGCAGGGCTGCCTTGATCCCACGACTATATTCTTAGCACTCCGTGGAATGGAGTTGGGCTCTCCGAACTGTCGCAGAACGATCATCATCTCCATCGATTTCTCTCGACTAACAAGCTCTAAAGGAGCTGAGAGGAGATCCCTGGCGGATATGTCTTGGCCCATTTCCCCCCCGACTGTATTCGTACAACTAACCCAAGCACGACTCCACAAGGGGCCGAAAGATTTCCCTTTCAAGGTCCCATCGGACGCACTTCCATTCGTCCAGTCGACTGCACGGCTCGCGTCCACGAACGGCCCTTGCAATACCAGTGGAGCAGCAGGACTATTGAAGACGAGCTGAAAATCTGACCTTGTCCAATATCAAGCTCGAGAACTTTCCACCATTATCAGGGAAAACCATTTCCCCTTTTTAGCATGTACCATACTCCTCTGAGAGTGTTGCGCAGTTGCTCCACATGCAAGAGCAGTCGTGTATGCTTGTGAAAACCTTAGCATGCCGTTAAAACACGCATTGTGTGTCAAGTTTTTTTTGTTCGGCGTCTACCAAAATCTCACGGTCGAGCTTCACGACGTCTCCTCTGGACCAGGGGCGTTTAGGAAGCGGGGATTTTCACAATGTGTCATATATTACATACCAGACAAGCCACAGGCACGGCGTCCAGGTTCTTTGTGGCTAAAACGGTCCGGATGAGGCCATTTCATTGACGACCACCCTTCCAGCAGTGGGCGGCAAATGCGAAGAATGGTGCGAGAGATAGGGCTTGAGAATTACATTCGCTTGAGAGGAGGATTCTTGCACTGCTTCGTGCTCCTTCCCTCGCAGAGAGGGTGATTTCCACGGCGACATTCCCTTGGGTCGAGCCATCGAAGCGGATGAACTCGACAATAGATGTACTTGGGAACTTCAAAATCACTCCACGGGGTAATAAGGTCAAGCCGTGATTGCAGAGTGCTTTGGTCAAGTTCCCCTAAGGTGTAGGGTCGCTTTTGGAAAGGGTAGCACTACAGTCTGGAGAACAGGTGCCGTCAAGGAGACAGAAGTTACCACCAAGGACGTTTGATCCTCAGTTGCAGCTGTCTCTTCCTGGGAATATTCGCCTAATTCGCATATGTACCAGCCGAGATGATCCCTTCCACAGCTTCCTCTTCGTTTGCATCTTCGTTTATTGCATTCTCGTCACGGAAATGCATTGAAGTTGATCACTCGAAGGCAGTATCGAGCACTCTGGTACAGAACATTCAATCTTGTTCCTGCTTACTTTTCGGTCCTCGCCCACGACAGAGAGGAGGTGTAATGGAAGAAGGGGACGAAGTGCGCATCTTTTCGGGAGATTGCTCTTGAAAGAGCCCAGGAGTACAGCCTCGTGTGGGTGAATGGCTCATCCCAAGCTCGCTGTCTGAATGAGCGCTTTGGCAACACCATGCTGTCACTCTAATGCCCTTTTTTTCGACAGCTTCAGTTCAATGTCGAACGCGGGAACGATCCAGAAGGCCAATTTTCAATTATCCCCCCCCCCCCCCCCGAAATATCATCGTGTGGCCGTAGTGGAACACGGGAAAGGACCAGCATGGACCAGGATATCAGGAATCTCATTAATGCTCCACGGTGCAGTCTCCATGGACGCCCTCTTTCTCCCTGTTCTTCTCCGCCTTCATCAGAGCTGGGAGACATCCTGACGGAGTATCTGTCCCATTGGGTATGTTTGCATTTCCTTGTTTTTGTTTAACACCCGCCATAAGCGGAATTTGCCCCTACCTATCCATTTTGTCCCCACGAATGCCGCTTGTTCGCCCCCGTCTGCCAGGATGGGTACCTCAAAGAGACTACTCAGAAAAGCGACACCAATGACGAGGACAGGGGCGGGCGGCGCGGCCGCTCGGGAAATCGGTGAATGGGGAGATCCAAAGAAAGAAACCCAGGACCAGGTCAACGACATGGCAGAAGATATCTCGCAACAGAATGAATTCCAAATTACTCGCGTCATTGCTTTGCTCAGGTATTTTGGATCTCGTCGGGCTCAAGGCTCGGTCTAGGTCGCCTCCCACCAATGGACCAACGCCACCCGACAAATGACCGAGATTGATTTATTTCCGCTTGCCGGAGTCGAAGCACTACAGGTGATGGTGGTGATGGCGTTACCAGTACGAGGGCGTATGCGAACTAGGCACTTTTGCACCTGTGCTTTGCTGAAACTTAGGGTACTCGGCCTCACGGCGGACGAGCTGAGATAAGGAAGTCTCCATATCCCCAACGGGATCCAACGGCACACGGTCCTCCGTGCAGGGACTCCGTGTCTGTGCTAATAGGTTAGAGACACAGTTAGTGACTTACGAGTCGTCGCATCATAATAATATGACGACGAGATAGGGGGGACTGTCTCGAACAAGTAAAAAACACGCACGGCAACGCGGCCCAGGCTTAGGGGGGGTGCTCGTATTTTCCTTCTTTTCTTGGAAACATGGAAGAGCGGCATGTGCTTGTTTGTACCTCGTACGTCTGATTGATGGATTGATCGCTTGCTTGTACGTCTGATTGGGGGCCGGCAATGTTAAATATTATTATTCTTGTGACTCCGTCTCAAAGAGGTTATTGTTCTCAGCCTTGTCGGCCAAATTCCTAACTCCCCGAAGCCGCGAGGCCCAGGGACAGATCTTCTCGTCCTCCAACATCCACGGTAAATGCAATGGCTGTGGCGGTCCTCGAAGCTGACTACGGACTGACTGCGTGACTAAGTGGTGGAATCAACTAAGGATCCATGCATGTCAACGAGTATGTGGGTGGTGGTGGTGGTGGCGGCACTGGGTGGCTTGCATGGAAGGAAAAGAGAAGAAGGAGAAGAAACTCTCCAGCCACCACTGACTCCCTCGTCGTCGTCGCCGCCGCCGCAAACTGACGCTACTGACACTGACACTGACACTGATCAGAACACGACCACGACCCGCGCCCGCGTCTTCTCCGGGCTGCGTACCTGCATCCCAGTCCTGCATGACCGTTATTGACGACCCGGCTACCTCGTACGCTACGAGCACTCGGGATATCAAATGATCGTCGCCCTGGGCGTTGCATTACCTTTCTCCTCGGCCTGCCCTTCCTGCCCTGCCCTGTCCATGTCTGTCCCACTGGTGCCACTAATATCACATGTTGTCACTCCATAACTCGTCCTCTCTCTCTCTCTCATTCTCATTCTCCTTCTGGTCTCGACCCCGACCTCTATCCCTGCAGCTACAGCATCAGCATCAGCATCAGCATCAGCAGCACGCAACTATCGCGACGGTGGCTCATCCTCATCGCAGGCCCTCTGTGCACTTCCCAGGCCCCATCAGTAGTCCAAACGAACTCGGTACCTGGGTTCTCGCCCCGTAATGAAGGAAGTACTACTCCGTACGCACCAGCCCTGCCGCCTCGTCTCGTCTCGCCCCGCCTCGCCGTTTTGTTGGTTGGTCGCTCGGTCACTGGCCGCCAACACGCCCCTCCCCCCCCCCCCCCCCCCCCCCCCCCCGCCGAGGCGACGGGCGCCGCAGGGGCTTGGGACCGCGAAGATTACTACTCGTGCTCGTGCTGCGGAGGAATAGACGGGCCTTGGGTCCGGAGGACGGAGGAACTATCGACTCCGAAGGTACGGGGTCGTCTACTTGTCTACTCGTCTACTCACTCTCACTGTTACTGTGCACGGAAGTCATGTGGAATGTGGGCATATACCTTGTGTACCAGTAGGCGGACGGGACATACTACAGTACCTATGTAGATACCTAGTAGGCACACCGTAGATACGTGCCCATGTACAGAGTACATCCCAGATGCCTATACCTATTCCGGTTCCTAGGGTACGTCAACACCGTGCAGTCCAGTCTATAGAGGAGTAGTGTTTGGTTACCTAGGAGCATACCGTACATGCACACGGCTATATGAAGCTCTCTTCGTGACACGATTCCACAGAGCCAATGTATCTATCTATCTCCTTGTAGTAACGTTGGATATTTCATATCCCTCACTCTGTACGGAGTGCATCCCTCACGTATATCTACAGCCTTGTGCCCTTGTTACGGTACGTCCCATACCATAACGAGCGAGAACTACTAAACCTATCCTCCCTGCGCTCTTCTTGCCTCTCGTACTCGTTCTTACGTCGGGCACCCCCTGCGTGCCCCCTGCTCAAATCTGCACTCAAGAGGATTTGTCGTGCTGAGCTCGAGTTTCTTACCTACATACATACATACTTCACACATACATACATACATACATAAATACCTAGGTAGGTTCTTACAGCCATAATACCTTCATACACATGTTCCTCGTATATACAAATACGGGTCCACGTCACGCGTTCCACGACCATCGACTCTACGAGTATCGAGGATAGCACAAAGGAACAACGGTCCATCGGGTCCGGTATCGTGGACAGCAAGCAAAAGAGCTCATACCACGGTATCTATCGCCCCCATAACCGTCCCGTACCGTCTCACGACGACCTGCGAACCACGCCTCCTCTGCCTCCCTTGCCCCTGGCCGTCCCCTGCTCGTGCATAAACTGCTCCTTCCCAACGAGGGTGAGCAAGGTGCCAGCCCAGGAACCAGGGGCACGTCTATAATATATGTATTAGAATCGAGTTATAACCCCAATGGCTCGGCCGCCTGGCCGTGTTGTTATGGCCGGCACGCTCACTTAAAGCGGCTCCTTGCTCCGGAACGGGAAAAAGCGAGGATGTCGTCGTCGTTATTACCGTACAGATCGGAAGCCCACGTCCTCGTCATCGCTTTGATTGTATTTCGTACTAGATATATATATATATATGATATTGTGGTGGTTCGCAAGCGGCCCGCAAAAAGCAGCTTGAGGTCTGATTTTGGATTGTGCTTCACGCTGTCGTTGCCATATGTCGTAGGGCGCCGTCCAAGTAGAAATGCCTGTCAACACTCTACCGTCGCAGGTCCCCCAGTCACGCCTCAGCCCAATTTCCAGAGTCCCCCCCATTCATACCAAGCTCCCGTTCCTTTAGCCCATGCTTCCCTATCATTGTTTCACAGTCCAACTCTTAGCATTCTCTGGATTACATTTGCATTCGTATTATAACCGTCCGTGCCTCGCCTTGAAGATCGAAATCTTGTCATCGTAGAACAAGATCTCTCTTAACCTCCAGGTCGGTTTCGGCCCCCCCGAATTGGCGCCTTCTCCTCCATTTTCGCTCCCGTCCTCATCATCCGTCAGGTCGTTAACATCGTCGGAAACGGCGTCAAAGTCGCTGTCGTCATTCGGGTCTCCACCTTCGCCATTGTCACCCGGTTCCTCGTCGTGAGAGTCGTGGTCGTGATGCGTCTGGGTTTGGCTGGGATTTGGCGCCGCTGTCTCGCCATCTGGTCCAACATCGTCTCCGGAGTGATCACCGCCACTCGTTCCTGAATTGGGACCCTTTCGAGTACTCGCATACTCCAAGATTTCGAAACACTGGCCCTGGATTCCGAGGTAGCACAGTTCAAGCTCGGGTCTGAGGGCGACGATATCAAGGACTTGCGATGCCGCTTCGCGAGAGTGGACCGTGCCGTTGATGTGTTCGGCGATATGCGAGATGTGCAATGAGCGCAGGGTCGTCGCGTTCGGCAAACGCCGGAGGAAATAGTGCCAGTCCTTGTAATCAATTGACATGCTCAACTCTCGTAGTTTCATTTTGCCGCTGGTAATACAAGTGATCAGCTCCCGGCTGCACACCCACCTCCTCCAGTTGGTATTAGGACGATCTGGGTCCTCGGTTCGGAGTGTGCTGTCGATGAGCAGCTTGGTTAGGCTAGAACGATGCCGCCGGATTGCGCTTTTGTAGATCATGTCGATGGACACCGGCGACTTGTAAGTCGTGTTCTCTTGAAGGAAAAGCCATTCGAGGCTGTCCGATGCAAGAGTATCTTTGATGAACGCGATCAACGATGGAGACACCATGTCAGTGTGTAACCGCCTCAATCTCAGGGGATAATCAGACGACGAGGGTACAGGGGTTGGCGGCGTGCTGATTTGTGACCGAAGCAACATGCTCGACATCCCATTTGCCGAAATCCTGAACGGTGTTGCCGACACTCTCCTCCGGCTTGTCGGAGTGAAGCGTTTTCGAAGCGCTTTCCACAACTGATCGTGGTTTCGGCACCCTAGAAGAGTTAAAGTCGTCAGTCGTGACCAGTCGATCGCTTTTGAAAGCACGGCTATTGACAGGTAGACCCGTTCCAGTTCCAGCGTTTCCAGCTGCAACTTTCGTGCCGGGCGGCCTTCTCTCTGTGAGTCCTGAAATGCGTCGCCGGCACTGTGTAGTTGACTAGGATTCGAGACGAGGCTGGGGTCTTCAAGTGATCGTTGTTTCGTCGATGAGGCAGAAACCACATCAGAGTGGTCATCCTGGATACTGTGAGCGGACAATAGGGCACCCAACTGGTTCATCTCTGAAGTGCTGACTGGGCCTTGACCATCTTCCTCTCTCTCCTGTTCTCGAGACGTGTCCACAGTCACAGCGTTTTGGGCCGGATCCTGTTGCGAGTCTAGGGTCGATGACGGTCGACTCTGAGCATAATGAGAGAAGGCGTCGCAGAATCGATGCACGAGGATACCAAGGATACCTCCTGGCCGCGGAGTCTGGTCACTCATGCCAGGCATAAGGGGAGGCAGAATAGAGGTTCGATCTTCTGAGGGCCGGGCCCATATGTCGAACTGAGCGTGCGAAGCTATGCCTACGCGGAGCTCTTGGATTCTCCCTAAGGACCTCTCGATGAGAACACTCATCTCCTCCGCGTAGGGTAATTCGTCAATATCGAGGACACTTAAGCTCTTGAGAGGTGGCAGAATCGAAAATGTTGGAAACTCAACTCGAGGATATGGTGGGATCTGGAAGAGAGAGTTGGCAGATCCCGCCAGTATCGACGGCAAGTTGGAAGCCTGCGGCCCTGGAACGGATCCCGGTGGCGGGGGAGACGCCAAAGGCCCCTGGTCTTGGTTGTCATGCCAGCGAACCCAGACTCTTTCGAGACGACATTCCTGTCCATCATCGCGATTGCCGAGCGAAGCCAGAGCCATCCAGACATCTCGAAGGACGCCTGTGGGCATGTCCCAAATGAAAGCTTCTAGATTCCGCATCCTCCCTACCGCGAGCGCGACCAAAGTCCCTAGCATCTTCCCTCCCTCTTTCGTGATGAGGTATTCCTGAACCCACTCGGCGGGCCCATTCCCTAGGCTGAATTTTCGGGTGTACTGAGCAAAGTGATTGCCACGCCGAATCTTTTTAGGCCGCTCCAGGGTCGTATGCGCGGCCTGATTTTGGTGACCGCAACTCTGACATTGATGTTGAGGTTGCTGCTGATACGGGGCCTCCCCAAAAACGTCCTGAGCCATAACCAGGGTTGCTAGTCCGTAGGTTAGAGCATCAACACCCATGCGATTCTCGAATGTTGCATTTGCATCCGGCCAGACAATGTCAAAGCGGGCGTAAATATGAGGGATAACCAGTGCGTGGAGGGCTGAATGGGTCAGAGCGAGGGATGTCAGGTCGTTGGTGTGCGTCAGCTCTCGAAGAATGGCTTGTAGAATATCGACGGGCAAATCCAGCAGGCGCAAAGGCTCTTTATGTGCCGTAATGGCATCCCACTCTTGTTTCTTGCCATGAAGATGCTTCGCCAAAAGAGTCTCTGCGCCCTTGGCCATTGATTTAGTGGGCAATTCCTCGACCTCCACAGTTGCTTCCATTCTGAATAGATCTTTGAGACGCAATGGGATTTTGGCAATTCAAGACACCTTGTGTTGGGCCTGAGAGGGTGTTTCGTGAGGTTTGCGAACAGGCTCAGAGCATAAGCCCTGAGCCGGACAGAACCCTTTATTAGCTGACCATGGAGGTGTCACTGAGGGCGGGATATGACTGGAGGAGGGATGACAGGTGAAGCGACGGTAAGCGGGTGAGGTGAAGAGCCAGGTTGCACGGTGGAAAAGTCGACGGCTTGTGGTCTGAAGGAGGTTTTCAGGCGCAGGTCGAGGTTGCGATGTGGTGTTGGTGGTGGTGGTGATGGTGGGTTGGACAGTGCTGAGCGCCGCAGCGAGTTGAGATGCACCAACTGCGCGGTTAGGGGACTCGAAATGGGTTGGCTGGGGGAAGCCATGGTGGACTAGAGCCAACTGAGGCTAGCCTGCACGCAATCACTTTACGCGGGTCGCGTGAAAGCTTCTCGTTGAGGTGTGAAGGTGTGAAGGTGTGAGGCACGGGCCCGGGTCTCCATTTCCTCGTGCTCCGTGTCCCGCACTTTCGTCCACGGGCGAGCCTACTAGTGAGTGATAGGCACCACGACAGGCACCATTCCGCCCATTCTGCAGGGCCCGGTGGACTTTCTCGTCTGCTTTGGCTGCTGTGTGCCTCCCCCCCTGGGAAAGTTAGACCCCCCAGGCTTCTTTTCGTTTTCCATTATAACTATCTCTTGCCTCTCCCCCCTAATCCTTAACACTTAACTTTTTCCCCGATAACATCCACCCCGGTCAAACGTCACTTTTTGTTGCTCACTTTCCCTTTCAGCTGGCATCTCCCATCAATCCTCCCCTTCTTCCTCGGTCATTCGATCATCTCTGGATGGCTTGAATCACACCACGCTCGTTCTCTTCGCGCTGGCTAGACAGCCCCCGAGGTCGACAGCTGCTTGTCAATCCAGCCCAATTCCCTTCTGCGCAGCTACCTCGCGCCTGCGACCGCCAAAGGCCGGTGCCCAACTGCCCCTCACCTATCCTCAAAATCACGCACTCAGGCTTCCTCTTCCTTCTACGGCTCCCTTGTGTTACGTCTCACCCATTACACTACATCAACATGGACAAATGCCCCGACGAGGTGCTCATCAAAGTCTGCGGCTGGTTGGACTTTCAGAGTCTTGCCAATGTGCGACTGGTCAACAAGCGGTTGGCCGAGGTCGGAGCCGAGGCGTTGGTAAAGAGAGTGCGCTTTCACTGCACCCAGGACTCCCTTAAGCGTCTGCATGCCATTGCTCAGCACGATGTTTTCTGCAAATATGTCGATACCATCGTCTTCGAAGGCAATCTCCTAGCCAGCGTCCCCTGCATCCATACCTACCAAACCCACTACGAGATGGACCATCACCAGAACGAGAGACCACGACTACCTCCCAAACATGCTACGCCCCGCGAGCGGCGACTCTACGAGCGAAACGTGGCCAAGTTCAAGCGCGAGCTTAAGGAAAAGTATGATCGATATCTGGACCTCTATGACAAGCAACAGAAAGTCCTCAAGTCCCCCGCCTATGCCGACTTCATTTCGTCCAGCATGCCCTGTTTTCCAAGACTCAACAAGCTTGTCCTTTCTACTGTTGGCCGCTGCAAACATGTTCTCTCTGGAAGGTTCCTCGAGTCGTTTACTGCCGACTGTGCTATGCCGATCGAACACGATACTAGCTTTACCAAAGACCAGCTGAAACACCTGCTCTTCCCACAAGGCCGACCTCTCACCCAACTCGGCACATTGGAAGTCCATGTCATGAGCCCCAAATTCTTCACTGGTTTCGTGCCGGCTGATCTGATCCGTCGTGCCTTCCAGAACCTTAAAGTCATTGACCTGAACTTCCGTCTGGAGAAAGATGATAGGATCGGCTTGGACATTATGACTGCGGACCGCTGCTATGCAGACCTTGCCAAAGGATGTCTGCGAGATGCACTCACCGCCGCGCGTGATTTGGAACAACTCACGATCAACTTTGATGACTACGGCTACTATGGAGCGGTTACCAGCCTGGAAAACATTCTCGGTTCAAATGCTTGGCCGCGCCTCAATATGTTGAATCTGGATTGCATGTCAACTACAGAGGACTATTTCCTGGGCATGCTTAAACGTCAATCATCTTTGCGTGATCTGCGACTGGGTTTCATGACCCTCGAGCAAGGTCGGTGGCCAAGTGCCACGACGCGAATGCGAAAGGACCTGGACTTGATCAACTTCATGGCAAGTGGTATTCTCGAGGACCCGGATGAAATGTTCCCGATGCATCTTCTTGATACCGAAGCCTACGTGGAGGATCACCACCACTTCACATTAGGCGACGCTCTCGGGCTCTACGTCGCCGATGAATTTGGTATCCACGAGGAGGAAGGTTACCACCCATTGCTCGATGACGATTTCACCGACGAAGAAACCTTACGGGAGGAATACGGACCATTCGCGGATGACGACGACTTTTCGGACATGGACTGCAGTGACTAGGCGAGACAAGCAGCCCTCTTCTTCTTGACCCATGTTCATGTATGATTACGAGCTTACGACCTTTTCGCAACTACCTGTACAGCACTCAGAACTGCATTTTACGAGAGACAGTCAACCGCAGATACCCCCGTGAGCTTCCTTGTCCAATCATTTTCCGGTTTCGAAAGACTTTTACTCTGCAGGCTAGAGGCCACACCTTTTATCCATATGGTTTGAAACTAAGGGAGCAGATTGTGGCTTTGTGAGAGGACGGGTCAAAATGGTGTCGACATGGCTATTCCTTATGTATCCATGCCTAGATCAGTCCGGGAAGCCACCGTGGCGTTTCAAGTCCTCAGAAGAACTTGAACAGATTTGTGATTAGAACAGCATACTCTGTATGTACAAACTTATTTTCCAACCAGGGGTCAAGCCTCGTGCATTCTGCGACCTTAAGATCCGGCTAATTGTCGGATGAGGGGGCTTCGGTCGCATGTCAGTTCCTCTCTTGCATCTAAAAAACTTCAGAGGCAGTCCTTTTCTCGAGGGAGTGCCTAGCTCTCGAGCCACGTAGGGGAAGGGAATTCAGACATCACAGTGCCGTATTTTACCATGCGAGCAAGCCTCCGTTCACTGGCTGCTCCCGTTACGCCATCTTTTAGGCCTGGCCAGCGAGCGCAAGCTCTGGCTTTGCTCCCTCCCATCCCATTGTATCGTCGTCTCCTGCGCATTCACCGCAAGCGGCTCAATCCCGAAGAGCGCGTCTTTGGCGACACGTACCTGAAAGCAGAATTCCGAAGACACAAGGACATTGAAAACCCATTGCACATCGTCGGATTTCTGACGGAATGGCAACAGTATGGCCAGCAACTTGAAGGGGAGGAGTGGAAGGATCAAAAAATCGACTCCGCATTGTTGGACAAGTTGAGTGATCAACAAGTCGGGCAGATGTATGAGCTTATGTTGGCGATTCAGAAAAGAGGGAGGGAGAGTGTTGATGAGGAAGAGGAGGGAGAAATTTTGAAGGCAATCGAAGAGGCCAAAGGCTCGGGTAAGACAACGGAGTCATGATGAGTCTGGCAGTGTGTGAATACAGGTTCGGCAGAGGTCCACGTACAAGAATTGGTGACATTGCAGATTGGCCATCACTCAACCCGTCACAAACGAGGGAGGAGCCATTGCGAACAACCGTCTCGGATCGCAAGAACATCGCTTGTCACCCTTCACTTCACGACCAACCCAACAGGCATACAATATCTTTACAGAAGGCGATGTCGCGCGAATATTAGTCTTCCAGCCGAGTTCCCCCTCCAGACGCTCATCCAATTCAACAACCTAGATTCTACGCTCGAACTCTCGGAGAAAGAACCACAATACCGTGGAGCCTGCGTATTTGCACCTGGCCTACCTGCGAAGCAAAAACAATCGCAACATGTGCAAGACAGAAGCCTTTAAATCTCACACCTGCCCACATCACTGGATGAGCATCGTCAAACCATGTGGCCCAGAAGCATCCTTCAAGAACCAGACTCATCGATATAAACCCGCAAGAAGTGGCTGGAAAAGACTGGTCCAACCAGAATACCTCTCTGCGCCGGCCGATAGCTGTCCAAACTGCGATCTGAAGGGAGACTACGACGCGGACAAGACACGGATCATTCTCAGGAAACCCGGGGAGGCGGGCAATTTGGGCAATGGATACAACATGACTGATGGCCGGGGGAGGGCAATACCAGTGTATCATTATGGGGGATATTTCCCGCCCGTGTCATATCCTCCGTCTGGGCCTACCGGAGTCTCGATGGCTCGTCCTAACGGACAGCGGCAGCAGGCCGGGTGTTGCGTTGTGATGTGAGCCGGCGTTCAATACTGAGGAAGAGCGGTGCTCATGGGTCATACGGCTTCTTCTACTTGTGTGGCGAGCGAAGGGAGTGGTCGCGGGGGTCGTATATACAGCTAGAATGGACTCTCGACGCCGTCTGTCAGCGGCGGCTTCCTCGCAATTTTACCACAATCCACCATATCATGCTCTGAGCCTCTGCTTCATCAAGTGACGGTTAACAATGTTTACCACTCCCACCTTATATACCCACGGAACGGTTTCCGCCTCGAGGGTGATTGTGTCGGACATCACCAACTCCTCATCGTTTGCGAGACGAGTGATCACGCAATCGCCCCTCTCGATTGGATCAACACGAACCCCTCGCATGCGACCCTCTGAACAGCCCGATAGCGATCATTCATTCGGAGATGCCCTGCCCACTTTGGTAAAATGATGCCGCAGGGATTCGCTATACGTCGAATGACATGAGGTCAACTGGAGGACAATCACGGGGAAGACTAAGAAATTTCGACAGCTGCAGAGACACTCTTTTCTCACTCTCTGATCCTTTCCAATTCTCTATTCCTATTTTCTCAGTCTGAGATTCACCATCTAGAAAGGAGTTCTTGGGGGAGGTATAAACCAGCTCAGGCTTGACTGACCAACACCTGCCCACCATGGCTCCCATAGCAGTGGAATCATCTCACCCTCCTTCTACAATCCCCTCCAAGTCCGCGGCCGTCGACTTGTCCATCTTCCCCGACGGCTTCAAGACATCCGGCCAACACCCTCCACTCTACGACCAGCTGTACCCTTACTCTGCGTTTCCAAAGACCATCTCTGGCCCCACCGTCTGGTCGAATGAAGACTACGCTTCCCATCCAGAAACATGGACGCACGTCTTCTCGGACGCAGAGATCAACGAACTCTCGGCCGCGGCCGACAACTTCATGGCTCAAGGTCTCCCGCTGACGGGGATCAACCCGTCCAACTTCCCGCTCCCAAGCATGTCGGCGGCGTTGAAATCCATGCGCAACGAACTCCTCAACGGTAAAGGCTTCATCCTGTACAAAGGCTTCCCCGTGCAGCAATGGGGCTCGCACAAGTCCGCGGTCGCGTACATGGGCCTGGGCACGTACATCGGGTACCCGGTGTCGCAGAACGGCCGGGGCCACATCCTGGGCCACGTCAAGGACCTGGGCGAGGACAGCACGCAGATCGACAAGGTGCGGATCTACCGGACCAACGCGCGCCAGTTCTTCCACGCCGACGACTCGGACGTGGTCGGCCTGCTCTGCATCGCCCGCGCCGAGGAGGGCGGCGAGTCGGACGTCGCGTGCGTCCACCACGTCTGGAACATCCTGCAGGCCGAGTACCCGGAGGTGGCCGAGCTGCTGACCCAGCCGGTGTGGTACTTTGACCGCAAGGGCGAGGTGTCGCGGGGCGAGGAGCCCTACATCCGCACCAGCGTCTTCTACCTCGAGACACCCGGCGCCAAGGGCCAGGAGCAGCGGGTCTACTGCAAATGGGACCCCTACTACGTCCGCAGCCTGACCCGGTTCTCGGACCAGGGCATCATCCCGCCGCTGTCGCCGGCGCAGGTCCGCGCGCTCGAGACCCTCGAGGATGTCTGCCAGCGCGTCAAGCTGCACATGATCCTCGAGGTCGGCGACATCCAGTTCCTCTCCAACGAGCACATCCTGCACGCCCGCACCGCCTATAGGGACTACGGCCCGGACAGCGGCATGCCCCGCCGCCACCTGATGCGCCTGTGGCTGAGCACGCCAGTCAGCGAGGGAGGCTGGAGGCTGCCCTTCCACGACGTGGACGAGAGGAAGAGAGGAGGCATTCAGGTGGACGACACGAGGCCGGTCGCGAGGCTGGATGCGGATTGAGTTCTGTTCCGTGATGCGAATGTGTTTGAGGGGTGGGACCAAATCTCTGGAGAAATGTTTCTAAACTTTGGGAAGAATGTATAGACGAACTAGCTTGCGTTCATTCCTGCTTCGTTCGACTGCCCTCTGCCGCCTGCAGGCTTGCCTAGGCTTTCTCTGAACGTTCCTCGTGCGTGAAGACATGCTTCTCAATGTAAATCCTGGGTTCTCGAGTAGTGCCACGCGGGATAACCAGCCCCCGTCGTCGATTTGTGATATCCTCGTGTGTTTTGGGCGAGGGCTCTGTCGCAAACGCTGTGTTCCTTTCCTGTAGTATGTATACTGTACCTTCCGGAGTGAAAAGAATGTAGGATTCAATGCCCACAGCGCAAATTAACCATGGGTTGAGCAGATTAGCATCCCATCCGTACAGCACTGGTCGTCAAAAGTAGGGCAACCCACCGTTTTCACTTTCGTAACTTGTCGGCTATACCAGCACTTTAGCCTCGTGAGCCTTTCATCAAAGCTAGCCCTGAGCTGGCACCAGTTAGCCAAGAGATCAGTGGGCGTGAAGTCCTCCGTTGCACGCGCGGTGAAACTCGACGGTTAAATCAATATCCGTAGTTGTTTGGTCACGACAACAAGACTCAGATTCGCGTCTTCCAAGATTGAGGACGACAGGAGTGGTTGATGTGCTTCGGTTGCAACAGCGACTGCTACCCGGCCAGTCCTCCCCCAATGTAGATGAAGGCTTTGCATTCAAGTGTAAACATGTGTGAGTGTGTGCAAGAGAGAGGCGTCCCCTGCGCTTCCGTACTTGACCCGACTGATCGAGATGTGGCGGAACTAGAGAACCGACAGAGCATTCTTGAGTGGCCCGGAGAGCGTTCGGATAGCTTAAAAGGACAGAGTTTCCTGCAGCTGTGAACTGAAAACCCTTTTCGGGAGAATGGTGGTTGTCTTGACTGTCAGGCCGGGATCCGCATAATCCACTATCGTCGACTTCGGCACAACGGATGATCTTCTTCAGCAGTGAAGATCACCAGGAGGAAAGAGGAAATTCCATGCCCACATCGTGAAATGCGGCGCCGGAAGGTCGTACCTTACCGAACATATCAAAGACAAAGCGCGACATGAAGCTTCACCTTTCCGTCTTGTGGCTACTCATCAGGGTGTCCCTGCATATCGACAACCAACCTCTGATGCCACACACCTCCATGATGGGTATTCACAACTGGGCTTGGTGATGAGCGCATGGTCGATCATGCCCATGTTTGCTCCACCATGCTGCGGCTAACCTTCACAGCGAAGCGGTGGATTTGGTTTCGGCCAGTTGATAGACTTTTGTGCCGACCCCCCCTCTTGCAAGGCAGCGTCCAACTCGGCTTTAGAGATGTATTCCCTTTTGTGTCGGTCACCGGGGAGCGGACCTGTATCATCAAGCCGCAGGGGATCGGGGCTGGGCTCTCAGATGAGTGAGCAAGCTTATTGCGGCCTGGGGAGCCTCAGGCGGCGACTCGAAGGCGTCGTGCACGACTCGAATAGATTGTCGCCAGCTTTCTGGTTCTGGTAGCTTGATATGCGCGATGACAAAGGCGTCAGAGTAGGGACCGAGGTCGAAAGAAGATTGATTGGTGGCTTGGGATGCCTGGGACGCCAGGGACGCCAAATGAAGAATGCCCCGGGGAGAGCAGAGAGTGGGCGCCACCGCAGACGACTGGCAGGGGGCATTATCTCAACCGAGTAATGGCTGTCCGCGCCCGCTATACTGCGTCGGGGCATCCCACCTCTTTGACCCAAGGGGTTTCCCATGCGTTCGGGGATCGCCAGGCGTGCATCGAACATGGACGGAGATCATGTGCCTTTGGGGTTAATCGTGATCGAGGATATCGTGCCCGAGGTCCGCATAAGGCGACGCCGCCTACTCCTACCCAAAACGCACAAAGGGCCGTCCCCTTCTCATTGGGCTTCTGAAAAACGGCGCTGGGATGGACGAACAACTCGACTTCGGGGTTCGCGCCTGGGGGTTGGCTTTGCTTCTTCACGCCCTTTTGGCCTTATGTCAGGCGTGGATGAATTGGGACTCTGCTGCTCCCGTGAGCACTGCATTAACCCGTTGGCTGCCCCTTGGAGCATGTGTCTCATTCGAGGACAGTTCGCTTACTCCCAAACTCTGGACGTTCCGCCCCTCCTTGGTCCGTGGTAATCGGCTGGTGATGGGTGTTGGAGACGCACTAAGGTGAACTTGCGATGGTGGCTGCGCATGGCTGCGCACTGCGTTGGACTCTTTCGACCTCGACACCCTGCATATTTTTCCGGACGGATTATCTTCTTCCGGAGCTGGCCTGAATAGAATCGCGATGCACCGGCCCAAGCACACCACATCATTTGCTGTCTTGTTCTCTTTTGGGAGGTGGTGACCGACTGTGCGGTAGGTCTACCATCTTGCTTGTGCATAGACAGTTGATGGTGCCCTGATGCAAGAGTCCAAAGGCCCCAAGACACTCGGCTGCGGAGGCGCTGCTTTGATTAGCGGACATTCAGCGCGGACCACCCGCACCCATCAGGCCTCAAGATGTCCATATATTGTTGCAAGCATCCGTCTCAGCTGGAAGGTACTGTGGACAAATATGTTCGGGCCCATAGAGCGATGGACCGTGCCAGCGACCTCGACAGGAGACATACTCCCAGGACCAACCCATTGTTCCCTGCACACCAACAGCGAGAAGATGAGGACCAGGAGTCACATCGTCAACGGCAGCCCCGTCCCGGACAGGCTGCTGAACAACAACAGATACCACTCCATCGTCGCAGCAGCTCCCTGCGATCTAACAACGATGTCGTTCGACTGGGGAATCCCGGGGCGCACGAGTTGTCGCATTCGCCCTTTCCCATGCACGGAAACAGCTTCGTCCAGCGTGCGGTCCAGTACTGTACGGACTTGTCTCCCTGCCACATGAGCACGACTAATGTTGGTTTTTGGTCCAGATGTGAAGCAGTACTCTCCGACGACGATTCAGCGTCCTCATTTTGTTGGTGCGGGCCCAGACCTGACCCTTTTGCGCGACTACATCCCCTTCGTCATGAACGATCGCATGACCTTCTCGGCGCTTGTGGCCATGGCCTCCTTCAGCGCCAACATTGCTGCCACTGGCAGTCGCGAGGCTCCCTCTGAGTCTCTGAGGTTCTATCAGGCGGCTGTCTCGTTGTTACGGGACCGGTTGACCAATGAGTCGCAGCGGGCCAGCGATGCCATCGTCGTGACTCTAGCCAGCTTGTGCGCGTTTGAGGTGGGAATACGCTCTTCAAGAGCCCCCGCATGTGTAGTCAGCTCACTGATCTGTGTTGTCTGATCCTGCAGGCCTTTACGGGAAACTATGATGCGGTTGACATGCATACACTGGGCATCAAGCAAGTCGTCGCTCTTCGAGGTGGCACTGGCCAATTAGGTACTCTCCTGACCGGACCCTCGGTCGTCTGCAGGCATAATTCTGACAAGAGCCAGGTTTCGAGGGATACCTGAAGACCGTGGCAACCGCGTAAGTCCTATTTTGGTTCTGACAGGACGTCGGGTCTAAAACCACATGACTAATCACGTTCCTTTGCCTCCAGATGGCAGAACTTTTACGCAGCTCGACATTCCATCTCCTTGACCGACCCGCGATTCTTTCCTGAAGACGGAAACTTCACCTACCCAGAACATCCCTTCGATCCCGAATTGTGCGATGTTATTGCCCGTTTTCCAGCTGGACTGACTGACATAGCCTTGTCGGGCACGCTGAGTCATCAGATCATCAACCTTGTTGCCCACGTCAACAATTGGGTGCATGAGGTGAATGTCTCTCTCAGAGACTCGGACGTGTACAACCTGCATGACTTGTCCCAGAGTTCTCGCAATGTCACCCTGTGCGGCGAGTTCCTGCACAAGCGAGGGTTGACCATTGTCGAGCAACTCCTCGTGCTGGCCCTGACTGCCTTCTGCTATTCCACAGACTCGACACGGGCCATGTTCTACCTGACAAATGCTTACCTCCAGATTCGATGCAAGTACATGCGGACGCTGTATATTGAGGTGACGGAGCGAAACGAGGCATTCATGACCTGGGTCTCCACCATGCTTCTTGCCACGTTCGACCCAGCAGCACAGCCTTGGTTTTTGGGTCTATCGATCCTGCGAGCACGACCGACACTGCGAGACTGGCAAGCAAACGTCAGAATTTCGGAAAATTATTTCTGGAATGATGGTCTCTCGCTGAAATTGGCATCGAAACTCGGTCACCTGAGAGGAACCGAACGCCAGGGCCAGGGCTGATACAGCTGGAACCCTGTGCGTTAACCTTTATGCAGCTCTGCACCTGCAATGGGACGACACAATGGAACAAAATGGGGATGGGGCACCTCGATCACGGACGGGTTCGACAAGGCCAATAATAGTCCAATACCAACCGTCGACATCATTTGCTTACCTCGGCATCCCAACAAGAGAACCCTTACAGGACTCACAATAATCTCCAGTCAATATGCTCAATACGCGAGGAGCATAAAACCACACTCGTAGCCGTCCACCCTCGAGGTGCGACTACTGCTGTGGGCTCAGACTGCAACACAACACAACCTTCGCAAAGGTTTGGTTGGACCTTGCCGCCATTAGATAGAATTCATCTAAGACAGCAAATGGCTCCGTGCGAGGAGTAATGGAAGCTGAAGGCCTTGGTTGTAACTATCGACAGACGCGTCTTGGCTCAGCGATATAAACAATTTTCCTTTTCCGGCTACGCGTCGGCCAAGCATTATGTAATATCTGGCTTGGCATTGCTGGTACCGCGGAAAGTCACAAGTCAAGCGCGTCTGCGTGTCTCTCTACCACCCTACGCTCACTGCAAAAAACTCGGCACATTTTCCCCGTGCAACAATTGAAATTGCCATCACGAGGCAAGGGTTCCGTTCATGCCTGACTCTCCTACCATGGAAACGCAATGGCTACATCTATAATGCCCGCGTCGAAAGCGGCCGCAACTGCCCCCTTGGTAGACGGAGTCTTCGCCTCAGTCTTCTCACCTTCGATCGTCAAGCCACCCAAGCACCGTCGCCGTTTCGCCCCGCGGACTCTTGCAACCATTCCGGAGATACAGACTACCTTACGCCAGCACCTGAGAGTCCTTCTGGGAATCGGTGACGAATCGTTCGTCTATGGCCAGCACCGAGTGTTCTCGAATGCTGGCGCGCCCTTTCACAGTCACCTCGAATCCTGTCCGCCGCTCGATCAGCTCCGGCAGCCGACAGCGACCGACCATGCTACGCAGATTAACAAGGAGGCAGAGTCTCCCATTTGGGGAATGCTAGGTGGGTGGCGCACGACAGTCGGTTCTGAGACACTGATAAAGCTACTGGCGTCGGTTCTCAATGATCTGATGACCGAGTTTGTGACCTGGTCCTACGCCGGGATCTACCGTCAAGGGCTGCATCTTCACCTCGAGTTCTGGGTAGAACATCTGTTTTCCAGAGTTGCACGTAAGGTGCTCTGCTGCCTTGACGAGCAGTTGGAAACACAGATTCTCCCGGAGACAGAGGTGAAGAAATGGAAGGACATGGCCACCGCCCGTCTCGGCGCTCTGCGGGTAGACGAGCTCTTCGAAGTAATTGTGGACTGGGACGCCACGGCACCAGCAATCGAGGACTTGCGGCACTTCACAACAAACCCTACTACAAGAGGATACTTGACGCACAACTTTGTAAACGTCCTGCAAGCACGTCTTCTCCATCCTGGCGCATCAACAATCGAGATTCTACAATTTTACATTTCCATTATCCGCTCATTTCGGATCCTCGACCCACGAGGAGTCCTTCTGGACCGTGTGATCAGGAGAGTCCGTCGCTACCTCCGAGAGCGAGACGACACTGTCAAGGTGATTGTGACTGGGCTGCTGGCTGACATTTCGCCGAACGAGGATGGACAGCCTCCACCATCCGACCCAGACATCCTCACAGAACTTGCTCATGAACTGACCAGTCATACCGTGCGAGACAATACAGCCGATGACGGTGAATTTGACTGGAACAATATGGACTGGGTCCCCGACCCTATCGACGCTGCCCCCGACTACACGAAATCCAATAAAACCACGGACGTAATCGGCAGCCTCGTCACATTGTTCGAAACGAAGGACGTCTTTGTCAAGGAACTCCAATCCGCCATGGCAGAGAGGCTGCTCAAGAATAAAGCCGACTTCACCCAGGAGATCGGGGTGCTGGAGCACTTGAAAATCCGTTTCGGGGACTCTGCGCTGCAAGGGTGCGAAGTGATGTTGAGGGACGTTCTGGACTCGAAGAAAGTGGACAAAGTAATCAGGAGGGATTTGGAAGTACAACAGGCCAAGAAAGGACGTGCCGCCAGGCAGAGCGATGATAGTGTCGAGATCCACGCAAAGATCCTCTCCCGCCTGTTCTGGCCAGCCATGCCGGAACAGTCATTTAATGTTCCTCCGGTGGTGACGGAGCAGCAAAGAAACTATGAACAGGGATTTGGAGCTCTCAAGCAGTCGCGAAAGCTGACCTGGGTCAATTCCATTGGCCAGGTGGAAGTGGAATTGGAGCTGGAGGACCGTACCTACCACGACGAGGTCCTTCCGTGGCAAGCGGCTGTCATTTATGCCTTTCAGGATGACAGTGGAGAAGCAGCAGGGCGGCCTGTCAACAAGACGGTGGCGGAGCTTGCCTCTGAGCTTGCAATGTCCCCAACCCTCGTCCGCTCGGCATGCATATTTTGGGTTTCGAGGCGCATCCTCGCTGAAACCTCGCCGAGCACTTTCTCCGTTCTTGAATGTCTCCCCAGTGGGACCTACGACGACAACGACACGCTGATGAGCGAAGGTGGTCCGTCCGCCAACCAACAATCGGACAGTGGATTGGCAGCTGCGGAAGCAGCCGCCTTCGCCGCCGCGACGAGGGAGGCTGAAGAAGCAGAACGCAAGCAGAAGATGGCCATGTATCATCGATTCATTGTATCCATGCTCACGAACCAAGGCGCCATGCCGCTGGCGAGGATTTCGATGATGTTGTCCATTGTGGTCCCGGGGGGGTTCCCCTTTAGTAACGAGGAGCTGAAAGAGTTTCTGGCGTCCATGGTGAAGGAAGATGTATTGGAAGTTGGCAAATCGGGTGTTTACAAGGTCGCAAGCTGAGAGCTGGAGCAATGACGATGATGACCAATGATGATGAATTTGACGACGACGACTGGGTGTTCAAGTTGGACCTCATGGGAGACGGTAATAGAACTAGACTGTGAGCAGTACAAGAGAATGTAATTCCTGCGGCCATCGTTCGGGCATCTGGTGATGATACGAGAACTGAATAGCTGTTGGTTGTACCTATAGTGGATGCACTCAAGAAGACCTTGAGGTGATGACGAGCCATAGAGTCAGTAGGAGTGCATGCGATATCATGGGAGAAACAGGAGGAACAGAAGTCGGTATTGTTTACATTCTCCCTGCGCGGGTCTCGTTTGAACAAGACAAGCAACAATCAGTAGAGTATTCTCAGTTGGAAAAAAACGAAGAGGATCAAGCTTGATCCGAGGATATGCCGCGACGGTGGAAATTTTGACCCTCTCGACAGCCTTGTTGGTGAGAGTGATGGTGCCTTGGCTTGATACCCATGTATCCCTTGGTCTTGTGTTATCCGCTGAACAAATCGCGTACGATCCAGTGACGAAGTGTGCCCGGTGAGAAACACTGAGAAAGAAAAGACACGCCGTTGTGCCGTTCTCATCGTTGTGGGGAAATCTAGAGCTGTGGCCAGGAGGAAACAAGGCCTGAGCACTATGTGCGCGACTGTGTAAGAAACGCAAGAAAGAAAGAGAGACAAGAAAGAGCGCGTGTGGGAGGAGAGGGAGGAGATAGGGTGGGAGACAGTGAGAGACCAACCACCCCTGCACAAGAAACAATGCTCCCCACCCCCTCGACCTCGCACGTCTCGTACGACGTCGTCTACGAGCCGGCCGAGGACTCGTATCTGTTTCTCGACACGCTCTCGTCGGCATCGGAAACGGCGTGGCTGCATGCGCGTTTCTCTTCGTCACCAGTGTCGGTGTTGTCATCGTCGTCAGAAGATACGGAGCGGCAGCGGCAGCAAACGACCAGGATCGGAAGCGAGAGCCAGAGCCAGAGCCAGAGCCAGAGCAGGCCCAAGACCCAGGCAGCTCCTCTCGTGGTCGAAATCGGGCCTGGGTCCGGCGTCGTGATCGCCTTCCTGACCGCGCACGCGCCCACCATCTTCGGCCGCGACGTGCTCAGCCTGAGCGTCGACGTCAACCCCTACGCGTGCCGCGCCGCGAGGACGACGGTGGAGAAGGCCCTCGCGGAGACCCGAGCGGCAGCGGCAGCAACGCAGAAACGGAAAGCAGAGACGGAGGAGGGGGAGAGGAGGGAGGTTGGACATGGGCAAGGGCAAGGACATGCTGCGACGCGCGCTCGGGATGGAGGCAGCGCATACCTCTCCTCCCTGAACGGCGACCTGGCCAGCCCGCTGCGGTCGGGAGAAGTCGACGTGCTGGTCTTCAATCCGCCCTACGTCCCTACGGATTCGGTCCCCGTTGCCCCAGCCGCCAATATCAACGCCCCTACTACTACCGCCGCTCCCGGTCCTCTAACGCCTGTCCCACCTCCTCCTGCATCCTCCAACACCACCGTCCTCCCAAGCTTCGAGGAGCAATCCGCCCTCCTCGCCCTCTCCTACGCCGGCGGCCGCGACGGCATGGAAGTCACCACCCGCCTGCTGCGCCAGATCCCCGACATCCTGAGCCCCCGCGGCGTCGCGTACGTGCTGTTCTGCCGCGGCAATCGGCCCGACGAGGTCAAGAGCGCGATCCGCGCGTGGCCACGCCCGCCGGGTCAGGAGTGGGAGTGGCGCGCCGAGACCGTGGGCTCGAGCGGGAAGACGGCCGGGTGGGAGAAGTTGGAGATTGTGCGGATATGGAGGGAATGAGTAGGTAGAGTGACCTTGATTGAATCACTCGCATTGAGTGTATGATGAGAATGAATGAAGAGTCACAACGGACCCTACTGCGAATCCCTTCGCCGACAGGTCTGAGACTGCGTGTCAATTCAGGGGCAGTATACAACAACGTATCATAAACGGGACACCCAAGATAAATTGGTCGTAATGTTCTTGCTCACTGGGCGAAGCGACATGTCAGGACAATGTCTTTCACAATATGCACGGGTACAGATGAACAGATATAAACTATTATTATTAATTATTTTCGTCAACTCGTGCTGTATGAGATGTCCAACCAACAGCCAGCTTCGCTAGACATTTTCCGCCAGATGCGAGGCACATTTCTGTGTCTGCATCCCGAAACGGCTTTGTTTCTTCATGCTTCTTTTTCCATCCATATGCAGATCCAATGCTGTGCACAAGGTAGCAGAATTAAGGTACATGGTTCGCGAATGTTCAGTACGAGTTGTAAGAGAGAGCGTAGGAGACGGTAGGTCCGTGAATTCAGTTGACGTTGATCAGGAGACACGAGATACGGAGAGGGAAGGGCGGTGGCCGACGATATCTCATCTTTAACCCTACAGAAGGGCAACGGCGCTGCCGAGTTGTTAGCATATAAACAAAACAGAAGTTCCACTGCGCCAAAGCGGTATATGGTGTTTTGAAAGCGAAAGGAGGTCTTACCCTGCAATACCCGCAACGACAGCAATTCCTCCGGGGAACTCGGGCCGATATGCGGCGCCGGTGAACGTCGCAGGAGCGACCGAGGTCGTGGTCGACGCAGCAGCAACGCTCGTCGCTGCCTGAGGCTGACCATCGCTGATCTGAGTGACAGGAGCACCCGTTGGTGCTTGGGGTTGTCCGTCACTAATCTGAGTGACTGGCGTGCCAGTAGGAGCCTGAGGCTGTCCATCGCTGATCTGGCTCACAGGTGCGCCAGTGGGTGCTTGGGGTTGGCCGTCACTGATCTGGGTAACGGGAGTGCCCGTAGGAGCCTGAGGCTGACCATCACTAATCTGGCTCACAGGAGCTCCCGTTGGGGCTTGCGGCTGTCCATCACTGATCTGAGTGACGGGAGTGCCCGTAGGTGCTTGAGGTTGTCCGTCGCTGATCTGGCTCACGGGGGCGCCGGTCGGTGCCTGGGGTTGCCCATCGCTGATTTGAGTCACTGGCGTGCCAGTTGGGGCTTGAGGTTGCCCGTCACTAATCTGAGTGACTGGAGTACCGGTAGCAGCTTGCGGCCTTGAGTTTGTTAGCAAAAACGTTGCCAAAAGCATAATTAATGGTGACGTACTGGCCATCAGAGATTTGGGTAACAGGGGCACCAGTTGGAGCCTGTGGTCTTTGAGGTGTTAGTAAAGGACCAAAGTAGGAAGGATGGAAAAGACGTTGAACTTACTGGCCATCGCTGATCTGAGATACTGGCGTTCCGCTGGGAGCTTGTGGCTGTCCGTCCGAGATTTGGGTGACAGGTACGCCAGTCGTTGCTTGCGGTCTGCAGTTTTATTAGTAAGAATTGCTCAGGAGAGTAGACGCAAGGGACAAATATTGGTGCACTTACTGGCCATCGCTGATCTGCGTAACGGGGACACCGGTGGTAGCCTGAGGCCTTTGGAGGTGTCAGCGAACAACATGCTATAACAGTGATGCAACCAGAACAGGTAGGAATTAAAGTTGAGATAAAATAAGTCTGGCCTTGAAAGTGGGAGATCCAACCAATGAGGACAGCAGGTTGCAGTACAAGACAAAGCGAGCCAACAATGCACAGCACGAGGCACCTTCCAACATGGAGATCACGAATAGGCCGAGTTCCAGCTCAATCGCGAGTGTATGCCGTGAGACACAGGGCTGAAATGGGGTGAAATACAAATCATGCCATGACAACAAAAAGATAACTTACTGTCCATCTGAGATCTGAGTAACGACCGCCGAAGTGACCTGGGGTTGGCCATCCGTGAGCTGAGTGACAGAGGGGACGACAGTGGTCGCTACCGGCTGACCATCCGACGCTTGTGTCGCTGGTGGAGCCGAGGATCCGATCAGGGCGTAGATATAGATTGGCACGCAGTGGGGGGCCCAATCTCGGTCGTATAGATTATAGAATGATCCGCTCAAACATTGATACCAGATGGCAGAGCCACCCAATGCAAGGCTAGAGTTGGAGCAGAGGGAGAAACCGCTTGTGTAGATAGCTCCTGCTTGTGGGGGGTTGTCAAACTGGAATTGATAGTTTGAAGCAATATAGCCAGTACGTCCGGCTTGGTCTTTCAAAACGGAGTCGGCGAGAGTGAGGGTGAGGACTCCAGAGGTTTGACGCTGTACGGGAGTCAGTACGTCTTGCAAATGGTATCTGGGTACCGCAGGTCACCAACCTCGTGCAGATCTCGTTTAGCTGCCGAAGACGACACGTTCACGACAGTGATCTCGAAGCTGCCGCTGTACGAGGGCTGGCAGCCTCCGGGAGCTGGAGAGGATGGAGCAATTGCAGAGGTCACACCCTGCGGGAGGGGTGAAGCCAGGGCGGAGACGGCCAAAGCCGTGAGAAGAGCGAATGTACGCATAGTTGGAGTGGTGCAGATGGGATTGTTTGTTGCTGACACGAGGGCCTCGATCTCAACGAAGGTTGGTAGACTCTGAAGCGAATGATCAGTGTCTCACCGGAGGATTGGGAGTATACAATGGGCAGCACTCTGGAGAGGAAAGGAAGAAGAGAACGGCGACTGAGCGGGATGGTTTTTATGAGAGCTTTGTGAAAGCGGAAGCTCGCCAAAAGAAGACATTCGAAGCAATCCTAGCGGTTCCATGACAGTCGAATGAGAGTCAATGTTGCATGAAGAGGTCGTCCGTGACAGCCGGCCAGTGGGTGGACGTTGATGTTAGTGTTGAGAGTCCAATGCACGTTCTCTCCACCATTTTCCAGCACACCACTGCTCTCGGTGTAGCTTGAATCCAAAAAGCGTGCTTTTTCCTGTCAACCCCGCACGCAGTATGCGGATGGTGTGGTCGCTTGGATCGCCATTCGATGCTCACGTCTTGGCGATCGTCGTGCCGCGAAGGAGCTCCTCTTCGAGCAGGCTTCGTTATTTGGCATGTCTGCTGTAGTCAGAAAAAGTCTGTTTGAGTGGTTGACGGCGAGCCCTCAAGGCGAAGAAGGATAGACGGCAGAGAGAGAGCTTGCCGCCCCACCCCTTGTGAACCACCGAGATCAGTCAATGACGAAATAGACTCAGGAGGCCGGTGCGAGAAGTGTGTAACCTCTGAGACATGAAGCATCAGATGGTGCATTTGAAGCCTCCTCTGGGAGCTCTGGCCGGCCAATTCGATTTAGCAAGGCGGGGAATGAGCTGGAGAGGGATCTTTAGACTTTCGTATGGTGTGATTCCGACCTGTCATAGACGTCGTCGGGGGTTGAGGTTGCCATTCCCGCTCAACGAGATGCGAGGCGGCCAGTCCAGCGTACCGACTTGGGATAGCCACTGCAAGGTTGCCGTGTCCTCCTCTTGACTGTTCCATCTCTTTTCGTATTCTCAATTCGCTCACTTTCGCCTGGAAAGTCTGAGTTGGCCGCGGAGAGGGGGGACGAGTCGAAGGATGCATTAGTGCCATGTGCGTTGAGGTGCAGTGGTGGAAAACCCCTCGACTGTTGACTCCGCAGCTCATGATGCTCATTTTGCCGCCTTCCCGAATGGGATCAAGCGCAATCACGTGTTCCGCCCATTTCCGAAGTTGAGTGACACCGTTACCAGTGTGTGAGACTGCGACTAGCCAGGTATCCTCGGTACGAGTCACCCGTACCTCCTCCTGCTCCTCGTATTCACCGACCGCTACCTCGCTAATATTATGGATAGAAGACGTCATTGACTGGCCTTGGCCCCAATGTACGTGTAGGTGGCGCCTCCAAGCTCCCACATCAAGTCGGAATCTATCACGTATCCAGAAGTTCCTGCATCCATCGCATCTCCACCGCACTCACACCACGGGCATACGCCTTGGTGCCGGTGTACACAAATTCATTGTACATGATGCCCTCATACCTCCTTTGCTGGCCGCGGCCACTCGCACCTTGATCTCCAGAGGTATTGGTAGGCAGCGAGAACAACACGCTACTTGGATGGATAGCCACAACCTGGTTCGTGAGTATCGTACGATAGCTCCCGTCGGGGCAAAGCCGCGCGACGTTGGGGTGGAAGCCGGTCATAATGCACTTGAGGATGCGAGTGGGTAGAGTGGTCTTGTCGTGATCCCGCCCCGGATCGACATTCCGTGCTGCTTTCCCACCCGTTTTGCCCTCGCTCTGGGCCTTGCGCCGATATCGATCCATCAGCGCGGTGAGTTGTTTCCTGACATCCATGGCGCCGCTCATAGCCCGGTGCGAAATGTACCGCTCTTCACACCAACGACGGCGATCTGTGTTCTCAGCCACATACGCCTGTATGGTGGCTAGCAGTGTGAGGTGATCCCCTTCGCGGCGGAAGAGTTGGCGCCGAGCTTGCTGGGCCCGGCCTTCTGAGGAATCTTCTTCAGGATCCGAGTCATTGTAGCTTGGAGATGACTTCGAAGTAGCTTTGACCAGTTCGCCAGATGTCGGGGCAGAACGGTTGTGGATGTTGAGGAAGATGTTCTCAACACTCAACGCCGACACTATGTCAATGATTTCCTCGACACATTCGTACGCTGGTTCAGCGCTGGCAAGAAGCACCCTCGCCAAGCTCGCAGGCAGGGGTAACACGCTCATCTCTCGGCCTAGACGTGTGATTTGCCCGCTCGAACTATCCAGTGCAGAGAGCTGAAGGAGATGGACCATCGCCCTCTCCAGAGCTCTTCGTGGCGGAGCAGTCAGGAACGGGAATTCGCTCAAGTTATCTATCGAATGCGCCTTGAGTGTCAGTGCAAGCTGGCTGAGGTCGCAGCGCAGGATTTCAGGTTCGGTATCCTGAGCCAGTTGGTAGAAATCAGCTTCGGTGTACAACCTATATGCAGTTCCCGGTGCATCTCGTCCAGCTCGCCCAGAACGCTGGTTCGCGGAACTGCGAGAAATGGGCACGGTAAGAAGGGTGTCCAGATTCAGAGAAGGGCGAAAGAGTCGCTGCTTCGCCTTCCCTGTGTCAATTACATATCGGATCCCGGGCACCGTGATACTGGTCTCGGCAATATTTGTGGCGAGGATCACCTTGCGTGTGAACTTGGGAGTTGGTTGGAAGACACGTTGCTGCATATTCGAAGGCAAAGCAGCGTAAAGCGGGAGGATGAGGAGTTTGGGCAGCGTTGCGGACTGCTTGGGATCTTTTTGGACCGAGAGTGACCACGAACCTACCAGGCTTAGGAGGGATTCGACGGTTTCTTGGCCCGTGAGGAACACGAGTATGTCCCCTGGTAGAGGAGTATGCGTGTGGATGTGCAGTATCCGCTGGTATGCCGCATCGATGACATCTGGAACTGACGTTGGCGTATAGTTGATGGTCACAGGATATTGACGGCCTTTGACGAAAAGTGAGGTTGCTTTGGAAGGGGCATCTGTTCCGGACTTGTGTTCTGCAACACCACTGCCGATGCTGGGGCCGTGTTTCGTTCTGGTATCTTCGTTATCGGTACCATTCCCATCATCAGAGAAACCGGACCAGTTGTTTTTTGCTCCATGAGACTCCCCATTGGCATTCGCACGATCTTGGTGATTTTCATGGCTTGTGCCGAAGAAGTGCTGAATTTTCTCCATGTCTGCCGTCGCGCTCATGACCACAACCTTCAATGCAACGCCACCCCTCCCATCCTTTTCATTCCTGAGATCTTGCATCCTTCTGAGAAACCCCAGCACCAGATCCACATTGACGCCACGCTCGTGGACCTCATCCACCACGATGGCAGAGTACTCTTTCAGCCAAGGATCCCGCAGCATTTCCTGCAGAAGCATGCCCTCTGTCAAGAACTTGATCCTTGTCGAGGGACTCGTGCTGTTCTCAAACCGCACTGAGTAGCCGACTTCAGACGCAGGGCTCGAGTTCCCCAGCGGCGTGCCCATCTCCTCGGCCACGCGACGGGCCAGGGAAATCGCGGCCACTCTTCGAGGCTGCGTGATAGCGATGCATCCTCCAACACTGCCACCTCCACTGACTTTCTGCTTCTTGCACCAGGGTTCATTCACCAGAAACTGCGGGATCTGCGTCGACTTGCCCGATCCCGTCTCTCCAACCAGTAGCAGCACATCGTGATCCCTGACCTTCTGCCGTATTTGGTCGGCGTTGCTGTAAATGGGTAGTTTTTGTCTGGCGGGTAGTAATAGACGAGCTCGCTCCTTCAAACCTGGGCCCTTGCTGCCGCTCTTGTGGCTGTCATCCTTCGCTGGCCGGTCCCCGAAATCGACGGTTTTGGTTGTCGCACCATTCTGCGCGGTGCTAGATCGATGCCGTTCCAACTTGTCCTTCACAGAACCAGACTTCGACGAGAAGGCTTCATCTGCGGATCTCTTGGTTCCTTTCCGCAGCATGGTCGTCTGTTGCTTGGAGCTCGGTGCTTGCTGGCTTTTCTTATCTGTACGCTTCGCGATACATGGGTAGAGGTAGGGTCAATGAAAAGCGCTAATAGAAAGCCACCCGAAACCCTGTCACGACGACCCCGAACTGGAAAGATAAAAGATTGTTGCGGACGATGGCGAAAACCAAAATTTCTCCGCAGCCTCGTCACGTTCTTCTACCAGGCTTGGCACGACAACAAGGCCCCATATTCCAACCTCATTAATACTCTTAGACTGGTCTAGAAGCGGATAACACCTCTATTATGCCTCTGAAAGAGTTTTCTGGAGGATTGAGGTAGGGGATGCATAGTCTTATAGCAAGTGCATGGGGAAACAATCAATGTCATCCGAGAAAAGATAGTGGCATCATAACCCGAGGCACCGGACGTGGAAACGAATTCTTCAGGTGAGTAAAGCAAGTAGTGTTTTTACATGATTCGCTGTGGCGGATTGCTCAAAGACCCTATCTTTGGACCTCTCAGATCAGAGCCTGCCCTCTAAACATGGCCTCCCTGACTTCCCTAATCACGTCCTTCCGATCTTTGCCCCCCATCAGCACAATTCCCCTCCCTCGCCGGTTCATCCTGCCCATGCGCCCCAACCGATGGACAAAGTCTATCGTAGTGTGCGGAACGTCATATAATACCACGTGGCGGACCGCGAGAGTGTCAACGCCGCGCGACCCCAGGTCGGTGGTCACGAGAACTTTGACGTCCGGGAGATGCCTTGTTGGTCTAGGCGTTTGAGGAAGGTGTGTCCCAGAAGTCGAAGGAGTAGATGAACGGTCAAAAGGTACGAAGTCTTTGAACAATTTCTTCGAGGTGGAGGATGGAGAAGAGGACGGCTTGGAAGAGCCTTCAACACGGTCCACAGAGGTGAATGTTGCAAGGATTTCAGCCTGACGCTGTTCCGCAGTATCTCTCGTCAATGCCACCGCTTCGATTCCCTTTGATACGAGGAACCGCGCAACCTCTTCTGCCTTCTCGCGCTCGTTGACGAAAACAAGGATATGCTTCACCGTGTTCTTAGGGTTGAGGTCTTCGTGCACAGCCTTCCCTAGGGTCCAGATCACGTCCGCACAAGCCAGGTCGCGACTGCCGCGATAGGGATCCTTGTCGATATCCACAGCGCCCAATTGGACTCGACGTGGAATGGTATGCAGCTTGGGTGTGACGATGCGTTTACAATCAGGGAACCTCTTGTCAATGAATCTGTCAAGACTGTTTGGAATAGTGGCAGAGCAGAGGATGAGTTGCTTTAATGAAGGAGCCGCACGATCGATAATTTCGCACGTTGTCTCACTGAAGGAGCGGTCGAAAAGGGAATCAGCCTCGTCCATGACCAGATACTGAACGCGTGACAAGATATTTGGCTCTTTTTTTGCAATGCTGGCGATCAAATGGGGAGAAGAAACGAGGATATCGATCCCCTGAGGATTGAAGAGGCGATTGCGGATGACCGTAGGCGTGTTCGAGGAAGAAATGCCCGCGGAGCGATATTTCACTGTGTGGCCAATGACTTTGACGACCTTTGTAACCTGAGCAACGAGTTCCGAGGAGGGAAGGAGGATGAGGGCTCGAGGTCGGCCCATTGACTGATTTGGTGATGCCTCATCAGTTTCCGAAGGGTCTGCTTCGAAAACACGGTTCTTGTCTCGTTCTTCCTTTTCTTTGACGCTCCGGGCTTCACGCTCGAGCTCTTCGTTGCGATCCACCTCTTCTTGTTGTTTCACGGCGTTGATGACGGGTAACAGGTACGCCAGCGTCTTCCCTGAACCAGTCTCTGCGGCGAGAAGGAATGTCCTGTATTTGTTTGGGACGGGATTCCCATCTGCATCCACCTGCTTCTGCTTTTGATACTCGCCCTTTCGGCTGAGAAGCGCCGGAACCGCCAGTTTCTGTACAGGGGTGGGTGTATACTCCGTCAGATGTGGCAGGACCTGGGTATAGATAGAGTCGACAACTGAAGGCATCAATCCCAGCTCGTCAAAGGAATCAATTTTCTCCATTTGCTGCTTTAGTTTGGTTCGTTGCCCGTAGGATAGGGGAGTGAGGATCTGCTGCATCTTCAGTGCGTGGAAAAGTGGCCGTTCGTCTTTGTCCTTTTTCTCCCTTTGCCTCGAGGATGAAATTGACGTGACAGCGACACCGCCCTCTTCGTCAGGAGGTGGAGTGGTCTTTGTCTGCAGCTTAGTTGTGGTTGCGCGCTCCTTGATCTTCGACCTAAGGGCCATTCGGACTCGTGACGGGACCGCTCGAGGTGGTCGCGCAACAGGTAATCGTGCCACCGTTTGATTCATTCCCGCAAACGGACCTGCTGTATCCCTTTTCGCCACCCTTCTTCCCACGTCCGTCTTCCCTACATCTTGTGTAAGAGTCATTCTGGAGGGTTTCTTCCGCTGGCGCATGGCTAATGCCATAGATCTCTGGGACTGCCATTGTCGCGTTGGTGGCCTGAGCGAAAAGACTAATGTTCGAAACTGGCAAGCTGGACAGATGGTAGCAGACGACGACATGGACGGCAGTGCAGCGAACACGGTTGGAAGCGGACAAGGGAACAGGGACCATCCAACTGCGCCGTTACAATCTCGAACTTTTTTTCCCCTGCGCATCGCGTTCTCGTGGTCCACTGTAGCCGAGCGAGACCCCTTGCAAGTCTTGCGCCACAGACTAGGGTCTGTCTCGGGTGGACTTCAGCGCCAGCACGTTGCCTGGCAACCGACGGTGTCGCGGGCTTTGTTGTTGTTCCCCAGTAAAACCGCCGTGGGGGGGCCACTTAAGTTTCGCATATACCACCCGACAACGTTGAATATTAACACTCTCAACGAGACCTCTCTCTGCTGACTACTCTTCCTCAAGGAGCGGCCTCGATTGTGGTCGCAGTTGGGCAGTCAACTGTAGCTCACAGTCTTTTTGCTATTGCGCTTGTTGCTATCGTTTCTACACCCGCGCAGCTGGTCTGCCTCATCAGGCTCAGCACGGACATTCTGCCATTCTTTCCAGCTTCGCGCGCCACCCATCGATTTCGCATTCCTCGATTCAGTCACTCATCCCGTAATTCATGGTCTGAGCTCGACATCTGCTACATACACAAAGCCATTGTCGACTCTGCCCTAAGCTATGGCTTCCGAGGTAAAGACGGAATTGTTGATGTTGACCTCGTTTCGCTCACCATCACTCTCAGGTCCCACCCTTGCGCATCCAAAAGGGCGGCGGCGGCGGCAATGGGCCCAGCTCTTCGCCATCCAAGCTGCCACGGATAACTAATCGTCCTCTTTCCGAGCTGAGTCCTATGGCAATTCGCAGGAACTCTCCAAGTTTCCCGCAACCAAAGGTACGTCGTGCGCCATTGGCCCAAGACCAAATCTGACATATTCGCAGGGCAAGCTATTCAGCAGCGAGACCTCCCCCGTTGGTTCATCGCCATTTTCTACGAGTTCGCCACGTTTGTTTTGGCAGGGCCGTGATCCAAGTTCCCCTGCCAGAGAAAACACCGAGACTCCTCCCGCCTCCTCCCCACAGAAGCGCTCGTCCATTGAAAACCTGAAGAGGGCTTCAAGAGTGAAAAATAGTAGCATGTTTGCCCTCGAACAGAGCACACACTATGATCCCTCGCGTCCGGCGATTCTTGACGGCCGCCCTCAGAGCATGCAGTTTCCACGACAGTCATCGCCAATCCGGGGTTCGGACGCCGGGCGAAAAGAAAACGTTGCGCCCCTGGACAGAACGTCGTCGGTTCAACCACAAGAGAAGCAGCAGGAGGATGAGTCCAAGGCTGCGACTAATTCAGTCACACCCCTCTCACCAAGTCGGCTGAATAGCTCGCCGGCCAAGTCATCATTATCAAAGAAGACAGGGTCAGCATTCAGAAGCAGTGGCTTCAACCCCGAGACCGGCATTTGGGAAGACGATGAAGATTTCCAAGACAGACAACTGCCCGCTGGCCGTGGGCTGCACCGTCACCAAAAAAGCGTTACGTTTGACCAAGCACCTCCACAAATCAACGAGTACGAGGAACCCACACCTGCCCCTTCTTCAATTGCGTCTGGATCGCGGGAAGGTAGCTATGAGTCTACCGATGACGACGAAGATGAGGACGAGGAGGCAAGCTTTGAGAGAGGTTCGTCGATGGATCATGATGACAGCTTTGACGCGTCTCTCGAGGACACCGAAAAGACACCGGTCGTCTTGCCTGAAGATTGGCGCTTCATGAGCCCCGAGAGCGCCAACACTGATCTGTCTCGCCATGAAGAAGACGTCTTCGAAGATGATTGCGGTAGTCCAGCCCCGACTGCACAGCCAGGCATTCCATCTTTCCGTCCTCATCAGACAAGCGCAAGTTCGATCGACTCTAACGGACAGTCTCGCCCTCTCCCACCACTTCCGCCAATGATTGGATCACAAGGGCACTCGAGATCAGACAGTCTATCCGGCGCCTTTGAGCGTATGAGCGTAGCGTCACGTTCTCTTCCAAGCCCGCCAATCGCTACCACCATCTCGAAAGCAGATATTCAGAAGATTGGGACTGGGACCTCTCTTTCAGCAGAAGACAGATTGAGATTGATGGCACTCCAAGAACAGGAGAGAGAACGTCGAATGAGGCGAATGGCTTCCAAAGACGCTGTCCCCCTCCGCAGCACCAGTAATGAAGACTCGCTTGTCGAGAGTTGCGATACACGGACAATCCAGTCTGACTCCAGAAACTCGACCCCACAGCTTTCGAGGGCATCGATTCTTGAAGGTCTGCGTGGTCATGTTGGCGCCAACAGTCGAGACAGCAGCGAAGAGGTTCAAGACACTTCCCGAGAGCGGGATCTGGCCTCTCTCGATCCTGACGTTGCGATACCCTCCTTGGAAGATCCCACACAACCACATATTAAAGTGGAGGAGGACGAAGAGCCTGATCTGTACTCGATCCCGGACATGTACATGGGACGTAGAGTGTCAGGTTCAGACGTTAGCACAAACCACGATGACGACCTCACCAGCCAGTATTCACAGCCATCAACGGCGTCTTTCGCTGCCCAAATGACGGAGGAAGGAGAAGACACTCCCAAAGCACAGAGTCCAGCTCGAGAGTTGAACGCAAAACCCGCAACATCTGAGCGTGTGTCTTTGCCAGATTTCACCGACTTTGGCAAGACGAGCAGTTTCGATATTGGCCTTGCCCCGTATTTGAGCCAGAAGGAGGAGACTGTGAAACCAGCCAACGTTGTTGCGCCACCATCTCAGCTACCTGACCTCGCTGCTCTCCGTCAGTCGATTCAGCGGCCATTCACCCCAGAAGTCCAGCTTAGGCCATTCCAAACTCGCCCAACGTTTAGCCCAGAACAGGTTGCACCAGCAACACCTGAGTCCGTGGTTAGATACCCCGTTCCACGTACAAATTCCCCCAGTCACGTCAACGACGCAAAAGAGGATGGACTGGATCTACGAGAGGAAAGTGACCGGTCAATTAGCCCCTCGGACACTGGTTCAGTCTTGGTTCACGACAAGGAACTTTCGCCCGTCTCTCCTATGTCCGCCAACTTTGACGAGAGTGCTGAGAGAGCAAAGGACAACACCACCAATGCAGAGTCAGTCGACGAGAAGCGACCCGAGACTGACAAGAATGGAGGAGAAGAGAAACGGGTTAGCAGCCTGGTACCTTTGGATATTCCCACCACAGGATTGGACGAAGGCCTTGGGTTGGGACTTGAGAAGGAATTTGACCGCGTTGTGGAAGCCCAGAAGGTAGAGTTTGAACTCTCATTGCAACGTCTTTATTACCCTTTTCATGGACGGTTTCCCTCCAGTGAGCTGCCCGAAGCCAAGGAGTGGAAAGGAAACAATCCCATGGAAAACATCCCAGTTCTCCCCAAACCTCGTGGAGCGCGTCCTCTGCGAGAAGCACGCCTTGCACTTTCTCCAAACAGATCTATTGATGAAGAGTCATTTGCTAATCGAGCTGGCCGCCGACAGAGAGGATACCTGATGAGACAGAACACCAAAATTGTCGTCGCAAGTGAACGCATATCTCAGGATGAGTGCAGATCTCCTGGCCTTCCGACGACAACTGAAGATGGTCTGCTTGGTGTCCCCACGGAGGCCAACCAGGTCCATGCGTCACCGCGAAAAACGAGTCAGCCAACTTGGACTGCTGAACCATGGAATGGTAAGATCCGGCGGAAAAGCATTCGAGTCGGCGGGGAAAAGGCCCTCAGTAAGAGGAAGCCAGTCGAGGGTCCTGTGCCGCCTTTGCCGGGACAAGCGAGCAATGCTCAGGAGGGCCTTGACGCTGTTGCGGAAGACGAGATCGGAGAAGAAGAGGAGTGGGAGGATGGAGCTGAACGAGGCCGACTTTTTGTGAAGGTGGTCGGTGTCAAGGATTTGCAGATGCCATTTCCCCAACGTAAGCAACGTTCCATTCTCTCGAGACTTCAGGCTGATCATAAACAGACGAACGAACTTTCTTTGCTCTGACACTCGACAATGGCATGCACTGCGTAACCACTGCTTGGCTTGATCTTGCCCGAAGCGCACCTATCGGTCAGGAATTTGAGCTGATTGTTCTCAATGAGCTTGAATTTCAACTCACATTGCAGATGAAATTGGAAGAGCCCAAAGTTGAACGGCCGCAGTCTCCTTCTAAGCCGCCCGCGTCGCCTAAGAAGCAAGGAGCTTTCGGGAGATTGTTTGGATCCCCCAAGAAGAAGAAAGAGTCGGAGGTTAGAGCCCAGCAAGAAGCTCAGGCAGTCAGAAGACCCGTGACACCGCCTTCGGCGTACGAGCTGGTCCAAGGTCTTGTCGCAAAGGACGGTTCATTTGCTCGAGCTTACATTTCGCTTAGCGAGCATGAGAAGCAAGCATATGGTAGGCCGTACAATGTCGACATCACCTGCTTCAACGAGTGGGCTATGGAAGAGGTCCATGTGGGCAGCTCGAGAAGCAAGAAGAGCGTGACGCAACTCCAGCGCCGTCCGCCTTACGAGATTGGCAAATTGGAACTTCAGTTGTTGTATGTTCCGAAACCGAGAGGTGCAAAGGATGATGATATGCCAAAGAGCATGAACGGTGCTGTTCGCGCACTTCGAGATGCCGAAGAACGTCTGGCCCAACAGGCAAATATAAAGGAGTTTGAGGGCTATCTGAGCCAGCAGGGTGGCGATTGCCCGGTTAGTAGATGCCAGTCGAAAACATTCAGGAAATCCTGCTGACGAATTCTAGTACTGGCGACGACGGTTCTTCAAGCTTGCCGGAACCAAGCTGACGGCATTCCATGAGACTACTCTTCAACCCCGAGCAACCATCAACCTTGCGAAGGCTACGCGCCTCATTGACGACAAGACGGCGCTGACCCAGAGGGAGACTTCGACCAAGGGTGGCGGCCGCCGCAAGAGCGGGTTTGCGGAAGAGGAAGAAGGATACATGTTTGTGGAAGAGGGTTTCCGTATCCGCTTTGCGAACGGAGAAGTTATCGACTTCTATGCCGATTCGACCACGGAGAAGGAGCAATGGATGCAGGCGCTCTCGCAGGTCGTGGGCAAAGGCGTGCAGAGCGGCTCGGCTCCGATCAGAGGCTGGACAGAAATGGTCCTCAGGCGGGAGAAGAAGATGAAGACAGCAGGCGCAGCACAACGTCCCAAAGCTGGTCACCAACGAACGGAGACGTATCATGCGGGTGGTGGGATGAATCAGGCACACAGTCCAGTGAAGACGGCGGTCGGTCGCGAAGAGAGGCATCGAAAGACGAAGAGTATGTATTGCTGAGGAACGGGAGTAATCATCACGATCATTATCGACTGATGGGGAATTGGCATGGATGGCAGCTTTGACGGAATTAAGGGGTGTTTGAATATGGTTGGTGCTTGGTTGGTTGGACCTGGGTCGGTCGGCGTTGGACAAAGAGATATGATGATAATGGACCAGGGTCGGCTCCGTGGGATCATTCATGTTCCAATTCGATTCGAGTTCGATTTCTTTTCATGGCAAGACGATCTTGATGCAGCACACGATCAACAGGGGTGGGCAAAGGAGGTCAGTGAGACAACGACCGTGACTGGCTCGCCACACACATGAACGCCGTGATGTGCATCTAAAAGAATTTGTTTAGAAAATCAGATTTTCAAGACCTTTGCAGAGCCCGTGACAGAAGAAGGGGGGGGGGGGGAGTAGTGAAGGATGAGAGAGTACAAGTACAGCCAATTCCTTCTTCTCCTGCTGCTAAATGGTTGGCGAAGTATTCTGGCCACCACCACTAGTAGTACTGTACCGGGTACAGATTTGTACAGATCGAGAGATACCCTGGCCATAGGGATGACGATACCCATGTGTTCATGTACATACACACCTACTATATCTAGGTACCTATGTAAGTAAACGATGTTTATCGGCAGGGTCCAAGCATGCGGTGCCTGGGCACCTGTAGCACTCATCATGGAAACCGCTACTTGAGCAAAATCTTCAGATCTTCTATCAACCCGGTTCCTACGGCGCGGTTCTGCCCACTCATAGCCAATTGGGCCAGTCGTAGCTTTCTCTGTTGCAACTCTAGGATATTCTCTTCAATCGAATCCCGGACGACGTACCGAATAGTCTTCACCGGCTTCGTCTGCCCCATTCGGTGGACTCTGCTGAGGGCCTGCTCCTCCACGGATGGATTCCATTGTGGTTCCAGGAGACATGCCAGATTTGCCACGGTGATGTCGAGGCCAACTCCGGCTGCAGAGATGGTGGCCAGCAGAACTTTGACCGATGGGTCCTTCCGAAAGGAGGAGAGGCTCAACTCTCTATCTCTGGGTGACATCGTCCCATCGAAACGTTGGAAAGCGAGTCCTGCCTCAGTGAGAGACTGGCTTACCAGGTCAAGGGTCCTTCGCCAGAAAGAGAACACGACAGCCTTGCCATCGTCTTCACAGAGATCCGAAACCAGTGATTGTATTTTCGAGGAGCAGATCATGACATCCTCGTTGATCTCGGACGAGGAGGCAGAAGGCGAGCTTTTCCCAGTTCGAGGAGACAGTGATTCAGACGGAGGGCATCGGAGATCCTGTCGACGCCCTGGTAGCCACGTTTGTCCAAGAGACCAAACGGGAGTTCCATCGGGAAACCCAAATTCGCTTTCGTCCATCGAATTGGAAGTCACGGCTTCAGAGGAGGCAGCATCAACAGTGCCAGCAGCCGAAAGAGTATCCGTCAGACTTGGGTCAGTCGTAAGACCAATTTCGGCCACAACGTTGTCGTCTATCAGAGAATCTTTCGCAGCGTCAATGGAAATGGAATCCGCGTCTATCTGGCCATGACTGCAGAGGCCTCTCAAGTCATTAATCCATTGAAGAATATGACAGTGCTTGGGCGTAGCCACAGAGCACAACGCATTGTCTCGGATCCGCAAACGCACCTGCTCATAAATGCTCCGTTCTCGACCGTCAAAATCGATATGACGGATCTGGTCGGTGCGATCTGGTAGAGATAGTATGTTCTTCGATCTTCGTATTGCAACACATTCAATGAGCGTTCTTAACTTCTGTACAGCTTTGAGGTCTGACCTCGATTTCCATGGTTGAACGATGTGTTCGTCAAACACACTCGGCCTGTTGAATGGCTCCACCCGGAGAAAGTGAACCAACGCGGCGAGGTCACTCAGTCGGTTTTGAATCGGCGTTCCGGTGACAGCCCATCTCGATCTGGCTTCGATTGCGCAGACAGCCTTTGTGCGCAGTGCGGACAGATTAGCGATGTAGTGCGCTTCATCCAAAATAACGCGTCTCCAGGCTGACGAGAAAATAAGTGTTGAAGAGCTTGATATCCCATCGTTCAGAGTCTTTCGGTATTCAGATGCCACAACGTTGTAGGTAGTCAGGACAATATGATGACTGGAAAACCCTTCGTGAGAAATCTGCCGACGACTCCCGTGATAGACACACCATCTTAGGGAGTCCATTTTCAAATGTTCCTTCAGCTGATACTGCCAAGTCTCAAGGAGCGACGCAGGCACTATGACGAGCGAACAGCAGGGTAGAGGTGCCCGAGCCATATGCAGAGGGAGCTCATGAACACACTGCATTGGATTGGTCGAATCGTGGTCTGATGCTAGTAGGGAAATCATTTGGAGTGTCTTCCCGAGACCCATCTGGTCGGCGATAAGTCCCCCGAAGAATTCCTTGGGTCTCGAATGTTGTCGTTCGCCAGTGATCACATTTGTGTATTCAGTAGTCCAAGTTCTTTTCTCGGTCCACATCTGGTGCGGAGAGTCGCCAACGCAGGAAGTACCTTCGTTCCTACGCATAAAGAATAGAGCCTGTCTCTGGTGTGCAAGCAAGCGCGTGCGCAGCATTGCAGGACACTCAGCTTCCGGAAGTCCATCCGTGTGCAACAGTGTATCAAACACATCCGCAGGAGCGCTGAAAGTCTCGATGTTAGTCCTCGGCCTCAGAGATCTGGTCATGACCAGGTCGTCGTCCTGAGAGAGGAGTTGGGGGTTTCGGTAGGGCACATTGCGGTGGCAGATGACAGGGTCCTGGAGGTATATGGCAAGCTTGTCGAAGAACACGCCAAATTCTTCGCCGAAGTTTTCATTGCCAAAGACATTTACCAGGAGTTCATACTCCTTGGTTTGCGCAGGTTTCTTCCTCGTGCGTTGCGACTGGGATTGAACGGCGCGACAGTAATATTCCAGCGCTATATCACGACCATTTTGCAGGTGTTGCAATACATCTGTTGTCCGGTTGCAGGTAATCTGAGCAATTCTTAATCGCGTCTCTCCACTCTGTGGAAATTCCGTAGCATCATGTGCTTCGTATATCTGTCCAGAGTGTACCTCAACAGGAAAGCAATCTTGAGAGGTATCGAGATAATGTCGCGCTGACGGTCTCAAGTTTGCAACGACAAACTTTTGGTCCACATTAGCCATGTCATTGCCTCGAAGCTCCAGAGGTTCTTACCATGCCGAAACACACCTGCGGAAACCCGTCATCTTCCTCAGATGGAGAGGCAGCCTGGCAAACATTGCCATCCGCGGTGTGCACGCTGCGTTCTTGGTTTGAGGTCTCGGCATTGGGAGGGAAGGATTGGTATGGAGAGGGAGGTCGCTCCAGAGATGTCAAATCCGGCTCTCGTGATTGGGAGTCTGGACGAGTCGTCGTATATGGACGTGTGGAAGATGTGATCCTTGAAGATGTGAACCCAGATTCTGATGATGGCGGCGCGGGGCTCGCGGGATCTGTGGCTGCTAAGTTCAGAATTGTCTTGTTTTGCCAGCGGCCATCGATATCAAGCTTCCGTCTCTTGAACATGTCTTGCGCCATTAAGAACCCTTCTGACAGAGCACACTCTTCATGTTGGGACGTACATTCTTAGCATTTTAATGTCCAGCTTCTCGTGCGCCCCAGATGGCCAAGGCTGATAGCGAGGCAGACGCTGAAATGGCTGTGTCTGCAGTAGGCAAAGCGTGTTGCCGGCCGTCCAATTTGTTTTTGCCAACATGCCGCCCCAACAGCGCCCGACTTCAACCTCAGCCTTCTAATTCTCTTCCAGAAGTGTCTCCAGATCTCACAAACTGGAGTTACTATCTCCTCGACGAGAAATACCTTCAATACTGCTGGAGTTCTTCGAGGACGGCCTTTTGTCATGTCATCAGGTGGACCTTCTCCAGCCTCAGTGATCGAATCGGCGTTTTCAAGATTTCAAGCATCTGTCAGTGCAGACGACGCGCGAACCTTTCACTCGACGACCCTCGAAGATGTATGGAAGGCAGCGGTGGAAATCGAGAGGGAGCAGCGACAACGCAGCGCCCTGCGAAACATGAAACGGATCGAGCCACTTCTGAAGACCTTGGGGGTGTATGCCTCAGCTCTCGACACTCTTTGTAATGGCACGCCATTTCTGCCATGGGTGTGGGTAAGCAGTTTCTCATGCTACTGAAAAGACATGTCAACCAACTGATGGATAGGCACCGATCAAACTCATGCTTCAGGTGTGTCTCATTGACGTGTCGGGCGCATATTCCTCCTCTATTAACGAGAACCTTTATAGCTCGCAACCCGACATCTTTCAAGTTTTGACAGTTTGATGGGAGCATACGTCAAAATCGCTGATTCGCTTCCTCGATTCGATCGTTACAGTGTTGCTATTCCGCAAGGAGATTTCCAAAATGTCCTGGCACTCGTCTACGCAAACATTATCGAGTTTCATCGGCGGGCATACAAGTTCTTTAGAAGAAAAGGTAGATTAGCACCCGGTGATACTAGACTATGGCCAGGAGAGTTAGTTGACAGTCGCAGCATGGATCCTCCTCTTCGAAACCGGGTGGAAAAGTTTCGAACTACGATTCGAAAGCATCTTGAAAGACCTAGCCTACCATCGTGATCTTGTCGACAGGGAAGCATGCTCTTTCGATCTTGTCGAAGCTGAACGGTCGCGTCAAAAGATTGACGAAGAAATTTCCAAGGCTGAGGATGACAGGGAGAGCTCTCATCTACAGGCTGTATTGTCGTGGCTTTGTGTTGACGAATTATCACAAAATGACATCTTATGGCGACTGAAGGAAAAGAGATCCGATGGGACTTGCGACTGGATATTCAAGAACTCCCAATATCAGCACTGGGTGAAAAATGACTCAAAGACTCCTTGGCTCTGGCTCACTGGCATTCCGGGCTCAGGTAAGTCTATTTCTCTACGTCCAGACGCGACTTCCCTGCATCTTCCTAGGTTAGAGGCTCGTTCCTTGCGCATGCTACTGTAGCACAAACTAGCCTGCTGATTCTTTCTCGATACGCATTGATCTGAGAGGCTCTGCTAATATAATTTAGGGAAGAGCGTGTTCGCTGCACACATCATCGAGACATTGCGCGAGGACAAGGGACAGGCAACCCTGTTTTACTTTTGTCTTCAACAGGCAGCTGGCGAGGACAAGGCAAGCGTGTTCCTTCGCACATTGGCTATTCAACTGGTTCGAGATCTTCCTGGACTTGCGGCTTTCATCTGGGATGCACATGTACGCAACGCCCATGTCCCTTCTATCGACATCCTTGAAAAGCTGCTCCCGATCTTGATTTCTGGTGCCTCAGCAGCCCGCATTGTTCTGGACGGCCTTGATGAGTATAGGTATCAAGACTACAAAACCATGCTGGACGTGCTTTCCAAACTGTGCAGAAAGAGCCGTTGTAGCATTCTTATCTCTAGCAGGGACGATGCGATAATCAGTTCGAAATTGCGAAATACACCGAAGATTTCTCTGATAAATGAGGTTGACGCCGTCCGAAAAGACATGGGAATATTTGTGGCTGCCAGGATAGAGCAGGCAATGAGAGCTTGGGATCTTGAGATATCAGATGATACTCAGAAACTGGGACAGGCGCAGCTACTGCAGAAATCGAAAGGTTGGTGAAAAGCTCTATTATCCCGGACCTTGCAATGCTGGGACTAAGTCAAGCAGGAATGTTCCTCTGGGTCGAACTAGTGATCGACAGCCTCCAATACTCGTATACAGACGACGACTTCCTCCAAAGGATTGATGAGCTCCCGGAAACCTTGCAAGCTGCGTAAGCCCTTTGCACAAACGCCAAAGTCTACGTCTTTTCCTAACACTATCAGTTACGATCGAATTGTGGAGAAAATTCTGAGTATCGAGGACCGGCGGACACGGCAGAAGCTGACAAGCCTCCTGGAGTTGATGACCTATACCCAAAGACCTCTCTCTATCGACGAACTCCTATCGGTATTAGCTCTTGACCCTTCCAAAGCAGGGGACCAGCTACCCGCACCATTGGCCCCAAAGATTTTGGACTTCTGCAAACCACTTATTGATCTCTCGTCCTCGGCGGCGGTCAACTTCGTTCATTTCTCTGTCAGGGAGTAAGGAATCATCCTCTCCCTAGACCCCCGCCGTGCTAAATTGTGACCAGGTACTTTCGAGACAGCACGAGCAAATTCCACATCCGCGAGATCAGCGCTCATCTAGCCGTATCGGATGCGTGCTTAACTTATCTGAATACCACAAGTGTGTTTCTCACTGAGGATTTTCGAACAAAGAGACTTCATCAAATAGTTCAAGGCCAACGAGCTATTCATCGATACAGTACTGATCATTGGGCTCAACATTTATCACAATGCCTCGATGCAGGAGATGAAACTCAGAGACTGGAGCTTGCCGCTATAGCTTCAAAACTCGGAGCGATGAATTGGATGTTCAAGCCAAGTGAACAAGGTGTATCCGCTGATGTTGCTAGCATCCTACAAAAGATAAGCTTATTCAAGGAAGAGGCCTTGGATCTAGAGCGAAACTCGGAAGATCTAGGTGGTAAGTGACGTATATGCACACGTTTCGGTTGCACAGCGGCTAACTCAAGCGAATATCTAGAATTTCGGACGAGTCTCATCAACCGCGATCCGACCTATCTCTGTCAAATTGTTGAGAGGTACGAGGCTGATATCGAGAGTCTACTCTCCCTCACGGACGAGGAGCTGCCTGCTGAAATTGAGAAGTCGGACCTCATTGCGTTTCGAGACAAATTCTCGACAGGGGCTTTCCGCTGCAGATACTACGGATGCAGCGACAAGACCAATCTCACTTTCCAAAGCACGGCAGAAAGAGACAAGCACGAACCAACCCATGTGCCTCTGTTTAATTGTCCCAAATCGTATTGCGTCTGGAAAGACATCGGCTTCAGGAACAGGCAAGAATTGGAAGCCCACATGCGGTACTACCATCCCGATACCTTGGACGTTCCAATCCCAGCGATTCCGGCCCAAATTCCTGATGTAGGGCACGACCTGTGGAAGCTTAGCCTCGACGACTTGCCTGACCACCTAAAAGAGATTGGTACCGGCTGGCATGCTGTGTTCAATCCCAAAGTCCGCCGCTCTCTCAATATCTCGCTGATAGCTGATTTCAAGCCCGACTCTCTCGTGGGTTGTGCAGCTATCTCATCCAACTGTCTCCTCTTAGCGACGGGTTGCAACCGTATGGGGACGATTTTCGATGTCCCCACCGGACAAATAATGTCTCGACTTGACCACGGCTTATCTGATAAACCTCCCCGTGACCATTATGTTAGAGCTATTTGCTTTTCACCCAATGGGAAAGTCGTGGTCACTAGCTGCGAGGACAAGGTGATCCGGTTTTGGGATCCTACAACCGGCGCGATGAAGTTCGACTTGAAAGGGCATGAAAACACCATAAATGGCCTAGATTTCGCAGCAAACGGAGATTTTCTCGCATCCTGCTCTGATGACCTTACTGTCAGGCTTTGGGACGCCCGGACGGGTGTTCAGAGAGCCCTTTTCCACAGTGAGGCTGGATTCGTGGCTGTCGCAATATCCCCTGACTGTAAGTTCGTGGTAGCTGGGAGCTGGGATGGGTATCTTCGAGCCTGGGATGTATCTGGGAGAAGATTGGTGTTCACAGCGGAAGGACACACACTCGCACTTGTCGACGTTAGATTTTCTCCGCAAGGGGCAAATTTGCTTACTTCGAGCTTGGACAAGACGGTGAGGATATGGAGCTTTGCAGAACAGGACCCAGGCTCGAGTATCTGCTGTGTCAAGACTATGACAGGACACGCGGTTGGTGAAGCTCTCCGCTTAACCCTTGACATCAAAACTCACGTCTTTGCAGTTCTTCGTACAATCCGCCGCTTATACCCACGACGAAAACTGGATTCTATCAGGAGGAGGTGACAACAACGTCTATTTCTGGGATCCAACAACAGGCGTTCCTCATCTGGCGTTGATGGCCAACGAGAGTAACGTCTTTCGAGTGATTCCTTTTCCAAAGAATGACCTCCCTCCAGGGGAAGGGATGTTCGTGACTGTATCCGCAGACAACACAGCCCGAATTTGGCACTACTTTCCTTATAAAAAAAGGTGAGGAATGGTTGGCGGATGAGCGAGTACTGAACTGCGTATGAACCATATAGAATTGTGGATGATTCTGGCTGCTATGTCCAGCTATGGCGAAGAAGCAGATAACATGTCTCGAAGAGCCACACCTTCATGGACGGGGGTTATTCATGGCGTTCTGGAGCGTACTGGGTTACTATTTCCCCCTAACGGTATACATCGGAGACGGCAGATCTGAGTAACTGATCACGGTACCCTTTCCACCGTGGGTGAGGCCGTAGTTGTTCGCATCTTACCATACCATGTCTATGCAAGCCGCTAGTTGGCTGGATATAAAGGGATGCTAAAGGATAGGGTTCTGCTGGATACTTACACATGTACCTACCTATCTAGTCAGTCGTCGGAGCAGGAGGAAGCGAAGTTCAATGTGCATGCGACAGGGAACAAGTCAACAGTACAAACTTCGCCATTGATGACCTGCGTTGCCCCAAGCCATCTTTCTTCACAAGTCTCCGCGCCCCTGTCCTCCTCCCGTCGGCACAGCCCGACGGAAAACCACATCGCTTGGTAACTCTGTGAAACACATGCTAAACTCGTACGTGGGTTGTATGTATGTTTCTACTACCTAGACTACTCGAGGACGAAAGACCTCGTTGTCACAACCGGGCTTGATCTGGAGGCAAGGCCCTGTGCAGAATCCCCTGAAGCTTATCTGCCATGCTAGTACTGCCGGGCAGAATGATGTGTGTAGCTAAATATCTGGAGTAGCGTCATATTTTTACCAGGACACAGGTACACCCCGTGGCAGGAAATCTAAAAGTCCAAGCAATGAACAAGTTGCAGCCAAGACTGCCCACAGAGAGAGAGAGAGAGTACATATCATATCAACAGGCTATGCGTAAATAAATCGCAATGCTTCTCTTACCAGACAGTCTAACAATAGCCTCGCTGGGTGGAGCAAAAGGACCATGTGGAACAAAAACAACCAGGACATGGGTAGCGGCTTGAAGGCTCATTGGCTTTGGTATGATATATTTGACTGGCATCAGCAGTACTGGCTATAGACACAGTACTTAGACCCGCTCTCGATAGCAAATTTGTCCGGGAACTGTCAAACACCTTTTTGGGGTGTTCGGGGGTGGGTGCAACTCTCAACGACGACGGCCGTGAGTGGGTTAGTTTCTCCAGACCTGTTCACATGCTGCCGCCCTTCGTCGCGCTGGGCAGTGCATTGAATACATCAGTACTAAGAAACCTCCCTTGGCTCGTCCTTACTTTTTTCATTCTTGGAGCGAAACATCTTTTCCGTTAGCACCCTCCACGACGCGCCCGCTGACGAGACACGCGACCACAGCCAGAGCAGCCAGAGCCCAGAACCCGAGACCGGCCACTCCGACCGCAAGACCAAGACCGTAGACCGGGAGGATGATCGCGGGGAACACCGACCGGCCCAAATTCCCGACAATCGTCCCCATGGTATGGATCGTCGCCCGCACGCTGGGGTGAGGCGTGCAGTCGTTGATCAGCAACGACGTGGCCGGGGCAACCCCGGTGCGCCCGGCGTTGAAGAGCAGCAACACGCCCAGAACGGCGATGTACAGCAGGGCCCGGTCGGCCGCGGTTGCCGAGTCCGACGCCAACAACGCGCTGAACGGCGCGAGGAGATATGTCGCCGGGAAGAAATAGAGGGCGGCTCGCCACACGCCGACCGTGCCGAATCGGTCGTGCAGGCATGGATAGACGATGATCTGCGACAGCACACTCATTGCTCCCAGCAAGGTCACAATGACCCCCACTCCGCGGGCGTCCATGCCGAGACCGCCGGAGAAGGACCACGGCGAACGGTTCTCCTCCGCGCCGGGCGGCGTGCTGAGAAAGATGGCCCAGAGGCTCGAGAACGTGCCCAGGTGCCCCGATATTATGAAGTGAGCGAGCATCGTGCTCAAAACGTTCGGGGTCCATATCTGGCGGAACCGGGGGCGCCGTCGACGTGGTTGAATGGTTTCGGGGGAAATGTCATCCGGAGTACTGGAGGGAATAGGATCTGACTGCTGGTGAGGAGCCAGCCTATCATGCAGCAAGGGTGCACTTTCGGTACACGTCGCATTTGCATTGTCGCCTTGGTTCAAGTGGTCTGGGGGCTGCATCTGCCTTGCATTCCAGAAGCGACGAAAGATGGATCGTCCGCCGTTCTGCATATTCTCACGACTGTGCTCCAACCCGAGTGACACTAACGCCGCCAGGATGAAACTGTAAGCCGCGACGGCAATATTTGGCGCAGCGTAAGGATATCGTATCGCCCGGCCCTTCCCGTCGTCTCCGCCTGGAGACGACAGAAAGCCTCCCAGGAGCGGTCCGGCAAACATACCGGCGGAGGCACATAGGGGAAGGAGAGTCAGGGCGCGGACGCGATACCTGGATACTAACATCAGTAAGTTGGGTCGGCGCTGGAAGAGCGAAAGATCACCTTTTCTCCGGATAGAGCTCGGCAGTCAAGCATCGGATCATTGATATCGAGCTGTTCAAGATGCCATCCAGTACCTGCCACGCCACAGCGGCTTCTATCGATTCCGAAAAGCCATAGCCCAGCATTGCTACTCCCGACGACACCAGTCCGACAACGAGGACCAGCTTCCTGCTTCCATATTCCGAGTCGGCAAACCTCCCCCAGAACAGTCCGGTACTTACATGAGCGGCGGTTTTCGAGCTGAGGATCAGACCTGCTTGGGCGGAGATGGTCGCAGGACCTGCAGACGGGTCGAAGTGTCGGAGCTGGAAAAACATGTAAGACTTTCAAAGTGGTGAGTATGAGTTCTGCCTTGGTTAGTGGGGGGGAGAGATGTCCAACTTGTATTGAGGATGCGGCCAGAGGCTCAGCGATGCGCGCGAGCATGAGAATTGCCAATTGTCCCTGACGTCGCCATCTTCTCAGTCGAGGCAAACGTTGCGTGATGGCATGCCCAATACCTTGTGAGGAAGCGATCGATATGATGCTTTATCGAGTGAAGTCGGTTCCATGATGTTCTGGACGCTGCGCAGGGCTGTTACACTTCAGACCATCTATATTCTTCTCGAGATGCATTGGCACTGCTCACGTGTGGGGAGAAAGAAGAGGCGTGTCTCGTATTCTGATACTGGCAGTCATGTCCTCCTCGCAGTTGAGTCGAGATGGAAGAAATGTCCTCCCACGTTGGGTACCAAGCTTTAGTGCCAAGCAAATTTGTGGAGATCGTGACGCGGCGGCCCGCAGAACAATCTTCTGTGGGGGGATGCTTATTGGGGACTAGCCTCGTGTTAAAGTACGAGTATTGCGACTGCCTTGTCACGATTGGCACACTTCGACTTGTGTGGCAACCAGGGAGCCGTGGTCTGACCATTGAGACACCACCAGGAAACGATGGCAGGGGTAGATCCCTCGAGCCACGTCGCTCTCAATCAGCGTCATATTGCACATTTACCGTCAAGGCAGGGGTGTGGTCTAGGAACGAGTCTCAAGAAGCCGCCTACAAGTCAGAAGCCCAAGCCTCCCGCAGTGATTGCTTGAGGGACAAAGGAAACTGTCGACACAAGACGTCAGCCTCTTCTTATGCCTGATCTCCGTCGACCCAAACCCGGTGGTTGATCTTCGCTCTCGGCAATATACGCTCCTTGGCTTCGGCCGAGACGTGAGGGGCTCCTCCACGTCCGCCCATTCTTCTATCATCTGAATCCCTTTTGATGGAAACGTCGAATATCCAAGCAGAGGAACGAATACTTGGTGCTCAAAGACCCTGAAGGACCTTTGCGGTCACCATGCCCGCCGCAAAAGCTCTCTTGTCCAAGCTTTCCCATGAGAGCGGCCTATCTGCCATTCTTCACTCATCACGCGATACGAAACTATTATGTGTCGCTCGCTTCGTGAGGCTCTTCGCCTACGGCGCCTCATTTCTTATTCTCGTGCACTACCTCTCCATCCTTCGCTTCACTGATGCTCGCATTGGCTTGTTCATGACCTCGACGTTACTCGGGGATGTCGTCATCAGCTTCCTATTGACTTTGATCACGGATCAGGTCGGACGCCGACGCGTTCTGGCTACGGGAGCCGTGTTGATGACTATGAGCGGTGCGGTCTTTGCGCTCTGCTCGAACTTCTGGTTTCTTTTACTGGCGAGTGTCGTGGGCGTCATAAGTCCGAGGTATGAATATCAACACTGTGGTCTTTTTTCAGGGACTGATCAGGTGCAGTGGTAACGAAATCGGACCTTTCAAGGCCGTGGAAGAATCCATACTCGCTCAACTCACAGAGAAGGACCAGCGGAGTGACATCTTTGCGTGGTATACGTTGTTTGGCACCTTGGGCGCCGCGTTGGGGACTTTGAGCTGTGGCTTTATGGTTCAGATTCTGAAAGGACAGGAATCGTGGACCCCGGCTGGTCCGTACAGAGTCGTGTTTGGGGCCTACGCTCTGCTGGGATCGGTGAAGCTTATCCTCACTTTGATGCTCAGCAAATCTGTCGAGCTCGACCGGCCGAAACAAGTCTACCAGGAAGTTCCAATCGAGCTGGAGGATGAGGGCTTACTTTCCGGCAGCTCTGACGAAGAAACCCCTGAAGCTCGTTCGAGCAAGCGGATATCTGCTCACGCATCGGCGTCTCCATCGCCGCCAACCCCAACTCTCCTGAGTCGCATCCGTTCCCTCCTGCCGTATATTTCTCCTACTTCTCGGCTGATACTAATGCGCCTCCTCCTCCTCTTTTTTCTCGACTCGTTCGGCTCCGGGCTCGCCTCTCCTTCCTGGCTCACCTACTTTTTCACCACGGTCCACTCCCTCGAGAGCTCAACACTCGGCACATTGTTCCTCGTCACCAATCTCCTCGCGACGCTTTCCAACCTCGCCGCCCTCCCTCTCGCACGGCGCCTGGGTCCGCTCAAAACGATGATCTTTACCCACCTACCGTCAGCCATCTTCCTCAGTCTGGTTCCTTTCCCTCCCGCCACAACAACGGGGACCTGGTTGGCAATGGGATTCCTCAGCCTGAGAGCCTGCACGCAGAGCATGGATCAAGCGCCAAGGCAGGCGTTCTTATCCTCGGCGGTTCTGCCGGCAGAACGGACTGCAGTGTTAGGGGTCGTGAATATCGCGAAGACTCTCGCCCAGGCAGGCGGTATCGGAGTGTCAGGTGTGTTGGCTGGTGCGAGATTGTGGGTTGTGATGCTGGCGGGAGCGGGAGCGATGAAAGCTTCCTACGATCTGCTTATGCTGTGGATGTTTTTGGGCATCAAGGACCGAGAATCCGACAGTACTCGACCGGGAAGAAGCGAGAATGCTTGAGCATTTTGGTCCTGATTGGTGCTTATATTGATTCATTCAGACTTGTCCCCTTGGCCACTGCAGCTTCGTGTTGCTCATCATCTCTTCTCTTCGCTCCGATCCCAACAATTCCTCAGGGAGACTCTTCACCTGAACATAACCAACCAACTCTTGAGCTGTAGCTGAGCTCCCTAGAGCGCGTCTCTCAAAGTCCCTAGGTGTGCCTTTGGGAGTAATGAGCAGTGCTCTAAGCCTTTTGGATCCACAATTATGGCCCCTCTATAAACCCCACACGGAGAACCCCAACTTTTGGGGTTTCGCACATGTATCCCTGACCACTACTAGGGCAGAGCGACAACCTGGACAATTCCTTGAAATTAGCCTGAATGAGTAGTTTTCCCTCCCCCGTTTCGGATCCTGTTTGGTGGATAGCCCGTCTGAGATATCTTCTGGACGAAGCATCGCAGACGAGAGGGGGGCAATACGTGCCGAATTCCGAGACCCCTCCATGGTATTCCCATGAGGGGAGGAATGTTGTATCTGGGACGCTCGTGAGTTTAAAGCAGACGGTATTCAGGCCATCAGAACGTCGTGATTCAGAAAAGCACCTTGTTACGAACACGGGTCACTAGCCCTCATCGAAAACTTGAGGCCTGTACTACGGTTCCTGTCCGCCTCTCCGGTATAGACTCACTCCCTACGAATTAGCCCCTGGCAATCACCACGACTGGGTCCATGGCGTCAAACAACCACCAAGGCAACCAAAACTACAAGCACCTCACTCCGGAAGATGTCGACCATTTTTTGACCAAGGGATGGCTCCGAGTCCCTCAGGCCATCAAGCCAGAGTACATCGACAAGTGGATGGCGGACTTTTGGCCGCGCGTGGATTACGACCCGGACGACAAGTCCACCTGGCAGACCCAGTACCACCACCTGCCCCGGCACCGCGAGGTGCCTGCGGAAGAGTTCGCCCCGGAGGCCTGGCAGAAGACCGTCGAGATCTGTGGCGGGGAGGACCGGATCGACCCCGTCCGGGAGCGCTACTACGGGGACGCCTTCATCATCAACTTCGGGACGGACGAGTGGGCCGACAAGAAGGAGACGCCGCTGGAGCCGCAGGACCTCAAGGGCTGGCACACCGACGACGACTGGTACCGTATGTCGTAGAAAGGCCGCATGAGTGGAATGATGATTGACCATTGAAACTATCTAGGCATGTTCCTCGACTCGACGGGGTGTGCGATCACCGTCATTCACTGCTTCACCGATATCCCGGAACGCGGTGGCGGGACGATGCTGTGCGAGGACGGCATTGAAGGTGAGCTGTGAGCCCCCGCCATCATGGGGGTCTATCAGGTCATTGAACAAGCGTCAGGACTCGTGAAATTCCTCTACGATCATCCCGAAGGCTTCGACCCGCCCGTCACGGACCGACTCAGCAGCCACGTCAAAGACTGCAAAAAGTTCACGACCGTCACGGCCAAGAAGGGCGATGTCCTCCTTCTGCACGGCCTGCTGCCACACGCCGCCAGCCCCAACTACCTGCGGTATGCACGGGTCATCACCAATCCCCACGTCGCTCTGCGCGGCCCGCACAACTTCAATCGCCCGGACGGCAACTATGTGAGCTTGCTTGCCCTGGCCCCTACCTCCCCCCCCCCTTCCGAGACACTTTTTTTCACTGACAACAACACCCTCTTCCAGAGTCTTCTCGAGCAGGTCATCCTGCGCAACCTCGGCCGCGACTCCCTCCCGGAATGGAAGGCCACGCGCGAACGAAAGTTCTGGTACCCGCGCAACGCCGGGTTCAAGCGCGCCAAGGCCGAAGGGGAGTTGAAGCGCATGGTCGCGGCGGCCAGGGCCAAGGGCCTGGACGAGAACGCCGTCGACAGCATCTACCAGCGGCGGGGCACCCAGGAGTTCGAGGACTTTGAACGACGCAACGGGTTCAAGTTGCCGGTCAACGAGGCGACGGGCCTCCTGATGGTGCAGCATTTTGGACCTGACCCCGTCGCCGAGCCGGCCAGGGTCCAAGCCGTGCGTTAGCTGGCAATAATCTGCTGCTACATAGATCTATTAATATCGAATTATGTACTGGGTATATATCGCTTAGGTTTCTTGGGGGTTGTGAGGAGTGGTCGTCAAAAGGTCTGGCCTCGCGGGTATAATACAGGCAGGCCGTGTTGGAGAGAAGAACAAGCACAACCCCATTCACGACGACGAATAGTCAATCCATCATCGTCCCCGATCAAAACCCTCCTCCTTGCAACACATATCTGCCAATAAACGAAGGTGATATTCACGCACTCCCATTCCGTCGGGTCGGAAGCCGGAAACCGGAATCCTAATGCCACTCCTTCGCTCTCGAGTCTTCCCCGCATCGCGATATCGCCCTGCGAGCTCCGGTATCTGTGCCGATGACCGCGGGAAAGTTCGATTGGAGTTTGGGCGGGGAGGAGAAGGAGTGGTAAAACGGGCACATCGCTTCTCGCTTTTGGTTTTGTCCTTCCATCTCATCTTTATCTTTTGCTGCCAAGGTAAAAAAGAAAGAATAAGACTCAAGGCGTTGGAAGGAAACGCTGAAACTGGTTGAGGGCCCTTTTATCGTCGACACAGCACGAAGATACTTTCCTAAGTCGAGGGACTCTTACGCACCGTGAACAACCTGATATCGCACTTGGCCACCTCCCGGCGATATATCAACGCACCAAGAAGCAAAAAAACAAACAAACGAAAACAGCATCCCCCAAAACGTAACTTTAGGACGAACGAACGAACGAACCAAAAAAACAACAATGGCCCCTGCTCTTGACGTCTACGACCACTCGTCGGCCGAGAACCGCACCGTCGGCGCCCTGGGGACGACGACCTCGGGCAAGAAACTCCGCATCCGCTCGTACCCCAAGTTCGAGTCGCTCGAGGAGGAGCGGCTGTACCGCAAGCAGCATCTCGCCGCCGCGTTCCGGGTGTTCGCCGACCGCGGGTTCGACGAGGGCGTGGCGGGCCACATCTCGGTGCGGGATCCGATTCTGAGGGATCATTTCTGTGAGTTGGGCCCCCCTTTCGAGGGTTGTCTCTGTGTAGTTTTCGGGAACTGTAGAGGTCTGATTTGGCAATGAGCGAGAGAGGGTACATGGCCAAAGGAAAAGGTGGAGGGAAGACGGGTTCAGACGACCATCAGGATGTTTCTCCCTATCCAGGCAAAATGCTACCAAACCCCACCACCTCCCTTACTGACAACTCTTGACCGGCAGGGCTCAACCCGCTCTCGCAGCACTTCTCCCAAATCTGCGTCTCGGACCTGATCCTCGTCAACGAAGACGGCGAGGTCGTGATCGGCGACGAGCCCATCAACGCCGCCGCCTTCGCCATCCACTCGGAGATCCACAAGGCGCGCCCGGACGTCGACGCCGCGTGCCACGCCCACAGCGTCTACGGCAAGGCCTTCTCCGTCTTTGGCCGGGAGCTGGACATGATGACCCAGGACAGCCTGCGGTTCTGGAGGAGCCACGCCGTCTACGACAACTTTGGGGGCGTCGTCCTGGACCGCGAGGAGGGCAAGAGAATCGGCAAGGCGCTGGGGAACGGCAAGGCCGTCATCCTTCAGAACCACGGCTTGTTGACTGTGGCCAAGACGGTAATTTCTCCTCCTCCCTTCAATCTGCTATTGTGTTCTGTCCACCCTCTGGCTAGGTCGGGACATTTTGGGCTTATTCTCTCTTTTTTTTTTGACAGGTCGACGCCGCCGCGTTCTGGTTCATCAGCCTCGACAAGACCTGCCACGCCCAGCTGCTCGCCGACGCCGCCAGCGCCGGCAGCGGACACAAGAAGAAGCTCATCTCGGACGAGGAAGCCGAGTTTTCCTACTCGCAGGTCGGCACGGACGAGAAGGGCTGGCTCGCCTTCCAGGGCTACTATGACGAGCAGCTGGCCAAGACGAACGGTGGTTTCTTGAAATGAGAAACGGAGAGATATTTCTCGCCCTTGGTTCTTTGGGGGCCCGTTGCTGCTGCTGCTGCTGTTGTTGTTGTTGCAGAGACAACCGCCTGTTGCATTGTAAACCAGCTTCTAACCTGTTTGGTTCAATGGGGATAGACATGGGCCAGAATCCACTGGATCCCTGGCATGTCGTTGGCCCCATTTCTTCTAAAATGAAAGCGTTATAGTGGTTCTGTCATGCACCTGTTGCATGTATCATCTTCTCAGTCCTAGATTTCTCCAGAGCAGCCAGTTGTCAAAACATTCTTTTGCTCGTCCTCGACCGATTTCGAGTACTTTGTGCTCGTATTCGAGATCGGATCGTCAGGATGGACATGTCTGCCAGAGATGGCGAGGTATGGAGATGCAATCATGTGTATTCTGTATTCCCGGGGCTTGGAAAATGTTGTCTAGGTCCCAAGCCACCTTCGAAAGGGTCATGTGCCTCGGAGTCGATGGCCATCCTCTCGTCCGTCTAATCGACCCGAATGGCTGGGTTCGTTCTTGTGAGGACCCGAGAGCTGATCCAAGTCCAATTCGGGTACGGCGCCTAGAAGCAGGGGAAACTCAGGCCTCCACAATCTGCAGGTCAACAGCCTCGGAACTTGGATGCGGCTCGACTACAGATGCAGCACAGCAGACAGAAACCCTCGCTAGCCCAAGCTAATCGATGTCTCTCCCTCGACTTGGTGTTGACCCCGCGTCGTCTTGACCAGTGATGGTGTCGGGCGTTCAATGGGCATACAAATGCAGGTCGCCCTTTTGCGATGGAAATCAGGTGTCGAAGGCTGGGAGGTTTGGTATTCCACTCCTTCTTTGAGACTGACATGACCCGTGGATGGTCCTAAAAGGCCCCCTTCTCGTCTAGGACAAACTTCTGGCCCACTAGACGTCACAAGTCGGGATCCTAGACCAAATTGGCGGCAACAGAATCTCAAATACCATCTCCGAGTGAGCGGAGCCCGCCATATGGTTGCAGACACTTACTCGTACCCCGCCTCCATCTCGGTTGAACGCAGGGTGGTGACGGTGGCTTCAGACCATGTGGCTCCAATAGGTCGGGATACGAAAGAGCACCCTCAAGCATAAGTTGGTCCCCATTGCCCGCCTCTTGGAATTTTGTCGCAAACTTTGGAGCGACGGTCTTTGCAAACCCTTTCCAGCCTTGAAAGCAAGCCCAAGATCACCGACTTCTGACATTTTGCCCAACATGCCGACCGGGGGCTGCTTCTGTGGGAATATCAAGATCGAGTACTCTGGCGAGCCGGCCATGACTGTAAGTCCTTCTGTCCAGAAAGTCTCGTCTTGCCAATCAGCTCCGACTAATGCCCTCGCGAACAAGGCGCTCTGCCACTGTGCCGACTGTCGCAAGATCTCTGGTGGAAACTACTCGAACAACTTTGTCGTGCCGAGCTCCAATTTCAAAGTCACTCAAGGCACACCCAAGGAAATCAGCAAGACGGCCGACAGTGGAAAGTCCATCACCAGCTGCTTCTGCCCCGACTGTGGTATGTGATTGATCTCGTGGACCCGTGGCTCTGTTTCCCATCGCATTGGCAGGGCATAGCTGAACGAATGTCGTCCAACAGGCACCACGCTGTTCCGATATGGCGACACCTTCGGCGGCATCGATGGCATGAGGATCATCAAAGCGGGTGTCTTGGACGATGTAAACCTGCTCCACAACACCAAACCTGGCGCCGAATTGTTTGCGCCTGAGCGCATCAAGTGGATTCCAGCTTTGGATGGCGCGGGTCAAGTTGACGCAATGCCACCACCATCTTGAAAGAACGCGAGGAGGATAGAGAGCGAGTGGGACAGGATGAGAGACACCAAAAGAGAGAACGATGGAATGAAGGCTGATAGCCCGAATCCTGGATCATGAGCGCATTGAACTTCTCCACAACGCCAATGATACTTGGGTTAAACTGCCAATTCCGCTATAAAATGCTCCTCGCTTTGGCTGAAACTGATATTGACAAATGGCTACATCGAATGTTAAACTGGACGATCATGTAAAGTACGTAGTTTCCGTCGGCAAGTCCTCCAGATCTCGTCGAAAGTGCAAGGCAATGCCCAATACAACTCCTGTCTCAATCGCCAGTCCAGAAATTAGTGCTTGCTCCTTACAATGCGTGGGTATCGTAATGCATCCGGATCGCTTTAAATAAAGTCTGTCCAAAACAGAAGGCGTGCCCTCGTCACCTTTTCCAATAACTTAGAGTTCTTCACCGCAAGGCATGGAGGTGGGCTTCGGAGTCGGGCTATCTGGATCATTGGACGCTGCAGAATCCTTCGATGGGCTCCTGAGAGGACTCGGTACAATCGCTGTTTTCAAGGGACTTGGGAGAGGTGGAGCTGGGGAGTTCTTTCTCGACGGGCTCGACAGCGGACTTGCCATCGCCAGGCTTCTCGCACGCGCATGTAGTTTGCGTTCTTCTTCCCCGTTCCAATCTTTCGCAAGTTCAGCTCGGACTCCTCGGCTCCACCGTCGAATCACGTCCTCGAAGGACGACCAAGTGGTGCTGTCGCCGACCTGATTTGCAACAGCCATAACGTCGAGCTGGAGTTTGAGCTCCCATCTCAGTTCCGCGGCCTTTAGCCAGTACCGAAGGTTGTCAGCACGCCTGTACGGTTTCGCCACGTCTTCGTGGAAGGACTTGATATAGTCGAATTGCCTCTTGGATCGCTTGACAGCGGCATTATGCATCTTAACAAGATCTCTGCCATCAGCCAGATTGCGAAAAAACTCGGGGTTGACATCACTCTTCTCAGCTGACGGGCATTGACCAGTCCCATGAAGCAGGAAGTTGAGGAAGTTGACGTCTCTTTCTTGCTCTCGATCAATCCACTTGGCATCGTCCATCCAGTGCCAATCTTTCCTTTCGGTCCTGTCCGCCTCCTCCAATTTTGCCTCTTGGTCGATCATCATGCCAACATCACTTACCCAAACCAACACCGCAAGTCTTTCATCCTCACGAAAACCGCCTGCGAAGTTTCGAGAGGCACATTTCTTCAGTACATCCAGCACCGAATAGAGGTCCCTCCGCAATTCCTGGTCGGACCTTATCGAGTTCAATCTCTGAGGATTAGGGTGCAGCGTATAATAGAGTCTGGCGGCTCGAATTGCTTGAGTGGTGGTATCGAGGACATGCAGCCCCTGAATCTCGTAGAATCCTGGTGTCTGATCCTCAGAATTTCCGGTTGTTGAACCTTCACACGACTCGACAGCTTGTAGTGCGTTCTCTAAAGCCTCCACCAGTTCTTTCTTCATGGTTTTCTGATCTGGAGGTGGGGCCACATATGTCGATCGATGACTGTACGTTGATACGGTTGGGGGTAACATCACATCCGTGCCATCCTCAGGCACAGTGTCCCAAATGGTCTGAGACTCATCTTCAATGGGAGATTCAACCAGCTCTTGATTTGCGGTCAACGAGAGCTTTGGAATGTCGTATTCTCCATTCTGTTTCTTTTTCGCCATTTGGCCTCCCTTGCCATCTAACAGTCCCGTTCGAGCAAAATAGTATTGCAGGTGGGCGATGCTACCGAGGCTCATGACACTCTCACGATTCTTGGCCGACTCGGCAAAGGACCCTCCTTGAGGACGGACATAGCCACGTCGACGAGAGTATGTGCTGGTTCGAGAAGTAGTTGAGTCATTGGAGTACGAGGACCGGCTCGAGATCGTGGAGACGCCGGAGCAGGATCGATGGGACAAGAGTGTGGAGGAGTCCGGCGTTGCGAGTAGATTCGGGGAGGGCGAGGGCGATCGAGAAGGGAGACTGGATGAGGACAGGTCTAGATCCGTGCTCATGGCGGCCGGATGGGCACTGGAAAGTCTCGGTTTGGGGAGCACAGGACGTCTAGTTATCGAGCGGGAGCAACTGCCGTGGCACTCTCCTGGAGGGCGTGTAGCACAAAGAGTGACAGGAAACGTCTGACCAGCAGTGACAGACAGATCGATAAGTCAAATTGATATTGCAATGAACGACGAAAGATCAGACTGATCAGAAGCGCAAAAGACGACTGCAAAGGAAGATGGACCTGGCCATGGTAGTTGATGGTCGAGGAGCAGGTTGGTGGTGGTGGTGGTGGTGGTGAAATTGCATCCAGACGCTAGTGCCAGATTCGAAGTCGAAAAGGGGAACGACGTCGGGAGAATCAACAACAGCCAAGGGCTCCTTCATCTCACACAATCCATCTCTGTAGCAACGTCTACACATCTTAGCTTCCTATTTTCAAGTCCGGTAATAGATTGCGAGTTGCCATCAAAGACTCCAAATGTAGATTTATGATAGCATGAAGTATGTCTGGGTGTTGCCCAAACAGCCCGTTTGTTGACATGTCCAACGGCCGGTGACGCGCACTTTCGGGCTTGGGCGCGTTCCTCGGCACCTAAAGTTTGGCGGGATCGACGGGACCTACCGCCCAAGAGTCTTACCGGTAGAAGGCGTGAGGGCGCCGTGGCCCGGGGGCGCCCAGGGCTTAAGTGCAAATTGTCTTGAGTTCTGGCTGTCGTCATAGGCGTCCTTCACTCCTCGTAATTGCCCCGCATTGACGATGCATATCTCGTGGCATTCAATCATTTCTACGAACATATCGATGGAGGCAGGCATCGAGGCATATAACAAGTCTGTCAAGACACGATCAGCGGCATCGTGATTCGAAGCCCCAAACCTCTACCCACCTCCACTACTGTTCCTCATGGCCAAACGAATTGCATTCAAAGTCCACGGTAAAGTGCAGGGCGTTGCTTTTCGGTAAGTGTTTGTGTGGAGTTTGAGGCCTCACCATACCTGACTCCATGCAGTGACTTTACCCAGAGGAAAGCCTCGAGCTATGGCCTCACAGGCTTCGTATTCAACACCACAGATGGAAGGGTCGGACTTTCTTCATACACTCACCGATCAGTAACCAGTTTGCATCAGACCACCCGCTGACATAGCCTCTCCACACTTAGGTAGCTGGAGAAGCGCAGGGCGATGAGGAAGCACTAAAGAAACTGAAGTCAGATCTGGATTCAGGACCTAGACTCGCCCACGTCGTCAAACTCGAGATCAAAGACATTGATATTAAAGAGGGGGAGAAATCGTTCGAGGTCTCGGTGTGAGAAACTGCAGAAACTCGACTGGCTTTTATTTGCCACAAACAAGAACGAGAGGCTGCAATCCGAGTCTGGATGAAAAGGGGCTGATATCATCGTTATTGGAGACCTCCGCGGGTGGCTTTTTTGTGCACTTGGCTCCCACATCACACTGCATATCCGGATCTCCCAAGCGAGGTCGCCGGCCAGCATGTGCAAATAGAAACCTGAGCAAATAAGCATTTGACGCTGAACCACCAAATCGGTCATGTATGCCTCTTTTGGGAGGATGAAAATTGCGAGAGGAACCCATCCGAGGGCATTCAGCCTCGACACCACGAACACTCAGAGTTGCCGGTTTCTCCCGACACCTTCGCTGCGGCTCTCTGCGAGAGCCATGCGAGAGCCCATGCAATTCTTCCCAGCCTGATGGGCTCAGCCTTCCAACATTCCGATCTTCGCCGTCCTTCTTCAAGTCAGCTGTACCTGTAGATCTTCACGTAGTCACCGAGAAGCCAGATCTGTCGGGATCAAGGGCCACGATGGCAAAATGGGTGTTTTTGTGGCCATCCACTTGTCATCAGCGACCTCACCTTGAACCTGGGCAACTTGTGAAGGAAGGAGCTGCATAAGGTCCATGGGCGGTTCTAGACTGGGAAGGTTTCTTTTGCCAGACAGGGCAAAGCTCGCAATGCATAAAGGACAGTGAAGGGGAATTGATGCATTGTACGCAGGATCGTGGTTAGAAGCTTTGCGTGAGTCAGCAACTTAGAAAGACGGCATCAGACGGGCTTGGGGCCTTGGGCTTGCTTGGGGGAGACGGGTCGCGCATTCTAGCCACAAAGGTGGGACGGCCATTGCTAACCTCAAGCCGCGGATACGAATTCGAACCGCGTTGCTCCTCACTCCTCCACCTTGGACTTTCTCTTTTGGTAACATGCTCAGTTGGCATGCTACACTGCATCTTTGAATGCCTTGGATGCCTAAAGCGTGCTCCGAAATTGGCGCATGTGGCGCATGACAACGAACCCTTTGACGCACCTTCTCCTCGCTCCTCGCTTGAGCCTGATATTGGCCTGGACCTGTTCGGGTCCCGATACAAAACTATAAAACAGATCCGCGTGTTGACATTGCCTGCCAGGGCTGTACTGCTTCTCAATGTGCTGACCAAAGCTGTTAAGACTCCAGGAGACTTGACCAGAACGTTTTGCTTACCTTTCGATTGATCCGTACCACTAACATTGACTCCTCTCCTCACCATGACCTCCTCGAAAGCGCTTTTCACTCCCACTCTTGCGGCGAATCTGTCAAGTGCAGCTAGGAAAGGCCTGTTTTCCTCGACTGCCACCGCTGCGGGTCTGAGGGCCAGTTGTGCAGCCATCAGACCGTTCGATGCGCAGTCGAGACGGAACTTCTCTGCCTCCCACAGAGCACAGCTCGAGTTCTTCCCACCTCCCAAGAACCTCCCTCATATCAAACTGACGTACGCTGGGAAAGCTCTATTTGACGACCCTCGTACTGACTATTCACAGTCCTGCACCATGGCCCCATCCGACGGCAACAGAGGACCAACTCAAGAAGATTGAGATTGCTCACAGGGATGTGCGAGGTGTCTCGGACTGGCTTGCATACAACACGGTACGCTTTCTGCGATGGGGCACCGATCTCGTCACCGGGTACCGCCACGATCCCAACAAACCTTACGTGATGAGTGAGAGGAAATGGCTGGTCCGTTTCATCTTCCTCGAGACTGTCGCTGGTGTACCGGGAATGGTGGCCGGGATGCTTCGTCATTTACGGAGTCTTCGGGCCATGAAAAGAGACAATGGATGGTGAGGATCACTGCAGACTGGGTCGCGTCTATGTGACAAAGGCTGACGCTGATCTCCTTAGGATCGAAACAATGCTCGAAGACGCATATAACGAGCGGATGCACCTCCTGACGTTCCTGAAAATGGCCGAGCCCGGAATGTTCATGAAATTGATGATCCTTGGTGCCCAAGGCGTCTTTTGCAACGGCTTCTTCATCGCCTACCTTTTGTCCCCTAAGACCTGCCACCGCTTTGTTGGTTATTTAGAAGAGGAGGCGACCAAGACCTACACCTATGCCATTGAAGACCTCGAGAGCGGCAAACTGCCCGGCTGGGAGAAGCTCCAGGCACCGGAGATTGCCATCAAGTACTGGAACATGCCGGAAGGGAAGAGGACCATGAAAGACCTTCTATACTACATCCGAGCAGACGAGGCGAAGCACCGAGAGATCCATCACACTTTGGGCAATCTCAACCAGGCCGAAGACCCCAACCCGTTCGCCTCCGAGTACAAAGATCCATCTAAGCCTCATCCTGGCAGAGGTATTGAGCACATCAAGTCGAAAGGCTGGGAGCGAGAAGAGGTTATCTGAGTAGACCTCGTGTATTACCACCAGCACGCAAGAGGACAATATCAGGGGGGTTTCGAAAGGGGTTGGGGCATTTCAAATAATATTCGAGGCCTCTCTTAGCGGCATATCTGGGAACGGCGTTGCAGGTGCTGTTGATGGCAAATGATCCCCGCGGCTTGACTGAGACTTGATGCAGGTCAGTCTAGAATTCGCCTGACGTGCAAACATTGATAGACATGGGGTGGCCCTTTGTTTTCAGGCCGCATTGGCACCTGTTAGGATATATAAAAAGGCAACATTCCCCATTCCCCATTCCCCATTCCAAGCACATCATCCAGACCCAGTCCTCGGACCTGCGTAACTGCAATGTCATCCGAGTTATTGTTTATATTCACGCGAACGAGCTATCTACAACTAGGTCCGCAGCCTTTTCCCACGCCGTCTGACAACGGCCTGATGTCAGTGTGCATTTTTCAGGCACAGGCAGCCCGATCCTAGTGGCCCGTCACGGCTGTCAGCCCAATTTTTAAGCTCCGCAAGCGCGCCCTGGGAAGGACTGCGTCCCCCAACCCTGGTTCGTCGCCTTCACCTGTTGGTTTAATCTTACCCAAACAAATCCCGGGGCGTGCACTGCCAACAAACCTCCAACAAACCAACCTCGTCCATCGACTCACCGTCGCCCTTTACCTCGAAATACACGGCCTGCCAGCATCGCCTCCTACCCAACTGCGCTCAAACCGTTTCACAGCATTTGTGCACACAATTCTTCTAGCTATAATCTCCGTCCGGCCGGTTCCTGAACACGCCAAGCTCCAGAATTGTTTGTCCCCGGCGATTCTTACGCATATGAACGACACTGCAATTGCAGCAACGCCCTGTCTCCGGGTCCCCTGGCCTCAAATATCGAGCATCTGATCAGGCTGGACTGTCAGCGCTCGCTGGTTGTTATGACCTCTGCTTTCCGCCGCCCGTCCATGGTGGAAACCCCAAGCGATGTCGACCTACATCAACTCCTTGTCCCCTCTTCGTCGAACGATGTCTCCTCCCAGCACCAGGCGAACTCCGCGTCCTCCGAACCCAGCAGCGATGCTGGCTCCTTCGTGATTCCAGACAATCTCTCCAGAAGCAACTCCGTCTTCTCCTTTTCGAGGGCCTCCTTCAGCAGTCAAATCGCGAGCCTTACTTCGATTAACATTCCACAAGCCGAGTCTCTTGCTGCAACCGTCAGCTCCCTCCCGAGCGCCCGCAAGGCCGTAAGAGCCATCTCTACTGCTGCCGAGCAAATACAATCATGGATCAAGAAAGCTTTAAAGGTTTTGGAAAATCTCGATGCCGAAGACGATGTGGAATGGGCTGCGGCTGCCGGCAGGTTAGGGCTGGACGAAACAGACAAAACTATAAACAAATTCGAGTCTTTAATCAACATGTATGTTCTATCGATCGAAGAACTGCAATCGCGTCCCGATATCGGCGACGCAAATCCCGAAGATCTACAGGCTGTGGTGGAACAGATGGAGTCGGTTCTGGGCGGTTGGGATGACGTCCGGAAAGACTTGAAAAGCGTGCACGAACAGGTGGAGCTGGCCATGGAATGGGAGGAGTTGTGGGCAAAAGTTCTCGGAGATGTGGGTGCAGAGATGGACGCACTGAGCGCCATGGTCTTTGAAATGGAAGAGAAGAGACACACCGCCTATCAAACACAGACTCAGGTCGATTCAAGTCAAAATATCGATCTGAACGAACTCGAGAGCTTCATCGACGAGCCGTCCCAGAAGAAGACTACGCCAAACTCGCGGTTTAGCATCCCTTCTTTCGAATCGTCGCCCCTTGGATCTCCCATCATTGAAAATCCGCAGGACGACTCCAACCTGCTTGCTCTCTTCGCCAGGATGCAGCCCCTCCGGGCTTCATTGGATTTCTTGCCTATGAGGCTATCCATGTTCCAGACCCGAGCGGAGAAGATCTTTCCCATTGCTTGCGGAGAGCTTGATGACAAGCGGGCACGATTGGAGAGAAATTGGACGGAGCTGTCAAAAGAGGCAGAAACACTTCGAAGAGAGCTCAGCGAGGATCGTTGGGTGATTGTGTTCCGCAATGCTGGTCGGCAAGCTCAGAAAATGTGCGATTCAGTTGAACGAAGTATCCTGAAGGTCCAGGAAGCCATCCACGAGAATTTTCAGGCAACGAACCCGTCCGCTTTGGCCAAGAGGATCGAAAGCTTCGAGGCGAAGAAGCTTCATTACAGCCCGGCTATTCAACGAGTGCTCGGGATTATACAAAAGGGTCTGAAGGACCGCTTGACGGTAAATGGAGAAATCCTCCGCTTGCACAAAGATTTATCATCCAGAATGCGGGATCTTACGGATACTATGGACGACCTTGACAGCCTCCTCGAGCCCGTCACTTCGCGGCAAAACTCGAAATTGCGGGAATCAATCTCGAGCATCGTCTCCGCAGATCGCTCGTTTACCAGCACCACTTTTGCTGGCACTCCAGGTAGTTCTCCCCCTTCGTCGGTTGATCTCCCTCCGCAAAGACATGAAAAGCCTGCGTCGAAATACGGTTTGAACGGGTACACGAAACAGCGCACCCCATCGACAAGCAGGCCACCTCCGCCTGTCTCAAGCAACAAACGAATGTCGATGCTACCCCAAACGCGCCGTCCCACCACACCAATGTCGCATTCGAGCAGCAGTGCCATTCGACGAGGAACCTCGCCTATGCCAGGTCCTCCGTCTGTATACCGCCAGGGCGTTTACACTCCTCCTGTGGTACCTGCGCCTCGCCCGGAACCGACACCCCTTTCGAATAAACCCAGATGGTCAGCCGTTGTGAAGTCGTATGATAACACGATAGCACCATCATATCGGTCTTCTTCCACCACCACGCCATTGACCGCAAGAAGATATACTCCGCGATCCATTTCTTCGAATACTGCTTTGCCATTGCGGAGCCCACTCAGCCGGGAAGCATCCGCATCACCTTCCACGCTGCCTCCTCTTGCAAAGGGAGACAACCAACAATTCAGATCCTTTGCTGAGCGCGTCGCCGATCCTTTGCCGGCGAGAACTAGCAGTTTGTTAGACCCTGTGCCATATCACAAAACCAGGAATTCAAGCGCACCAGCACCGGGCACCATTCGATCGCCGTCTTCACTTGTCGTCAACAACCAAAACAAGCCTACAATGAGCGGAGGGTCGATCCCACGTCCGCCTTCGTCTCTTAGTAGAAGTTATGGTTCCTCGCAAGTCCCGTTGCGATCAACGTCTCACAATCCTCGACTTGATAACCGGCTGGAAGGCAGTCCTAGGAAGAATGAAGACGGGTTGGAGGAAAATGATCGGGCCAGTGAGAACGACGAGGACCAAACCACGGAGCCGAGTTCGAGTCCTCTGTCAAAGCGCACAATCACCAGACCCAGCAGCGTCATGGCGATGAGTGGCAAGGCCAAACGGATGTCTTTATTACCTGTACCAGTTGGAAGCGGCAGGCAAAGTTCATTGGGTTCGAGGATTTCTTGAAAGATTGGCAGCCTCCTACAGCGGGCCTGAGAAGCTGCTCCACGATCGTTTCTTTGGCATATCGAGAGAGGCGAGCACACACCAGTGCCATTACCTAGTTTCTTGTGTTTTGACAGCGTTCCAAGCGTGTACTTTTTTCCCTCCAAGCTTTTCCCTACCCCGAAGCCAGGCATTTATTTTGCTGGATACCATAGCGCAGAATGCTACATAGTCATGCCAGAGAACTTTTCTGTCTACCTATGCACCTACTACCTAGTACCTACCCAGCTTCTGCGAAGCTGCGAAGCCGTTTTGGAGGTTCTTTCCCCTGGCCAATGGCTGCGTACTGGGATGGACTGTATAGCACCCAGCTTATATAGGCACCCAAGCAGAGAAATCTTGAACCGACCACCTGCAGGTATGTAGCACCCCAACTACACAAATGAAAAGGAGCGAACGGGGGCTCAGGGAGCCTCATTCAATCAGGATCTACCACTCGCCGAGTGTCGAGCGTCGAGAGCCTGTAACCTTGTACCTACTGTACTCGGTATGTATGGAGTTGGTGAAGGCGCGTAAGTAGCGAGATACATAACGCGCATATGGCCTCTGGATACACGCTCTATATCTCGTGCCATGACATGGGCTACGTATAGGATTCTTCCGTATATGAGGGCCCCAAGCCTGCAAGCGCCCCAGGTCCCTCTAGCGACCAATATCGATATCCTAGATGCTCTATCTCTCCCTTCCACATTATGTGCTCGTGTACCCATATGCTTCAGTGCGTGCGACCCCGTCCCCACAATGGAGCTCGATCATTTAAAAGCCGACGCTCAAAGCCTGGGCATTCAATAGCCCAGTCCGTAGCCCTTGACGCGGGAGAAATAAAAGGGCTTGTCGTTTCTCAGGTGGAACTCGGCCCAGTCGTTGGTGAGCACGTTGTAGCTCCAGAACCCTTTCCACACCAGCTTGTTGTTCTTGGTGGTGTGCCTTGAGCGCGCGGAGCCCGCGGACTTCAGGGACAGGTGCATCGTATACATGTATCGTGGGCCGGCGCCCTCGGTTTCGATGTGCAAGTCGCCTGGAGACATGGTGGGTGTAGGGTTGGAAGATGGGGCTGTATGGTCTTGGCCGTGGCTCGGGTTCGTAGACTCCGAGGCTGGGAAGTCGAGGCTCGGGTGACATAGGCGCCAGCGGCCCCGGAGAGCGTGTTTCATGACATCTCGGGCAGATGGCGGGGGTGCGGCTGTGTTGGTGCCAGCTCCGCTGCCGGCGGCTGCGCTAGCAGATGAGCCGGAGTCTTTGAGGAGGGCGGGTGCAGAGGAGGTGAAGTTCAAAGGGTGTGCTGCTTCCTTCTTTCCCGAGCGGACGAAGGTCAGGTTCTCTGGTGTCAGGTGATGGACCACTTCAATGGGCTCGTTGGTGGTGAGAAGAGATATGCAGGTACCGTCGCGGAAGAAGCGCAGGTACCTGTAATACGTGACGATGTGGACCGGGTTGGTCCAGGTGCTTGCTGTGACAGAAGCAGCACCCGGCCGAGTGTAGTTAACAGTAGAGATGTACACGCCCGTGAAGCGAATGCGGGGATAGTTGTGGAAGACTTCTCGCCAGATGGTGTCCTTTGGGAATGGAAGTTCCGTCACACGTAAAGGAGAGGACGAGTCCCCATCTGCAGGATCCTCATCTAGTGCGCGGAAGGTGATTTCGCGACCTTGCAAGTCGGTGTTGAAGTCGTATCGTTGACCGGCGAGACCAAACTCAGGACCCAGCGCCACACATTTCCAAACGGCGTTATCGGTTGTGACATGATATGCCAGCTTCTTGCAGACCAAAGATAGCCGAACAAAAATGGCTGGATCGCGGATTGCTACGTGTTCTAGCAACTCCAACAATACTTCTGTGGGGAGTTTCTTGATACCGCAAGGCGGAGGACGGTCACCTTCAATGACGGGCGGTGCAGCTTCAATTTGAGCGTGCGCAAAGGTGTTGATCAGTTGAGCAAAAGTGAGAGTCTCTGGGCCAGGTTCTTTGAGGGAGTGGTGGGCGGTGGAAGGGACGGTGACAGGAGCGTTGGAAGGGTTTGGGTTGGATGTCTTTGACTTGGCTGTCTGAGGAAAATGCTTGTTCTTGTATGATTGATCAACCTTTGAATCGAGCTTGTACGCCTTGCGGTAGTGGGAGAGACTGTCGCCCAAATTCCCCTGACTCTCCTTCTCGACGGCGCGCTCGAAATGTTCCAACGCGCTGATGGGTTCTTTCTTGGACGAGGCACTCGCAGTGAAATCATCGTCGTCCACATTATGGATTTTCAGTGTTTCTGTGCGCTGCTGGATCGTGGCCAAGCTGCTACCGCGGGCCTGATCTGCATCGCTATAGTGGTCGGAATCCTCCTGTTTAATATCTGCCGCTGGATGTCGAGTTGGGGGCTTGTTGACGGGTCTCTCGGGTCGGCCATCGCTGGTCCTTCTCTGTCTGTGCTGTGCTGATGATAGAGGCTTCTTCTCCGGCTTTCTTGTGCGGGCACTGACTTCTTCTTTCCATTGCTGGCGGAATTGTTCAAGTTCTGACGCCTGTTCGGCCATGATGGCCTTCCCTTACGTAGTGGTTGTGGTGGGAGAGTGGAGATATGTCATCCGGCGAGGAAAGAGTCTCACTTAGTGAGATGAATCACCTCAAGGTTATACACCCTGTGGGCCAATAGCAAGGCACGGTACCGGGACAGGAATAATAGATGTCGTCAATATCTTTTGGCGCAATACCCACGGTGGGTGACTGGGTGAGTCAATGAACCTGGGGGCCCCAAGGAATGAGTGGCGTTGGAAAAGGTACGTACCTGTGCTCGCTGCTTATCTAATTGCCGTGTTATCGCCGGCGCTACCATCGAGTGGCTCGGCTCGCTTGCCCGATTGAACTCGCCCGATAGCGGCCGAGCATTGTTCGGTCTTTCCTCCTCTGACGAACTTTTTGGCGGCAGCTCAATTTCTCATCCATGCACCAGCCAAAAGTCTCCCATGTCATAATTGCCTCCTCACGCCCTTCGTCCTATATCTTCTACCTAGACAGATGCACGAGCCTTGAGACTGATCCCGTACAAAACAAGCTCTGCTCTGCATCAGTCTGCACTCGTCTAGGCTTCTCCGGCTTGAATGTCCTACTCATTCACTGCGGAACCTGCGCAGTCGCTTGACGAGCATCCCCTCTCTCAACACGCGCTTGGTCACGATGCCCAACAACAACCACAAACAGAGGGACAACGGCATGACAGAGTACCGGTCTCGCAACAGGATACCGGCAACATGTCAGGCTCTAATACCATTGAGATAACCACCACTCAACGCATGATCTCCGCCACCTGGGGGAGTATCTTGACCTCACTGCTTGGTATGTCACGATTCTCAGTACGACATACCACTGTCCCTTACTGACCCCTGCACAGTAACACCGCTCGATGTTGTGCGTGTACGGTTGCAATCGCAGCAAGCTCCTCCGCCCTCGAATCTCTCCCGTTTCCCTGCCTATTCTACAAACTTCAAACAGCTTCCGCCCGATCTCGGCGTCAACTCATGTTGTCGAGAGGTGTTTTTTGTCGGAAACAATGGTCAGTTCTGCCTTGCAGGAAACGGCTCCGCACAGGGGTCATCAGCACTCGCAGCTGAATGTGCCGTTGAAGAAACACAGCGGAAGACCTTCAATTCAACCCTTGACGGCCTGAAGAAGATTGCAAGGAACGAAGGCTATTCAACGTTGTGGCGGGGGCTCTCTCCGACGTTGCTGATGGCCATTCCTGCCAACGTCATTTACTTCACGGGCTACGACTGGCTCCGCTACCACCACAACAGTCCCATCAGGAAGATCTCGTCCGACACCTACGCCCCTCTCGTTGCCGGTTCCATCGCGCGAGTAGCAGCTGCCATTGCAGTCTCACCCATCGAAATGTTCCGAACTCGGATGCAAGCGGTCTCTGGGATCGACACGGGCGTATTCAAAGAAACGCTACTTGGCTTGCACCGGATGACGCAGACCCAGGGATACACCTCCCTATGGCGTGGGTTGACCCTAACCATGTGGCGAGATGTGCCCTTTTCCGGCATCTATTGGTGGGGATACGAAGCAATCCGGAATAAATTGACTGATGCTCGACAATTGGCGAACGGCCAACATCTTGACCCTGCCCGCTCCATGACCGGTGGACGAACAGCTCAAGCTCTCGAAAACCACACAACCACTTTTGTCGACAGCTTCGTCGCTGGCGCAGGTTCCGGTGCGGTTGCTGCTTTCGTCACCACTCCCTTCGATGTCGGCAAGACTCGTCAGCAAGTTTATCACCATGCCGGAGACGACGCCCCCTCCGTGGTGGCCGCAAGAGAGGCTGCCAAAGCCGGCAAACATATTCCAGAGGAATTGTCGATACCACGCTTTCTGTACCACATTTTCACCGAGGAAGGCATGAGTGGACTATTCAAGGGATGGGCGGCACGATGTTTAAAAGTGGCACCCGCATGCGCAATTATGATCAGCAGCTATGAAGTGGGCAAGAAGTGGGCCAAGACGGTGAACGAAAAGAAGGAAGAGAGGAAGGCTATGTCTTGATTTCTCGAGGTCGAGCAGATTCCTATCTCAGGAAGGAAAAGGGCGAATTGTTTTCGTGACGACTATGAGTTCATTCAATGAATTGTACCACTATCAGCGGCCTGGTTTTCGGCCCTCTAATGTACAGCACTGGGCGCGGCGTTGGCGGAATTCTTCTTAGCTAGAGCATCATGAACTCCACTGGCGAAGGGAAGAGCGCATTACAAGGTGATGCCGTTCAATTTCACTCTCCGTTCTATGCATGCTTGTCCCCTATGGCAGTCTTTTGTTCCTGGTGATAACTCCGTGAAGTAAGCGCTGCGAGATCGTCAAAAATCAATCCCACTCCCAAATTTAAGATCCCTAGGCAGTGCGTATGAGCTCTGTCACCGTCAAGCTAAAAAATACACGTACTCATAAGACACTCATTACCACTCCTGTTATGCACCTACTGCCATCCACCTACTGCCATTCCAGCATGTTGAAATAGGTAGCTCCATTTCAACCATATCAGGGTCGTTTACACATATAGAATCCTCTCGCGCCTCCCCTCTCAACCGCGTTTTAGATTTGTGACATCACCGCGGCCTGGGCGACCATCGAGGCCGCCGCCTTCGCACCGCCCGTCGCCAAATCCCGCGCCCTGTACTTCCTCACGAGCGCGTCGCGCTCCTCCTTCTTCCGCCGGGCGTACTCTGGGTCGTTCAGCGGGCACCGCGGCTCGACGTCCGGTCCCGGACACGTGTGCGGCATGTGTTCGTCGCGGCACCGGTGCCGCCGCCGGTTCAGCGGGCATTTGGGGTCGACGCACGTGCAGGGGTGGTGGCTCGGGTTGCCGTCGTCGGCGGCGGCGCACACGTGCGTCGCGGCCGCGATGGGGCACTTCTTGTGCCAGCACGGGTGCTCTGCCGCGATGTGGTGGTGGTGGTTGTCCCCGTACGTCCGGAGCCGCATGTGTGCGTGCGGGTAGTGCTCGTGGTCATCGGGCTGGTCGGGGTTCTGTGGGTTGGAGGGCTGATTGGGGTTGGAAGGATGGCTTGGGTTCGAGGGCTGGCTTGGATGCGACGGCTGGTTTGGATAGGACGGGTGATTGGGGTTCGACGGTTGACTAGGATGGGATGGCTGATTGGGATTTGGCGGTTGGTTGGGACAGGACGGCTGGCTGGGCGGGCTAGCGTTCTGGTATGGAGGGTTGCTGGTTTGGCAAGGAGGCTGAGAGGAGGGCGGATTGCCGTTGTGGCAGGGTGGCCCGCCATCGTTCAACTTGTCCGGGGGGTTCGAGAACAGCGACTGGTTATCACAGCTGTCGTCGCTGGGAGCTTCTGAACCCGAGTCTTCATCCATGTCGCGGTCGTGGTCATCAGTAGTCCTCGTGTGTTTGGGTGGGTGATGATGGGTCGGAGGCAGAGGCGGCGGGAAACTGAACCAAGGTACACGGTCCGGGTTGGGAGCTGGTGTCTCTTGTACTGTTGTCGTTGTGGAGTGCTTCGGATCATGCGAGCAATCTGAGGAGTGGTCTTTGTCGTGATAGTGATGGCGTTTCCCACGCCGCTTGTAGCAGTATTTGTAGATTATATAGGCAATGCCACTCAAGAGGAGAAGTCCAACCACGCTGCTAACAGTACCCTCGACAATTTGGGGCACGTTGTTTTCCTTCGGCGGGTCGCCAACGCCAACTGTGCAGTTCTCTGGTGGCAGGTTCGAGGTCACCCCAACGACGAAGATAGAATTCTTGTCGGCATTGTCGGCCGTGACCTTGACATCAATCGTGTCGGTACTGGGAGCAATGACAGAGAACCCGCTGGAATAGTAGCTGGAATAGTAGTCCGCTTGGCCTTTGGCGAGGGTCTTGCCCCCGGAAACAATTTGAACCGCCAGGGTGCCGGCATTGACGCTTTGAACATTGAACGTAAGTTGCTCCTTGGCCCTTGCACTGTAAGTCATGGTTTGCGTCTCAGAGCCTGAGATGAAGTGTGACGCATCGAGGCCAGCCAACAAAGTGGTAGTATCTCCGTCTGGGTTGTCATTTTTGGTAAGACCATTGACGATGATGCCGTCAATAAACTCCTTTGAAGCGTTGTAGTTCTGTATGGTAAAATATCTTCCGCCGGAGTGCATGATCGCGGAAAGAACATCTGTGTCCTGCAGACCGGAAGAGTCGTCCAGGAACCCAAATGCCACTCTGATACCCAGGCTGGTAGCACGATCAATTTGATCCACAAGATCTGAAGTACTCGAGTCCTGGGAGAAGGTCAGCGTCACTGAAACAGGAATCTTTCCAGAGGTCAAGATGTCTAGAATGATTTGTGAGAGACAGATGAAGGCGGAGGGTTGCTCAAGAGGGCATCGCAACCTGACAAAGGTGGGTTGATATGAACGTACCTCTCCGTCGGTAAAGACTAGGATGCCACTTCGACCAGCGGTATCCCCAGTGTTGGCCGCGGTGAGTTGTTTAATGGCCATTTGAACACCACCGGCGATATATGTGCCCCCCTCTGCGCCGATTTGCGCAAGCGAGCTGGCAGCCGCATCGGGGTCTCCAAGTGGATAGTCCAGGTAGGCTTCGTCGTCAAAGTTGATGACGGTGACCTTATCTTGCTTCTGGGTACTGGTTACCTCGCTCTTGGAAATAAGCCAGTCGAGGACCATTTTTGCAGCGCTGAGGCGATAATTGTAAGGATCTGACTCTTCCATAGACCCAGAGCTGTCGATTACCAGGGCGATCTTGCGATCGCCATTGTTTGAATTGACTCGGAGGTTTGTGCAAACCGGGGCCGAGTCTCGCGGAAGGAGATAAGCATCGGAAATGCTCGCAAAAAGAATAATGAATGGCAAGCACAGAACGGTGGGAAACATGGCGATTACACAGACGTTGGACTACCACCAGTTAGCTTTCTCTGCACGTAGTCCACGAGGGTCGCTTTGACTCTATATGTTCGAGAAGATGGCCTGTCGCCTGGGCATCAGCCTCGATTCTGGCCAAAAAAGACGACAACCCCCAAGCAGTTGGCGCGCTGTGTGGATTGCCATTTTCGTCGAGGCAACTTCCACATGAAGAAGCGATGAAGTACTCCGTACACGAGACGGGAGACTGGCGAAAGAGATGAGATTGACTCATTGGAAGGAGAAGCAGAGTCTCGACCATAGTTCCGTCGGGTGCTGCTTGTCCACGGCTGAAAAGTCTCAGGATCAAGGCTCGGTTTTCAGGCTCCGTGGCTGGCACTGCGACAAACTAGTGAATTGTCAAGAATGGCGTTCGTATTGCAGCCTTGATTCCTTGTGTGGTTTCTGTGAGTCTTTCAGCCATACCCAATCTAGAAGCAGTCGGTCAAGGAAACTAGATAGCATTGTTGCAGGAATCAACCCGTTCTCTGCATGCAGACTCAAGTCCTCGTATCGCAGGGGCCAGATTCGCTAACAGAGTTCGAGTTCTCCCTATGGCGTCCCTGAAGTGAGTCCAGGTCTTTCCATCGGGGTTATTCGCCATGTGTCGTCGGCAATTTCACGAGAGTCAGTCAAAACGTGTGAGCTTCAGCCTTATCACGGTCTTGGCTGCGATCTCGTCTGTGCACAAACTTAGAGCCACGAGCCAATCCGTAGCGTGGAAGTTCGGAGACGTCAGGGGAATCACACTGGAGGCAGCGCATGGAATCCCTTTTTCCTCAGCTTGGGATCCCCTGCGTAGGACACCGACACTCTGGCAGCCGCTGAAGATGCAGGTTTCGAAGTTGGCCAGAACGTCGGCCTGGTGGAAATTGGACAAGGCGGAGTTTCTCTTGGCGATCACAGGGATTCGATGAAGCTTGTGTCGCGAGGTCGGTGAGGCTGAAAGATGCGCCCGGAATTCACGGGGCAGACAGTGGCCGAAGCTTTTGCCAAGAGTCTTGGCTAGTATCAAGGCACCAGGGCGGGATGTGCCTCGAGCCCCTTTCCACCATCTGGGGTCCCATTGGCCCTGCCAGACTTCATCCCCTCGTGTCTCCTCCAGGAGACTATACGTTCCAAATATATCAGCAAACTGGCGTGCCATCCAGGGTGTGCACCATGAAGCGTTCGTATTTCTGCAGCCCTTTTGCTGTGGCAATTTCCCATTCTGTCATGCGAAAGACTCACTTGTGTAAGTTCCATCTTGGTCGAGACACAGGGTGTTTGCTGCTGCGGTATATATAGACTGTACCAGCAATGGACTCCAGCTCAGGTGTCCTTGAGTATTTCAACCCGTTCGTTCTGGTCAAAAATCCAAGTCACTCGTTGCATCCGCTTCCATAGACACATTCGTCTGCCTTCCACCCCCGTTCAACAGTCTTTGTTCTAAGCCCTTTCTCAAGTCTTTTCTACACAACAACCGAGCCATCATGCCTTCTGGAGAAGGGTACTCTGTTGTCCCCGTGCAGCGAGCCTTCCTGCCCCTCAGGATCATTCAGATGGTCTTCACCGTCATTGTCTTTGGAATTGCGTGCTACCATCTTTCCCTGGCACCGAACTATGATGTGGGTTTCCACCCTCAAATGTCTAGAAACGTTTGTCTGACTTGTCGCAAGGCTGGTGGTATAAGTCTTTTCACCGCCCTCGCAACCATCATCTTCCTGATCTACTGGTTCGTGGCAAACAGCCCAGCCAACACCAACCTTTACAATTACTGGGCTTTCTTCGCCGTCGAGCTCTTCGTCCTCATCTTTTGGCTCTGCACATTTGCCCTTGACGCCGACAAGGTTTCCTTGTATGTCCAGGCTACAAGCTATAGCTATGATGGCACCGACTATTCTGGCGATGGTACGACCAGTGGCAGCGGCTCTGTCTGCTACGATGGCGTCTGCGTCAGCTATAAGCGCGGCCTCCATTACAAACGTGGTCTCGTCAAGCGATCGACTGACCCCATATCTGCGACGCTATATGTCGCCCTTGCACTCTCGGTGATCAACTTGCGAGTACTCCCACATCGTTGACCCAATGTCTTTGTGCGCTAACAGAATGCAGCATCTTGTTCGGCGTCACCTTTACCCTCTACACCATCAACATGTTCCGACATCGGGCGGCTCTTTCCAATGCTAAAGGCAACAATATCGCCATGAACAATGGCCACGGAGCAGCCAGCCGGATGGAGAAGGGGGTGGTCATGAATGGACATCAGTGAACGAACTGCTTTGGTGTGTTGAACTTAGCCTTCCGGTACAGGTTATGACATGATCAGGATGAGTTCTAAAGTGCTTTGGTCTTTTCATTAGGAGGAGTGCAGAACATGTGTCTCGCCATATAACTGTTTATCTGTTTGTCTGTCTATAAATCAAGAAAGTCTAGAGCAATGAGGAAGGATGGATAGCGAAGTTGTGCACGGGATGAAAAGAATCTTATCATGGTCTATCTGTCGCATTGTTAGGGATAGGAAGGTACTCGGTATATCATTATGCCGCCCATGAAAACGCCAAGGCTGACGGCATCAACGACGCCTCCCCAGTCAATAGGCACCCCAGTCCCGTTATCAACGACTCCCACTAGACATGACTTCGGAACGCAATAATGGGTGTTATACGGACCATAGGCATAGTAGTGCTAAGCATCTCGTTTGTTGTGTTCGTTGCTCTCTTTGGTCGATTGCCCGTCTTTAGGTGAGCGGGTTCCCCCTTGAAAATCGTACAGCCTCAGCTTCTCACAAGCCCTTTCAGGAGGACACCTATTGCCTTTCTCCATCGACTTCTATGGAGACATATCCCAAATGCATTCATCACCGTGGATGAACGGCTTACTGGCCGCCGTATCACAAGTAGTCTCGCGAGGACGGGCAACTATCTCATGAACGAGAAACATCCTATCGTTCTTGTATGTTCGAAGCCCGAGCCCAGAAGGGGGAATGGGACACGTGCTCACATATGCATCTAGATCTTCTTTGTCCTCTTACAAGTTGTCGGTGAATTCCTATTCATTCCGACAGCATGGAATCGTCTTTCGATCAACCAAATAGCGGTGTTGCCACCTCTGATCGTGGCCCCTTTGGCGTTTCTGTACCTCGCCGGTACTACCTCCTCGAACATCACTTCTGAGAATCACCGGTCGGCAATGCTGGCCTATCCCTATGATTTCGCTCTCTTCCACCCGGGCTACTTCTGCTCCACCTGTCGATTTGCAAAGCCTGCCAGATCTAAGCACTGTTCTATATGTAAAGCTTGCATTCAAAAACAGGACCACCACTGCATCTGGATCAACAACTGCGTGGGGAGGAACAACTACTTATGGTTCAATCTTCTGCTGGTCAGCATCGCCGCACTATTGTTCTACGGCTCATATCTAGGCTACATCTTGCTCGACCGAAGACTCCAGAACCGCCTCGTGCCGCCGGCGCTGACGAGGGGCAGTCTTACGGCCAAGCGGTGGAGCACCCGGATGACATGGGGCGAATACATGCACGCTTGGGCATGGGCCATTGCCATGGAATGGCGCATCGGGGCTGTCATGATGCTAGCTATGATGTGTATACCCCTGGCACTGGGGTTTCTTGCCTACCACCTCTATCTCATCTGGGCAGGAATGACTACGAACGAGAGCTCCAAATGGAGTGACTGGAAAGAGGATATTGCAGACAAGGTAGTTTTCAGGGCGGAGATGACTCGACTGAGAGAAACCTATCCGCCTCTGCCGGAGGACGTGGAACCTTTGGACAGGGATGTCAAATGGCCTGTGGGCGTCCGGGCAAAGTGGTGGCTGGTGAGGACGAGAGACGGCAAACAGCCGACAAGGAAGCTCAGCAGAAAGACAGGAGATGCTGCAAATCTTGGTGCTGAAGCCGCAGGAGGTAACAAGGGCGAGGAAGAGGTGCAGGACGAGCGATGGGAACTTGTTTCTTCGATTGCACAGGTGGAGAATCTGTATGATCTGGGTTTCTGGGACAATCTATGGGATGGGCTGTTCAATCGCGAATGAGACCACGCGCGTTTCAACAAGAGAGCACCTTGCGAGCGCCGGTAAATTCGTCCTAGGAGACAAAGCTAATGTATATATGGTTCCATTGAGCCTCGAGTATTCCAACACTCAACCAACTTTGAGGACGGACTACTTCTCTCCTCATACTGATTCCCCTTTTTGGTGTTGTTAGAATCCAAATGAAACCCCGGCTTTCCTCTTCATGTCACGGTAGGCTCATTTTTATTCGTTTGTGCTGCTGCCGGCCCCCATATCCAGGGTGCGAAATCGAAGTATACATCTCATCACGTGAATTGGAGCAGCAGCCGCCGCCTTACTGTGGCCTCCCAACTTCCAAACCATTCGAATTTTGAACCGCGTCTGTGGCCAGCGGCAGTCCTCGCGCGAGATTCAATCGATCCACGGCCGAAGTCATTGCGTGACGGGGGTAGTTTCAGGATGCTTGCCAATGGCTCCTCGACCTGCCAAAAGGCAGCGCAGATCTACCATCGTCCTTTCAGACGACTGCGATGAAGACGTGGACCTGCCGTCCCCCAAACCTGGAAGAGCGAGTTTCCAACGGGAGATAACACTCGATGGCAGGACATCTGCAACAGTGTCTCCAGTGAAGTCTACAACGACCAAGTCCGCCTCCAGAAAGGCTGCGCCCAAGCCCTCCCCAACACCATCACCCGAGAAAGCGAGAAAGAATACCAAAGGCAAGAGCGAGGTAGAAAAGAACAAGTCACTGCACAACTTCTTTCATAAGGCCACAGAGGAACAGAGATGGAAGAGAAAGTCCGAGACGCCAAATATAGAGGTGGAAAATAATGGCGAGTTGAGCGATGCGATCGAAGACGACGATCTGTCCGACGAAACCTTGCGGGAACTAGGATTCAATAGAGGAAGATCCAACGCCAATACAACCAGACAGATACCAGCGGTGGTGTCTGCGGCAGTGAACCCCAAGCGTGATTCCAATGGGGAAACCCTATCATCGACCCAGAGATTCATTAGGCCTGGGGTAGCAGCTCGAAATATCATTAATACTGGAGACCCATCTCAATTTGACAACAATGACCACCGCCCCTGGGCCGACCGTTATGGTCCTATCAGTCTCGAGGAGCTTGTGGTCCACAAGAAGAAAGTAGCAGATGTTCAAAATTGGCTACAGGGCAAGTTGGATGGGCACAACAGTCAGAAGTTGCTAGTACTCAAGGGCCCAGCGGGCAGTGGCAAGACCACGACCGTGGGTCTGCTTGCGAAGGCTCTGGGCTTGCAGCTCATCCCATGGCACAATCCTGCTGTATCGGAAGTGGGTGCGGGCAACTCAATATCCGCGCAATTCGACGAGTTCCTGAATCGAGGGGGTCAATTCAGCAGTCTGGCTTTCGACCGGGATTCTTCGGACGGGAATGTAAGCAAAGGAGAATCAAACTGTCGACTTCTGGTCATTGAAGAGTTTCCAGCAACGATGACGAGATCCTCGAGTGTCCTTCAATCATTCAGATCCGTCATCCTGCACTTTCTCGCCCAAGCGAACAAGCCTCCTTCCATGACATTTCGTGGCCAGCAGAGTCCCAAAGATGTCTGTCCCCCTGTGGTCATCATTATCTCCGAGACTTTATTGTCATCTTCCACAGCACTGGCGGACAGCTTCACAGCTCATCGACTGCTGGGCGCAGAGATCTTGAACCATCCCTTTGTAACCACCATGGATTTCAACCCTGTTGCGCCTACATTCGTCACAAAAGCGCTCGACCTAGTGATGAAGAAGGAAGCGAGAGACTCACGTCGACGTCGCATCCCGGGTCCTGCCATCATCACAAGGCTGGCTGAGATGGGCGATGTCCGGAGTGCCGTCAACTCCCTCGAGTTCTTGTGTGTGAGAGGAGGGGATGGGTCGGAATGGTCTGGCACCGTTGCGGCGAAGGCGAAACGGCCATCGAAGAACAAGGAGAACTTGGCACTGACGGAGGTGGAAAAGAATTCATTGCAACTGGTTTCCCAGCGCGAAACAACTCTCGACATGTTCCATGCCGCAGGTAAGATCGTCTACAACAAACGCGAAGACCCTCGTGTCTTGGACACTAGAGCTGAACCACCCCCGAAGCCCCCGGATCATCTCATGCATTTGTACACTCCAAAGGCGTCACAAGTGGATATTGAAGCCTTGCTCAACGAGACAGGCACAGACATTCAGACATTCATTTCTACGCTGCACGAAAACTACATCCTGTCATGCAACGGCGATATGTTTGAGGAGTGTTTCGATGGCTGTTCTGATATCCTCTCCACAAGTGATGTTTTGAATCCCGAGATCCGCCAACTTCGCCGGCGCCACAACAACTCCAATCCCAATTTTGGCATAATGCAGTCAAACGTCCAAGCGGGAACTGCGGACACCCTGCGGCAGGACGAAATCGGCTTCCATGTCGCCACTAGAGGCCTGTTGTTTCATTTACCGTACCCAGTTAATCGAGCGGCGGTCACGGTACCAGGTGCAAAACGGGGGGATTCATTCAAAATGTTTTACCCGGCGAGTCTCAGGTTGTGGAAACCCATCGAGGAGACGGAGGCGCTCTTAGAGACGTATGTCTATGGTGGTGACGTGCGGGCCAGGAGAGCCGAAGGTTCTTCCGTGTTTGCTTCTGCGAGCGGGACGGGGACTACGTTCGCAGCTGGTGGTGATGGAGGCGTGGCGAATTGGCGGACGAAAGAATTTGCGCTGGACACCGACACCAGTGACTCTCCGACCGACACAGCCGTCGCTAATACCATGCTCGAAGGCGCAGACGGGACTGAAGACAACCCACCCCCTCCAATTGCGTACTCGAAAGATACTCTGGCGACCGAGCTTTTGCCGTATGTGACACGTATCTTTGCGGCGAGGAGGCAGGACACGACGCTGTTGGAGAAGATCACCAAGTTCAAGCCGACCAGCTACCTTTCGACGGACGATGAAGGATTCGAAGAAGATGAAACGGCCACGATTGCCACGCCGGGTGACGGGATCGGGCGAACGCAGCAGCCGTCCACGCCATCCGCCGGGACCACAAAGGGAGTCCTCAGCAACAACATGCGCCTCGGAGAAAGTTTCGGCTCGACGCAGGGCCCCAGGAATCTGAAGCACGACGTGCCAGCAGCAGCGGCGTCTGTGGGTGTGGGCGTGGAGAAGCTGTACATCTCCGACGACGACATTGAGGACGACTAAGACTAAGTGGGATGAATGATTCCGGTGGTTTCCCTGCTTTCTGTGTAGGAAATATTTCAGCGAAGGATGTCAGGGCCTTCCTTCACTTGGTGACTCGTCCCGATCGACTCCATTGGAAGCAGAGTGTATGGGAGACTTGCCCAGCCAACAGCCCAAAAGGGAAGGGCGTGTACGGTGCAACGGCCTGTGACAAAAAATATTAATGGCGTTATCCGCTCCGGTTTAGGCGTCGGTTGGGAATGTGTGTAGGACGGACGAGAAGCTGTTCTGATGCCCAAGGGCCGGGGAGCGAACTACTACTGTTGATCCATACGTGCATGCATGCATACATACATAGGAACGACAGGAGACCAAGCGGGAATCGTGATGCGTTCAGAACGGGAAACGGCCTAGGGGGGATTCTGGCTTTGGTTTCCCAAGTATTTCTGTGCCTCGTGATTGCTCACATCCAAGTGCTTGAACGACTCCTTGCTGGGTGCTTAGGTCCTAATGTATACAATTAAGTTACATTGCATAGCCTGGGCTGAGGCTGTGCCGTGTGAATCTATATAGAACAGTCCAACGATACCGCATGGAGTGCTGGATCCTATCCCCCGTCATGCTTGCCATAGCCAATACTGCTGGTCATCCCCGGGCCCTGTAGGCCATCATTATCCTGCTCGTACCTCCACGTCTCGTCTGTTGTTTTTCTTTTTCTTTTCCTTTTTTTGGGTTTCCGATGCTGGAAATGATTTGCCGCCTATGCTTTAGACGATCTGCGCTGGGCTTTTGACTGACAGACTCTTGCGTGCTGTTCCTCGTCCAGTGCTCAAGTCTGCTGGAACCATCCGTCCTCCTTGATTCGAAAGACAAACGTCACCGCTGTGGCCGCCAACAACCCCAAACATAACGCCGTTGTCCCGTACTTATCATAGTACCTTGACACACTAGCCCTCCTTTTGCGAATCATCTGCACCCGCAGATAATAAATGACAACACTATATATCAATGCTGCGGACGCGACAATGGTAAACCCCCAAGCAGAAATCACACTCACATAATCTCCAAAGTTCAAGAGCGCCGCGGCAATAGAGCCGATGATGATGCTAAACTCAAGCCACGAGAGGAAGGTGCGTTCGGCAGCAAAGTAGACCTTGGGCTCCACGCGAACGGGCACATGGATACGTTTGCCTTTGGGAGCCTTGAAGCGTTTCACTTGCACTTGGCCGGTGAGCTGGTTCCTGCCGCCGGCAACGCCTCCGTTCTGTGGTAAGGGGGTGCTTGTCGGGATTTTGTGGATGACGTTGAGGATACGGTCGCCAACCAGATGAGCCTGTTGTTTTAAGAACAAGGGGTAGTATTTCCACGATTTGGACTGGCGGGCTTGTTCCAGCTCGTCTTCGGCATCTTCTTCTTCGGAGTCGTAGAGATACTCGTCCGCGACACGCAAGGCAGCAACTCTTTCTTCTTCGTCTAATGAGTTACCAGGCGCCGCGTAACTGTCCTCAACGGAATCTTGGTCCTGGGCCCGCGTATGCTCGTCGAGTGCTCGCCGTGCGGCCTTCAAGCGCCTTGTCCCTTCGTCGTCGGTGTCCTGAGAACCATCGAACATTGGGGTCGTCTTTCCGGTGGTCTGAGCCTCAACTGCTGGATCATCTGAGTCGTACTCATCCTCGTCGACATCACTGGTTGAGTAACTTGCAGTATTGGCAGGCCGCTCAATGCCGAAGCGGTGGGTAATCGGTTTTCGAATGTCGACGTCCATCTGGGGGAACCAGAACGGCAGAAGATTGATACGAGCAGGGAAAAGGGTGGCGGTGCCGTGAATGAATTTTGAGAACTTGGGGACGGCTTCGACAAGATGGCTTGCTGTCAGGTCACGAATCCACTGGGGTGGTTCTTGACCGGCTTGGGTCTGCAACTTGACTTCAAGGACGGCGTACGGGAAGCGTTCAACATCCTCGGGTGGCAGCTGAGGAAAGGGCCAGTCAATCCCAATGTCCATCCGTCGCCAATTCTTACCGGCACGTTGCCTGCCATCAAGGTTGTCTTCACGGACCATCGTCAATTCGGTGTCCAACGATATTCTCACACGGGCATCACCCGGAAGCTGGAATGCTGTGCGGTGGTAGAAAGACCGGGTCACTGGAACGAGCTTTCGGCTGATGACACGGTATTGGATTTCTCGAGCGAGTTGTTCGAGGTCCTCAATTTCCTTGATGCTCTTCTTTCCCTCTTTCCGCATCTTCGCAAAGACCTCGTCAACAGTCAAAGTCCCGTTCAAAAAAGCATTGACGTTCTTCTCTTTCAGGGTGAAGCGAGCTTTCACAGACTTTTCCCCAGTCCAATCCTCGCGATGGGTCTTCCTCTCCACGAAGATGGTCTCGTTTTCCATACCACCATACCATCGAAGGCGGATGGCCTCAGCACCCTCGGTCTTCTTGAGACGGCCCATGTACAGCTCCCACGTTTCCGGGTTGTCGTAATAGATGGATGAGATGGCCGAATCCTTTTCTTCAAACTCTTTGTTTGGGTTAAAGACCAAGACGGGCAAATGCTTGAGGACGATGAGCTTCAGCTCGGTGATGTTGTCTGGGTGGACCCAGTACTTGGTTGTTTGACGGACAAAGTTCTGCTGGGAACCACCGGCGCTGCTGTCTCCTTTAACGGGGTTACCCCGCGTTCGGACGAGATCGTAGAGCTTGGACAGCTTGACGATGAAGGCATCATAGTTGTCTTGGAAGAAGGGCTTTGCTTTGAGGCGGGTCGCGAAGGAAGGACGAAGGATCAACTGGGTTTGCTTGTCATGCTTCTTAATTATTTTTTGAAACCCCGTGTAGTTCAACTGGGTGAACTTGGCCAGGTCGTGGACGTCGGCGATAATGTCGGAAAGGTCGGCTTCCAGCAGGTCGAAATCGTTCTCGAGCTCCTCGTCGGGCTCAGAGCCGTTTTGGTTTTGGCGGTCCTGCCGTTCGACGACCTGCTTGACCTCGGACTCCGCGGCCTTTATCCTTGATATGATTTCCTGGCTCTTGAGCTTCTGAAACGTGAAGACCTTGTCCAGCTCGGCCTCTAGCTGCTGAATGAAGTTGGCCTCGTCGTCGTCGGTCCATTGTTCTCGCTCGCCACTTTTGCCGTTAACGAAGGGTTTCTTGAGGGCGGCTTTGAGGTCGTCATAAGCTATGTAGTGCCAGTAATAGTCCTTGATCAGGGACTGGCGGAGCTGCTGGCCGAACCTAGAGAGAGAAGGAGTGTTAGAGAGGAATACAATGGAGCGGGGCTTGTCAGAGCATACTTCATGGCGAGAGGATAAGGGAGGGCGCTGCAAGTCTACAGCATTGAAGGGGGAGATATGTGAGCGTATGATAGATCGAGGAGAAGAGACAAAGGACATGGAGCTTAGTCGTATCAAGAGTTTCAGCAGAGAATAGACAAATGCTTTGGGCAATGGTGGTGCAGCAGAAGCAAAGCTGCAAACTAACAAAATTCCATGCAGGTAAAGAGTAATGGGTGGAGGTGATGCTGCTGGAGGTCTCGAAGAAGGCGAATCGGGCTCGCTTGCTGGAGCTTCCGGTTGCTTAGGGGCTTGATCTGCAGCTCCACGGTGGTCCAATGGCAACCGCGGGATGGGGGAACGTGCGCGTGTTCTCGACGCTTATAAGGCCAGAGTCCCCAAGGTACAACAAGTAGCTAGGTGTCCTAGTGGGGATCTAGGGGCCTCGGTAGGGACCCCACCACTTACATGTTAGGGCCTAGGTGCCCGCCTATTAGGTACGTACCTAGCCTAACAAGCTGCCTCGTGGGCGGCAGAGAGGTGAGATAGGCTTCACGCAAGCAGGTCATAGTGGGATTGTGGCTCACTGTGGCGATCAGCCAATATGCATGCGCCTATCTGTGTAGGCACTCCACCATGGGGTTGCTAAGGTGGGAGTGCAATGTCAATGTTGACGGTCACCAAGCAGTCGATAGCAAAGAGCTGCAGCAACACGGTGACAAGGTCCTACTTGCTAGGTACCTGCTATTCTTTGTTTGGCACTCGCCCTCGCAGGTGCTAATACCCCTCACTAAGCACAGCCTGCGGAGTTGCACCTTCATCATCAAAGCCTTGCGAGGCTGAGAGGAAGCCCGCCGACCAGAGCACCAGCCATTCATCCATCCACACTCTTGGATGGACCCCGTCTTCACGCTGCAACTGAGTGGCTCTCCTCGAGCTACCCAGAGTACAGCTTCTCATACCCCAAGAATTTGTGCCGGTGCTCGAGGCATGAGCCTGGGCGCCGATACAGGCCCTTGAGAGATGATTGGGAGGCGTGTCGTCTGGGCCTTCCGCACTGGGAGTGGGACTGCGACTTCAACTCCGTCACTTGGCTCTGCATCTCTTCATCCAACCTCCATCCTGCCATTACTTGGGATTGGGACGCACGGCACCAAAAACAATTCCATCCATTCCATCAGGCAGATTCAGCCTCCAGATTCCATGCCATTCAATCTCCCTTCCCTCGCCCCGTCGCTCCCTCTCTGCGCTTCTCTGGACTCATAAAGCCATCAGGCAACCGCGCTAGCCTCAGAGGCAGCCGCAGCCAGGACTCCAAGCCTCAGTGGCAACCCCCGTTCGGCCCATCACCATACAAAAGGCTGTTCCCTGCACTCGTCGGCTTCCATTTCTTTCGTTCATGAAACAACTTTTGCGGACTTTGGTCCATGTGCTGTCTCCCGAATTCCATCTCGATGTTCACCTAACCCTTCACGCGCCATGACTTCCTCCGCAACCCAGGTGGCCGTGAATCAGGCCCCAGATCTTCCCAATGAAATCCTTTTGCTCATCATCCAAAGATGCCCTCGATCCACCTTGAAACGTCTGCGGTTGGTCTCTAAGAATCTCGCTCATATGGTTGAACCTTATCTCTGGCGCAAAGTGGTTCTGGTTCCAAACGACCATTGTATCCTTGGCCTGTACAGAGCGTTGAAGCGCTCAAAGATCACTCGTCATGTCACGACGTTGACGTATGATGGCCGCTTTGGTTCCTTCTTCCACTGCGTCAAGGGGATTCCGCCAGACCCAACCCTCCCATATCCCGAAGAGGAACAGCACAAGGAAGCAGCCCTGCTCGACCGCACCTGCGCTGGCCACTTCAAACCTTATGAAGATGTCTCTATTGAAGTTGCCATCCTCTCGAGGGCCTTGCGAATCTTGCCAAACCTGCAGGGGGTTCGCGTCAAAGACCACGAAGATGGCTCCTCGATCCCAGCGGCCAAGGTTCCCTCATTCTATCGCAAGATTTGCAAACGCCTCAGAGTCAACCCAGAGACGGTCAATTGGAATTCTATGGCGGGCACGACTGGAAGATCCTACACAAAGGGATTTCTGACCGCCGCTTTCTCGGCTGGCTGCCGCCTTCAAACCTTCGAGGCCAAAAACATCGATGGCCGTTCGATGTTTGGTGTCGTGCCCATCAAGGCGCCCTCGGCACTCCAACAACTTCGTATTTGTCGGACTATCACCGAGAACCTCCACGCCCTGGAGCTCTCGTTCCGCAATGACACATTGATTAGTACCGCCAATCACATCGAGGCAGTTCGCTCCCTCTTAGAAGGCGCCCCGAGAATCAAGACACTGAGGCTGCGGCTGACGGATTGCAGTGCCAATCGTTACCAGTATGCCGAGGATGATTTGATTTCGGATTTTTGTGGCCTACTGGAAACTTCCGCTGGAACATGGACGTCGGTGCCTCTTGTCCCAAGATTGGAGACGTTGATTGTCGATGCATGCATCTGCCATGATGAGGACCTGATTCACTTCCTGAAGATCCACGCCCCCACCCTACGACGGTTGGAATTATCCAATGTGACTCTCCTCGGGGGTGAAGACCGTCGAGAATGTTGGGTTCGACTGATCAAGCACCTGAAGACAGATCTAAAACTCACTTCGATATCTTTCAGCGGATGGCTCAGTAATGGGGGAAGACAGCAATGGTTTGTGGCAAAAGATACTGTGGGTACAGACAGGTTGAAGGCTAAAGTGGAAGCCTATGTTACCGACCGACGGATTCGAGCATGCCCCCTCGAGTCGATCGCCATACAACCAAATCAAGGTGACGTCGAGCAACCGTCAGATGGAGAAGAGTTTGAGGGAGACCTGACCTGGACCATGGTCTACTCTAATCACACAGGGGAGCAAATGGATTGGCAGCTAACCCAGCCATCATTCGGCGTCCATTCAAACGAGGCATCCCAACCACCATCGGAGTCGGGTGATGTCAACTCGCTAGAGCAGACCAATTCTGAGGGCTGGATAGAGCATGCCGGTGAGGAAGGAGACGACTCGGAACCGGACGAGCCTGTGAACGTCGAGCCTCCCTTTTCTTATGAGACCGTCGAAGTCGCAAATTTGATTGACGGGAGTACCTTCACGTACCAGTCTTTGCCGCTTACATCATCCACGGTCACAGTTTACAAATTTACCCAGTCTACCCAGTCTACCCCGGCAGCTTGGAAGCCTGTCGCAATCCCCGCGGAGATCTTTTTCGATGATGCTCCTCCCCCGGATTACCCTCCCAAGTACTGATGGGGACCACCAAAGGGTTGGTCCAGTGTTCTGACGCCTGTGCAGCATCTTCGCAATGGTAAAGGGCACCTTGTGGCAGTTCGTGTGCTTCTTGTTGATAAGTTGTTTAAAATGGTTAGTCACGGAGATTCCTTCTTTCATGTAACGCAGCTGGCGGACAGGACAAGCTTGGTGCGCCGTGGATTGTCCATATTCTCGGGTCCATATTTGTAGATTCGGGGGTTCGAATTTTGCGGTCAAGGTTCAAGGAGTCAACTTTGGAATGGGGAGGCTCTGCTGCGTTGGAATAACGAAGATCACGACATGACGATGGGAATGCATCACATAATGAAAAAAGGAAATGGAACCTGGCCACGGGGTTGATTGTATTATTTGATAAACGACACTGGTATCGAAGTCTTTGGCCGGTTTAATTACACTGGAATTTGCAAGAAATACTTGTCTAGCTGCTTGTTATCTAGGGCCAGCAGCTGTACGTGAACGACGTGGCCATCACGTCGTAATGTGACCACGAACCGTCCCAATTGGGCTTCCTGTCTTCTCTTGATTCTCGAGGAAACGCGAACAACAGAATCGAGAAAGAGAGAGAGAGAGAGAGAGAGAGAGGAGGGGGGGGGGAGGGAGGGAGGGACAGAGCGAAGGAGAAAAAGATTCTCCCTCGGTGCGCCCGGGGTTTCAAGACCTCCTACTCACTCGATAGTTCTCGGACGACCTCGACGCCGGAGTGAGCCGTAGGCCTTCAGGTTCTAGATGGCCGTAGCTGTATTTAGGTCTACAGAGGAATCGTGTTCGGGGCGGACTTGGATGGAGCATCTGCGTCGTCTTGTCGATCGGTCGATCAATCGCTCGTCAGTCACTCATTCACATGCTGGCAGATGGTCAGAAGAATGTGGTTGTCATTCGCCCAAATCTCTTTGCATTGCGCTCTTCTGCTCGTCTTCTGTGCTTCACTCGAAACTCTCCTATATGTACAACACGACTCAAGGCCCCCCTTGTCGGGCTCGAGCGAATGATTGTAGCTCTTTCCATTTTTCATGTGTCTTCCTCCAACGTTGGAGTTTGGCGGATTCGAAATTCCAACGCAAATCTGCTGTCGTCTCCTTCCCAACGGTGACATCTCCCTCACCCAACAGACTTTCAGAGCTCCCCATCTGCCCTCAGGACGTCTTTGCTATGGTACGGCTCACCCAACAGCGTGGTCTGCCCCGCCCTCGGCTCGCAGGTCATTCTCTGTTTTCCCTCGTACAGTTGCGGTCCCGGCCGCGGGACCTTTGACACATCGTACCCGCTGATTGTGGCCGAGTCCTTGAGAGCCTGCAACAACTGCTTGGTCGTCTCCGGCGTGAGATCCTCGTAGTAATCGTCATTGATCTGCACCATGGGGGCATTGACGCAAGCACCTAAACATTCCACCTCGAGGAGGGAGAAGAGCTTGTCTTCCGTCATGTGTCCCGAGTGGATGCCCAGAAACTCTTCGCACGCCTTCATGATCACGTCGCTCCCACATCCTCCCAGCATGCACGGCGTCGTCGTGCACACCTGGACGAAATATTTCCCGACCGGGTTGCGATTGTACATGGTATAAAAGGTCGCCACCTCGTAGACACGCATCGGCGGCATCTCGAGGATGCGGGCGACCTCGTTCATCACGCTGATCGAGGTGAAGCCGTGCTGGCGCTGGCCCAGATCCAGAAGCGGCATGACGGCGGCTTTCTTGTACTGCGGCGGGTAGCGCTTGGTGATCTCATCGATGAGGCGGAGGTTCGTGTCGTTGAACTTGAAGGGGATTGAAGGGTTGTTTTCGGGAGTGTTGCGATGCTGGCTTCTCTGTTAGAGACAAACGTAGACGTCTTGAGCGAATGTGCTACTGACCACGGAGAGCGATTCACTTCGCGACGACGGCGAGGTTGAGAATTGTCTGGGATGGAACAGCTGTCTTCGAGGAGCTCTGCAAGGTGTTCTAGTCGCCTGGCGTACCAGCTGCGGCACAAGCTTTGACGCCATGGTGGGCGACTTATGGATTGACCGCAATGGAGTTCAATTTACCTGGTAAAACGAGACTGCGATGTCGAGAATGCGAGAACGTCCAGCAGAGCTTCCACCAATGGCAAGGAGGTCAATGTCATTGTGCTCTTGGAGAGGTAATGATCCCCCATACCAAGTAATTCGCTTGACGATGGCTGTGATTTACCGTACTCAGAGTCGTCGTCACTGTTGTCATTTGAAACTCCGCAGGCGGCGCAGCCTTTCCCCTTCTCCACGCTGGCCAGATTGAGTCGCCAACGACGATGCGGTCTTGATTATACTCCCCGTGAGGCATGAGGATGAGGCTCTCATCCGTTGTGGGCGCGGTTCTCGCGCTATGCACAGGAGTATTTGGAGCAGAGTCGAATCTCACAGAACCTCGATCCACGCAAAAGATATTAACAGGCGACTTCAAACCTCCTCAAGTATACGAGAACACCAACCTCGTCCGGACCATCAACCTCGAGAAAGGCTACGTGCGAGAGACCACCAATGTGCTGATCACGAACACGGACAAGTCACCACAGTCGGAATACTATGTCCCCTTTGAATATGACCTGATGAGCAAGATTGGCGGGTTCGACGCCCGGGACAAGAAGAAGCCAGAATTTCCATTGGAGGTCACCATTGCTGCGCTGTCTGCGGTGTTAGACGATCAGGGCGGAGCTTCAAAGTATGCAGAACCTGTTCGGGCTCACAGGGACATTGAGCTGACTATTCTAGACCTACTCAATACTATGTCATCCACCTCTCGGAACCGCTGCCGCCCAAGAGCACCCTCACCCTCTCAATATCATGGAACGTGCTGGGTGTTCTTACGCCTTTGCCTGCCTCTATCAGACAGGAAGACAAGCAATACCTCGTCTACAACTTCTCCGCCTACGTTCCCACCGTCTACAAGACAGTAAAACAGAAAACAAAAGTCAAGTTCCCCTCCGCAGATGTCCCCGAATACACCACCACGACGGGCTTGACATCAGCCGCCGATCCAGAAAAGCAAGGGTCGTCGTTCACATATGGTCCATACGATACCGCTAAGGTCGAGCCAGGTACGGCCTATCCGGTGACTGTGCGCTACGAATTCAACAAACCCCTCCTGGTATGTAGCCTCCTCGAACGAGATGTGGAAGTCTCCCACTGGGGAGGTAATCTGGCAACCGAAGAAAGATACTGGCTTCGTCATGACGGCGCTACCCTTTCCAACCAGTTCTCCCGTCTGGCGTGGAGTACGCAAAACTTCTACATCAGCGCAGGACAGGGGTCTACCTCAGCCCTGAGGGAGCTGAAGGTGCCTCTGAAACCAGGCACTGCGGACCCGTATTTCACAGACGACATTGGAAATGTCTCCACGTCGCGTTTCCGACCCAACAACGTGCGCGAAGCCAGCCTGGAACTCAAGCCTCGCTATCCCCTCTTCGGTGGATGGAAGTATAGTTTCCGCATCGGCTGGAACAACGCGCTCGCTTCCGTCCTGCGCAAGCTCAAGACCCAGTCCGACACATACATCCTGTCCGTCCCACTCCTGGAAGGTCCTAAAATGCCAGAAGGCATCCAATACGAGCAGTTTGTGTTCCGGGTCATCCTGCCCGAAGGTGCCAAAAACCTCAAGTGGCAAACTCACGGCGGGACGGGCGTGCCGCCTCTGCATGCCGAGTACGACCTCCACAAGACGTTCATGGATACCCTGGGCCGCACAGAGTTGAAGCTGACGGCTCACAACGTCGTGGACGAGGCACGAGATGTCACCATCCTGGTGACGTACGAGTATCCCTTCCTGGCCGCCTTCCGCAAACCCGTGACGATCTTCACGGGAATAGCTGTGGTGTTTGCGCTCGCCTGGCTGGTCGCCAGTGTGGACACGAGTATTGGGAAGAAGAGAAGATGATGGTCCTCCTTCGGTCGGGAGGCTGAGGCGGAGGGCTGTGTTGACACTGCCTTGGTGGAATGTATACCTCTCTTTGGTCTGTAGATTATCCAAAAAGGTGGGCCCCCTTTTTCCTGGGCAGTGATAGAAAAGCTAGGTATGAAATCTGGATCGCTCGGATAAATGTGTGAACTGTTCATTTCCGTGGGACATCCCCGGACGTCATCGTAGGCTCGTTTCGCTTCTTCAGAACTCATCATGATGCATGCATGCCCTCTGCCCATCATAGACCAATCGATCCTCGACCAAGAAAAGCCCATGTCTCGCGCATGCAGAAGAACTGATGACTAGAAACACCCCCCCAAAAGCAAGCTCCGATTGCATCAGAAGCTCCGTCTGCTGCCGAATAGACCCAAAACGTTCTAAAAAAAAATAAAAAGAAGAAAAGAAAACAAAAATGCAATCCAAATCAAAAAGCGAATATCGTGCTCAGCCCGTACATCTCTCTTCTGGCGGCCGGTACCCAATCCCCAGGCCGTCCATCAGCCTCCTCTCGCGATCCGCCCAGGTGTCCTGGTCGTCCCACTCGTCGGCCGTGAAATCGCCGCGTCTCAGGGTCCTGCCCATCAACACCCTCTCCAGGGCGCCCTGGTTGCCCTTCGGCCGCGGCGCCTCGAGGTCGAGCACGAGGCCGTTCCCGCGGTTGCGCACGCCCGAGGAGTCGAACTTGAGGCCGTGGGTCTTGCGCACGAAGCGGCGGATGTCGCGCTGGAAGGTCGTGCCGCCGCTCCAGCCGAGGACCGCGCAGCCGACGGTGCGCCAGGCCGAGACGATGATGTCGACGCGGCGGTGGATGTTGGGGTTCTTCTTGCGGGCCGCGTCCTCGTCCGCCTCGGGGTCTTTGCCTGCGTAGTTGGGGTCCTGCCACACGCACAGCGCCTTGTCCAGGCTGTCGAACCCGTGCCCGTGGCTCGTGCCCCCACGGAACGGCAGCGTCGCCTGCCCACGATCACTAGTCGTGGTGTGCAGAGTCAACGTGTGCGTGACCCAACCCTCCGACTCGAGGCTCCTGACCACTTCCACCACGAGATCCCGCGTCTTGGACTCTTCCCGATGTGAGAGAATGACATCCACGTCCCCGGAGAATTGCTTTCCGCGTCGGTAGCCCCCCACAATGATGAGCTCTACATCCTCCTTCGTGCCATACTTCGCTTCCGGAATGTTAAGAACAGATCGCGCATGCCGTATAATGACGTCTCCGATCGACTCCACCTCGCGCCTGGGGATCTTCTCCATAAACTCGTCGTAATACTTGACCCCGATCTGCTGGACGCGTGTCAAGGTCGACCACCCAAACTCCACCACGTCATCTATATCCTTCCAGCCATGCTCAAAATAAAACTTGCGTGCCGTATCTGGTCCCACGCCCCAAATGTTCCAAAATACTCGGAGGTGCTGAAGGTCCTGATCAGCGTCCAAATCGCGGACGACTTGGATGAACCTTTCCGAATCGTCGGCCTCCGGTGGAGCAGAGTCTTGCCATTCGCGCCAAAGCGCAGCAATTTTTGACTCGCAGCCTGGAAGGCGAGTGATCTCTTCGACATGAGTGAGGTGGTAGGGGTAGGCGGCGACCGAGGCAATGGAGGTCGAGTAAGCGCGGACGCCGATGTCATCCAGCCTGAGTACCCGGGCTTCCTTTATCTTGGTCAGTTGAGCGATGAAAGCGTCGTTGGGGGTCTTCATGGGTGTGGAGCGGCAGCATGCGTAGGCTGCATTTGGACCGACTGCCCAGTCTGGAAGAGGAGGCAGTGGGTGTTCGGCTTGGTATTCAAGTTCAGACGTCGTGGTGCGATGAAGCTTAGGCCGCTTGTGTTGGGTGGAGTCTGCCTGCGACGAAGAGTGGTGGTGTGCATGATCGCCAAAACGGCGGCGAGATGAGGAGGGAAGGGTCGCTGCTTCGGCTTTTGCGCGTTCCAGGATGGACGTTGACGCTGTCGGTTTGGATGCTCTTCGTGCCGTGGTGGTGTGAGATTGGGATCCGGGTCCTACCTTGGCATATGTTGACAAGGGCGTCTGCACTTTTGGAGAGACTTCACCCGCAGGCTTGGGAATGATCCTCGCAGCATAGACAATGTAAGGTTGATATGGCAGCAGATGGCCCTCCTTGAGACAAGCTTCCAGCCAGGAGAGTTTGAGGATGAGAATATGGGTTGAAAGATCAGGCCACAACACTGGTGCCGGCGGAGATGGACCATCATTTAGAGGCTCTTCTGAAGAAGCAGAAATTGTACTTGAACTCAGTCGCCTCCGTCCTGTCGAGGGCTGAGTTTTGCTGGGACGATCTGCAAGCTTGGGTTTCTTCCTTGATGGGCCTTCGTCCACGGCCTGTTCGTGATCTCCCGGTCCGTTGGAGCTGCTCTCTGGCAAGGCTGCCTCTTCTGTCCATACTCCCCTGGCCCGAAGATCAAATGCCGCACGCTTCTTCTGAGAGACTTTGCCGATGAACAGTCTTGCCTCGTTGGCATCATACGTCAAGTGCCCGCCAGAGTGAACGATCAGGTCTTCCGTCTCGTGAAGTTCCTTTGGCTTCAAGTGCGTAGGAAGGATGAAGATAGGTGGCGAGGATGTCAGGTCCAAGGGATGAGGGGATTGTGAAGTGGCCATGGGTAGGTCGAGTCATAATCCAAAATCACGGAGGGTTTATTATGTACATAGAAACAGCATTGGCTAAGACAAAGAAGAAGTAGGAAAGGTTGTGTAGAGGGACATATTGAGATGGAGGGGTCACCCATAGAGTGGGAACATTACAGATTCACGGGGACGTCGAGCATCCCTCATCTTGCCATCAGCAACAAAAAATGATGATAATATGATGAGCCTGGGATGAACATAGCGAGATGGAACGATCAGATCGTATTCGGGATTTCCTGGTGTCGGGCACGAGGTGACTTGGATCCCAACGTCCCGTTTTCCTTGTCACTTTCCCGTCCAATCAAGCCACCACCATCCGGAAGTCTGGACTGACGTCATGCTAGGTTTGCGACAATAAATCTCTACGAGGCTGTGGTGAAAGCCTTGTCCCTTTTCTATACCTTCCATGATATTCTGGCTGCCATTATAACAAATATGGCCACCTCCGACATATCTCTGCATGAGGGTATTAAATGGCACCCTTGTTCATCCCGGACTCGAGTTCACGGGTCATCCTCCTCGTCTTCGTCGTCCTCCAAGATATCATCTAACCGAGTCGGTCCATAGCACTCAGTCTCCTGCCTCTCCAATATAGAAGCAAAGGCTGCCGCATAGTCCTTCTTATAATACTTTGTAAGTCTCTCTTGGGGATCCACAGCGAGCGGCAGGAGATCCACTTGGCCTTCAGGTGGTGTGATGGCTATTCCAGGAATCTCAATCGCTCGTGGAATGATATAATTCTCCCCTTCAACCTCTCCATTCGCAAACTCAGACTGGATCCAGAACCAAGTATTAGGTTGGATGAGGGTGAATAACTCATCTTCGGGGATTGGTGATCGGCTTGGAGGAGTGTTCCGGAACCTGGGCCTAATCTTTGACAGGCGTTTTTTGAAAGTCCGCTCCTCCCACAACCAAAGTTTCGATTCCAGCGCAGCTGTCTCGAGAAGGCCTCTTTTGTTGGCTTCGACGCACGGACAACAGGGACCGCAATTTGCGCCGACTGCCTTGTTCCCACCCGGCGTTCTTATCACCCAGTCCGTGATTGGTCTCTGTCTCAGCTTCTTCAGCTGCGAGGCCTCACTCTCGCAGTTTGCCTTGACGACGTAGCCATCTAATTCATGAATGCTCTGACTGCGCCGTCTCTTCCTCCTGCAATCACACCATTTCCAATACTGTCCAAGGACGCTTTGGCGAAGATTGGCCCAGAGAAACTCGGTAATCCCTGCGTCGTCGGCTGAAGCTTCGGACCGTCGATCGACGAAAGCCAAGTAGATGAGAGGGAAGTCAAGGAGGTGAAGAAGACGGCTTTCCCGTGCCCGACCGATGTGGTGCAGGTCGACGTCGCTCTCGAAGTCCTTGCCCCTTTCGACCCGACGCCTTGGGCTTCCGAACCATTTCACTGCCCGTTTTAAGTCTTGTCGGGTCTCGGCCAAATCAAGGGATGCTTTGAACTCCAACGCTGTCCCAGATATCTCTGCTTCAACTGCTCTGGTGTACAAATCTCTCGAATGACGATAAGCGGCCCAGCTGTTCTGGATGATGGAGTTTGCAAACTCCTTGTCCGGATTCTCATCCTCGTATTCTTCCTTGAGTTTTCTGGCCTCCATCACTTTTCCCTGCTCAATGAGACACATGATTAATTGTACATAGTCACGCCAGCTATCATACCTTTCAGTGCCGCCCAGGTTCTTGACGTCGTAGAGCTTCGATGACTGTATGTTGTATCTGTACAAACCTTCGGCTTCCACGGTCCTCCCATGGCGTTGCAGTACTACCGCAAGCTCATACAGTGTGAAGAGCAGATACGCCCGGGTAGTGTCGTCTCCATGCTGGTGGTGCGATGGCAATTCAAGAAGTCGACACACGGCTCTTTCGGCATCATCGGCCATGTCTAGCATACATTGGCAATACACAACTCGATAAGTCAAGCGGCAAACAGAGCCTCCGAGAAGTGGCTTAAGCTCGTACGCTCTTTCCAGTAGTCGTGTCCCAAAAAGAAGGGCTCCCTTGTACTTCTTCATGTTCATTAGATTTAGCATGTGCTTTTCGACCCAGGTCAGGAGCCTGCTGTCTTTGAAGCCCCATTGTTCTGCATGCGGTAGATCTCTCCAATATGACATGGCCATGCTAGCTTGCAGTTAGCCTCGACCACTGTACGAGAACGATCGATACGTTTGCCTCGGCAGGAGTCGACAGCGTTCCGGATTGTACTTACTGCGAATGTTCCAAGGCGCTGATATCTGCACCAACGGCTGCCTTATACCTCGCCATCCAATGGTGTCTCTGCGCGAGGTCGCAGGGATCATCGTTAGTTTCGGAGGTAGCCAGCAGTTTGGTGAGAATCCGGCCAGCTTCGGGCCAGTTCCTCTGGGCGACGCTAAGGAACGCTTCTACATCCTCAATCTCGCGCAACATTTGTGTGCTGCTGGCGCCGCCTGGTAGGTGACGGCGAAGAACTCGCTTCGCCTCTCGAAGTTCAATCCTCGCTTGAGAGTATTCCGATATGCCTATAAGAATTCTGGCCCGCACCTGACGAATCTGGACGTACTCACGGTCCAGTATTATATTATGACCCTGCTGAGATTGTAGGAGAGTGCACATGTTGAATGCATGTGTGATGGTGACGCCGGCCAGGCCCTTCAAGACAACGTCGTCGATAAGGAAAATGGCGACATGCTTAAGGAACGTCATGAACTGCGCGCAGCAAAGGTCCTGAAGCTGCCCTGATCTGAAATTGCAAAGCGAGGTAATATGAGCGAGCATCCGCCAGAATTTCTCGGCATCAAAGATGGGGTCATCCTTCTTGAGCTCGTGTTCTGGTTTGGTTAGATAGTCACTGAGCACACAGATCCATGCGTGGACGAGACCTGTGAGCTCTTGCTTGTCCTCGATTTCTCGACGTTTGAGTTGTAGCCAACGTTGAACCTGAGGGTGAATATTGATGGTACTGATATCAGATCCCTGGTGTACCTCAACCAACCCACTTAGACGGAGCAAGTCGATTGCAGAGTGAAGTCGTCCTTGATTGTTCTGAAACATTGGCAACTTCTCAACAAGATCAACGGGAATCTCCACTCGATCGACGACTGAGCAGATGGTCAGCAACCGCCCCGCAGCTATATCATAGTCATTGAGGGCATCCCATAGAATAGACATTATATCCGGAAAGATCGGGCTGCAGCCTGGCCATGTAGGACTGTAGCCTTGCCTGGCCTTGTGTGCGCACAGTCGTTGAAAATGGCCGGGCGAAACCTGCAGCAGGCGCATGCAAGCACAGGAAAGCGCAAGGTGAAGTGGTGTGGTGTGCCATGAGTTGTCTTGCCAGTGCCAGAAAGCGCGGAGACAGTCGACTGCATCGTTGCTGTTCGGCACTGAAGCTCTGAAATACTGCATGGCTTGTTCCTCGCTGAGTGCGCCAACATACAGGCATGTTGCTCGGCTGGCAAGCTTCAGCCCACATTCCACAGGTGGTCTGCTGTCATCGATGCCGCTCACTGTCGGGAGGACATATGAGGAAGTAAAGAGCATGCGACAGCGGTCCGGAAGAAAGAGATGGGGTGCTTTCAGTTCGGCCTCCATGTCATCTTCCAGGTAGAACTGCAGATCCAAGACGACAATGAGCGATTCATCCCGACGAGCTTCCAGCGTAGACCGAATCTTCAAGATCGTATGAGTCAAGGAGAGACCTTGAGGAAGATGGTCTCCGGTAATGGTGGTGTACGCCGCTCGATAATCACGGATGAAACATTCGAAAGACCGACCATCTATCCACAGGACTTTGCAGCCCGTGCGGGTGGAAAACTCCAGAGCAGCTTCCGTAGCAATGCGACGCTTGCTGCTCAGTATTAGAGGTGTTCAACAGGTAGACAAACAGAGAATGGTGGTGGCATACCCACACCCCGAGGCACCCCAGAGCAAGATCTTTGTACTACAGACCCCATGGCAATTGTAGGTTTGATCGAGTGCTTTGATCACCAAGGCAACATCATGCGACTGGTCGATTGTCGGCGGACTATAGCCATCTTTTTGCGGTGGCTGTTGACCGGTGGGCAGAGAGCCGTGGTGAGAAGGTGACTTGCGATCCATGCATCGTTGCTCGAGCAAATCCAACACCGGTGTACAGATTTCGTCTGGGAGGATTTCATCGAGGTGGACGAGGTCCTATCCGTGACCCATTTGCAAGGAGACTCGGATTCGGATGGAGGAGGAAAGCTTGATGGATGAGGGGCCAAAGTGCCGAGCGACGAAAGACCTCAGAGAGGCACCGTACGAGGTACTTTTAACGTGATGCCTGCGCCCAAAGGGCCCACGCAGTCCCCGGACCTTGTAAGCCACCAAGGCCACCCTGCATTATTCCGCCCAGCTTCCAGCCATCACCTTTCGATCCAAGGACCATGATTTCCGCATGATCCTATGCTTGGCCTGGGGCCTGATGGTGCTGCAAACATGCAATGGCAATTTCCGCACTCGGAACTCCTCTGGAGATGCCCTTCATACGAGTACAGCCGTTGCTACCTGTCATGTGCCAGCACAACCTGGCGACCCGTGGCCAGCGACTCCTTTGACTTGAGCAAAGGCTACTGCCATCGAACAACATCCTCTTCCGCCTGACGGTCGTTCGTCTCGTCTACGTCACTCCGATGCACGCTTCCTCCCCGGAGGTGCTATCCTCTCTTATCCTGGGCAGGCGTGTGAATCCTCGTCCCAATTCTTCCCAAGCGTGCGGCTGAAAAGAGATGATACTCCACCTGTCCACGCACCTCCTTCGGTCCGTCTGGGGGTCAACCTTCGCCAATGGTTTCAGCGTGGGGTGTTCGGCTGGTGCTCGCCTGCAGTGGCGGATGCAGACCGTGGCAATATCCAGCCAGTCTTGGGCGAAGGCGATCCAAACCGGTGAGCAGCTGCGACGAAACATGTGACGAGGGGAAAGGTGCTCGACGGCGCTGCCTGCAGAGTGTGTCCAAAACTGATTGGGTGAACACCAAAACCTGTCTAGAGATGACGAGGAAAAGCCACTCGACGAGGAATTCGGGATCCAATAAGAACAGGGGTCGGTCTTGGGTAGTGAAGAGCAGGAAGAGGCCTTTTGTCACACCCCTGTCCTGATCAGCCTTCGCTACACGCCAGCACCCTCTGTAGGGTCCATCGCCTTTCAGTCCTTGGCCGGCCACATGGTCCCTCGTCTGATCCATCGTATAGCTCAAGCATGCAGATGCAGGGCTGGATGCACACACTTTGATCGTTCTGCGCACGCCGAGTCGGCCAGGTCCAATGACCAAGGACGGTGTCCAATTGTGTTGTAAGTCGTGTCGAAAGACCTCTCTTTGGTAAAAAGCAGTTATAATCAAGCAATTCCTCTGTGTCCTGGAATAACATCCTCGATCTTTTCGTCCCCGTCCAACCTCTTGGTTTATGGCATTCACCATCGCTCCATGGCGCCTCATCCTCTCGAAATGAGCCCCAAGCTCACGACAGCACCCACACCAGCGGCTCCCTCACCCCGACCTGAAATGAAACCTCGCAGTGCAAGCGACGACTCACACTATGCGATCACACCGTCAAGAACGTTGTCTCCCACCAGCACCCTCTCGCCCTTGTCGACGGGGTCTTCGCCACCGCCAACGAGAGGCCACCGCACTTCTTTCTCCTTCCCGTTCCCCAGATCCCGGTCCAAGTCCCCCCGCCCGCCCGCGATAGACCTGCACATTCCGCCCTCGACCTCGACCACCCCGGCGGTCCAGCACACCGCGACGTCGCCAACTCAGAGCCCTTCTTCGCACGCCCCCCACGCACGGACGACACCGCGGCACATTTCCGACGGCACCGTCTCCCCGTCGTTGTTGGCGATGGCGACGACGACGACGAGCAGCCCTCCAGGGTCTCCGCCGGGCTCCGACCTGCAGAAACGGGACAGCTGGCTCCAGAAGAAGGCGCGGCACAGCGGCAGCTCGCCCGGCGGGTATGGCCGGCACGGCGACGACTGGCTCTTCGGCGGCATCAGCCTCACCCAGACGGCCAAGGAGATTGTGCACCGCGGCCGGAGGAGGAAAGAGGAGGACGGCGACGCGGCCGGGAATCGTTGACCCCCTCCTCCCTCCCTGTCACGCCAACAACACGGATCTTGGACGAGCATCCTTTTGTCATGACTGAATGAGCGACCCGACCTAGCAACCTGACTTACCATCCTCAACCAACCATACTAACCAATGGCTTGGTTATTGGAACCCGAGCAAGGCGCCCCTGGAGTTTGTTTGTGCTTGTTACCTTTTTGGAGCCCCGTGGCCGACGCATTGGATGGGAAGACGGTCATTGGGGCTTTGAGCAGGGGGAATCTGCTGGGGATATTTTTCATTCTTCTATTCTCCGGCGAAATGGCCAGTCATGTCACAGTGGTGGTAGTGAAATTCCTATACAGTCTTTGGCAAGAGCCGACATTACCATCCTGCTGGAAGATTCCCAGGATGTTTGTCAACCAGCTTTTTCTTCTCATATAGCCAACGATCTACAGTACCATTGACGCCCTTTCCGTGGTCCACTGTCTCACCGTTTCCAAGAACCTTTTGTACCTGTTCTGCTATTCCTCCCCCCTCCCCCCCCTCTCTCTCCGCGCGCAGGCTCACCTCACATTATAGTCCCTCTGGCGCTGGGACCGCGCGTCCCCGCCGTATCGCTCCTTGCAGTAATGCCCCAGGTACCCGCTGCCGGCGCGCAGGAAGCACACCTTCTGCGCCGGGTTGTCCACGCCGCCGCTCATGCGGCGGTCCGGGTGGGAGCTTGATTTGGACTCGTGGCGCTCGTAGAGCTGGAGGAGCGGCGACGGCGACGGCGAGCTGTCCTTGTCCCTGTCCCCGTCGTCGTCGTGACTAGGCGAGGAGTCGTTGAGCATTTTCTCCGTCACCAGATGCCAGAAGGTCGCGTTCAGAGGGGCCGCGGCGGGCCAGGAGATGCCGTGCCCGTGAGAGGCGGCGGCCGTGCTCTCGGCCTCGTCGTCGCGCGCTCTCTCGTCCCCGACCGCGACCCCCGCGTCCGGATCCGGGTCGACCGAGTAGACGTGCCGCGTGTCGTACTCGAATTCCCAGACCGGCTTCGTCCAGCGCAGGCTGTTGGACATGTTGGCAAAGTACGTCTGCGCGCCCATGACGGAGAAGGTCCCCGCGTCGACCTGGTAGACGCGGTACCCTGAGTTGAGGCCCGTGAGGGGTGTGATCGACGGGCCGATGTGTCCTATCTGTAATGGCCTGGTGATGTCGATCTGTGTCGTGTCGCGCAACGTCTTCAAGTCTTTGGAGTCAGAAACAGCGACGAGCGAGGAAGGCAGGTAGTCGTAGAAGATCTGGACTTGGTCTTGGTGAGTATGCCTAGACGAGGAGTGCTTGTTAGTCCGAAGTGGTTTTTTCTCCAATATACAACATCATTCGGATTCCTGGTTCCACACTCACCCAAAGAAAATGGCTGCAATGGTCGCCGGCGAGAAGCGGCGCACGATCGAGTAGAATAGAGCGGTCGGGTTCGGCATGCCGGCCGAGCCATCGTATCCCGAGAGGACGTGGGCGATGATCCACGCCCGCTGGCCGCGCTTTTCGCACGCCGACAGTTCGTCCGCCACCCACTTGAGGATCCCGCTCGGGTCCGGGTTCGTCACGTTCCAGTAGTTGAAGATGTTCTCCTTGTACCAGAAGTCGGAGTTGATCGAGATGATCCGCAGCCCGTGGGCGGTGGTGGTCGCGTAGGCGCCAAAATGGGTGCGTGCGAACTCCGACTCTGTGTCGTTCAGCCACGCATGGCCGGACCACAGCGAGGACAGGAGATCGTAGTTCCACTGCAGGGTGTTGCTGCTCCGGTTGGCGGGGTCAGGGTTCATGCTGTGAGGGGTGTTGAAGCCGACGGGGAGGGTGTCATGATTCCCCAGAGCAGAGTAGACCGGGATCTTGTCTCCAAGCAGGCGCTTGAAGATCTTGAAGGTGACCTCTTCCTCGTAGGATACGTAGTCACGGGAGAGCATGTCGTCCGGGTCGTGCGAGACGATATCACCGGTAAATATGCTGAACGCAAGCTCGTCCATGTCCAAAAAGTTGGGCATCTCGATGAGCGCTGACAGGGCCAGATCCGCGGGCGAGTCGCAGAGAAACGACCCAAATCTTGATGCAGGAACAGAGGCGTTGTGTGAATCCGTGGCCAGTTCCCGGTTGACCGAGTATGGCCTGCAACACATGTAGACCGAACAATTGCTTTCGGACCCAATGTCATAGCGAGGGTCCAGGTGCCAGTCAGAGAGATGGAGCACGTTGAACGTGTGGCCGGAAGGTTCGGGGGCGACGTTGGCTGAATCCGGCTTCGGGTCAAAGTAGAAGTCTTCATCGATCAAGACCGGCGGCTGGACTTCACAGAACTCATAGTTGATGGAGCACCAATGCTGCATGTCGCCCGTGGCCAGGCTCATCTTGGAAAAGAGCTGCGCCATATAGGCACCGTACCCAGCCCCGCCGTTGAAATGCGACTCGCACGACGCCGCCCGGAGTGTGGACTTGAACTCGGGGACAGCGTTGCAGGCTCTGATGAGCACATTTGTGAAGACGGCTACTGACTGACTGATGGCTGCAACGTGGAGCACTTGGCCTGCGGCAATGCATTTTGAGCAGTTGTCCGGGTAATAGGGAGTGTCCAGTATGGAGAGCAGCTCGTTCACGATCGACTCCTCAATCGCCGACTCGCCCAGAGGAGTGATGGGCTCTGGCAACGGCGTCTTCTTGTCGTACGCAGGGACGGGGCCCGAACCGTTGTAGTAGAGCTTGATGAGATCCCTGCCGATGGTATTGGTGAGCTCGGGGTTCAAGGCTTCAGGAGAGCCAGCGAGGGGCGCTTGAGCCGAAGCATGGGAGGTTGCAAAGGCCGCTGTGACGAGGGAGGTATGCTTGAGGATGGCCCAGTAGCCCCAAAGAGCGCCGAAGAAGGAGAAGAGCATGAAGAGGGTGGAGGGTAAGCCGGCAGCCAGTCTCGCCGACATGTGCAGGGTTGGTAGAGAACTTGTCTCTGTTAATGTGATGGTTGTCTACCGGGATGTCCAGCGACGGGCCACCCGATGAAGCCACTCATGCGTATCGACAGACGGAGGCTGTGATGAGTTGCGATGCGGCTGGAAACGCAGGGTTCATACTTTCGACGAAGACGCTGGGTTGGTGGACGTTGAGATGTGACGAATGATGAACACGACTCGGATGAAGTCATGGCGGAATCCCATCTCCGACGCCGGCCATTCGCCGCCTCCACAAGACAGACATGTAGGTCGAGGCTGAACCTCCCACACCTCTGAATGCCAATACAGCAAGTCTTTCTCCATGGATCCGAAAAGTGTGGCCTGTTGGCATTGTAACGTCGACGGTGTTGATTGACGGCTACCCACGAACGTGGTCCTCCTCGACAATGTCACCCACCGCAACTAATTCCTGACGAGGCTCGCACGCAGATGACAATGGGAATAAGCCGGCATCGTCCATTCTGGATCCCGGTGCGTAGTGGTTGGTGATTGACTGGGGGCCTGGCAAAAGAGAGGAGTTGTCAGCGTCAGCTTCAATGCTGACTCCGACTCCCACGACGTCACGGTCGAGTTTTATTGTAGGGATCAGCTCACGAGCGGGACTGCCCACGGCTGACGACCAAGAGAAACAACGATAGATGCAGCATCGAGATCATATATGCTCGTTCACATGTCGCGTGCAGGGACAAGACGCAGACCGGCCACATTGTCAGGCGTAGAGTATTCGCTAGTATTCGCATGGCTCGCGGCTGCGTTGACTGGGGACAGTATGTAGGGGGTATGTATATGTAGATTTTATGTACAACGGATTCCAATTTCCAACACCCCATTTCCATCCCGTAAATATCCCTGGAGCATTTCCATAAAACATCGCATCGCGTAACGTAACAGCAAAGCAAAAGCATGAATCTTTTTGGTAGACTTTTTGCCGCCGCCCACCTTGAACTGGCCTGACTGCCCGTGGGCGAAATATGGCCAAAGACAGACGAAACACAGACAGACAAACAGATAGACAGATAGCCTCTCCTCCCTCCATTTACCTCTTCCGCGATTGTCCGCCCTTTTCTATCGTGGCCTATTGGTAGGCCAGGGGCCAGAGCAAAGCCGTGTGGGCGCGGATTCCTAGTCCCAATCCCGAGAAAAATCAAAGACGAAACAAGAACAATATCGCTCACAATAGCCGACCCAGATACTCGTGTATAGTTTGAAGTCGCGCGTGGGGGGAGGGGGTGCCCAAGTAAAGATCCCCTCCCCAGTCGCGGCGGTGAAAGGAAAACCAAATATGCCGCCCCAAGATGCTCGTTAGTATCGGAAGCACACACATGCTGCTGGAGTCCGAAAACATCGCCGGGAGGAACGATGGGTTGAGGACGCTCCCGGTCTCCGGTCAGAGGGGTTTTGTTGATATCAAACCCCCCGAATGTTGTTTCCTGTATTGAGAGTTGGTGTAGGTCTCCTTCTGAACTACACCTCTCTTCGTGTCCTTTTTTCCCTTTGCGGTTCCATTACTTTTTGTTCCGTTTTTTGGAGGCCCGGCGCCGTCTCATAAGCTCAATGTCCAAAGCTCCCGATCCAGCTGCCACTGGGCCGCACAATGTCGATGGGGACGCTCCCCACCTGGAGCGTGGGGACGATCCCCAGTCCCTTTTCACCGGCTTCCGCGGAATCTCGGCCGATCTTCTCGCTGATCTCGTCCTCGACCTCGAGATCAAACGCTTCGGCCGGCTGACCCTCCCTCAACGCCGGACTCGCGAGCTCTTCGTCGAGCTCAAAAAACCCGACGCCGCTGCCTCCGTCAACCGCGCCGACCAGGCCGCCGGAAAACCCAGACTCGTCTGGTGATGAGATCAAGCGCGGGGATTGCAAGGGCGACGGCGACGGCGAGCTTCCATTGAGGGCCGGGGACGGAGATGGGCTCGGGTTTGGACTCGCCAGCGGCGAAGGGATGGGCGAGATGAAGCGGCCTCCTCTCCCCCTTCCTCGACGCCTCTCCTTTTCACCCAGTAGTCCGGGACTTCCCTTGTCCTGCTCACCGTTAGCTTCACTGCTAACCCCAAGACCCCGCTGTTGAGCGTCTCCATTCCCATCCTTCTCGGGCTCCAACTCCGGACTCGGGCCTTCTTCGTAACTGCTACTCGGGTCGACGACTTTGAGGTCCGCCAGCTGGAACATCACGTGCTTCCGCCTCCTTCCTCCGCCACTGGCAGTCCTTAATGCACTGGGGAGGCTTGCACTCGGCAGAATGGACGTCGATTGGGCGCGCTTCGTCGCGAGAACGGTTGGGGAGACCGGTTGTGGCGGTAGCGATTGGGACGAGCGTGCTTGCTGTTTCAACTGTTGCTCCGCGCGGTCCTTGGACTCGGCGTCCAGCTGCAGTCTTTTCGCTTCCTCTTCCGCAGCAGTCATAGGCTGCGGACTCCGCACGATCGGAGTGCGATCGCTTGACTCCAACAGGGGCAGGTACATGGGCGTGAAGACACCAGCAAAGGGGTCGGATTGGTCTTTCGCAGGTGTAGGAGTGGACGCGGGTTCAAGGTCCCTCTTTAACTGTGCGGGCGGCGGTGTTGTCGGCCGTGCCGCTGCACTTGTGGGAGAACGGGACCTTGCCCGAGTTAAGAGCGTGGGCGTGGGCGGCGTCCCCAGGTTATGCAAAGGTGGCGTGGTTTCGCCCGCAATGTTCAACTTTTCCAAGGACAGCGTCGGGCCACTGAGCGGTGCCGGTCTTCTGACGATCTTGTCACCCACCACCCCATCTCTTCTGGCCTTGTAGCCAGGCCAGCCATTCACAGAACCATTTTGCGTCGAGGCCAGCAGATTCAAGGCAGACGTCGCCGCCGAAGGGGTCGATGAAGCCTTGGTGGGCGTACCCTCGGAAGCACTGTTGGCACCCGCGCGCGACCTCTTCTTGTTAATCCACAGCTGCTTCTCAAACTCGCGAAACTCGCGGTCCTTTGCCGCCTTGAACCTGGCGACCTCCTCGTCCAACTGCCTCCTCTTCTGGTCGAGAGCATCGAGGATTTCCGAATCAGAGTCGCTTGTGTTGTCGGGCGAAGGGAGGGCGTTGGGCGGAATGCTTTTGATGCACTTTAGCTGCGCCGAATTTCTGTACATGGTAGTAAAGAACCCCCTATCCTCTCCTGTCTTCTGCGTGGTGATTTTTTGTTCCCCCGATCTCTGGGGAAATAAAAAGAACCAGCACACCAAGACCGGTCACCGGGAGGGGAGCGAAGACACTTGGTGACAACACATGGATGCAAATCCGGGTTCCAGATCTTAGGGTCGGGGAAATGGCCCAAAGGAGACAAAGCTGAGGCGAAACCGACGGGGGAATTTCACGAGATCTTGTGTCCTTCTGCGCGTTTGTGTGGTGTTTTTGCGCAAGGCCAGGAAACCAAGACGACACGGGCAATCGACGGGAGGGGCAGCCGTTCGAATGAGATGGCGATTCGTGGCGGGCTTAGACGGAGACGGGCGGATGGAGAGCTTGCCAGAATCGTCAACAACCCGACAGCGCTGCGTGCGTGTGAAAATTGTGGATTATGGAGACGTCGCAGGGTGAAGTCGGTGAGGGAGGGCGTCGTAATGAGGGCGATGATGGAGTTTTGGTCCAGGGTGACACGTCAAGAGGACCTGGGGAGGGTTTTGTCTCACACATGGGACATGTGAACCCAAGCCTGACAAAGCGCGGTCGGAGCTGTGGTTGATTACCAGAGATACGGAGGAACGGTTGCGGGACCGGTCAATTCGGGAGATCAAGGGATCAAGGGAATTAAGGTATCCAGGTATCCAAAGTAACCAACTCGCCCAGGTATGTAGCTGTGGGATGGAAGAAACCACAAGGGCGAGGGGGGGAGGGGGGGATGGGCTTTTTTGCTGGAAACTCTGCTGGAGAGTCAAAAAGGTCAACCCCACTTTTTGTGTGTCTTTGTTTGCAGATGGGGGGGGAAGAGTTCGAGGGTGGATATGAGCGACGGCAAGTCAAATAAAATTTGGGGGTGGGCAGGGGGGGGGGTGGTGGGAGAGCAGAGACTGAAAGGAGATCAAGAGCGTGGGAGGGCACAGAGGGTGCAAAAAGAAGCGAAGAAGCGACCGAAGCGAGGGAAGCGAAGGAGGGCGCGGCCTTGGTCAGCGCAGGAAGGATCAAATGGCTATTCTGAGATGGATTCACAGAAAATGAGGACCAGGAGTCTGGACTGCGCGACGAGGGACCATCCAATACCCTCTAGAAGGGGCAAAAGGTGGTACAAGTACTTTGCGAGTACTACATCAAAGGACCACTGGACACAGGGCGACTCGGTACCTCGGGAACGAAAACGACAGCATCCATAGTCACGGAGTAGCGCAAGCTGAGTCAGTAGGGCGAGAACGAAGGCGATGGGGACGGTTGATCGTGGCCCAGTCATGTCTCCAGGAGGCCGCTCTCAGCCTAGAATGATGCAAGACAAAGGGCAATGGCGACGCAGAAGGAAGGGCACAAGGTGGACAAATGTTGCGTTGACGTTGCACTATCGAACATGATAGACGACGACAACGAGGCCGATTATCGATTATCGATTGGAGACACGCTGATCATCGAACTGTCGTTAGAGGTGGAAGTGTGGGGGGCCAGTATGAAGGAGCAGAGAAAGCCGCGACCAACATGGACAATTCCAACAAGTGCAAAGAAGGAATTGGGAAAGGATGTGCGATCAGATCGAGGGCCGATAGACGAGAGGGAAATTTTTCGCGTTGGGTGGGTTGCCCAGAGCGGCTACTACACAATAGGTGCCACTGGAGATTCCCAGGCACCCCGAGCACCCCCCCAAGGTACCTGTGACTTGCCCGAGGCAGGCGTCAAGGCCTCATCCCAGGGGATCCGAGAGGCCACCGAGGGCAGAGGCACACACAGCCTGGAGCAACTGTCTCTACTTGTAGGTGTCCCCCGGGCTGTACCGAGTACCTCTTCTCTACAGGCAAAGCTTCACTGCCATCGTCCCTCGGCCTCATCATCCCGAGTCGCCCAGGAGAGAACCGGCATGTCCCGCATCTCACGTGAACCCACTTTCTCCGAAACTGCATGTGATCCGAATTTCGAACAGAAAAAAGCAAAAAAGATGGGGGGGAATCCAGCCTGTTTCCACCTTCACCGCCACTTGGGCCCTTTTGCTGACGACCTTTCGCCGCTGTGTCTCGGAGTAGCCTATTCGAGCAATGCCGTTTCCATCGCCGACAATCGGATTGGGGTCTGGTCCTGAACGACCTCGACGAGAGTTAGGTACCTAGAGCGAACCCAACTACTACCAAATGCCCTGCAAAGATCAACCAATCAATCTGCGCAAGAAACGACCAGCAAAAAGCCCCCAGTTCCTGTGACCAATGTACCTCCCAAAACTGCCGTTCTCAACGCGTTCTGTCTGTATCAAACCCCTCGTCTGCTGGCCATTTCCCTTCGCGCTTCTCGTCTCCGGCGCCGATACTGGCGCGAGTACTCCTCGGCCGGATCTGTGTACTGGTCGTCGCTGAATCGGGGCCAGTTGTACTCGCTGAACCTGACCGTCCGCTCGTTGCTCGACGGAGGACGAACCGAGCCCATCGACCTCTCCGGCTTCTGCGGGGTCCCCACGGTGAGAACTCGCGGGTGATGGCCACCGACCTCTCCTGCTTTTGCCGTCACCACCGGAATACAAGCTTCCCTTTCGTACGCGGTCGAGTGCAGCGGTGAACCAGGTGACATCCACGCGCGATCTTCCACGTGTGCAGCTGCCCTCTCAACCACCGGCCTGCGGAGGTTGTCCAGGACCGCCTGCACCTCGTCCCCAAGTCCCCGGCCAGAGAACTCCATGGACGGAATGCGTGGCTCCTGGTACCGAGACGAGTGATTCGTCTGCGACGGCTCGGCATTCAGGAAGATTTCCTTGTGGAAATCCACCAGGGGCCACGAGTAGTTCTGACTTGCATCACCGGTCGCGGTCGCCTTGGGTTTGCCCCGGTGACGAGTCGAGTTGTTGTTGTTGTTGTTGTTGTTGCCGCCGTGCGCGGCTCGAAGAGCTGGCGGGACCCCGTTGACAAATCCAGATTGCAAGGTAGGGGGGATGTACCCGACGTTTCGATGCCTGAGCTTCGACCCAGCCGAGTACGCTTGAAACGTGACAGGACCTTGGTTTTCGGTGTCTGGCTTGCCAGGGTATGCCTTGAATTTGAGTTGTGGACTTTCTTCACCGACGGGGATCGGCGTCGAGTCCACGTTGAAGCATTTGGTCTTTGGTTCTGGCTTCCCCGTGGGCATTGCTGGAGGAACGGATTCGAGCTCGACTCGATGTCTCAAATCCGACCGGAATCGTTCAAAGTCAGCCGGCGTATCAATGGCAAAGTGAAGGCTTGCACGAGGCGACGATGGTTGCGGTGCTCTTGGTTCGGGCACATTCATGGAACCCATCGAAAAAGTCGAGGGAAGGGATATAGTGGACGAGGACGCTCGGTGGTAGGTGTCCAGCACGGTTGAAAAGCTGCTGACGGATCCGGCCTCATATGGGAGATCGAGGAAGACTTCACGATGCTCGGGTTTGCGCTCCGCCGTCTTCGAAGGGTCGCTGCGCGTCTCCGATTGGCGTCGTTTCGATCCACGAAATTCTGGAGCGGCAGCGTGAGTAAGGAACTCGTCGATCTGGGTCGCGGGATCGTCCGACTCACTGTCAACCACGGACCTGAGGCACCCTTGACCTCGCCTGTCACACCATCCTCGAACTGCTGCCGTCTTCTTCTGGGCCGCCGCTTTGAATCGATCGACGAATCTCACCGGTCCCACCTCGCGCGGCTGGGCGCAATTGACTGTCAAAGGCATGCTTGATAGAGTGCTCGACCTCACCAAGGCTTGCGTCTGTGTAGAAGGTCGTCCTGGCAGTCAACCAGCTGGTCAAGAAGTGCGTTGGAAAGACGGGCCGCCGACTCGACTTCGTGCCAGCATTTATGCTTTTCTCTGTCATGGCGCATCTATCGTCTCTTTATCCACGATTCCAAAACACTGAGGCAGCGACCAGGTCTTTGGTTTCATGCCAGCCGAAACAACGGCATTCTGTCGCAGAATGATCTTTGAGAACAAAGCGCCCCTGACTGAGATGGAAAAAAGCAAAAGCTGGCGCCCTTTGTTGATATGGCAAAGCCAGACAAGGGCAAAAAGGGCGGATGTCATCGTTTCTTTGTCGTTGCAATGGCCATGTCTCAGGTCCCGGCGTCGGCGATACCGTGTGTCTTCTCTTCGGGGGCAAGAGTATCCTCACGCCCCTAGTTCATAGGAATGTAGCCTTGGACCTGCCTGACCTGCTCGCACCACTTGAGGATCGCCGGCCACCGTGCGAGGTCGAATCCAGCATCGCCGGCAAGATGAGTGTAAGCAAAGAGGCAGATATCCGCGAGGGTGATCTATGGCCGCCTGTTTAGCCTGTATCCACAAAAGACAAAGAACTTCGCGACAAATATGGGCGCAGTCGAAGGATGGGGCAACTACTCACGCTGTCGCCCACAAACCACCCGTGTTCGCTCTTCGCCAGGTGATCCTCCATGCAATCCAGCGCCTGCTCCCCGGCGGCGAACTTGCCCTGGATCTGCACGCGGCGGGCTCCGTCCAGATCCCGCTCCCCGATGACGTGCACCCAGAACCGGAGCGTCGCGATGTTGACCTCGTGCTGGTTCTGCTCGAAGAACATCCAGCGCAGCATCTCGGCGCGCCGCAGCGGGTCCCGGGGGATGAGGGGGCCCACCACTTGTGGCGATGATGATGGTGACGAGGAGCAGGAGGCCGAGGCCGCGTCGGCGAGGTAGAAGCACGCGGCGTTGCTTTCGGGCAGGAACGTGGAGTCCCCGACCTGGAGGACGGGCACCCTGCCAAAGGAGGAGACGGTGTGGAGGAACTCGGCCGTCCGTGTCTCCCCCTTGAGGATCGAGTAGAGACGGCGCTCCAGCGGGATGCCCAGCAACGCCGCCGTCAAGCGGATCTTGTAGCAATTCCCCGAGATGGGCTCCTCGTGAAGCACGAACGTGTCCATCTGGGAACGATGTGGAAATCCAATCAAAACGTTTTTTCGCGCTGGTTCAGGGGGGAGAAAACACCCCTATGCATGTAGCCGGTGAGGAGATAGATGCTCGTTTGTGTAAAAAAAAAAAAACAAGTTGCAAACCACCCCAAAACCACCTTTGGCTTCTCTGGAAGAAACGCAAAGGCTCTTTGTCGAGGTTGACTTCTCTAGAAGGGCTTCCGTCAGTCGCACTCACCGGTAGATATGCTGTGGGATGAATGAATGAATAGTCATGATCTTGTCATCGCGGCGCTAAAACACGCCCTTCGGAATGGGTTGCATGGTCCTTCTGCCCAGGCACACACACACACACACACACACACACATTCAAATAGGAAACTCGTCCTTGTGCCGCCTCTCTAGGGTCCGCAATGCCTCGAATCAATGCGAAAGGGCAGTCAACGAGGGGGTGCTGTCAATCGTGACGGTCCAGAAATCGCGGATGCTGAGCCCAACCCCAGGGTTGGTTGGACACGCGAGTTCCACCAAAATCCCAAATTGAGGGGGTGGGGAGGGGGACGGTGAAGGGGGGGGAGTTGTAGTTGTCTCTTTTATACCATCCACGCTGCTAGGCGGATGACATGTTAGGCTGTCTCGAGAGGCGCGCGGGGGACCCCTTTTGTCTCGCGAGAGCTGAAGTTCGATCCGAAGAGTTCGTCTGACGCGGATGTTATTACTGCCAATGCCCGCCTCCCAGGAAAACGGATCATTCAACTGGTCCACGAAAACCTTTTGCGAGCATCCGTGCTTTAATGGGCGCGGAGAAGGTTGGACTCCTCCTCCTCCTCCTCCGGAAAATGAATCCACGATTCAGATCTCGCCGTTTACCTCAAGCCCCGGAGCTGCGTGCGCAGCTTTGATTCGTCCCGGGAGTCCCTTGCCCTGGCCTGCCCTGGCCTGCCCTGGTGCATGCATTCGTGTGCGAGTTGCTTGCAAACACGGGCAGGGATGGAGACTACCCAGAGTGCCAGGATATGTAGATCTTGATCTCGAGCAACGCCATGCCGTCCGTATTCGATCGGGTCCTTGCAGTAGTCGGTACCGGTAGTCGTCGAAGATAGATAGGGCTACCAGAACGTCGGAGAGTCGGCGGTGGTTCTGCCCGTGGCTTGCCCGATGCGGTATTGGTCCACGGAGTGGCCGCAGCGTGAAAATATCCCATAGCATGAAGTTTGGGGAGTGGCATGTCCGCGCACTTGTTCCAAAATGTGGGTAGCGGTAATTCCCAGAGGTATCGATACAGGCTTCATCTTGTTTGGTGGTATAGCAGACAGCAATCCAAAGGACAAACTACGGAGATGAGGTCAGACTGTGTGGGTGACAGGGGGGGGGATGGCGTCACGTGTACCTGCCAACGGGACGCACGGGGGCGAGGGGGACCAGATCAGTTTAAGAGTCACGGGTAGGGATATGGGTGGTAAAGATAATTCTATTTCATTTCCAATCTGGCTCTTGGTCATCGTGTGTCTAAGCCCGTGGTTCGTTCCCGCCTGGACATGCACCCCGGTTCCCAACATCCAAATCATTCAACCCATGAAGGAGGAGGCTTTTCTACCCAACCGACTTGTGCTAAATCCCAAGAAGAACTTTTTTTTCTTTGACTGCTGAAAAAGCACGCTCTGGGAAGCCAAAATATTCTCAGCGAATACCAAAAAAAAAAGCTCATGATGGAAAGAAGGTGACCAGCAGGAGAGCCGTTTAGGCAATGCCGCTACCACCGGTGAGAGTGATGATTTGGCCTAGAAGATTGAAAGAGAGTTACGGTTAGTGGCGAGATCAAAATAAAACAGAACACCACGGCAGATTGCGGGCCAGACTCACCGTTGATCCATTCGCTGTCGGGGTGGCACAGGAACATGACAACCTTGGCAATGTCGTCCGGAACGGCGCATCGGCCCAGAGGAATGAGTTTGGCGATGCCAGCCTCGATCACCTCGATGGGGGTTTCCTTGGTGGCACCGGGGGAATAATGCCAGGCATTCTGGGCGAACATGTCGGTCTTGATACCGCCGGGGGCGATGGCGTTGGCGGTGATGCGTCGTGGACCACCGTCGGCGGCGAAGGAGCGAGCAAAGCCCTCGACGGCGGATTTGGATCCAGCATACAGTGCGTGGTTGGGGACACCCAGACGTGCAGCAATGGACGACATGAAGATGATGCGGCCTCCGTCTGGACAAAGGACCCTCGTCAGCCAAAAGGGGATCCGAAATCGGATGCAGGGTCCCTCGGTCTTCTTCACTCACCGCTAAGGTACTTCAGAGCATGTTGGCCGACGAAGAACTGAGCACGAGTGTTGAGGCCGAACACTTGGTCGTACAGCTCCTCGGTGACGTCCTCGGGCTTGGAGAAGGCCTCCATGCCGGCGTTGTTGATGACAATGTCGACTGTGGAAGGTCAGCACGTGATCCCGGCCTGGGTTGCGGTGTGGGTTTCGAGGGCCGACTTACGCTTGCCAAAGTGCTTGATGGCCTCCTCAAAGAGCTTGGTGATCTCGGGGACTTTGGAGATGTTGGCCTGGATGGCAACAGCCTTGCCGCCGGCCTTCTCAATCTCGGCCACGGTGGCCAGAGCGGGCTTGGCCGAGCTGGCATAGTTGATGCAGACAGCAGCACCACGCTCAGCCAGGGTTTTGGCAAGACCCGAACCAAGACCACGGCCGGCGCCGGTGATCAGGGCAACCTTGCCGTCGAGGCGGATCTGGGATTTGCCGCTCATGTTGTTGTTGGCGAGTTTCTGGCCGGGTAAGCAGGCGGTGAGACACGAATTGGACGGGGTGAGAGCGAGCGAGCGAGCGAGCGAGACGAGATATCCGACAAGTGAATGACGGACAAGTCTATATCAGATGATGATGATGGCGAGTGATACTGAAGCACTGAGGATGGCTGAGGGTGGAGGAGGAAGACAGTTTGATGTTTTGACGAACTTGACCGCCAAAAGCAGGGGGAAGAAAGAAATAGCAGTTTGTTCAATGCACAATATATGAGAGCGAGCGAAAATAGGGGGCCAGATTCTACTAAGGGGGAGAGTTTGTGTGTGGCGGCTCTCACTCTTTCCCGACACTAGCCCGGAGTGCGACCACGACCGCGACTACGCTGCTACTATTGATTGTGTTGTCCTCGTAACGCTGCTGCAAGGTCGGTGAGTCGGGCCAAATGGGTTGAGGGAGGGGGAGGGTCTAGGGCCTGGCAGCCTCACCGACGGTGGACGGTTCGCGCGTCGATGGAGAGCAAATGGACCAGTCGAGACGGCTGCTGGCGAACCCGTCCATATCGAGTCGAGGCGGTGAAGAGTGCTTGATGTTGTTGGGCTGCTGCGGGGCAGGCCGCCGAGGGGGCTCTTCAGAGTAATAATAAGAACGATGGAGGGGCTGCGGTGGGTGACAAACGTGATCATCGGGCAGCCTCACCGTTTTGCAGATGGAGGGGAGATCTGGCGGGGGGGGGGGGGAAGGGAAAACTTCCAGTGATTGTCCAAAGTAAAAAGGGGATGTTTGATTGATGACGGGTACAGAAATAGATTGCGGATGAAGAAAGCGACTCAGTAGTAGTAGTCGTAGTTGTAGTAGACAAGGCTCGAAGCTCTGCCGCGGCCATCGGGCAGTCACCACGGAATATGTACAAGTATGAAGGCAGCTCCTGGGGCGGAGAGACGCCAACAACTAACTACCCAAGCATGTGTGCAGGCAGGGCCAGGGAAGACTGCGGTTCCTATCAACGAACTACTACTACGAGTCCTTGCAGCATGTTCGACTGTTGAGAAGACTCTGGCCTCGGAAGTCCGGCGGACTGCCCTTGAGCAATGCTGGAGTTGAGAGTTCATCGCAGAGCACATTGGGCACATGCTTGGCTGCTGCGCCGCCCATTGAGTTCGTGCTGAAGATCAATCGACTCGTCATCCCAAACTCATCCAACTCCTCAGCCAACATGTTTGACTTTGGACACGGTAGTCACCTTCTCTATCGAACCAAGCCTTCTCTCCGATGTCTCAGATTCCAAGATTTGGTTTGATGCTCGAGCTTGATGGCGCCGCCGTGAAATATGGTTTGATTTTCTGTCGTGGGTTATATTACCGCCTGCGTATTCACCAGTACCGCGCCATGTACCGGCCGTTGCTGCGCCTAGCCGTTCCTGGGCCTCGAGAGTCCGACCGCTAGCAGGGGGCTGGCTTTTAGCGCCCGTGGTCCCTTGCTGCGCTCCCTGGCCCCCCTGCCCCCCTGCTCCCCTGCCCCCCTCCATCTTCCTCCCCTCCATTTTTAGCAGTTCCACCTTTTGTCTTGTGCCTGGCATTTGTCTTCGATAATGTCCTCGTATTCTTGTTGGGTGTCTGGCGTCATCAGAGACAGTCGCTTTGTTGTCTCAGCCATTGGCAATGTCGGTTCAACAATGCCCCTTTTTGCCTGATGCCAAGGTTGTCTCTCATGTGAGGGGTCAGGCATCACTTCCTCCCAGGTGCACCTATCCTCCGTGCTCCGTTCGCTCGCCGTCCGTGCCTTAACACCTTAGCACGTATACGGTAGCTGGGTGAGGGGTCAAGCAAGGCTTCCTCTCCAAAGCCTGAGACTGGTAGATTCGCCTCACACGACCTTATGCCTTATGACTGCCCGCATTCGTACTTCAGCCTCAGGCAAGGCTGCTCCTCAGCTGGCTCGATATCCCTTCTTCCCTCCATCTCCTCGTTCTATAGTATGCCTTTAGATTTCATACTCACAACAAAACCAAACCCAAGGACAAACACCCACTAGCTAGTATCCTCCTGAGACGAACCCCGTCTCTAACTCCGTAGCTCCTAAATCTGGCCCTACTGGTCCCTTCCTCTTCCCCCATCTATAGCACATTGTGTCCTTGTAGCCCTCGCTCCGGCCCCGACCACTGTCTCGTTTTAAAAGATCCGCTCCTAGAACGGACCAGACTATGACTTGCTAAAGTCCTGAAGCACGCTGACATTGGGCTTAGACGGCCCAATGCTCCCCAGTTCCCCAGCATTCTACCGGCCGTCTAATTTCCAACAAACCACCGGTTGATCTTCATTTGGCGTGCTACGGCTAGATCTAACGTCGATCGAGCGGAGTCCACGCTGTCGGAACCACGTCTTGTCCGATTGCCCGACATATATCTTCGTCGTCGACCAATGCTTGCGCTCCTCCATATGCTTTGCGTCGATGGAGTTTCATACCACCGAACCTTGGTTCTGGCACCGCCCATAGTGGTTCCGACCGTGATGCAATCCTCTCTTTAGTGCGTCTCTTGTTGTTTGCGAAAATGTGTGCCAACTCGGTCGTGCCCGCTTGGTGCCCCCTGTGTTGGCTCCCGAAATTCCACTCGGGTCCTCATAAAGCCCCGGTAGCCCCAACTTCACCTGTCCCAAGGTTTCCAAAGTCTTCTGGTCCTTGTCTTTTCAGAGGGCGGCGAGAAGGAGCACAAGACCACGGCGAAGCTGAGATATGAGAGCGGGTTTCAAAAGATTCTTCCAATTCATACGGGCTGATCTGCAACTCCCTTGGCTTTCCTTGACACCAAACTAGGTTCGACCCATACCCAGAAGCAAGACCACGACATGAAAATCGACGTACGCCCAACAATTACCTTCCTCCCACAGTATATACCTGACAATTAAATCCCTCCCGGAGTCTCGTTGAGCCTGTTCAATCTTCCCGCCTGAAAGCAAGACATTGGAGTCAACAATCCCGAGAACGTCTCTGCCGCTCATACCATTAGGATTTAAGGGTCCCGTCGTCTAGAACGCCGGTAATGCTCTCGTCATCATCAAACGACATGAGACGTATATTCATCAACTGTACAAGAGGCGGAAACATCACGCCGTATCGAGAAGAAGGGTGGAAATGGCGCATTAAGGTGCCGAGGCGAGAGCGTCGCGTTCAAGACAAGGAGGCCACTGGGCCAGTGGTCATGATGTGTATCTGCCGGCGCTGCTGTCGGCGCCGACTCTCACATATCTTTCCAGCTTGCCATGAAGATGCGGAGTTTGCGTTTGATGCCATCCGTCAGTCGCATCGAGGAGTCGTCATCCAGAACCTCAACGCAATGTTGCAGCAGATTTGAAGGGACATCCATGGGGGCAAGAGATCCATCCGGTCGTGTCAGCATGGGAGTACCTTCTTGGTATTTCATATATCTGCTGATGGCCTCGTTCTCGGGAGTCAAATCATCAATTGCAAACGGCCGGTCAGGCTCGGCCGGACCATGCGTGGGCGAGAACCGGCCATTGCCGTTCGCCATGCTGGTAGCCCATCCGGTCAGTGCCACCCGATACACTGCACCTGCCCACCACGGCGGGCGGACGGGATGGGGCATTGACCGGATCAAGCGAAGTATCTGTCCGCAATGGAAGAAGGCCTCTTCCGGTTGGTCTATACAACGCATCTGCAACCACGATGCGTATCGGAATGAGCCAAGAGCAACCTCGCGTCGAGCAAACTGCTCGATGTCCTTGAAGCTGGTGATGGCGTTGAGTGAAATTAGGTGATACATGATTAGGTTTGCACATGTCGTCCAACATGTGCCTTTGTTGCCCGCGAAACTTTGCTTGCTAATCGAATACCAATGCTGCAGTAAGGAAGAGATCTCCTCCAAACGAGCCTTGGTCGCCGCCTTCGACACCGCGCGGGATGCTTTGGCGTGGTTCCCACCGTCAGGTAGGCACGTAATGAATTGACGGAGCTGGCATACTTGAGCCTGGATAGGGTGCAAGAGCAATCGAAGCTGAGTTGGTGAGAGCTCCTTGCCCGCCAAGTCTCCGTCAACGAAGCTGGTGAAAAAGTCTCTGACGGACGCTGGACTTTGGTATGTCGACCCATGGGCTTTGTCGAACAACTCAAGCCACTCTGATGCGGTCTCCGCATGCCAAAGGTCGTCAGAGTCGGGCATGGGGGCATGGAGGTTTACGATGGATAGTAAGGGGGTGGTGTCGGAGAACAGGCTCATCTCCTGATCGACAATCACCCATGAATGAGCGAGCCTTATTACTCCGGTCAGCATGACATGACGAGACGGCTTCTCTTGACTGGGGAGATAACTCACCTGTGTTTGCCCTCGTGCTCCTTCCAATCCTCCCAGACCCTTTCCGGATCCTGCACAAGACTTTCAGCAGTGACCGACCATTCGTCAGCTTCAAGCATGCCGGAGTGCGCCAACATCTAGGAAAAGTCAGAGAAAACGCTTCAGCCACCAGGAGAATGACTCACAGCTAAGTACATGCCGCGTTGACCCATGGCCATCTATTTCTTGAGTTAGGGACAGAGTTCGATCGAAATATCTGGCGTTCGACTTACATCCATATGCCACTTGTCACCCGACCATGCGGCGAGGCAGGTGAACAAGAGAGCAGACCGGAGCACCAAGATCTCACGGGCTTGGAGCACGTCCTTCTCGATCATGTCAAAGAGTGAGATTCTGCAAGCTTCTGTCAAGCCACTGGCAATGTATCTGGCCTCGACTGTGGCTGTTGCTGAGGCTCCAGAGGCGACCATAAGCAGGATCAGGAGACTTGCAGCCTTGCTGTTGTTTGATCCCATGAAAACATTGGGGTCCAGTCGGCCGGCGGGCACTGATGAGTAGTAGGGCTCATATCGAACCACGTAACTCCTCAAAAAGTACTGCATCACATCTGGGGGTGGTAGCATCAAGAAGGCATCTCGGCTGGAATCCGGACTTGACGGCGTGTCCTCTCGAGCTGCGTGATCGGCCTTGTGAATATCCAGGGCTTTATGCAGGAAACTTTGAGTGATGGCGAGCAATTTCTCTCGAGACCATCCTACGATTGGTTCAGTGGCAATTTTTCGCTCTGTGGCGATGTCCAGAGAAGACTCATCGAGTTGAGCTGTCCATGCCGTCCAGGTAGCCTGGTTACGGAGTGTCTGAGCGAGGCCTTCCAGGTAAATGGAGGCCGTCTTTGGTGGAGCAAACGAATATTGTTTGTCGACCCGGTTGCATTGGAAAAATGGCCAGGCATGATGGGCAGCCACCACAGCATCGGGCTCCTGTAGGCCACTTGTGGTAGAAGAGCTGGACGGCGAGAGGCCGGCTGGGGGCCTGTACTGCAAGTGACTCTGAGGGCTTTCCAGATCCATTCGAAGGGGAAAGGGTGTCGCTCCGTCCGGAATCTGGATGGGGAGAGGAATATGGGTTGGGGTCGGAATTCCCATCTTACTATGCAGCAGGAATTGGTCCGCATGGTCTTGCATCATGGTTGGAGGGCTCATGAAGTCCGTGAGGATGTTGGTTGAGTCGAAATCTAGCATGCTCGGCTGAGCACCGCTCATAGCTAAGAAATGACTGTCGCTTTCATGATCGTAAGGGGTTCCATGCATTTGTATGAAGTTATCCATATGAGACATATTGGGCATCATGGGGGTGATTGGGATAGTCATCTCTGGAGGTGTTTGTGTGAAGCCAGCTCTCAGCATTCGCGGCTCTATATCTGCGCCGAACACGGCCGGAGCAATTGGTATTGGGTGGTTTGTGTCCGGGAGGCTCAACCGGTGTTGAGGTAGGGGACGTGGGCCCATACTGTCTGCCATGGTCATTTAGTATCCAGCCTCAGCACGCGGGAAAAGGGTTAGGCTCACTGGGAGAGACTCCGTTGACGCCGGGGTTTGGAGCAGAGAAGTGAGACATTTGTGATACATGGAATGAGGCAGAGGAATGCAGAGCACGCTCTGAGTTTGGGCGTGGGAGAGGATTGCGCCGATTGGGATTATGAGAGGAGCGACGAGTAGCCCGGGACTGGCATACAATCTGTTTGCTCACACATCTTGAGCATGGGACCTATGACGCTGCTTGTTAGAACGGCTGCTGACATGCGAATATCGCAGAGCTAGACATGATCTCTCCATGGGCTTGCGAAATGCCGGGAGGGCGAGGCATTCTGATGTTCTTCCACAACCCGCTGCCTCGCACCGACACCTCTCCCCCTCCGCTGAAGCATAGAGTATCTTCTCGGCGAGTCAAACTGACCTTCTTGTCACACTTTGCTTTTGCTTTTGCGCAGTGAACGCAGGCAATCGGCATGCGTTCTGTGGGCGAGTCCATACTGTAAGGACTTGGGCAGAGAGAGTCGAGTATAACGTAAAGAAACCCTGATGTTCAGGACGGCATACAAGACATCCGCAAGGTGCCGTCGGTCGGTATGCTTGTGCCCGTTTCCCTTTCTTTCTCAATGTAGAGTGAGAGGAAGTGGCTTGGAGTCTGAGCCTGACGAAGACAGGAGGCTCATACAGATTGGGGCGGAAGGCTGACGGCGAGGTTGGAACCAAATTAGCATTATCTGTAGGGGCTGAGACCAAACGATAGAGAGATAGGACAATTGCTGATAGCGTTGCAAGCGAATGTGGACAATTTCCAACGAGAGAGTCAACGAGAGGCAGGTGGGAGCAACGGTGCTGTGAGCGAGAGTAAGGATAAAGAGAAAAACACGAGCATATACAACGAGGAGGACGCAGTCAGATGCAAAAAAGATCGACGGATGATGGATGAATGGAGACACATGAGATTCTCGAGAGGGAGAGTTGAAGCATGAGGGCCGCGAACACGAACCACTAACCACTCGACTGTGAGTGGGCGCGGCAAAAGTTGACCAGGGACAAGGAAGGGGCAGGCAGGGCTGGGAGGGGAGGGAGGGGATTGGGGGGGTGGGAGTTGTGCAGATGGCCAGGGCCCTAATCTTTTTTTTCTCTTGGGTGCGGCTTGTGGGCGAGTCGATTGCTGAATCGTTGCAGCAACAGCCCTTTTCCTGCAGGCGGGCTTTAGGTGGGCTGGGGAGTGGGTGGGTGGGATGTTTAGGTGTGAGTGGAGGGCTAGCGGGCGTGGTTGAGCTCATAGGGCAGAAACCAACAATTACCGTTTCGTGTGTTTTGGCGGTAATGTCCAATGGTATCAATACCAGGTGAGCAGGTTCAAAGCCTCTCTCTTCGCTCTCTTCACGCTCTACGAACTAGCCTCTGCTTGAACTGGCTCCAGGCCTAGGCTTCAGCTGTCGATCGTTCTGGGAAAGAGTGCAGCTTGGGTGCTGTGATGACGGCATGCATATCGCTCCACCTGTTCGAAGGCCTCTCTCTCTCTCTCCCTTGTTCTCTGTTTGCCCTGGTCATTTTCTTTCGTTGGTCCCGTCCCAAGGCCCGATCTTGCTCTGTTCAATGCACATGGTTGCGCCGTTGCTCGCATTGTTCGACCAGTAACCGGGGGAGAGAATGCAGCCAGTGCTGGCGACGAGCAAGGAGCTCTTGTTCCCTTCGAGGGAGGCTTGCACTTTCGGGCGAATGGCTCCCGCCAATAGATTATGGTTAATTGAGACCACAAACCCAAACCAGGCAAAAGGGATGCACGCCGAGGGTGCTTTTTGGGCGTTCGAGGGCTGCGAGGGCTGATTATTGGTGTGCCCGGCCTGAAATGCGCCCAGAGAATGCAGCAGCCGCAACCTGGAATGCCTGCTGGCCATCCGTCCGTCGCCGCGCGCTGCGCCCTTGACCCCCACCACACCTCTCGTCCTCTTTGGCAGCTTCACCTCGGAAAGAAAGGGCAGCCATCTCCGCCATGCAGCTTGCGGCTTGCGGCATGCAGCATGCACCCATCACCCATCGTGGGAACGACAGAGTTCAATTGTCACGGCCCGAAATAGCATGGGGGCGATTCTTCACCAGGCTCCTTCTTCCCCAATGCGTCCACCCTTCAGCTTTCGCAGCTTCGTATGCTGCACCTCACTGCCCGAAACTGTCAAGAGGCAAGTTGATCGTATGCAAGGGTTTTGTTCAGGCCTGTGACTTGTGGCCCGGCCGCTTGCCTCTCTGGAGGGCAGTTACGAATGCGAGGTGCAGGCTGAGACGGTGGATAGCAGTGGACTGATGCTTCTTCCCTCTGCCAGAAGGCTGTTCCTTGTCTCGTCCCCATCCCATCCAAACCATGACTAAACCATGTTGGACCAATTTGTCTACCACATAGCATGATGTCGTCAAGGATCTCGCATCGGCTACCTTTGGAGCCAGAGTAAGACACGGCAACCGTGCTGTTCCTTTCTTGTTGTTAGACCCCTCGCACTTTTCCCGTCTTCGACCTCCAACTACCCCGGCCCTGGGCTCCCGTTTGGTGAGCTTCCCCGGTCCTGGCAATGGAAACCATGCCGTCTTGTCGTGCTGCTGATGGTTGCACGAGATAATGACACCATGCGCGCTATGGTCCACTGTTCCTGTCAGAGGAGGATCACCGCAAGCCACGTCTACCTCCTACTACTACTCCTCCAACCTGGCTTCATTCCGCGCTGCACCGTCAGTCTGGCTGTTGTTTTTTGCCAAACCCAGGCTAGAAAACAAACGACCCATTATTTTTGGTCTACCACAGACATACGTACTCGTACTGTAGTACCGGCTCGCCAAAGAAAAAACACGGCTAGGCCAGCCGTTGCGCTGTACTTGCGCCTCGATTCTACTACTGCTGGCTTCTTGATTTGGCAAGCTGCCTTGGCGAGCCGTGACGCTACTGGATATCGGAATGTGCCAGCAACTGCCCATTTTACGGGTTGATGCGACAAGATCGTCCGCCAGTGGTCACCGCCCTCAGCCAGCCAGCCAGCCAGCCATCCGGCCATCGTTGGAGCCGCACACGTAAAAGCGAAGCAGGTCAGGACTTTGCTGCGTCTCCTCCGAGCTGCGCATGTGTTTGATGTCAAAAGGCCTAGCAACCGAGCTCCTCCCCGTCCGGCATCTCGTAAAACGCCTGCCAGCTCATCCTCTTCACGTATTTCACAATTTGACAAAGGGATAGGGTGTGGGGAAATCAGTTACCTTCGGGGATTAGGTCGCCGGGGATACAGTATGGAGGACAAACCAGCTCGTTCTGTAGAAAGGTTCGTGGGTGACTTGCTCCCACCAGGCTGAGTTGTCGAAAGAGTACCTGTTTGGCCCTGTCTCTATCTATTACCCTATCTCCTCGGCCTTAGTATTATCACTGTCAGACTAGGTAGTAGAATGCCTTCGAACCTCGGGCACGCTACCATGACCAGACTGGTCCAAGTCTTGCAAACACTATACCTCTCGTCTCTCGAGATTCGTTACACCTTTTGGGACTCCGCAACCGGCCTCCCGCGTCCGCCTCACCCAGGATCGTCTTGTCTAACCTGTTCCCTCGAAGTCGCCGATAACGAAGATAATACCACTGGACAATTGCCTTTTCATAAGGAATGCTTTGCTATTCGTCTGATATCTCTCAAATCTCGGCCCAGAATCTTTCATTTTTGTGCTTGACGAGCCGCGAGATCTCCACCTGCAGGGCCATATTTGGAACTCTATGGAGGAGTGTGGGAGTTTTGCCGGCCCCAATCCCACCCAGCTCCCCCAGGCACTGCCATTCGGAACCGAATGGACAACCGCAGGATTTCAAGATCCCGCCCCTCGACTCTTGTTATAGAAATGATGAATCAACGACAATCATCGGCACCGCTGGGACGGCGCTGGATTCGTCACCACCACCCCAAGGGACTCTTTTTGGCGTGGGCAGTGTGGTGTTTGACCATTGGAGATTTTCCATCCCTCCTCCATTTCCAGATCTCCCGCCCAGCTCTCATTCACGGGCACCGGCTGGAAATGGCTCACGTCGATCTCCAATATGTTCACGTTGATTACCCGTCCCCGTCCTGACAAAGCTATGCAATGTTACATGAGACACCTGCTCGTACCGCTTGAGCCTCGGAATGTGACTTCAAGCTGCAAGGCCCGTCACGCAATCGAGGCACCGAAAGAAGTCGGGATTGCCTTGCCGGAGCAGCGATATTGCGATCGATATTGAACCCATTATGGATCCTATTACCCTCGCTTAAGGCAAAGGGAAGGGGCAGAAGGACATATCCAGACCGCCCGCCTGAGTCAGCCTGATATGGAGCTCGTGCAGTTGCCCAGATCGGATCGGGCATGCTCACATCGCACGCCAAGGCAGACAGGGCCGGCCGAATTGTCGCTCTGACCGGGATATTGCCGAAATTCATAGCAATTGATCGGCTCATTTTTATGCTCCATGGGGTTTTGTCACCCAAGCAAGCACTACGAACACCAGCACTGCGCGCCTTGCGAACATCAGGCCCCTTAGTGCCGAGGCGCCTTGTACCCTTTGAGGTACAAACTTTTCCTGCGACCACTGGGGTATGCCTACATACAAGCTGCCGCTGAAATGCGTGTTGTCAGATCTTGTAAGCGACCTCTTGCCGCGGTCCATCCCTTACTTGAAAAGGGGAAAACATATCCCATCACTGGTTTGACGGCGTTACAAATCGCTATCAGAGACCCGGAGTATAGCTGCGTCGTTGGGAAGCTCGTCCCGACAGGGTTTATGACTCGTTGAATCTCTCCGACCTCGCTTGCGGCAAGGCCCCGAATACGCCCTTTCCCACAGGTGAATAATGTGGCTCTTCGCGGCACGGGTCTTGATACGCTCGCAACGTAGCAATTGACCAAGGCTGCGCGCGCTGGGGAAATCAGTCGCTGGCAACCGTGCCGCCCCGTGGCTCCTGGATCCTGCGGGAGAAGGCTGGATGTGTGCTTCTCCTCGCGGCACGTCTCCGGTCATATTTTAGGCAACACCCTCGTCATACTAAACGTGGCTTGCTAAAATTGAAGGATCGTTATTGGTACTGAAAGACAAAAAAGAAATCGTGAATCTCGATACGGGTCCTTTCTGCCTTTTTCACGTCCAATGCGTTCGGTAAGTTTCAAATTACCAGGCTGCCCGTGTCTCTCCAACTTCTCAGAGTTGTAAAATGTGGTTCGACGCACAAATGCTCTGCGACTCAGAGTTGACGGGAGAGAACAATCTGATTGGATACCAATACTGTGCTTCCGACCCCGTTACTTGTTGTCGTCGCCCGACGTTGCACAGCATATGAAGAACTATTGACGCGTAGGTAGTTGGTTTGCATTTTCTGAGCACCTGTCACAACCTGAATTGATTGCAACCGCTGTGAAGCGTTCTCAGCACCCGGGAGACGGTCACGGGGTCCAAAATGTTTGGAATTGTCACACCATGAATGCGCGGTTGCAAACTGGTCTGGCCTGGAACAGGTGCTCGCTTCCCGACCACGAAAATGCGATCACGTCGCGGTACAACTTGCGTTTTCCGGCAAAGCCGACCGCAAGAACAGGGCGAGTTGGGTTCAACAGGCATCGCTGTTCGGGGGGTGAAGTGTTATCTCTACAGCAGCAGGATTGGATTTGTTTCAGATCCTTCACGGGTTGGCTCGAACTGTCAAGTTGTTGGTCAACCCCAATCGCGTGGCGACTCGTTGTTGCATGAAATGCTGGTCCAACAGGCTCGGGATGCGCGAAACTAATTGATGCGCCAGGTCGGGGTGTATTATGTCAAAAGATGGGCCTCCTGCAGCCATTATCGGAAGTTATCTGCCTAATCTTCCGGGAGAGTGGCTGGCCTTTATCACGGTCGAAGTCGGTGAGTGAAAAAAAAATAATTCGCCTGGCAGTCGATCCGAGTCCCCGGAAATCCAATAGGGTATAACCACGTTTCTCAGAGGAAGATGCATTCCTGTTTCGGATGGGGGTTTGATTCTTTTGGGGAGCACAATCGACGACTCGATGACCCCCCAATGCACACCGCCACCGATGGTGCAAGGCTAGTTTCCTGAATGAAGATACGAAAATATCCGGGTTCAGGGTCCTTGAATCTTGCGGAGATCAAATCCGACTGCCGAAGTTCATGACGCTTAGACTCACTCGCAGTGGGGTCTCAGTTTGAGAGTCTTCAGATCCATCACGAAGGGGGGGGGGACGCCTGGAGGGGTTGAAGGGTTGAATCAAGCTCCTGGGATCTGCTCGCTACCAACTGACAGGGAAAATTACTTGCATTGAACTCCATTGTCAGTGGGTTTTGCATCACGAATACGAACGGCTCGGTTTTTTCCGTGAGGGTGTGAGGGTGTGAGAGTGTGTATATCGACAGGGTGGAATATGGAGACCCTGGGAAGACAGTGGACGAGACCTTCTTCATGTCAAATGTCTCACGTCAGGGAGGGAGGGTGGGGGAAGCCACTCGCCTCGCGTATGGGGGACTCACCTGGAACCAGCCAGGCTTACCGAGTATTACAGGGCTACTAAACAGGCGGTCCAAGTCGTTTGCATATGCATTGAACCCGATTCAGCCCAACACACCCTTTCAATCCAGAAAATCAATGATTTCATGAGTGCCGTGTTAGAACGTATCGGTTCGGTCGCCCCAGGCCCCCAGCCTCCCTTTTTCTTGCCCGGCGAGAATGTCCTTTGTCATGACCAATACCCATACACGTGGTGAGCGGACAAGCTTTGTCATTGATTTGCACCTATCGAACCTTGCCGTGATATTCCAAAGATAAAAGCAAAGTTTATGTCCCAGTGAGGAAACAAGAGTCTGCGATTGGCCCATACGGACTTTAATATACATGCAACTTGCTCCTAGTTTCCTGATGTTACTACTCGTAAATGGGGGTTCCTTCCATTTCTGATACCTTTACGAAAATCGCCCTCAAAGAGCTGTTAGGGTCTCTCGATGCTGGTCGGCCGTGGGATGATCAAGGTCAGGTCCTCCCAACCGCGAGGTCTGGAATTGAATTGAATCAAATCGACGAGCTTCCCCACGAAGACGTCATTTTCAGCTTGCAACGACGGCCGGAACAGAGAAGCTTCAATTTCCGGAAACCTCCTCGATCTGAAAGCCCGTGGGGTTTTTCTTTTTGTACCCTTTCTTACCAAGCTGCTTCTCGTGGTTTCGACGCAGACTTTGAATCGTCTCTGAACCTTGTGTGTGCCGGATTTGCGATTCCTCCAGGCAATAAACCCCGCCGCGAACTCAAGAATCGAGATCTGGAGAAGTTCTCCGGTCTTTGATGGAAGTATCTTCCCAGGTGCGACGGCGGTTTGTTTCCATGTGGCGAGCGAGACAGGTGCGGATGCTCGGTCCTGTTCTTGTTTAATCAGTGATCTTAATATGTCCTGAATCATCATCCTGCTCCGCATGCCCCCGTCGAAATATGTGTGTGCCCTCGAGAAAGTTTTCATGGGTCTTGCACATCACTGATTTCAGCGGGGTGGGAGAAGAGAAAGGAAGGTCGTGAGGTTGGTTCCACACGATACATACACCTGTCATGACTTCTGGCGATCCGCATCATGCCTGCAATGACCCATGGTCGATCTCTTCCCTGGACTCTCCCGGTTGGATCGAACCCCCCCAACCCCCCCTTTTCCTAGTGAAGCCTGCTCACGATCCTGGCTTTGTGGAAGGCATGATTCAACTCTCGGCATGGATTCGGCTTGTATGACTGTTGTGGAAAATTGAACCGAAGCATCATCGTCTTTCCCACCGATGCAATTTCATTGCATGTGGCTCATCGCCAGGCCTGTCGTTGCTTCGCGGTTGCCGAGGGCGATACCAACCTGAAAGACAAAAAGCAAAAACAATATCTGCTCGAAGAGAACACGGCTTCCTGTGTTTGGAAATTAGATATGGACTGGAAGTTGGAAGTGGTCTAGAGCTCTCAAGCACTTGGGATGTTGCTTGAAGGATCGCTTCTGGGTTGGTTTGTTCAAATGGGCGGGAAAGGGCCATGACACCTTGGGATAGCAGACAGGCTTCAGCACAGACTAAGCTGGTTCCCGTGCCCATCTCGTACACTCGCTCCATGTGTTCTTCGTTTCCCCACTGAACAACCACACAGAACCTTTGGAGCGTGCTTCCAGCGGCCAACTCCAGTCTTCATGGCTTAGGTGGCTTGAATCGATCGAGGCAATCTTGAAGACCACGCATTTCATGAACTTTGGCTTTGGCTACCCATTGTTCTAGCATAGCTCTGGAACCCGGTTACGGCCCCTCGGACGAGTTACGAAGGAAATGGATATTTTATACCTTATGACACCCGTTCTTTTAGGCTCCGCATCAATATGTACAAGCATCATCCAAATATTGACACTTCAGGCTCTTCTCACTTTTTTTTTGAAGATGAATCAAGGCCTGTTTGGCGGATGGTATGCTCGATTAGATTGGGAGTATTATCCACAATGAGATTGGCAATCAGTTTTTCCCGGGGAGACTATTTGATTAATTAATAATTAAGCAACACTGGCCCGAGACGCAGTTTATTCGGACGGGGCCAAAAAATTAAGAAAGAACAAAAAAATACAGAACTTGTGCATTCAAAAAATCTATGCTCGGACCTGGGATCGATCCAGGGACCTCGATGGTACAGAGGCACAAAGCCATGTGAGCATCGCGTGATAACCACTACACTATCCGAGCGGATTTTCAGCAATATTTTTGCCTCTTAGTGTATTAACCTAAATTTTTTTCGGGCGAGAACCTCGGCTCGTTGTAGGTAGGTGGAGACAGGAGTGGAGATGGCTCTTCTTCCAACTTGGACTTCGTATGGCTGCTCCTCGTACGCCTCTACTCGATGATGGCAATCTGCTCCCACCCCAAATTAAGATATCGTGTCAAAGAAAGGGCTGTGGGCTCGCTATGGGAACGATGGCTCAGACACAGCCTACGAGGCAAGCACAGAACGTTGGATGTCCGTTGTCGCCTTCTATGGCCAGTACTGATGGAAAATGAGCTGCAGTACAAACTAGACTGTAGAATCGACTCTGGTTGGCGACGATCACGCTCCGCACATGCTTCCTCCATCACAACTGAGAACGTGCCCAGTCACGTAGGTTGCACTATCTCCAAGCAGAAAGATGACACTGTCGGCCAGCTCGTGAGGCTTGCCCATTCTCCCCATCGGCGTGCCGGATCCCAGTCTATCTGCGACGTCTGGAAACTGCGCAAACGTTGCTCGTTGCATGCCAGACTCTGTGAGTCCTATGAAAAAGAGTTTACACGTCAGCATTCTCCTATGTCCAGCGCGACGATCCCCCGAAGGACTTACCAGGTGCAAGCGAATTCACGCGAATGCCTTCCAATGCCCAGTCTAGCGCCCACGTCCTGGTCAGCCCGATGACTGCGTGCTTTGCAGCGCTGTATACGGCAAGGCCCTTGACAGCTCGAAGACCAGCGCCGCTGGACGTGTTGACGATTGCGCCTCCGCCTCCTTGCTTCTTGAACTGCCAATACGCTTCGGTCCCGCAGTTCCAGACGCCCGTGACGCAGACCGCAAAGATCCTCTGGTACAGCTCGTCGCTGACAATGCCGCCTTCGTATGGGCAGATTCCGGCGTTGGCACACATTCCGTCAAGCCTGCCAAACTTCTTCACAATCTCCTCCACCCAAGCATGGACCTGGTCTCGAGAGGAGACATCGACGTTGGTGTAGATGAGATCCGGTACGTCCTTCAACTCCGGGGGCTGGGGACTAACGTCTGCGACGGCGATCTTTGCCTTTAGGATGATCAACTTCTGTACGATACCAAGTCCAATGCCTGAAGCACCTCCGGTCACGGCGATGACCTTGCCTTGGAGCGAGTTGCGCTCCATTTGGGGGGACTGCAAATGTGGCGGCCCGATCTCAACGGATGGGGACTGTTGGCTTATGACAGGTAGAGGCCTCCCACGATCCTGGTGCTTGTCAGTAATAGTCGACTAGTCTATTTGCGAGACCCACGTGCAAGGAGGTGCTCCCGGCGGAAATGCGACATGCCACGCAAACGCCGAGTCGGCATGGGACACCCCAAGGCGTGACGTCTTCTTCAAGGGCTGGCTCGCGGAGGTGCCATGTGGAGAGAGGAAAAGAACTCCCGAGGGAGAAGGCTGGAGGTTTCTTGCTTCACAGAGCCCCAGTTACAGCACGGCTATAGCATTCGGGGGACTCGCTACTCCTCCTATTACGTGTAGAGGCGCACTCGTAAAGAAAAAGGACCACCGCCGTTCTTGCTGGCAAAGCACCGACAAGTCCTCCAAATTCCAAAGTTCGCCCAGAGGCATGCCAAAATGAACCAATATCCATTCATGCAGAACGACCTTGGACTCGTCACCCCACGGCACCGGGCAGACTTCGAAGCCTGGAGCGTCTGTGGCGACAGCCGCAATGTGCTTGTTCCACAGCCACCGAACGGACGCCATAGACTCCTCCACTCCAATGAATGCCTCCCCTTTGATGACTTGAATTCTCTCCTCGGGCGACGCCGAGTTGTACCATGCACTGTAACCCGTGCGAAGCAACAGAATGTCCCCCTGCTGGATTTCCACGTTGAAGTGCTTGGCCATCTGATCCAATTCCGCGACTGTGATGGCATGGCTGGAACCTGCATTGACCAGACCTTGTGCAGTCTCTTGTCGCCAAAGCGGATAGTCCAGAAGGATCCCGCGGCCAACTATGCCGCCTCTCTGCAGCCACCCTGGGTAAGTCAGTGGCTATTCCTGGACAAAGCACGTTCAAGAACATATACGGACTGTGTGTGCCGTTTCTTCCGTTTCGATTCTTCAACACGTCTTCGAACTTGAGTCCGTTGTAGAAATACCCGTCTTTCTGGGTCGCGCAGTGCGTCATGCCGTCCCACTGGGAGCTGCTCTGCGTGTTGAAATGGAGCTCGTCGTCGTAGACGTACATGCCCGCCAGGGAACGGTAATCTATCACGTTCTGCTCCAGCTGACGGCGGCTGCCGATCCGCTCCCCAAAGTGATCAAGAGGGAAGTCCAGGGACGCGGACCTGCCGCTCTTGACCTCCGCAGCCGCTCGCTGAACCGTGTCTGGAGTGAGGAGATTCAAGGCTGTTCGCGGCAATCAGTGGCTGCTCAGGAGAGAACGAGGACGAGAGCCTTCTTTGAAGGAGATCACTTTTGCTAACTCACTTCCAATTTCGTCGTCGGCGCCCCAGAATCCCCAGGTATTGCCCTGGGGTCTGCCTTCCACCGGTGGCAGGGCATCAAATTCAGGAAGAGTCTTCATCTTGTGGAGGAGATGGCACGATCAATCTACCAGTGGAAAAACTACAACCTAGACAGGGCATAACATCACTTCGTCAAAGGGATACCAAGAAGCACGTTCTGGTCCACGCAAGAAGCTACCCTGCACCTGTCGTCGTGTGCCTTGAGACTGATGCTGATGTCTCCATCGTTGCATGTGCAGACGAGACAGAACGGGATTGTGCCACATGAGTGCGGAGTTTCACATTCGGCCATTTCTTAACTCGGGGTTGCTCGAGTAGGCAAATGTTAAGACCCACCGGAATATGGTTCTTGAGATGGACATTCTCCGTCCTGGGCTTTTATTGACTAGTTCGGAGTTATTGGAGATAGGTGAGTGCTCTTGAATACCTTCCCGCATTGATGGTCGTGGTGGTGAAAAAGGCCAAGTGAAGTTTTCTTTGTGGTGCATCCAATACTGAAAAAAGCCATCGGCAGGGTAGACTCAGAAGACAGGTTGAGGAGGGCATTCGTACGTTTCGACAATGGCACTTCTGCTACCAACTTGCGTTTGGGCGATTCTCAGCGGCCTAGTATTGTTACTCTGTCCAGTTTGATGTTGACAAACTAACTCCGATGAAAGGCTTCTCACTTGAAATACAATCGACGAGAACCGACTCTTTTGTACGTTTGGGATGGTATACAACCCGACAAGTTCGTCAGCTAACGTCCTTGTCTTAGCCGGTATCTTGCAGAATTGGCGACATTGTCGATGCTAGCATTTGTGGCCCTGTTCCATCAGTCCAGAGTGTTAATCACAAGTATAGCGCTCAGCTTTGTCTTCATTACATTGCATCTCTTTGCCTTGGGGTAAGTGTCGACTTGACTTCGTGGCGATGGGAGCTGACTCAGGGGTACTACGCAAAAGTTCAAGCATTACAGTGTACCGACTGTTCCTCCACCCACTCAAGGATTATCCAGGGCCTGTGCTGGCCAAGATTACCAAGTGGTATGGGTTTTACCTCACCAGTTTTGGAAAAACGTACATCGATTACACCAAACTTCACGAGAAGTACGGCGATGTCGTTCGCATCGGCCCAAACGAGCTCTCTTTCGTGGACCCAGAGTCCGTGAAATACGTTCATGGATCGGCGGCAAATAAACTGGCCAAAGGCCCGAACTATGATACTCGCTTGTGGGCAGATGGCATCAGCCTGGGAGACGAGAGAGACATTGTGGCTCACAGAACGCGCCGCAAATTCTGGGACAAAGGTCTGGCTATCAAGGCTATAACGTCTTACGAACCCAGGCTTGTTAGAATCATCAACGTGCTGAAGAGCAAATTTGACACCTATGCCGGTAAGTCACCAACAGGCATTTTTGGGGCAGGCTTGGCTGATATCACCTATTAGAAAAGGAAATCGACGTTGGAGCGTTTATCGACTTCTTCGGATTCGATGCCATGGCAGATCTTGCCTTCAACGAGACTTTTTCGTTCCTCGAGAACGAGAGCTCGGGGGAGCTGGCGGGCCTCGTCCGCAAAGGCCTCAAAATGACAGAGCTCATTCGAAACGTACAGTGGCTGACGCCAATATTCAAGTACCTGCCCATGGATCCCGAGGATAAAGCGCAGACTGAGCGATTTGCGAAAACTTCCGCAGAACAGTTTGAGAAGAGGTTAGCCATGGGGACCGAACCGACGGATCTCTTCACCTATCTACTTGCACATGATGAGAGCGGAAGGTGGGTTTCCCGTTGTTGAGGACCGTGAGTCGATAAGACTGATAATACGACAGGACGCTCGCAAAACGCGACCTCGAATCGGATTCACCTGTAATTATCGTTGCGGGAAGTGATACAACTGCTGTCTGCCTAAGGTTGGTTCACATGTTTGATACCAACACATATCAATGAACTAACGTCCAGGAAAGTTTTGTCTTCTACTTCATCTCCAGAGACGCCACCATCCAGAAAAGGCTTATCGAAGAAGTCGACCAGGCTTGGGCACAGCATGGGGCGAGACTCGATGGCCGTAAACTAGGTACGTACTCCGATACCTTCCTGTCAATCAGGTGTATATTGGCTAGAGATGAATACTGACTTGGGTTGCGACACGTGCAGGGCCTGAACAGATGCCATATTTGAACGCTGTTATCAATGAATCTCTTCGTATGGTTCCGCCTGCCCCGAATGGCAACCAGCGCACCACTCCCAAGGGCGGTTGTGTGGTTGACGGAAGATACCTGCCCGAGAACACGCAGGTTTCCTGCCAACCGACGTTCATGGCTCACGACGCGCGTAGTTTTACTAAGCCAGAACTTTTCGTGCCCGAGCGCTGGATCGACGAGAAACGAGATCCCGAATGGAACCACGACACGAGGTCCTTCATTCCGTTTAGCGCCGGCCAGTTTATCTGCCCCGGCAAGGCCCTGGCGTACCTGGAGATGCGGCTGCTCCTCGTGCACGTGTTCAAAGACTTTTCGTTCGAGATGTCCCCGGGGTTTGACCACGCGGGCTTCTGGCTCGGGCTGCAGAGCTATATGGGGTATATGAAGAGACCGATCACTCTCACGGTCCATCGGAGACAGCATGAGGGATTGCCAAATTGAGGGCTTTCAGACTGCATGGAACAACAAGTAGAGATGTGTTTTGTTCTAGGACCTGTCTTATGTAGTCTCCCGAGAGGAGCCTCGTCACTCCTTTGACCATGGTATTAGAGAGTCAGAGACCACGCATTCGATGCTTTCGTCCAAAGTTGGAGGATGGTAATCCGATTCGATTTGATAGAAAGTACTTGAAATAACAGTATCATGAGCTGCAAGATACTTCGGACCTCAGTGGCTCCTGTTCACATACACGGATGGTTTGGAAAGAGAGGAGATTTTGCAGATGGCAATTCACCCATGGCAGCAAAATTTTCCAAGGTCGTAGTTAAAAGGAAGGATATTTGAGGTGTCGGACAATTTGCCGCAAAACTACCACTCTGCAACTCGAATTTTCTATAGATGCAAGCTTTCCTTCCCCTCTGTGGCTCTCTTCCCCCCTTCTCTGTAAATCTCTTGAATTTGGAACCGGTCAAACCTCAAAATATTGTTGCTCGTCCTTGCCATCCACCAAGCCCAAGTACCACGTCAGGTCTCTGCCGTCCAGGTCCCGTGTGGAGAAGCCGTTGCCCAGCCAGTACCACACATTTCGGCCACGGTACTGGATCTCGTAGTCTTCATACCGAGGCGTCGCAATGAGCTCCATGCTACGGGGCGAGAAGCAGGAAACAGATTAGCCATCCGTCGAGGATCTCAAAAAAGATATTTTCGCACATCTTTCTGAGGGAGTTGACGGGGGATTACTCACTATTGGGTCCTCGTTCCCGGGTGCAGCATGATCTTCCCACCCAGCTTCCCACCTTTGAACCAGCTGCGACAGTTCCCGGACCACACGGTGCGGTTGTGATACAAGTCCGTGTGCTCTTGGTAGTCCAAGGCCACGTGCATCTTCGGGGTGTAGCTCTTGATGTTCTCGAGCTGCAGCTTCCGGATCATCTGGGCAAAGTATTCCGCCATCTTCTCGATCATGCACAGGGCGCTGCCCTGGCCCAGTGGACCGTACGGCCCGTAGAAAGTAAAGTAGTTGGGCATGAAGGGCGCCGACAGGCCGAGGTACGAGATCGGGTTCTTGCGGTACTGGTCTTGCAGGTTGTACCCGTTGGCGATGATCGGAAATCGAGGCACCCAGGTGGTGTTGAAGCCAGTGGCCAGGATGATCACGTCGACTTCGTGTTCGTGTCCGTCGGGATCGAGAAACCCTTGTTCGGTGATCGTGTCCAGGGATTTCGTGAACGTCGTGACGTTGGGGGAAACGAGGGCCTCGAGGAATCCATTTCCAGGGCTGGAACGAAAGCAATCAGTCCGAAGCACATTCAAAATGTATTGGACGGGACCTCAGTGTCGGACTTACGTTGGCCGCTTGCAACCGACGGGGAAGTCCTTGGGAATGAGCTTGTCGATGAGTTCGTCCCTGTCTTTTAGCTTCTCCATCATTTCCTGCCTTGCCATCTAACAACAAGAGGTCAGGAGTCGTGCGAAGTCTACATCACAGAGAATAAAGACTTGCCTTTTCCAGCGCCTTTGCCTCGGGGGTGTTCTGGTGGAATGCCAAAAACCCTTCTTGCAGCTGTGTCTCTACCATTTTGCAATACTTTAGGTAGTAGCCCGGCTCTTCCCTGAATCTCTTTTGCTGCTCCTCAGAATCTTCAACGAATTGTTAGCATTCATTCTGTTTCAAAGAATACAACATTCACCTACATTTGAAATTGAGTCCTCCAGGTCCGGAGTATTTTGAGGCAAACGAAGGTGTCATCCATGTCGGTGTGCTAATCCATGTGTACAGCTTCTCCACTTGAGGCTGGATTTTGGCGATAATTTGGACACCGCTTGACCCGATCCCAACAACGGCAACTCGCTTACCATTCAGATCAAGCCCCTCCGGATAAGCTGCAGAGTGGACAAGCACTCCTTTGAATTCGTTGAGGCCGCGTATCTTCGGCCACTCCCAGAAGCTAGATGAGTTAGAAGTTAGGGGAGGCGTTGAACAGAAGTTTGTACTTTCTGGACTTACTTGAGGGGACCGCCAGCATTTATGAAGATGTCGCATGACTCTGTGAATTGATTTCCAGAGTCCAGGTCTGTGACGGTGATCTGCCAATGGCCCTCTTCGTCATCCCATTCCGCGTGGTCTACCCGGTGCCGAAGCTTGATATACTTGGATAGTCCATATTTGACGACTATGCCTTTGAAATAGTCAAAAATCTCCGGGCTTTCTGCGTAGTATTGAGACCAGATATGTGGCTCCCAGGTGAATTGATAGCTGGCAGAAGGTATGTCGCAAGCACAGCCTCTATGAGATGTCAGTCCGAAAAGGTGATACTACCGTTGTGATTATACATACGGGTACCGATTTTCCAACCAAGTGCCTCCGACATCAGCATTCTTGTCGTAGATTTGCAGTTCCACGTTCTGCATTTGGTCTTGTACGAGTTTCGCTAAATTGATCCCCGAGGCACCGGCTCCGAGACATATTATCTTGACCGGCCGCAAGATCCCTGAGGGAACTTCATTGATGGTGTAGCCCGCATCATTTGTATTCTTCCAGCCATACTTGGTGGCGAGGTTGTTAGTTGAGTTCACCGAGGCCGACTTTGCCTTGTCGCTGTCTTGAGATGCGACCATCGTGGTGAGACCCGATCTATATTCAGTGGCAGTTTGGAATTCTATGAGTGACCACGTAATCTCTGAATCTAAAATATACCGAGTATGGTGTGGGTGACGATCGCACGAGATATCCTGGATGTGTTTGGATCTCGAATATCCTCTACGAGGGACAACCTGTTTCTGACGGGTTTACCGCCGTTCAAGTTAGCATGAATTCCGCCGAGAGAAGATGATCTTGTTCCTCTTTGACGCCGATTCACGTCGCTCTGAGGCCGCCTGTGGGAGGCTCAATGTCCCGGTGCCGTCGAAAACTTGAAGCTAGATGCCACTCCGCAAAACGCTCAGCGGTTGCCTTCCTGATTCGGACGAACTGCATTGGGTTAGTGTGGTAAAAAGTCCGGTCGAACACCCGGGTTGGTCAGTCGCGATGGCAAATTGTGGGCCACCACATCGAAACTCCGACTTCGACACTCGATTCCCCAGAATCTTCATGCATGGCTTTGGATTTTCGGTCACACACATGGCTTCCCCGCGTCAAGCCCCCGGACTTTCTGGTATATGCTGTTGTGGAGCAGGGGACCTGCATTAGCAATCCGGATCACAAGAAATACCACTTCATGAGGCCTCGACTTCGTCTCAATTCCCAGTTTGTTGCCTTCACCTACCCGACGACAGTGTCCGCGCTTCATCACTGAACCAATTGTCAAAATGGCAATGCCCAAAGAAGAATTGTCACCGCATCACGAGGAGCATACTGTGTATCACAGCAAAGCTAAAGAGAAGTTCAGCCTCTACAATTATGGCATCGTCGTCTGTGTTTCCTGCACCTCGCTGGCAACGGGCATGGTGAATGGCATGATCAACACAACTCTAGGCCAGCCAAGCTTTCTGCTCTACTTCGGCTTCCTTCATCAAACAAAGTCCAATACGCCATTGATAGGAGCAATCCTCGGGGTGTTCTTTGCATGCGCCTTGTTTGGCTGTGCCTGGGCTAGCTACTCATCCGACAAAATCGGGCGTAAAAAGACGGTTCTCATCACGGCAATCATCTCCATCGTCAGCACGGCTCTGGTCGCAGGAAGCGTACACATCGCCATGTTGATCATTTTCAGGTGAGGCCCCTACAACACATTCTAAATCGGATGGGCAAAACTAAACATTGTCAACCATTCCCAGGGGCTGTTCTGGCTTTGCTTCCGGAGCATATATGTCAGTTGGGTCATTACTTCAAAGCGAGCTCGCTCCTCCTAGGTACCGGGGTCTCATGGTTGGCCTTGTTGGCGTCATGATTTCTCTCGGCTACGTCTTCGCCAACTGGCTAGGCGTTGCCTTCTATTTTGTGCAAGCCGGTGGCGTACAATGGCGGATTCCGTTCGCTATTTGTGCTGCTCCGTCGTTCCTGACTATCTTCCTCCTTCCTCTAATCCCGGAATCACCAAGATGGTTGGTGATGAAAAACCGCACCGATGAGGCTCGTGCTGTCATCTCAAAGTTGCATGGCCATCATGACGACGAGGGTCACGAATTCGCCGAGCTCGAGGTTAAACAGATGGTTGACCAGATCTCGTTTGAAAATCAACAACAAATGGGATGGTGGGAGCTATTCATGTCGAAAAGGTACCGCAAGCGGTTTATCCTAACAGTCATCACCCAATCTATGAGCCAGGTAAGCTTTTCTAACATCCCAAGCACCATTCATTGTTAACTAACGCGTAATAGTCCGCGGGTATTGTGGTCGTCGCCAGCTACGGTCCGACCATATACGCTAGCCTTGGGTTTGATACAGTGGGCCAACTGTCTATCACTGCAGGCTATGTTACATTCGGAGCTTTGACTGCCGCACTTGGAACACTGCTCATCGATCGCGTTGGTCGAGTACCACTACTCGCTATCGGGACAGCCATTCAGATTGCACTGATTGTGGTAGTCACTCCGCTCATTGTCAAATACGCTGGAACCGCCAACCAAGCCCCTCAGAGAGCTACTGTGGCTATGTTCTACATCTTCGAAGCGGGATACTGCATGTTCGTGGAAGGTGCAAGTTACACTTACGTTTCCGAGATGTGGCCCGCTCATCTGAGGGCCAAAGGCTCGGCTCTTGGAGTCGCCAGCATCTACCTTGTCGACACCATCTACGTCGAGTAAGTACTGGAAAATCTCGTGTTCGTCATTGCGGAGCTGAATTGATTTGACAGAGCTTCCCTCTACGCCTTTGTCTCCATCGGATGGAAATTCTACCTTGTTTTCATCGTTGCCGGTGTATTCTTCCTTACTGCGTTCCTTCTCCTGGCCAAAGAAACCAAGGGCAAGCCGTTGGAAGAGATAGCCGGGCTATTTGGAGACAAAGTTGCGGCCGAGACATTGGATAACCTTATCATTACGCACGATACTGAAGTCGAGGA